TTAATTTAGTGATACTTAATGTGATTTTCAGTTTTAAAATTCTTCTTCATTAAATTAAGATTCTTTCAACTTTTACAAATTGTAATTTGACTAATTAAATCATCTTGAATCTCTTACATAAGAATCATTGTGTAACTTTTTTCTACCCAATTCACATTTGTCAAGACACTGATGTCATCTTGAAATCTACACCCTTATTTTCTTTTTTCATAAAATTTAAATATGCTTTATTGTTATTACTTAGTATAAAACTCATAAAAATCACACTCTTCGTAAAAATTTATGAAATATTATTATATATTATATTACATTTTTTTGATCAACTTGAAAATTTTCTACTATTTTTGAAAAAAATATATAATTAATATATTTATTCAAAAATATTTTTAAATATTTGATATTAGTAATTTTTAGTTTTATAAATATTTAAAATTATATGATTTATTATACAACAACTAATTCACATCAAACACTTGCTACATGTCTTTCAAGTTCTATAATTTAATCATATGCATGTTAATTTTTGAAAATGTATCTTCAAGTAGGTGAAGATCACATACTTGGGTTTTTGAATTTTTACTAAAAAAGTGATGGTCCACATTAATAAGGTGAAAGTTGTGTTCTAATGAATTGTTTTACCTAACTTGATAGAAACTATGTGCGGTCATCAACTTGAGAGGTTATTCTCGACATTTCATCAAATGATAAAAATCCATAGTATGGCCATTAACTCAATTTCTCAAATGCAATGCATTCAATTAGAATCTAGAATTAGAGTTAACATATCACCTGCTCAAAACCTCTCTCACCACAACATTGATACTAATCCTTCTAATTCTTTTTCAGACTTTTGAACTATCAAATGCCTTAGGGAAACAAATAAAGGTGGTGCTAATACAAAATAAGCAACCAAAATAGTTTTTAGTCAAATTCTTGGCCTCAAAAGAAAATACAAAACTGATTATGAGCAATAATTGATGGCAATTATTCTTACCACACTCAAATGGAAACACTAACTAATTGGTAAAAATAATAATTTTTTAATGAATTATCACAATTCATAAATTTATTTGTAAGTAGTACTAGGTTCTTCTTGATTGCCAAAATTAACTTTCTAAGATCATAACTTTAAATTAGAGATTAAATATATACTAAGATTAGAAAATAGGATAATTAATGCCTTAACATTTTGATTATTCATCTCTACAATACATTAAGTTATTTTGACTTGAGCTACTTGGTTTCAAATACTATAAAAATCAATCAAATTTTCAATTGTATATCATTATAAATGAATCAGCTACTCACCTCAAGCAATGGTCTTTATATTGTCTCTGACAAGAAATTTTACTTCACCATGCCAAATTATTCTTTCTAAAAACTTGGTAATCATATCATCTATCTATTTTACAAGAATTTCATGATTCAATCAAGAAAAGGAACTTTGGTTTTTCTTTCGCACCTAAATTCAGCTCACAAAATATAAAATTTTTTATCAAGAGATATGTTGTGGCATGCCCTACCTATTAGAAAAATAAGTCTGAATGATTGTCTCCAACATCTATCATTCCTTATTGGATTTTAGAAGACATTTCAATATATTTCATCAAAAGACTGTCAAAGTCAAACAACTTCAATTCAATTCTTGTTGTTGACTCAACATAGGCACACATTTCTATTATAAGATGTTAATTCAATGCTCAACAAGTGACTTGTACCTTTGCAATGTGGTCTATTTGTGTGACATTGATTATTACCAATTGAGATTGTATTTCATGAGTGTTTCTAGAGTGAATTCTTTTACTTCCAAGACAAATTCCTCCAACAAACTAGTTCTTATTGATAATATGTTGATTATCACACGAAAAGTGTATTAAAAAATCTTACACTTTACCATGTTATTATATTAAAAAATAAATATTTATTATTTCTTTAAATATCTCATGAAGTTTAATATTTTAGAAAAAAATAGAATTTTTCCCTAATTTTTATAGTTATAATTATTTTTTTTATTAATATGAGATAATTTTAAGATTTTTCAATTTTTTTATGATTTTTAAGAAGTCGATATATGCTTCAACAAACGAGATTTTATCTATAGAGATGGGGCGACAAAATCAAGGCCTGAGGTGCTGACATGCGACATCATCAAATGAGGAGAATTAAAGTTTTTGAAAATGTCTATAGAATCAATGACAGATGAAGTGCACTTAGTGAGGGTGTAGTGGATCTCAACATTAAGAAAGATCATACAACTACAATAAGACCTCTAAATCCAACACTTCATATCAATTTGAGAGGAAACCAATTCTCACATGATCTTATCATGACCAAAAAGATGAAAATACACTGATTTAATTACAACCCTAGATCAGATGATCTCGGATGAACTAGCTCATGATAAAGTAGAATCAGCTCTACACGTGTACTCTTACACATTTAAGTCACCATTTAGGGGTGAAAAACCTAACTTTGAATGTCCTTACATTTAGTCAGCTTAAATGAAATTACATTGAGGTTTTGCGTCAATCTTGATGTGCTTTGAATTGATTTAGTTTTGGTTACTATTGAGATCATCAAAAAAGCATACTCAAAGAGGAAACTACATAACCATGGTGAAATACAGAGGCCCAAGGTAAGTTTATCCAAGTTCGATGTGTTTTGAACATGAACAATCATGTAGCATTTGTAGGTTTAAATAGATAGAAGTACATCTTTAACTTTGTATTATGGTTCATTTGTGAGTGTTTTCATCTCATAATCATCTTTTGCATCGATGAGTTTCTATTTCCTCTTTTTTTATGGATGAAAATCCTTCTTACTTGCCATCACCTCTCCTTTGAGTTCATTTGATTGAAATCTATCAATTAAATAAAATAGTAACTAATTAACACATGATTCTCATTCCTTATGGATCAACCTCAAACTTACTACAATACTTACCTATTTAGTATTTTAATTTGGTAGATTCGTGATTCTAAATATTTTTTATCAATTGATTTTGACATTTTTCAATAATCCTTGATTTCGTTGTATCACTTATCATTTGTAGTTGGATGAACAAACAAAAATTGTCAACTGCGGTCTCAAGACTTACTTAAAATACTTTGACACATACTAATTGCAGCAATAATTCAAGCGACTTTATTAGGCAAAGTATTAGTTCTACATGAATTTCAACTCCTCAACTAGAACCACACCCCATAAAATCATTCATGGAAGATCCTCCAGCTCTTCTTCAATATTATAGTCATCTGATCTGAGAGGATGAGGTGGGTCATCAATTACAAGAGTGAGATCTCACTCTCAAGGAAGTTAAGCTTCACTTGGCTCGAGCTCATGCTCCAATGAAGCATCATGTGAATAAAAAGCAGTATGATATTATATTTATTGTTAGCAATCTAATCATTCTATGAGTTCAACTATAGTGGCTTAAGACTCTCATATGACAGCCTTACAAGAAGTTGGGGCCTTAGTTCTTCAGACCATATAAGATTTTGGAACATATTAAGTCATTAACTTACCATCTCACACTACCTGCCACTACCTACATCCATGTTATGTTCCTTGTGTCCCAATTTAAGTGGGTGGTTGTGATTATCTATTAGAACACAACCAATTGCAGTCCTTGCTATCAAATACATGCCTAAGTATCTTGAGGTCCTCATCCAATGGCTTAACTTGCCAAGAGAATATTGTTGAATCTGAAGGATCTTGTGTTGATGTAAATGGAGAATGACAAAAACATAATGAGAATGAATTGAAATCATACCTGAATCTATGAAGGTGCAAATACGAAGATGACCTTTTGGATCAGCACAAGAGAGTCATCCAATGACTTCCTCTAGAGAGATGGGATGCTCTAAGAGTGACTCATGATGTGTAACCCAAAGACCATGACCCCTTATTTATAGACAAGAGATGATTAACCTCTTGGTGCCTTTTTTCAATTTAGTCTATCATAAAATTAAAATAAAATCTAATCTCTATATATATTTATATTTATACCCATACTAACGAGAAAGGTCGTACTTTCAAATACTTAAACTCTAATGAATCACTTTAAGTGAGATTAATCAATGATAGCCTCATAATATATAATTCATATATATAATTGTAGATTAATTCTAATAAGTATATATATTAAATTTAATTTCTTGTAAGATCTATTTGTAATCTCGTAGGTGTAAAGAATACCCTTTTCAAATCGTATATTTATTCTGTTTTTTTCATTCTTCCTCTGCTCCGATGCCACCGGCGCTCCTTGGAGGCAGGTCACGGCTGTGGCCACCTCATCTCATCATTCTCCTCGTCTCGTCACCCCCTCAACTAGTGAGGGTTGTATCATAGACGTCTTTCGTTGCGGCTGCTACCTCCAGCCGCTGGATCATCTCGACGCGCCCTACCTGGCTGCGAACTCGTCTCGGCAACTCTCCCCTCGTGACAGCACTCGCCAACAGGCTTCAGCCTCCTCGTCTCGTCATAATCTCGGCTCGTTCTCAGCTCAACCTCAAATCGGTTTCGGTGCATCCTTCTCCCACTCCTCTTCACGGACAAGATAAAAGCTGTGGGGGTGGGGAGCACTGATGGGCTACTCGCCTTACTTGCGTCACCACGGGAGAAAAGGAGCTGATCATGGAGCACCAGTGACGGTTTGGTCAACCAGCAACCATTTCTAATATAACAAACGAATCATGGGTCGTCAGCCCAACTGTTGTAATAATAGAAATAACTAACCGATTCTTATATAGAAGAGGGCTTATGGCTATAGGAAGATAGGGGGAGGAGTGTTAGTGGAAGGAGACCGGCCATCTCGAAATAGCCATTACGTACGCGTCGTCAACGCCGAGGATCTCCTCGCCGCCGCCGTCCTCCTCCAAGCCCTGCTGGTGATCCTCGTCCTCTTCCCAGAGCTGATCCTCCCGAGGCCTTCCTCTACCTGTTCCTGGCCGGCGTCTGGTTCTTCCCCCGGCGACCGAGGCCAACTGGAGGTCGTGAGGATGAGGTACGATTGCCTGAGGAGCGTCCGGAAGATTGCAGAACCTCTCCGGAGATATGGGCCCGCAGGGGGGAGAGGTTGCAGGCGCTGCTCAGCTGGAGGGATCCGAGGGCCACCGCCTCCTCATCTGCTTCTCCCAGATCGCCGCCGCCGTCCTGTACCTCATCCCCTTCCGAGTGGTGGCCCTCCTCACCGGATTCTACACCCTCAGGCACCCCCGCTTCCGCCACAAGCTCCCCTCGCCGCCGCTTAACTTCCTCCGCCGCCTCCCTGCTAGAACCGACACCATGCTATGAACTGCCTCCCTCCCTCTCTCTCTCTCTCTCTCTCACACACACACACACACTATATATATATATATATATATATATTATATCTGGCTTCTGGTATCTATCTGTTTTCTGGTGGTTTTGATCTATCGTTGTGGCTACTCCCATGGGATTGCCGCCGTCTTATTCTTTCTGACCTCGATACTCCCGCGCTTTAGTTACCCATCTCCGGGCCTACTATCAACAGGGTGTCGTCGGGCCGGCCCGGGGTCAAAACTCGGAGAGGGCCGGGGTTTTCAAGTTTTAAGGCCCGAATCAGGGACACGGGCCCGACCGATCGGGGTTCCCGACCATTACGACCGTAAAGAAATAAAGTATATTGCATCCTTTATAATGATGATACTAATCGGGCACCACGGCAACTCGTCCTGGCATACGTACTATATTTTTTGTCGTTTTCTATCATCTGCGCCACGTGGAGAGCACAGAAGAGTTTGAGAATTCGGGATCGTCTGACGCGAGCAGCTGGCGGCATTTAGCGGCGGCTCCACCCGTCCGGATGGATATTTTAGGGATTTTGCTTTTCTCTGAAACAGAATTCTTATTACACTAAATAACGCGAGGCATTAATTGCAAATATAATTTTTTTATATATGATGAAATAAATAATTTATAACTTAATTTATAAACTATATTCATCTTAACACCAGTGCACGTCATTATTATTTTATAATTTTATATATAGTTTAATATACTATATGTAAATGAAAAATGTACCGATTATTTATTTAGACGAGGACTAGTGAAATCCGCCACGGCGATTAACGGTCAGGATTGCTCGTGATGACGTCATATGCGCGTCATCTCCCCGGACGCATTAAAGATTATCAAGTTGATCGGCCTGCCGCAGTTTGCGACCAATGGGAGCGCGTTTCGTACCCTAGGAAAGACAAACATTAAATAAATTCAGGTAAAAGGGTATTTGTGTCATTCCTAAGATCTGCAATTGGCCTCCGAGCATCCATCCAATATCCGACTGGCCCGACTCTTCCCCTCTTTCCGCCTCTCTAACCTTCGCTTTCGAGCTCCGCCTGTTCCTCCCTTCCCCTTTGGCATTAGCGGTGGTGAATGTGGCGGTGTCTGGGTTCTGTTCCCAGTGGTGAAGTCTGACTGGGGCGGAGGCTCGTCTCTCCCACGAATGGTTTGTTCTCCGAGCGAGGCTTTTTTCCCCTGTTCTTTTCTCTTGGATTCGCTCCCTTTTCGGTACCTTTCTTACATCGCTGCGGTGGTGAGAATTTTTGAGTTCGGTGCTTGAAGCTCTCTGTCTCGAGCTATGGATTTTGGAGGAGGGTGGGTTTCTGATGGGAAGGATGCGGTTCTCTTCGTTTCTTAATTTGGCTATTATGAAAGGGACGCCTTGACTCTTTGCCCTCCGGCGAAACGGTAAGTGAACAGTTCGCGGTTTGCTTACTTTCTGATGATTTGGAATCCATGTCTGCAACAGATTCGTATATCTGAGACGGGCTGGGATCGGTTTCTCGGCCTTCAATTGGAGTTTTGCATGCGGGATTAGGCTATGTCGCTCGCAGCGAGGGTTCGGTTTTGTTTTATTCGCGGTGAAGATTTTCCTTATCGCGGATATATTAGAAATTCGTCGAGTCACAGAAGATGAATTGCTGGTTGTTTTGATCACTGATGCAACAGTGTTCAGAAGAATCGCCTTCAGATTGTCTTATTGGCCATGCTATGCGTCCCGCTTCCATTTTTTTTTTCCAAATTATAAACGGGATCAATCTTTTTGAGCGGTTTTCTTCAAATTTGGAAGACATAGTGACCTCTTCCGCGACTCCTGATGATATTAGAATGATCAAGATGGGCAATTGTCCTTTTATGCTGTTCTTTTTCCCTAATTCTTTGCTTTAATAGTTGGGTGTTCATCTCTTTCATTATTCGTTTTATAGGGATGTGGGTTAGAAAAGTAAGAAGAGGCTTTTCGGTCGCTGAGTTGAGGTGAAGGTGTATGATTGAAGGAGAAGAGACGTTCCACCAAATCATTGAAACTTAAACGGCATGGAACAATTGACCCTGATCGCAAATGGTCTTGGCGATGGGTCAGATTTCGAGGCCGATGACAGCAGGTGCGCCAATCTGACTGAGAATGATGTCAGTGATGAAGAAATCGATCCAGAAGAACTGGAAAAGAGGATGTGGAAGGACAGAATAAAGCTAAAGAGATTGAAAGACCGCCAGAAACTTGCAGCCCAGCAAGCTCTAGATAAATCCAAACCCAGACATACATCCGATCAGGCCCGAAGGAAGAAAATGTCCAGGGCTCAGGATGGGATCCTGAAGTACATGCTGAAGCTGATGGAAGTTTGTAATGCTCGCGGATTTGTGTATGGCATCGTACTTGAGACAGGGAAACCTGTGAGTGGAGCCTCTGATAATATGAGAGCTTGGTGGAAGGAGAAGGTAAAATTTGACAAGAACGGGCCAGCAGCCATAGACAAGTATGATGCGGAGGATTTCACCTCAGGGAATGCACAACATAATGGAGAAATTTTCCACTCTTTAATGGGCATCCAGGATGCCACCCTGGGATCTCTCCTGTCCTCCTTGATGCAGCACTGTGACCCGCCACAGCGTAAATTCCCCTTAGAGAAGGGCACCCCACCCCCATGGTGGCCCTCTGGGAATGAAGAATGGTGGACGAATCTGGGATTGCCCAGTGGCCAGATCCCTCCCTACAAAAAGCCCCATGATCTGAAAAAGATATGGAAGGTTGGAGTGCTCACAGGGGTTGTAAAGCACATGTCTCCCAACATTGCAAAAATTAGAAACCATGTTCGGAAGTCGAAGTGCCTGCAGGATAAGATGAGCGCTAGGGAGAGTTCGATATGGTCTGCGGTTCTGAACCGGGAGGAATCTATGGCAAATGCAGGTAAACATGGGATACCTGAACTAACAGAGATGCGAAGAAGCAGTTCAGTAGAAAAGAGGGACAATGGTACCAGTAGCAATAATAAATATGACCCAGCTGGTTTTGGAGATGCTCAGTGCCCTGTGATGTCTAAAGATGATGAGTCTGTGGAGCCATGCCGAGATTCAGCAACACAGGTGAGCTACCCACATGAGAATGGGGATGCTAATGTTCTACAAAACAGTAAGAGGAAAAGAAATCGTGCAAATCTTGAATGCTATGATCAAGGAGCGTCATTGTCGCACCTTGAGAACCAACGAGGTAAATCCGGAGTCAGCACAGACCTGAATCCGGCCCCTGAGTTGACGCGTCATCATCCACACAGTGCTCTGCCACCAACGTATATACTTTCTGCTGTAAGACAGCAGGAAGAAGGGTTTGGCAACCATTGTGTCTCTCCTGATTCTGGGTTGAGCAATGATACTAATAATATCCCTGCTCAAAGTATACGTGCTGGTGATCAGCCCTTGCTATACTCGGCTCTGGGGAATGCTGCACTTGAATCTGGGGATACAATTGGATTCTTTTCCGCATCAGGAGAATGTAGGCTTTCTCATGATAAGGAGCGATTCCCTGGCCCCTTGTTTGATAATCAGCTTAGACCTGGTGATGCTGGAGCTGATGGTGAAAGTCGAGCCTTCAGACAGCCTCCTCCTTTAGAGGGGAGTTCGAATGCAGTTAATGGTGATGCTCATCCCCTCGTTGAGGATGCGTTCAGTAACGGGCAAGATAAGCTTATTGACGGTCACTATGGATCACCCCTTTGTGGGTTTTCCTTGGATTATGGATTCAGCAACAGTCCATTTAGCCTCCGTCTTGAGAACTTTGAAGATTTTCTGCATGATGAAGAAATTATGGAATACCTGGGAACATAGGGGAAAAGATCCTTTACAAAAATCCTTTCATCTATGGTTCTCAGGTACTTCAATAATATATTTTTTTCCATTCAGTGATCGATTTCCTATATTTTTTAAGAGGAGAAGAACTTGAATGACATGCAAACTCTTTTCTCAGGAACTATATTCTTGTTCAAAGTTCTCATTGTAATCTGAAAGAAATTATTGTATGAGTGGCCATGGATGGCTGATCATGTGGCCCCAAATGAGAAAAAATCCTTAATTTATTACATTCGGTGTTCTAATGTTCTAACACCTCCCCCTCCATTTTATTTTCAGCAATTTCCAAGGTTCATCATGGGGTTGAAACATATTCTTGTAACTATGAAGCAGAATCACCATGAAGAATAACCCAAGAGAGATCTCTGCCTTTTTTACGTTTTGTATGCTGTGGTTTTGATAGCTATGATCATCCTGCTTTCGGTTCTATATTTAGAGAATCTTTCGCATGTCCTTCTTCTTGTATTTTTTTAGCAGAAATACGAAGGGGAAATGTCGTACCACCCCAAGAAAGAGGAATGAAATATAAACTGATAGGATATCTTACACCAAATGCTGTCCAAATCATTGAACACTGGCAGAAACGAAAATGGAAACCTTGAATCCCTTCAATGTGTTTTGTAGTTATTAGTCATGTTCAAAGACTACTTGATAGTGATTTTTCTTTAATTCGTCTTGTTTACAGCTCTGAGGAATGAATTATTTCCGCGGCAAGTACAGCATGGGTATAAGTAGACCAATGGCATTTTTCAATTTTTCTACAGCCCCAAATATGGGGGAGAAAATTAATTTTCAGACAACCATTCGTTGGCTCATTGTTTTTATGCCCCAGAAAAACAAATACAGGAGGTGAAGAAAAAGTCTGCAACGCCCCCTTTCCTTTCTCTGTCTGTTGCCTCTTCTCTACCCCAGGAAGGGAACTAGACATGGTGACTACCCCTCGGAAAAATCTCTTGATTTAGCTGTTTTTTTTTTATGAAAACCGAAAGTAGCTGAAGAAAATCCATGGAAACATCATTTTGATTCCTGAAACCCCAACCCCCCCCCCTCTCTTTGTCATATTTTTTTACTTCATTTGCTCAAGGGATTCCAGACAGGAATTTCTCTTTTCTTTTCTTTTTTAATTTGGTATCCCTTGTATTCATGGCACAAGAGTTCTATATTTTTTGGGGGGAAACAAGAAAATTTTTAATATTCTCTGTGTTTCCCTGACATATATGATGCATCACTGCGTAGCCGTCATCAAGAAATATCATAAGAAATTCATAAGATATTATACAGCTCTTGAGCTTTGACTCTTCAACCAGATCTAACTGAGTTCTCAGATTCTGAAACACAGACCATTAGTTGACACTGCAGGGTTCTTGCTTCCCCTGTGCCTAATACTGTCTGACCATAATCTAAGCAGCAAATGAGGTTTTTATGCCCCTTTTAAGATAGATAGATCTAGAGAGAGAGAGAGAGAGAGAGAGGGCCTCTAGCTCCACATTGCTGAGGTCAGGTGTATAGATCAAAAGGTGGGAGGTATCTGGGTACAAAGAAAATGACCTTTTGCTTTTATAGAAACCATCTATGAACAGGGGCAAGGTGTGTGACTGACTACCCCTTGAGACTCTCTGGAGGAACCCACTGTTCTTGTGCTCTAAATTGTTCGAGCTGGTCCCCAGATATTTTCTAGTGGGCTTTCTTCATTCACCATTGTACCTATCTGTCTGATGGGCAGAAGAAACAGGAGCTATCACTAGTTTCTCCACGAGCAGCTTCACCCATTGGTTGCCCATGAGAGGAGAACACAGGATGCCAGTGATGCCGGAATCATGCCACGTCAATAGCCGGCCGCCACATCAGCATGTCGCCATGTGGCAGCCCTGCCCCCTATCTTGCTGTTAATTATGCTGCCATTTTTTTCCCTTTTTTTTTGGGTATCAATGTAAGAATATTCATATGATCCTGGAAACCAAAAAAGGGTCTCTTTTATGCCATTTTTTTCATTGAAAACAAATTATTTCATTTAATTTTTAGTGAAATTAAACTGCAAGCCGCCGATGGCCTCTTCTCTTTGCGCAGAAGCAGATCCAGCCATGCCACTTGAGATGGAGCTGGGTTGCCACATCAGCGAGTACCCATGTGGCAGACTCTCTGATTCGATAGGCCCAGTGTTGACGTGGCACAAAATGTGGCATCTGCAAGCATCCCCTCTTCGGCCTCTCCACGTCATGGCCTGGCCCACGATGCTGCATGGCCGGCCCGGGCCCGGGCTCCCTCAAAATCCCACCTATGTAGGCTCCAGCCCATTTCCTCCCTCTCTCTCTCTCTCTCTAGAAATATGTATAATCCTGGGCTCGGGTGGGCTTGATCGCGCTGGGGCCCGAGCCCGTTAGGCTCCCCTTGGTACTGATGATGTGGCATCCAGGGTTCTGAAAAAATGTAGTAGCTGTTAGAGGATATATCCGTAAAAGAACAAACCAATATGCAGTCCGGTCGACCTTACGATTTCCCCCAGGAGACGATTGATGGCGTCACCTGAGCCTCCGTCTGAAGTCGCCACGTACCCTTCCTTACGTGGCGCCACCTCACCGGCGGCCGACGTACGGATCCAGCCGCCGTGGAGGCGAGGGCCGCTGACGACGGCGTCCGGAACCACCTGGCAGCTACCGGGTGCACGACCCAGAAACCGACACGTGTCGCCGCAGAGCGACGCCGCCGCCTCCCCCTGATGCCGTTGCGACCTGCACAGTCTGAGTGAGCTCGACGCCCACCACCATCTCCTCCGGCGGCGCCCCACCTCAAAAAGGCCTCCTCTTTTTCTCTCTCTTCTCACTCCCCCTCAACCCATTTCCTCCGCCGCCGCCGCCGCCGCAGCCCTCTCCCCCCCACTTCCCAACTCCCGAAGCGCCGCCGTGTCGATGCCCACCAACGCGGCGGCGGCGGCCGCCACCGTCTTCCTCGCCGCAACCCTCGCCGTCTCCATGGCCCTCCTCCCGCCACCGCCGTTCCTCTCTCCCACCACTGGTTTAACCGGCAAGCTGCTTCTTCTTCTTCTTCTTCTTATTCTTATTCTCTCTCTCTCTCTCTCTCTCTCTCTCTCTCTATCTATCTATCTTCTATCTATCAATCTATCTATCTATCTAAGATACCCTTTCCTTCGGTAACGTGATCTCTTCTTCTCTCCTCAGGTCTGACCGCGAAGACGGCGCAGGTCATCCTCTCTCTCTCTCTCTCTCTCTCTCTCTCGCTATATATATATATATATACCTTCTTTGCAGTGTGATTACGTGGTGCTTCTCATGCAGGGTTCACGTCGGGAGCCGCCGCAGCAGCAGCAGATGACGACGGATGGCGGCGGCGGAGATATGCCGTTGTCGCCGCTTGCCCCGTTGACTTCGGCGAAGAGGCAGGTCCCCACCGGAGCAGACCCCATCCACCACAACCGGCGACCTCCGTCCCTCCGCCGCCGTCGTTTTCCCTGAGAAAGAGAAGGAAAATGGCGGAGCTGCCGCCGCCTTTTCTTCAAACGTTTGACTTTTTGGATCCATAACCCGTCATTTCTGCCGTTCTGTCCATTAAAATCTCTTCATATTATCGTCGCCTTCGTCTTCGAGGCCTCCATATTTTCTCCAAGCTGTTCATGGTGCTAGGGTTTCTCTTTCTGACGGTCTCGAGGAAGAAGACCCGTGATGATATTGGGCCGTTAATGGCCACATGAGAGTGGGACTGCTTGCATGGGCCCAAATTGAGCATACAACTGGGCCGGGTGAGGGCCTGTAAATAGTTGTCTGCCCAAAATTCCGGCCCAGTATGATGAAACAGAATCTTGTAAGCGTTTGGTGACGCTGAGGGGGGAAGGGGTTGAAGTGAGGAATTTTCCGGAACCCGAATATCTCCTGCGAAATCTGATTCGGCCCATCTAAACGACCGACGTCCGTATGTCTATCTCATCCATTTTGATCAGTGTCGGCTGTGAATGCGACCCCTCTCTCTCTCTCTCTCTCTCTCTCTCTCTCTCTCTCTCTCTCTATCTATCTATCTATCTATCTCCTCTCCCCCCTCCTCCATCAGCTAATAGGCTTTCAACTACGACCAACGACCGATGAGTGAGAAAGTTGTAATCGTAAATGATGATAATCCATCAGGGTAGGCCCGTTGTGTTGTGTTTATTGTGATTATCAGGTGAGAGAGAGAGAGAGAGAGAGAGATGATGCCGAGCCGGATAATCGTATCAGTTACCAGGTTTTACGAACCAAACAGGAGATTATCGGTATGGCGTTGACTAAGAAAGCCCCGACCTACCAATCGAACGCTTCGCTTTCCGACACAAGATACAATTTCCCCTCTCTACAAGCATACCACCTCTACAGGCGTACAGTCTGACTTTCACGCTCATCCACAAGCGCCATCTGACTTTTCCCCACATTTATCTCCGGCTTCCAGAATGAGAGGCGCGCGTTTTTGAAGAGGTAAATGTCAAAGCCACACTTGTGTCGAACCCCAGAACTCCTTTCACCAACGTCAAGGCCACGCGGGTCAAACATCCTTCCTCCGGTGGACCCGCCACCGGCGGCACAAGAAGGAGAAGACTTCCGCCGCCGCCGAGAAGAGAGGCAATGCAAGAGAGAGGAAGACGATGGCAGAGAAATCAGCGCTTTCGGTTAATCAAATGTGTCTATTTTCCATCTATCCACGAAGATTCTATCTGCACATCCCCCTTTTCTTCAGAAAAAGAGAGGCTTTGATCTATTTTTCCAGACAGAATCTCCTCCTCCTCCCCCCCCCCACACACAACTGAAGGAGCAGCGACGATGGCGACGCCTGTTAATTCCTCTCCCCCTTGGCCAGCTTCAGTCCTGCCTCGGGCGAGCAACCCAGAGGGAGCTCAGAGCTCGGAGCCGGTGGAAGTACTCAGCAATGGCGAGGAAGCACCGGGCGGCCTGGCGGATGGTAAGGATGTGGTGCAACCGGTGGAGCGTCTGCTGCCTCAGATTATCCGCCTACACCGCAGGTAAATATGAAATATCCGCGACTTTAGTCCACATAGGAGAAATATAATCTTATATTTCCATAGTCTTCAATCATGTCGGAGGTCAAAGAGGAGAAACCCATCTCGGAGAAGCCATTGAAATGCAGAACAGGAGAGGATTTGGGTGGATCAGATCACCTGTCGGACGAAGCCTTCGAGGGTGGAGAGCTTGTTCATGGCAACGGCCATCTGACCCATGTAGTTGGCCATGTTGGAGGGGGCGCTAAGCTCGTCGGAGGCGATGGTGTCGGAGAGCGACTGGTGGAGGGCCTCCAGGCCCTGGCTTAGGGCGTCCTCCGTCTCGTGGGTTGACGTTCTCAGCGCGTAGATCGCCAGTATCTGCTGCTCGGTCAACGGCTCTATGTGGCTCACCAAAACCTGCACATCAAGCAAACCATCGACGGAAGATTAACCAACCGGGTGCTCTGAAGAGAAACCTCTCTCTCTCTCTCTCTCTCTCTCTCTCTCTCTCTCTCTCTATCCCACAGAAGACTCAGGATGGGTCCGGCGACTCCCACCTGCTCCGTTCGCAACTACTGTTTCAGAGAAAAGGATGGGACGGACGCAAGAGTCAACGCCCGGGAAACTACTGCCCATTTCTACGGTTGATTATATGGTCCATGACGTCATCTAGTTGACTTTACCTGAGGAGCACACATCCTAGGAGTCCGATAAGCTGAGCTCACCACGTGTACGGCCGGATGGTATTGGGCCAGATTCCGCAGGAACCTCTGTGTGAACTACGGGAAGCTAATCCCACTCTCGGGATATTTATCAACACCACCTACTACACTTGCTGCTACGGAGTTTCTCTCTCCTGATCGTTCCCACTTCCCTCGATTTCGCCTCCGGCCAAGACGAAGGTCGTCGGAGGACGTTAGGGTTTTGACGAAAAGGGTGAAGGAAGGGAGCTTGTAGGAGAAGGATGGAGATTAGGGTCTCAGGGCAGACCTTGATGAGGTCGGAGGGACGGAAGCCGCCCAACCACATGAAGCAGCGCTCGGCGGGGGTCAACCACATGCCGGAGACGAGGTGGAAGACGTCGGACTTGGCGGCGATGGCCTTGAGAGCCATCAGTTGGTCGAAGTGGCCGAGGCCGCCGTCGACGAACATCTTTAGCTCCGTCTCCGGCAGATGCTCCTGCACCGCCGCCCGCAGGTCGCACATCAGCCGGTGGTGCTCGTCCAGCCACCTTGCGTACTCCATGTCGAACATCGCCGCTTCTGCGTTAAAACATGTTACAGATGTTACATATCATCCCATCTTCAGAGAGAGAGAGAGAGGATTCTGGTTAGGGTTTGGGTTAGGGAATTGCCTGAGCTGATCACGCCGATAGTCGACGGAGGGCCTTGCTCCCCCAGGACTCCGCCGGAGAAGAACCCGCCCTAGAAACCGATCGAGGAAGGCTGCCGGAGTTAGCCCAAAGCAAAACATGGAAATAGGATTTTAGAGGGAGAGAGAGAGAGAGAGAGAGAGAGAGAGAGAGAGAGAGAGAGAGGGAGCTCACCGGCGTCCTCGCCCTTTGCAGCTCCTGCTCCAGCTGAGTGAGCTTTATCCTGCTGGACTCCAGCTGCTGGATGTAAGCCTGCGGAGAGACCAAGAGAGAGAGAGAGGAAGAGAGAGAGAGAGAGAGAGAGAGAGAGGGAGAGGAGGAGGATAAGACCACCATGACGCCATGGATATGGAGCTTTGTTCGTCGGAGGATTGACTTACCTTCTTCCTGAGTCTACTCTTCCTCGCGGCCTCCCTGTTCTGAGCGAGCCTTCTGAGTGTCTAACCCACAGATGACCCAATCAGATTACACAGAGCAGCTTGGGGCCCGGAGCGTCTGCTCCACGAAGAACAAAGTCGGCCTCTTTGCAGAGAAATCATTTGCTACCCCCCCCTCGGGGAAGAAATGGCGGCTCACCTTTGGGTCCGGCGTCTTCGGGGTCTCGTGCTCCGAGCTCGACGTAGAGCCCTTCTTGCTCCCTTCTCTCTGAACCAGACATTTTCCGTCGTCATCGCCATGGAAAGAGATGGAGATTACATGGATGATGAGTATGAAACGGGCTGAGAGATATGCATGCCTTCAGTGAAGGCTTGACATCCTTCCCTGGGTCGGAAGCGGAAGGAGGGTTCCCCGGCTCCATTGCCGGTAGTGATGATCTCTTCGATAGGCTTGACGCCGGCGATGCTATGCTCAGGCCGCCCTGGAAGCAGTCCGCTAGGTCATGGAGAGCGGGGATAGAGAGAGAGAGAGAGAGAGAGAGAGAGAGAGAGAGAGAAATAGAAGAGAGAGAGAGTTGAAGTCTGCGTACCTTAGCGGACGGCTCTACATGCATAGGTTGGGAGGGGAAGATGTTCAAAGTCTCTGCATGTAGAAATCAGTTAACGCGTTAAATCTCCTGGGGCATGCAACTGGTGCAACTAAGAGAGAGAGAGAGATAGAAGAGAGAGAAAGAGATAGATAGATAGAGAGAGAGAGAGAGAGAGGGAGAGTTCTTCGTCGGGCAACTGAGCCCTCGAGAGAGAAGAGGGTTATTAAAAAGAGGAAGAAGAAAATCAGAAAAGAGGAGAAGAGGAGAGAAGGAAAGGGAAAGGATGATCAGAAATCCGGCCCGTACGGACCCTCGAGGAAATGATGAGGCTGCTGGAGAGCTTCTCTCACATGGAGGCTGCACCAGATAAAATCCGGTCAAAACGCGGTACGATGAGATCTGTTCGCCATGATCTCCTCATGACCCTCCCAAAAAAGTTTGACCGGGGAAGAATCCCCCCCCCCCCCCCCATGGCGGTCCAAACTCCTCCGATCGATCGTCCTCCATAGAAACAGACGCAGGAAAACCGCAGGAAGAGACGCAATTCGAATGATCCGATTCAACTCACGTCTTTGCTCCCGACCGGCGGATCGCTCCTGCCCCTCCAGATAGAGAAACAAAGCCTGATCAAGCTCTCCCATGTCGTACCCTCCGGCGAAACCCGCCTTGTTCCTGCCACCAAAAACCCTCATCAAGAACCCTAAAAATCCTCTCCCTCTCCCTCTCCCCTCCTCGCCGGAATATTCCCCCCCTCGGAGACCAATTCACCCCCTCCCGGGAGTCCCCCTTACATCATGTTACCGGCGCCGGCAGCGGAGGAGGAGGAGGAGGAGGGCTGAGCCCCCCCTCCGAAGGCGATCTGCGGCGGCGGGTTGGGGCCCCCTCTGCTCACCATGCGGCGGCGCCGCCTCCGAGAAGCTCCCTTCGTCCTCTCCCGGGCCCGTAGAAGATGCCCATCAACGGTGCAACCGACTTCTCCTATTCCCTCCCATCCCCACTCCTCTGCAACAGCAGAAAGGGAAGGCTGAAGACGAAGGGGGAGGAGGTTGAGGCAACGCCGTATGGTGGGGACCAGATAAGGCCGGCGGAGAAGCAGGGCTACCCCTGCCAAATAGTACTTTAACTGTGCAACAGAACGCGGTATTCTACAGCGGTTTTCTAAATATCTAAATGACCATTATACCTCTTCAAACGTCGACACATCTCGACGAGTATTAATAACTCTGGGGGAGTTGTGGTCATTTCCTATTGTTTTGTTGTTGACGTGTCCATGACCTCGGCGGCGACGAGTCGCAGACCGACACGTGGACGGGTGGGTGTTCTCACTAGGTCAGCGCCACCAAACGGGCTTTCTGCCCGCCACGTCCCGTGTTTTCCCGCCGGCGGCCGCCACCGTCAGCTCCCGAGGGCGAGTCGGTGGATCGTCACTCAGATCGCTCTGGAGCCGTCTGATTGGTGGACTCACTCTGATCGAATATTCGATATGGATGCCCTCGACAGGTCGCTGCCTCCCCAAAATATTTGGCGGCGTAGGTTGCTAAATTTTACTTCCTAAAATATTTTTTAAAAAAGGATGAAAAAGATAGTCACTTGCGCTGAACCTCCCTACGATTGAAATTGTGATTTGGGCTATGTCTGTTGCCACGTGGATCTCCGCAGGACGAACGGCCCTAGCCCATGCCGCCTAGCTTGATCTAAAGTCATACCACTCCATTCCCGTCAAAAATATTTTTATATATGTTTTCATGTAGATTTTTTAAATAATAACCAAGTACATTAAATATTTTAATAATATATCCAGTCATTGCCCTGTTTTCTTAAGCTCGTGATATATCATAAATGTTGCACCACCCACTTTTATCTCTCTAGCCTCTCCCTCCCCTCCCCTCTCTCTCTCTCTCTCTCTTCATATATATATATATGTTTGTGTGTGCATTTATACAACTTTTTTAGTAAATATATATCGTAATTTTCTCTACAAATTATCCCCATGCAGAAAAAAAAAAACAGAATAATAAATGTTTTGATACGGAAAAGCCGGGATTGGTTGCACCACCCACTTTCAATTCTCTATTCTCTCTCTCTCTCTCTCTCTCTCTCTCTCTCTCTTCATATATATATATATATAGTTAGATATGTGTACAATTTTTTAGTTAACATATATCATAGTTTCTTTGCTAAAAATTATCCCCATGTACACAAAATAATAAGTGTTTTGGTACGGAAAAGTAGGGATTGGTTGCCCACCTTATACACCGTCCCTTTTATATTCCTGCGTAATATAATAATCAAGGCGTAAGTTATTCCAAATCCCATCGTCATTATTATTAGAGAACACCAGACCTGCTCTTACGCGGGGGGTTAGGTGCATCAGACCGCACCAAATTATTTATAAGGTTTCGTAATTTAGAAGATAATATGGTTTTCAGCAATAATTTTACATAGTTGTCTTGATACAACTGCCGCGTACTGTCCATGCGTGTAGGAAAGAAATGGAATACGTCGAGGTTTCCTGCTCCTGTCTGATCTGGCGAGCGCGAAAGTTTTCCCGCGTCATGCCACGTCACAGGGGAGGGCGCGAAGCGTACCGCCGCCCACGTGTACATCTCCCGAAAATAAATTTAATTAAAGGCGTACTGATTTTTGAAATAGCGCACGTGATATTATAGGCAGCCCATTTTAGGCCCAAACATCGTAGACAGCCCAATATCTATAGCGCACGTGCATCACAATCATGGCCTCGCACACTTACAACGGATCTTTATATAGTGACGTGGAAAACAAAACAGGACAATGACAATAAATTAGTCAACGAATAGACAGTTTCGATGTTCTACGTCCAAATTGCGGTTCGATCCACGTAATTCAACGAGCAAGTGGTTTGAGACGACTGCGTCTCGACACGAATAGTCTGACACGTACGCGACACTCCAAAAATCGTTGACATTTCTCACCGTTGACCTACCATTACATCAGTAGCTATCTACGGTGCTCACGCCACCGCATAAGAAAACCCCGGACAGTCAACGTCGGCTCAATCTCCCCCGGGGGTGGGGCCCTTTTCTTTCGCCGCGTGTCGAGATGTCGCCGCTCGTTGGTGGCCTGTCAAATCTACGTCCTCCCGGTTGCACCGGCGACTACTGGCGGCTCCCGAAGAGAACAGCCGGTCAGCAATGCAGTCCAGGTGCACCCCGCCCCCTGTCGGTCAGCACCTCCCCGTTGGAAGAGGAACTGACGTGTATATTCCAGTGCAAGTGGGCTCGCCGGTCAACTCCGACGAGATGATAAGGTCTCCAGAGTGCGAGAAGCTCTGGCGGCGGTATGCCTCCCACCGCCACCGTCGCCGTCACCGTCACCGTCGTCGTCACCGTCACCGCCAGCGTCGTCGTCACCGTCGCCGTCACCGTCGCTGTCGCCGTCGCCGTCCCCGGCAGACGGTGAGCTTCTGTTGTTGATCCTTTCTGGGCCGGCAGCCGAAAGGTCTCCTGAGTAGACGGCCCCTATTTGTATATTTATTTACCTTTTTTAATTCCCCGCGATGGCAATCTGTCGGGGCAGGGAATTTTTTTACTTTTTAAAGGAGATAAAAAAGGGTTAGAGGAGCCGTCAATCGTCGTCACCGGTGCTCGCGGCGACGGGCAACCCCGATGGGCCGTTAAGCGGCCCAAAAATAGAAGATTTTCGGGCTTATTGGGCTCACAGTATCAGACTATTCGGCCCAAAATAGTAGAAGGTCGATTTTCCTTAGCCCAGTCACTAGATGGGCTGGAACTATTTGGGATTTCATCCTATTGGACTCTAAACCAACTTATTATTCTCAATAAGGATCCAATAGCCGACATATTATTGGGCCGGCTTATCCAGACAGTTTTCGGCCGGTGAAAAGGGCAGACCCGTCTTGGACGGACGGTAATTGGGCCGTAAGTGGTCTCGTCGCTGTTCGGAGTAGCGAGGGCTCAACAAGGGCGGGAGCGTCGAGGAGTTCTCGGTCCGGCCCATTAAGGGAGGAAGATCTAACGGTGTGGATATCGTCGGAAATAAACGGTCCTCCTCCTGGCGAGGCTACAATCCAACGGTGGGGAACCGTTGATCGACGCTAGGGGTTCGAAAGCAGGGAAGTATAATAAGCGGCGGAGAGTTAGGGTTTGGGGTCTCGTCATTTCTGCCGCTCCGCCTTCGAGCTCTCCTCATCCGAAGCTGGTTCCGATGGCGCCGACGAGGAAGCCGAGGGTCACCCGCAACCCTGAGCTCATCAGGGGGATCGGCAAGATATCCAAGTCGAAGATGTACCATAAGCGAGGGATCTGGGCCATCAAGGCCAAGAACGGCGGCGTGTTCCCCCGCCACGAGAAGAAGCCAGTGGAGGCGGTTCCTGCTGCGAAGCCCCCCAAGTTTTACCCCGCCGACGACATCAAGAAGCCCCTCGTGAACAAGCGCAAGCCGAAGCCTACAAAGCTCAGGTACGGTGATTATCTTTTACAGTCTTCACATGAGGATATTTTGTCCCAGTTGTATTATACACTAATGTTCCTTTGGTTCTGATTTTTCTTTCTGCTGTTTTGGAAATCAGGGCCAGCATCACTCCTGGAACTGTTCTGATCCTTCTGGCTGGAAGGTTCATGGGAAAGAGGGTGGTGTTCCTGAAGCAACTCCCGTCCGGATTGCTTCTCGTGAGCGGTGAGCTATATTGACTTCCTCAAGCGCAATGAATTATTGTCCTTTTTTTCGTTGTTGTGTTCCTATTTCGACGGTATTGGGTCAGCATTTTCCTTAAATGGAGTTCCCCCGCGACGGTTCATCTATGCTGTTGTTTATGTTTTCATTTTATAACTTCAAGAAGATCATTGAAAAATTTGAGCCATTTTACGTGGTGTTTTATGACGGATCTGACGAGTTCCATTCGATCTTCCGATGCCAATGAGGCAATCATTTGAGAGGAAAGGCAGCTTCAACACTTTTACGTTAGTTTTAAATATAAATTTGACAACTGTTTTCATCTACTCAAAGCCCTGCTTTTATTTCCTCTTTGCGGATTTTGTTAGAACTAGTAATGATGAGCTCTTTTTTAGGAAACTAATGAAGTCTTTGAGATGATTTCGCAGTGATGCTTAGGTTTGTGAGATATCCATACTTACCTTGGGCTGTTCTACTGTGCATCTCCTGACGTGCATTTGCCTTGATTGGTATCCTAATCAGTGGCATGAGGTGACTGCTGTATGGGTGATGCCAGCTACTCAGTTTCGTTACATTCAAATAACATTTTTGGTCCAAGTTTTCTCAGTGATGTGAATCTTGATGACGAGTCTGAGAAATTCCATTCGTTATTATGATGTCAATGAGACATTTGTCTGAGAGGAAAGTCTAATCCAATACTTGCATCCTTACCTTCTTTTTCTCTCTCGAAATGAGAATCTCTAGTGATTTTTGTTTCATAATCTTCTTCGGATGCTCATATCTCCCCATGGATGTCTCTTTCTTCCAAATGATTGAGCCAGTTCATTTGATGGTTTCATGATGACATTTGATTAGTGGGACGGCTTCCAGATCATATTGCACAATATTTTCCCCAATATTTGGTATTTTTTCAGTGTTTTTCGTTTTAATGTGCTGGGGATTTTGTGGCAAACAAAGAACTTAAAGATCTCTGGGAGAATCAATAGTTGCTTCGTTGTTTTATATGTTTTGTGTTCATTCTAATGATCTTACCGTGGTTGGCTTTTCTCAGTGATGTTAACTTTGATGACGAGTCTGAGAAATTCCATTCACTATCATGATGTGAATGAGGCATTTGTCTGAGGGGAAAGTCAACCCCATTTTCTTCTGTATTTCTTACTATTTTTGGCAAACGCGCCTTTCTAATTTCTAAAGGTGTTTTGCTTCTTATTCTTTCATTTTCAAATAGTATTCATGATTTCTTAATCTAATTTTATGAATAAACGATATTTTTAAATGAACCAAACGTTCTGTGATTTCGTGAATGAGGAAAGTCAGCCTTATTTTATTTTTTTGTTAATTAATATTCGATACCTCTATTTTTATTTCGGTGTTGACTTCTAATATCCTGCCATTTACTTCGAATAGTATTGCTTTCTTAGTCTCTTTTGTTTTCTTATACACTGTCCCTATTTTAATGATATTGCTTCAGAAAAATTCTTACCCACCTTCTCATTTTTCGACAGGCCCCTTCAAGGTCAACGGCGTCCCGCTTAGACGTGTCAACCAGGCCTACGTCATCGGGACTTCCACAAAAGTTGACATTTCCGGGGTCAACGTCGACAAGTTTGACGACAAGTACTTCTCCAAGGAGGTCCAGAGGCAGAAGAAGAAGAAGACAGAAGGAGAGTTCTTTGAGGCTGAGAAAAAGGTTCGCTTGATCCAAATCCAGACAATTTAGTCAACTGTTTATTTTACCATCTTTACTCATACCGGCTCTCGCTTTCTCTCTTTCTCTTTCTAAACGCAGGAAGCGAAGGCCTTGCCTCAGGAGAAGAAGGACGACCAGAAGGCCGTGGATGCCCCGTTGATAAAGGCGATAGAGGGAGTCCCTGAGCTGAGGGCTTATCTCGGTGCCAGGTTCTCGCTGAGGGCCGGAATGAAGCCGCACGAGCTTGTTTTCTAGGGGGATGCGTGCATGCGGAGCACCGTTTAGACTAAATTGTTCAGTTTTGCATGAAGGAGACCAGCGTTTTCTCTCTATCTCCTCTCTCTCTCTATCTCTCTTACTGGTTTCATAGTATGTCAGGCCATAGAGCACCGCTCTCCAGGATTGATCATGAAATCTCATGCTATTTTTTCCTTTTGGGTTCTGCTTATGTGGGATGGCAATTCTCTCTCTTTCTCTCTCTCTCTCTAGTACTCTCTAGAGTGGATCCGTTTTCATAATGTTCTGCTCTCTCTCTCTCGCCCTCTCTACCTCTAAATAGACGCACAGGGAGAGTCGTCTACAACCTCTCCCCTTCTGGATGGAAGCGGATCCACACTCGAGATTGGTGGAGAGACTGATAGAGAGAGCCCTGATGGAAGCGGCTCCACCCTCTGTTCCCTCGCCTTCTCTCTCTCTCTCTCTCTAGTCTCTGAGTAGGTTCGGCGAAGAATGAGGCCAACCACCCCACTTACACTCGCGGCGAAAAGGTAAGAGCGGGAGTGACCTCGTGGAGAAGTTTAATTCTTGGCCAGCAGGGCGCCGGGGCCTCTCACCAGCCCGCGGCCTCTGCCGCCGCCAGTGGGCACCTGCACACCATGCTCATCTAGAGAGAGAGAGAGATGTGTTAGAGTGAGAGTAGAGAGGAAGTGTTAGAGAGAGAGAAAGGTTTTAGAGAGAAGGAAAGAGTTGCTAGAGAGAGAGAGAGAGGTGTTAGAGTGAGAGAAGGGAGGGAGTGTTAGAGAGAGAAGGTTTCAGAGATAGAAGGAAAGAGTTGCTAGAGAGAAGAGAGAGGGAGGTGTTTGAGAGAGAAGAGAGGGAGTGTTAGAGATAGGAGTTGCTAGCGAAAGAGAGATGGAGAAAGGGAGAGGAGGAAGGAAAAACGTCAGTGGAGCAGTGGGATGATTGAAAGGGAGCGGGTAGTGCCCGCCAGCCCTCCCTCTCCATCTATTTATCTCTCTATTTCTCGTGATTAACTTCCTGAAAACCATCAATCCCATCGATCAAACACCCAGTTCACGAAGGCAGCCCCCCCGCCATAATCGCTTCACACCTCGTCAGCTCTACCCTTTACAGATCAACTGGTGGGTCGAGCCTGCGGGAAATGCTCCTCATATCATAATACCTCCCCCCCCCCCATCTCTCTCTCTCTCTCTAGAGGCCGCTTTAAAAGGCCCAGGTGAGAGAAAATGCAGAGAGAGAGAGAGAGAGAGATGGACGAGTCATGGAGGGTACCCATCGGATTGGTGGTTCCTACCCGGAGGAGGTACCCGGAGCAGACAACGGAGCTTGGCGGCGGCCTGGACGCCGAGGACTTCCTCGACGTCTTCGGGGGGCCGCCGCCGACTTTTCTCCGCCGCCAGTTCTCAGGCGGCGGCGGTCTTACGTACACCAGCTTTTCTTCCCCCACTTCTTCCTACGGGCTCCACCATTCTCCCTCCTTCTACGATGAAGTGTTCCGACAGCCGCCGTTGACCCCCCCCCCGCAGGCCACCAAGGCCGGCCGGAGGCTGCCGGACTTCACCATTCCCTCCGCCGTCGAAGTCAACTGCAAGTCGGCGTCGGAAGTCTGCGCCGACGACGACGGCGGCCTCTCCTCCTTCATGTGCAAGCTTAGGTGGGCCGCTCGATGCCACCGCATTTGATGATAAAAATGGATAAAAAAAACGATGGGTTTCCATAAAAATTCGATCTTTTTGAAAAAATGTCGTGGGTTCTGATTTTTTTTGTACTACTTTCCGCAGACCCATCGCCGTCCCAGCTCGGAGGGGAGACTGGGCATCGCCGCCATCGACGGGCGGCAGCGGCGGCCGGAGCTCCGCCGCCCCATGCACTCACCTCTGCTTCACGCACCGCCGCCCCGTAGGCTGTGCCGCCGCGGTGAGGGTTTTCGATGCCTGCGTCCGCCTCTTCCGCCACCACCCCTCGCCGGAGACGGCGGCGGATTGGCGAAGCTGCGCCGCCGAGGAAGAGTCCCTCGCCGATGGTGGCAACTCCCCCTTCTCTGTGATTTCCTCTGTCTACGACATCCCAATGGCGACGATAAGGCCAGTAATGCCCCACGAGGCAGCTGCGCTGGGGGGTTTCGCGGCGGCGGCGGAGGAGGAAGAGCAGGCGGCGGGGAGGTCGTACGTGATTGAGGTCAGCAGCGGCGGAGAGGCGGCGGGGGCCGAATGGTGGGCAGCGGCGTTGGACGACGCCATCGCCTGGGCGAAGGAGAAATCCCGGGGTTGACCGATCGCCGCCGCCTCTATACTTCTCAAATATATGAACTTAAGTTTGAGGCCGATGTTTACAAAGCTTGAGTCTCAAATTCAGCTCCACTTAAAAAGCATCGTAATTTTTCTTGGTCAACTCTTCTCTGGGATGAGTCGTTGACTCCCTTCACTTGTGCTGGACGATGTGATGATGGCCTGCCACATCAGCCGGGTCAACGCAGGCTGATGATCGGTGGGTTGAAGATGGGTTCAGACCGAACCCAGATGGGCAATTTGCTCTACTCTTTCATCAATTAGGTTGTTCGATCGCCATATTAAAAAGTTGGATCTGACCTAAACAAGAATTTCTGAAAACTATAAACCCAAGTTTGACCCTCAAGTTCAAGCCCAATTAAAGGTCAGATCATCTTATTTTTCTTCGGATGAAGGAAGCATGCAGTCTGTTTTCCAAGTCAACCTCTCTCTCTCTCTAGAATACGTGGTACCTCCAAAGGGGGACGGTCTCAACCTGAACACAGGTGAGGGGCAACCTCCTAATCAACGCATTATATCTGATTGGGTTTGATCTGAGATTTCATCTCGTTATCACTCAAATAATTTTGGCTTCAGCCAGGAAAACTTATCATCAGCTTGTCATATAGGGTTAATCCCTGTTATGTGATCAAAATAATTATTTTTCAAAAATGTATGAACCTAGGTTTGACCTCGGAATTCAAGTTTAATTAAAAGCATCCTAATCTTCTTTACATAACGGGAGAATGCAGCTAGTTGACTCTCTCTCTCTCTCTCTAAGATGGGTTTATGTAAATAGAGTCAAACCGGTGGCATCGCAATGGGAGATGGGCTCAAAATTCACACAACCAATGGGTCAACCCCCTTCAGATGGTCTGGACTGGCCATGAGCGGGGGATCGCCACATCAGCTGGGTCACCATGGGTTAAGAACTAGGGTGGGCAGCCGGTGGGGCCCACCAGTCAACGGCTATGGGCGGGTCGGTGCAATGGGCTGGGTAGAGGTGGCCCACCAGAAGCTAACGGAGAAGCTGGGTGTTAGGGATCTCACGTAGTGCCACCACTTGGGAGGGATGTAGAGCGCCTCGCCTTCCTCCAAGATGCAGTCCACAAACTGGAGGGCCTGAACATTTGGGAACCTCTGTGGGTCAACGTCGTCAAGATCCACCTGCAGGCACACGACTGTCTCAGAGGCTCATTTCTGTTCCCTCCCCACCGATGGTTGGGGATAGTTTTATGAGATGGAATTCCAGATATGTGTGTGTGTATGTGTGAGAGAGAGAGGAGAGAGAGGAGAGAGAGAGAGAGAGAGAGGTACCTGGCTGGAATTGCTTAGCATTGTCTCCGTATAAGGGTACAGCTCAGCAGAAATGGAAGCCGGATAAAGCCTTACATACTTCCTTCCAACGACCTGAAAATTTTCAAATCCATAACGTCAAAGAAATCAGCAACCACAGGTAGGTCCTCCAGCATAGAAATTCAACCAAGTAAATAAATAAAAATTAGGAAATTTAAATGGAGATCACATGCTCTGACCTCAGTTGCTATTATCCGCTTTAATCTCAACAAAATAGATACCTACTTCTACATCTGGGCATGATTTTAATCACATAATTGGCGGTATGGGACTATTTTAATCAAACTACCTATGAAGAAGATTATGTACCTGGGCAAGAAGATTATGATGCGGATCGTGATGCAAAGGAGTCACAGTCCCAGCAGGACCAAACCAAGCATTGATAGACTGGATCTCGCCTCCGCCAGTGAAACAGTAATCGGGAACCATTATGTCATTTCTCAGCTCTTGGACCTGAAAATATCACCAAACTCGTAACCAACAGCGATGAGCGCAGTGACTGGATTTGTACTGGGCCCCACTTTCGGGAGGAGGGGACACATGGGCACAGAGGAATTCCTACGTGGCAGAGGAGCAGAGTTGGCCTACTCAGGTATGCTTCAGGTAAGGCTTTCTGGTCTACAACGAGCTGGTGTGGGCAGGACTAGGAGCTTCAATCAAGAGAAGCTAGGAGGACAAGGATGACGATACCTGTTCAAATAATGGGTGTTGTGCGAGGTATGTGAGGTTCGCCTTACAGCTCTCTGAAGATAGGATCCTCTCGAGAAACTCAGAGAAAGTGATAAGCTCTTGTTTCCACTCATCGGATAAGTAATTCTTTCCAACCTGCAACACACAAGAAACTTACAGTTTCTGATCCTGAGCTTTCAAACGAAGAGCGATTTCCACAGCACATAAGAACTCTGTGATGATGCTATTACTTTTCTTTTTTGAGTAACATCAGGCTTACTGCATAAAATATGTAGCATTCTTTCATAAATATGCATGAAATCAGCACTTATACTGAATAAAAAATAAAAATGCAACTTATGTAACGCAACATATATGAGATATCATTTATATAATATATATATATATATTATGTCGCTGGAAGACAATAGAAATGAATCATTAATGCACTTTTACACTGAATGGATAAATGCAAGGGTTAACTTACTAAGTGTGATGACCTTTGAAGAAAAATTACCCATTTTGTGCGTCAAAGGTTGACAGTACTACAAGCATCGAGGACATAACACTTGAAAGCCCATCAAACCATGTCTTATGGCTTTTTCCATCGCCCCTGACTCAAGATGATAAGTTGCAATCAGGTAAAAAATGGGTCTAAAATGGTGAGCGTTGAATTGCTCCTCTCTTGCACCAGGTAGGTTTATTCACCGCCCATCAAACAACCCACTTATGGCTTACCATTTTCAGGCTTTACAGAAATTAGTCAACCACGTTACAGTATTCTAAGATTCTAAGAGGACAGAAGGACAACTTGCTGATGGCCAAAAGCAAAATCTTCACAAAAAAACACCACAAGAAAATATAAAAAAAATGAAGGAAAGGCTGGTCACCTCAACAGGAACTGTTCTATCACCAGCAACCTGCTTTAGATATCTAATGTCTTTCCACTTTGTCCGAGCAGGCCAGTGGTCAATGCATCCAGTGATTATAACCGGAGATCCCAGTAGAAAATGGTCACAAAGAAACCTCTCCATAGAGAGGGAAACCTGTCTGTCGACCATTCTAGAGGACAATGATCCAGATGGGAGGACCTGAAGCACCTATGAATCAACAATACAATCATCATTAGCATGGAGGTAAACAATTATTTTACACTACAACATCCGATAATTAGACCATTAAACTAATCTATTGTCGGCCACACCTCAACACCACACTTTCTTACTACTTTCTCATGAAAAATAATGGATTGAGACTCGCATATACATCAAATGGCCGAATTCTTAGCCTGCTTTCAAAGTGAGTTTCAAAAAGACCCTGACAATAGGTCCCTTGATGTTTGTTCCGTACCTAGTTACCTGCTCTTGAAAAACACTCAAGTGCATAGCAAATATAACAAGTTGTATGTTTGTGTCCTAAAAGAGGTACTGCATGATCACTGTCTGCTTGAGAAATAAGGTTCAACTTTTAAGTCATGCAATAAGAGGAAGTGCTCCTATTTTCATGAAAAAATTAATTCTAAAAGACAAACAGATGACAGACTGGAGAAAGCTGAGGACGGAATTAAGTCATTGCGCTCCTTACGGAGTGATCAATAGACACAGTACACTCTTCATAAGAACCCATTTGTGAATGGACGTGATGGACACGAACTTGTGAGAAATTTGAATCACATTATTTGGTTTTCTCAAATGGTTGACTTTTTAACTCTCAACTAAGAATGGACAGGGAAGAACATACAATGTAGCAATGAATGGAACAATGAGCATGATGTTCACCTCAGATAAAAATGCCAAGAAGCATAAAGTTTTAAATCTTCAAAACCAATGTAGGTGAAGAGTTTGGTTTTTCTCATATTAAGATAAAGAGATTTCCTTGAGGAATAGGATTGATATACAGTCAACGTAAGATTTAATGGTCGCACTGGTTTTTTATATACTGTTCTAATATTAAGATAAGGAGATTTCCTTGAGGAATAGGAGTGATATGGAGACAAGGTAAGATTTAATGGTCGTACTCCTTTTTTACATACCTTTGACTTTCATTGCTTATCCGTCCATGATTTTATTTCCTCATAATAATAATGGGATTGATTACAAGAAGTAACGAAATACATCAGATTTACAGTAGCCCCAGATGAAATCTCCAGCAGGTCTATAGTTGACTTAATTGCTCATCCATCTACAACTAATAAGAGGTCCACAAGAAGTTAGTGAGGAGATCAGCCGAAAGATACCGACTCATATTGTTAACCAACCAATGAGGTTCTAATGATTCTAATGATGGAGATATGGTTATCGTCTAGTCTGGATGAAGCCCTTCTGGATTTCTATGGTTATTGATGTGGCATGATGTGGGATGAGCTCAAGATGCAATCACATTGGCGCCTTGATTTCTTCACAAATTCTGGAGATTCATGCGTTTGGTTTGGTTCTACAACTTTATATGGATGAAATAGGATCGGACGAGCAATGGTGTCGAAATGTTTACGATCTTTAACCTATCATAGGTAGATTGTAACAATAGAAAGAAGTTCACCACTGAATCGATACGGCTAGACCTAAAAGAATATGGAAAAAATGATAATTTTCGAAGAATAACCACTCTAAATTTACCTCGGATTGGTTCTGGCCTTTCACATCGTCAACTCCCAGACGCAGCTCACTTACGGATGCCTCGCCGCTCGATCTCTCTTCCCCCTGGGACCTTCCTACAATCTTCCTCACTGCTTCCTCGAGATCCTTTCGAAGGAGCATACCTCCCATGATCAGGCCCATGTCGAGGATCTTCAGAGCCTCCTGGAACTCGCCGGCCGCGGCGTGGAACCCAGCTGCGAGGAGGCACGTCAGGGCATAGGCGTCCCTCCACGCCGGGACGACGCTGTGCCAGGGGCCGGAGTGGAGCTGCTCCCACGCCATCTCCCTCGCGGCCTCCGCCGCCGTGAGGTCTCCTCCCGCCGCCTTCTCCGCTGAGCTCACGAAGGCGAATCCCCCCTCTTCCGATATCCTCTGCAGCAGCCCCGCCACCGGCTCCGACTCCAGCGGCGGCACCGCCACTTTGACCCCGCCGGACGGCGGCCCCGCCTCCGGCGCGGTGGCCGCCCCATCGGGTGGGTCCACCCTCATTCTACGTGGAGGCTCAGCGGAGGAGGAGACAAATGGGGAAGAAAAAGGTAGCCGCAAAAGTACCGAGAAGAAGATTAGTTCCCATCAATCTCGTCATTTTCGGTGAACTTACCGACAATGCGGTCACCAGAATCGGATCCAACCGCCCAGTGAAGCCCATGTTCTCAGCCAAATAAACGCCCGGTTATGTAGCGACGTGGCGAATAGCCATTGGCTGTTATTAGGATTAGTTCCCATCAACGCTGCCTAAGGGAACTCTGCGGTCACCAGAGTCAGACCCGACCGCCCTACCAAAAGCCCATTCTGAGCCCAGGAGATTAGCCACGTGGTGAATATCCATTGGCGAAATTATGATACACAGATAGGTACACGTGGTGAAAAGTAATCGAATCCACGCCATTGGATTGATTATGATCAAGGGATGACATTTTGGCCAGATTTTCGAGAAAAATTGAATCTTTGGCACTCGCAAGCGAAACCTTGTTCCCGCCGATTTCGTTCTTCCCTACATATATCCCGCCGGCGACGGAGGTTGCAAAGCGAAGGTGATCGTCGATCTCTGCAGAAAGGTGAAGGAAGAAGTGCTGCTGCAGGTTGCCTGATGGCTCGGACGAAGCAGACGGCTCGGAAGTCGACGGGAGGCAAGGCGCCGAGGAAGCAGCTGGCGACCAAGGCGGCTCGCAAGTCGGCGCCGGCTACGGGAGGGGTGAAGAAGCCCCACCGCTTCAGACCCGGGACGGTGGCTCTCAGGGAGATCCGTAAGTACCAGAAGAGCACGGAGCTGCTGATCCGGAAGCTGCCGTTCCAGCGCCTGGTCAGGGAGATCGCGCAGGACTTCAAAACGGACCTGCGTTTTCAGAGCACGGCGGTGTCAGCTCTCCAGGAGGCCGCGGAGGCGTACCTTGTGGGACTCTTCGAGGATACGAATCTCTGCGCGATCCACGCCAAGCGCGTCACGATCATGCCCAAGGATATCCAGCTCGCCCGCCGCATCCGCGGTGAGCGCGCTTAGATCAGTCGCAAGTGGAGGCCGAGCCAGATCAACCATCTTGATTACTCTCTCTCTCTCTCTCTTCCCCCCTATTTCTCTTTCTCTGTGCGTGTGTGTAATTCCACTCTCCTTCTCCGATTCGATTGGTTGATCAGGTCATATCATATTTCACCAAATGAAGATCATACCGTTTTGTTCATCATCGTTCTCCGAATCCCTTTCTTCATAAAGGAGAGTAACAATCGTTGAACTCGTACATCCAGTTCTCTGATGAGCTTCTATTGGAGAACTCCACCCACGAGTAGCACGGTCGAAATCTCCTTCCACCTTCTCAGATTTTACGAAGCAGCTCTGTCCCCGGGCGTCTGGCCGGAGAATCCTCTTCCCAGCTTTCAAATGTTGAGAATCTTTCGCTGACTCCAAGGTAACCCTGATGGAGGCCTTCTCTCACTGGACTCGCAATCTTCCTGGAAAACACCTTCGAGCTGATTGACTTGTTATTTCTCCAAGAAGACAGACTGAATATAGAATTGTGAACAAGTTCTCCTGTTAGAGAGATCTTCTCAGAACAGAGATACAAGAATCAAGAACTGAAAAGAGGTAAATCAAGGGAGATACAAGAGAGGCCTCTAGGCCGCATATCTGATTTGATCTTACGCCGCAGCATAAGATTTGATCTGAGATTTCATCCCAACCCACCATATATTCTGACAATTGTGCTTATATGTTTGAACGAATCTTGAGTATGGCTAGAATAAGAGTAGATTACTTGGACAGATGAAGTGTATAGGTGGGTCAATTGACTGGTTGATCAGGGAGTTCTGTTATAATTCGTGATAATAGTGGGTCATCCTGGTTCTCTTTCTGGATGGTGTTGACGCCCCATAACTCGGAATGAGAAGTTCTCAAAGCCTTGTACCTCAATCCATTATGGAAGACGAGACAAGGTATTACCGGAATGAGAGGTCTCTAAAGCTTGAAGTAAATTGTCTTTAATATATTTTTCACAACCTCACAAGCTGCTAATGCCATTGTTTCAAACTCTTCACGATATTCAACTATTGCTCCTTTCTGTCAGACCTCCAAGAATTTCAGACTATTGTTTAATGTTGCTTCTTTTTCTCAAGCTGCCATATTAAATGCTTGCATTTAATATGGAGAGGAGAAATGGAGTGCAAGAGAGAAATTGTCAGTCGGAAGACCAATTTCACGGTCTCAATGACCACCCATTTATGGGCTGCATGGGATATGAAGTGGAACAATGCAGATGGAAGAAGGAAAAATTATTTAGCACATTTCCTAAGGTCACTGAGGTGGCTGTGAGGTGCCTATAAATAGAAGGTCTTTTCTTCTCATTCGGAGCAACTTAGAGTAATCTTTGTTCCACCATAGAAGAAGAGTGTTTAGGAGAGAGCTTCCAAGAAAGATCTTTTGAGTTGGTGAGTACATTAGAGGGCCAAGATCAAAAAAATTGTTCTCTAAATTCTTGAAGAGTGATTCTCTTGTACTACTTTTCGCATCTAATGAAACTTTCATCGTCACCCGTGGATGTAGGAGGTCAACTTCTGAACCATGTAAAATCTTTATATCGGTGCTCTTACTGTGAGTTGTTATTTCTTCTATCTTACTTCGTGTTGTGAACATCACTTCCGTTGAAATCTATATAAGACGTCTTGCTATAACACATAAATGTTGAGCTTACTTTTAGAACATCAAATCGTTCTTGAATAACACTCTTCAAGGGGGTTCCAATTATAGAATGGATCTCTTCAATCCTTTCATTTAAATCATCTCAAAGCACGTCCCTCTAAACTCAAAGTGATCGTCCATAATTCATCATCTTCTAACATAGTAAACATAGAAAAATATAACTCTACTTGATATATCTATCCGTCAAGAACATATTCATAGAATGTCAGTATGTCTAATCTTCTACCTCCATACCTTGACTCTAGATTTATAGGTTGCTAATGTTTTGTGACATTTGGAGGATGCCTTGATTTGTCAAAATACTTTAATTTGTCCTTTTCAATAAAAATTTGTGCTTTCCCATGAAGTTGAGATTTGTCAAAATGCTTCTGGTTCTTTGAAAATTGGTGTTGAGGAATTAAAGAATTCCTCCTCATTCCCTCTTAGAGATTGCACAATAGAAATGAGTTGTTGCTTGATTTTCATCATCTCTTGGGTGTTAGTTGTGATAGAGATAGAATGTTATTGAGAATCATGTCAGGTCTCTTCTAGTCCCCTTTCAAACAATCAAATCGTCCATCACTTGTTTCTCCACTGAGCCTTTGTCTATCTTCTCTATGTCTCTGTCTACGGCTTAGGTGGTGGCCCTTTGCTGACAGTCCATGGCCTTGGAATTAGCTGCCGCTCTGGACATACCTTCCAAATTGTACTTAATCAGATTCCATTCTTGGAGGGGAAGAACCTCATTGAGTTCATGGGAGGTGGGTTGTAAGAAGAGGCATCATTGGCACCAAAGGTGCCTTTCTTTAGAGATTCTTTGCTACTAAGGAACATCATATTTTCATCATACTCATGTTTGTTATGAATTTATCATGTAGATCACATAACGATTTGAGAGACATCAAATGAGCTGATGCTTTGAAGACCATCTCTTTCATTTAATGAACATTTCCAACTACCAATGGCTGTCACATTATCTGTTAGATCAAAATCATCATTTTCACAACTCTTCAACTTGGATGGACCATGCCTCTAGAGAGAGAGAGAGAAAGAGATTGAAAGATGAGTTTTTTGTCATTTACCATTAAAGTAACTTGTTCTCTAACATGATATTTTCTTGAATCTAATTTAAATGATGAACTTATTTTATTAGCCCCATTGGTCTTCAATGTGTCCAAGATAACTTTGTTCTTATTTTCTTTTTTGGGTATGCAAATGAATTTGGTTTTTATGTTTGCTTATAAGTTTTGATCTAGGCTACTTGTCAAAGTTTATGCCTACATGATTTCATGTAGATGATCATGAGGCACAATGTTAACACGAATATATATAGTCAAAAAGACAACTATACACAAAGTGTCATGATATTGATTGTTCAATATCATGTGTAAGTAATGATGACAATCAATTAATGAGGACATAGGATTGATTACTAAAATATAAGAGGTAGAGATAGAATTGATTGTTAATATGATATGTCAGTAATGAGGATAATTAACTATTGACAATCAATACCATGACACTCACATAATTCTTGGTTGTCCTCATTACTTAATAATAATTTATGTATATTTCTATTTTTTCTAGATTTACATTTATGTGTAATATATAATTTTATCATTTGGTATTAAAACAAGGTTCTGATGATATTGAAGAGTAATGAGGTTAGATTTGAACACTTAGAAAAGGAGATGGAAGAGGTAAAGATGTTGAATCATGACAAAGTTTAAATGAGGATGTATAAGTTGTTGAGATCAAGACAAAGTTTAAATTGTTATCATATATTAAAAAACTATAGAAAATTTATTTTGAATCATGGGTCTAATCTTCTAGACACTAAAGGAATTGTAGCAGCTAGATTAGGCAAGGTGACAACTTTTAGAGGTTGAAGAATTAAATTCAATGATGTGGAAAAATTAATTGAAAGAAGAATGAAGATCACATATACAAGAAATGAAGGATTTGAGAACAAGACATACCCATGACTCAAAAACATAAGCTAAGTTACAATGATTGTGTTGAAACCTAAAAAGAGAGACAACAACTAAATATATCATTGTTAAGTAGAGAAAATTAAGATGACTAGATTTTTCATGTGAAATTTTATTTATGATGAATAAGTTGAAAAAAGGGGAAGAAACTTATGATGGTAGGAGTAAGCTTTGAGGAAGAAGCTTTAGTGTTGTTTATGAGAATAAATACCAAAAACCTTGTGGGGAGTCGTAAGGAGTTGAATAACAACTATTCAAAGGATTTAGTTTATCATAAGTAAAAAGTTTTTGGATAAGTTTTTAGACAACTGAAGTACCTTATTAGTTTTTATTATGATATTGAGAAATACTCAAAGAAACTTAAAATAGTTATGACTAAGTAATGACTTTAGTGATATCAGATTTTTCATTATCCTTGGTACTATAGTGAATGTATCTAATTATAGGTTGGGAGTAGTGCTCTTATGACAATGTCAGCCCATTGCATATTTAGGTCATGTATCATCAACTTAAAATTTATCTAATGCAGTGTGCAAGAGGGAATTAATGACAATCATCTTAACAATCAAGAAATGGAACTACTATTTATCAAGATAATATTTCATAATTTATGTTGACTAATTCATTTTAAATTTTATATTGAAGAAATGATGAGTTCATTCAAACATAAAACATAGGTGATAAAAATTATTAGATATGTTTGAGCTACATTTGAGATATGTCTTAAAGAGGTCCCATAGAATAAGGTAGTAGATGACTTAGCATAAATTTCAAAAAGAGTAGGGATGCATATAATGATAATTGTATCTCCTCAAATATTAACAATGTACAAGATTTTAGAAGAAGTTCAAACAAATCTCATATGGAAGACATATATGAAGGTGAAACAAGTCAAATGATATTGAGGGCCATTATTTTCACATGGATGCTATTTACTCATCATTCTTCAACCATTGTCTATAGCCAGCTTAAGTCATCCTCTTAGTAACTAGAGATTTTAGTATGATGACAATAAACAACTAAGACTCTACCTATGTTCTTTATCTTGTTCATGAAATACTGACTGATTCCAAGTCCTTCAAGAAGATCAATAATCTTCTTGTTTGATATTAAGTGATTTATGACATTATTGGTTGGTACTAGTTTTACATATAAATTTGTGGAATGTATCAAGACAACACTAAGATAACACTATGGTTAAGTGAAAATAGAACATAGAGGTAATTGGATCAATATTTTTCAAGCTAATTCAGTATAATTTATAAAAATACTGTTAGAACATTCACTATGGAACCAGCTCAACCCAATATAATTCACTGTCTGTTATAAATATCAGGCCCAATTTATCCTTAATAATGAATTTCATTTTTCCTTTCTCCACCCACTTCTTGACTAACATCAACCTAATGTCTTCTTCTTTGGCAATATTCATTCACTATGAGAAGTAGATAATGACAATTTATATTATTTAGAAAATTAGAAGTTATGTATATATTTTTCAGAAAAAAATAATTTGTGGTCATTAATATGCTAGATTTATTTCAATTCAAGTAACTTTTTCTCAAGACATGAGACAATCTCTGGGCCCACAAGGGTTTTTCTGGGATTACTCATTCATGAGGCCTTCTTTTTCTTCAAAATAGTATTCTACGAGGTTTGGTGAAAGAACATCATAATCTTCTCACAAACTCTTAGTAATGTTCTACCATTTCTCTGGGGAAGTCTCCTCTGATGACTTCGAGAACCATTTCTCTCTCTTAGAAGGTCAACGGTTCATATTCCAAAAGGGAACCTCCTCCTCCTCTCTTCTTCTCTTGCTTGAGCAGTGGACGAGGTGAACCACTTAAATGAGGTTGTGAATGACTGAATTCACAGCACCAACCATCTCAGTGGGAGAAGAGAACCCATCACTTCTCGAATAGAACAGGTGAAGAATCCTGCTCATATTCCAAAATAGATCCTTGCAAGCTCTTGGAATCGTGCTCCCCTCGGTCTTCAATACCAATTCCAGCAGCTCTTCTCTGTTCCTTTCTGCCAAGTGCCTCAGTTCTTCCTTTGCACCTTCCACAGAGAGGGACCCACCACCTTCAAGGACCAACAAGGAGACACTGTTCGGCTTGCCCTCCTTATCTTCTCTCTGCAATAATTGTTGATAGTGATGATGCTATTTCTCATAAGACTAACAGGAGATGAAGAAAATTAATACACAGGGAAATCGCCTTAAAAGCTTGATGAAAAGTTGGAAATCATCAAGGTATAACCCAACGATCGATGCAATCAGAGAACAATTGAACTCATGGAAATGCTGATGCTTTCAAAGCATCTTAATATTTTCAAGCTTCATAATACTTCCAATGCTGTAGAAGAAACTTGTTAATGCAACTAGGAGTAATATAATAAATATTTTCTTTTCTCAAATTTTAATGCGTAAATATAAAGATGAAATCAAACTTTGCACAGTAATAATCTTTGTCTGGTATTAGCTGATTTATGACATCATTGGTGGGTAATAGTTTTACATGCAAAATTGTGGAACATGCCAAGAAGTCAGACAACAACAATAACTATGAGAAAACTATGGTTAGGTGAAAATAGAACATAGAGGTAATTGGATCAGTTATTTCAGGCAAACCCAATATGATTTATAAGAACGCCGTCAGAACATACAGTTTTCATTCCGTCATCTACCTTTTTTTTTTACCCAATTCATCAAAATTGCGTCAAAATTTCAGGCTACTATCTTAAATCTAAGAAAACCAGGTCATGAAGCCTTCAAAACCTCAACAGATGAGATATTCTAGTATGGAACACAAACGCTGGGAGCCAGTAAATGAGCATCATTTTGGCCTTCAAGTTCACACGGGTTCGGCTAATGCTCTTCAATTCAACTCGGTTCACTAGTCAACCCAGGTCAGAATTCGTCTCTCCCTCAGCCAAGTTTGATTGTGCAAGTGTAGATGAACAGACATTAAACCGAGAAATCTAGATCAAATTCATCGGCATTCTTCCTCGAGTAGATTATCAGCTCTAATTTTGTGATGAAAAATATCTAATGCACTAAACCAGAAATGAAATGGAGAACTGCGGGGGGACAGGAACCCACCTCAAAACTTTGCATGTCGTTGAGGAGACGACCACATATGCTCACAAGTTGATACAACTTGCTGTACTCTGGGTCTTCAATGATACCAGGGGAAAGTACTGGACCAATAAAATAGAGTGCTGGGAGAATGATGGGCCCCAGAGCAAATGATACATATCCATTAGCCAGGTACTGCTCCATTGTGGGGACTGCTTTCTCTGCCGCCCACTCTGCCTCTTTCATAAAAGACCGCAATAGGTCACGCCACTGTGCCCATATCATGAGTTTCATGCCAAGAATTAGTACTTAGGAATACCAGAGGCTGAAATTAGGAAGGAAAATGATAGAACTCACTATGTTGATTATGTGACCCAAGATGCTGTACCCCTGCATGGCGGATGCCTTTGCGCCAATCTCATTGATGGTGGCATGCAATGCGGAGTATATGATCTTGACCTGTTCAGAGCAGCAGTTTACTTCGCAGTCTTCTTCCAACCTGGTAAGTGTTTTAAAAGAAAATTACTGGAAGTCAAGATTGAGGGATCACCACTTTTCAAAGTAGAATTACTTCGCAGTTTTATTTTATTTATTTATTATTGGCATATTGTCTGGAATGAAATATGGAATTGACGAATGTCAATTGACTTCCTCCAACCTGGTAAGTGTTTTAAATCAAGTTTGATTTAAAAGAAAATCAGGAGTATAGGGAGAGAAAGATTTACTGATCAACTAGCTGCATGAGATTGATGAGTTCCTCTCTGGATCCTACGACATCGAAGAAGTCGTCAACCAGGGTGGTGAGCACACCATTTTTAGCCCATGATATACGAGCATCAGACATTTCATAGGGGAAGAGCGTGGCAGCAGCAGAAAAATAACAGTATGTCAGCTTCTGGCGAGGAAGCTTTAGCTGATCCAATCTATTTTCTTTGACCCATCTACTTAAAGGAAAAAGTCAACATTACAGAAAAGACTTTCCATCAAATCAGAGAGAGAAAAAATCTAATTCATACACCTCTCAAGGTGCTCCAGTTCTTTGCGGTATAAGTATTGGCAGCCATTGAACTCTTCAACCACAAAGGCCAGAATCTCTTTACCATTTGGGTGACGCAGCCTTCATGCATGGAGATCATGAGACCATTTCATTAGAACTAGGGGAATGACTTCAAACAATTGGAAATCGCTTAATCCCACCCTATAAACTTACACATGAGACATTTTCAAGGTCTGAAAGCGATCAATATTCAACTGTGCAATGCTTCTTCTATGTTCTAAACGTTGTAAACTGGCAAAAGAAGGGACTCTCAGGGCGTAGTCCACCTTAGAGTATAGCACAAATGCCAATGAAAACATGAACAAAAATATAACCTGTGTTAGCAAGAAGACTTTATTGTGCATCCATACGATCTTGGCTATTTAAAAGCATCATATCTAATGCACTATCACAGATGCTAACCTCTTTGAGCCTCTCATCCTTTCCATGTTTTGACAGTTCTTTTACCAGAAAATTTCTCGTCCAGATACCCAGTTCCTTCAGGGGCCATTCATTCGGGAATTTGATCTGGGAAGCTTTGTATAGCTCAAGAATCGTGTCTGAATCTTCTAGATATCCGTCCAATGAATTTTGGAAGTACTCCTCATCTATCTGATCCATTGAACCTGGAATTGTGTCCACGTGATTGAAGACCATATCCATGGAAAACTGAATAATGGAGTCAACAATAGTAGCTACGGATTGAGGAAGAATACCAGACAAAATCTCATATCCGTTCATCCTCAGCAAACGAAACGCCATGGCAGAAATTATCATACTCGATTTTATTTCCTCATCATTTTTCAGCCATTGCCTATGGCCAGTTTAAGGCATCCGCTTAATAACTAGAAATTTTTCAGTATGGTGCAAATAAACAACTAATACTCTACCTGTGCACTTCATCCAAAATGTTCTTTATCTCGTTAATGAAATGCTGAGAGATTCCAAGCCCCTCAAGAAGATCAATGATCTGAAGTCGGAGGAGTGTGTCCGAAGGGTATTGAGATGGAACTGTTTAAAAACAGATACCAAGAGGCAAAAATGGCAAACATTATCATATTAATACCAAAAAATCATTGGATACAAGGGATGTCAGGTCATACCAGCATTCTCAAACTTCTGAACGAGAGATTGTAAATATTCCAGGCATTTCCCATCACAGTGGTGAGCCAGTGCAGCAGCAGTGGTGGAGGGAGAATCAAGGATGGAGCCATTCTTTCTTTGATATTTTCTTAGCTTCTCCCACTCTGGAAACCTGTCCAACCCTTCTGAAACAAATGCCAGGTACGCTTCTGCTCCCTCAGAGTCCGTTTCAAATGCTCTTGATGAAAAAAGACAAGATTCCCAGTTATAACTGATATCAATGCAATCTTATGAAAATCAACTGCAAAAGAAAAATTTCCTCGTCTTCTTTGTCCATTTCTGCACCCTCGAAGAATATTATGATGCCAGTTTAAAGATAATCCCATTAAAGGACCACATTATCTCAGTCATCTAGTCTACTCCTTCCTTGGAGAAATGAATGGAAGACTTTTTTGTCATGATTTAGCCATCCATAACAGTGTTAAGGCGTTTGAGGCAATACAACTTTCCGAGCCAAGGTCACTGAACTACTAGGGTCACTAATTTTTTTTTCAAAATAATATAATGGGGAAACATACTTAAGATTGAAAAACCAATCAGTAACAAATATGCTAAGGAGGGAGAAAGAGATAGAAAGATAGATGCAGAGAGAGAGAGAGAGAGAGAGAGAGAGAGAGAGAGAGAGAGAGGGAAAAGAAGATATTGAAAAAGGTGAAAATTTAATGGGCAGAGTAAAATTGATTTCGCTCGATTTACACAGTTTATTTGATAAGGAAAAACATCCCTGTACGGAGGAACTTTTGTGAGACAAACAGAGCAAGAGATGAAATTAAAGATATTTAAGCATAGGTCCACCAAAAACGCTGACCATTCAAATCTACGTGAAATTCCCCAGGTCATGTACTTAAAGAAACTCGAATAATCACAAAGTTTGTGCACCTTTTCAGTTCCAGTTCCCGCAGGTGGAACATCTTCTCTAATTCCCATTGGCTCAGGGGAAGATACAAATCCATCTTCCTGGCAAGGGTAATCATACCAGGGAATATAATGTTAAATCCAATCGGTGAGTGTTGCTTCTCATCACTAATAGCTGACCAATTAGACATGATAAAGTTGATTCCTGCAGGTGAGTGATTAAGGTCAGATTTAGTATTTGATATTATGAGAAGTAAAATACATCAAAGCTCTCTGGCTATACCTTTCTCCATGTTTTCCTCACCAAGATTCCACCGTTTGAGGGCAATCACGCATGCCAGTGTCGAGGCAAGAGCATCTCTCATCAGACTAGAATGATGATCATGAGAACCCCATGAGCCATCAGGGTGCTGATTCTCCAATACCCAGTCAATGCACTGGGGAAACTGTGGAGTCTGCTTAGCAGAGACTGGAGAAGGCACCATGGCCACCCAGGCAGTATCGTAGCCCGACACAGGAAGCTGAACATCCTTGAGGGCTGTCCTGATTCTTCCGACCAGTCCTTGGGGAACCTGCAATGATATCAAGCGACAATCTCATCAAAGAGGATTAAGATACTGTTCACTTGTCAGGAGAATGGGTGGGTTGGTGATAGGAGGAGCCTTTGACCATACTGGAATGCCATTGGTGGATTCTCTTCTGCTCTTCAATGCAGAAACTTCAGTTCCTAGAAAAGGGAGAAAAAATAGTCCAGTAGTTATAGTTCTACAGCTGTTTTCATTCTTCAGCAGAAATAATATCAGGGTACCAAATAGACAATCAGAAGAGTTATGCGAGAGAATCCAAGACCACAATGTTCTCAATAAATGAACCTGTTTCATTCGACGTTAGTGTCCTAAACTGTTAAGCAAGTATATCCATGCATGCAAATATTGTTATAAAACATACATACATACATGCATACAGAGAAAGGATCGAAGATGTTCTAAAAAATAAGGCAGTATGGGAGGAAACTGGGATCAGTTTAGCATTCTTCCAGCCTCAGCATCTGTCGACTGATGAACAAAAAAGCATCTTCTCTCGTCTAAATGAGAGGGTAACATGAAGTGCTCGTCAATGGTCGAGAGGCTAGCAGTAAAAGCTCCAATCTTTGTCACCCGTTGGTATTGGGATCAATGACCCTTCAAGTTAAGAACTGCAGAGGAACGGCGAGAGCTCCTGCGTTGGTCCTCCGGGCAGTCTCTCCAGGGCGCACAGTTCTACGCCGCTTCCGAGGTTTTACGTTTACAGAGTAACGATCTGTTATGAACACAGCAAACGCAACTTTTCTCCGGGCATTCTCTCCACAGCACACAGTTCTCCGTCACTTCAAAGGAGGGCTTTTACGCTAACAGAGGATGGGTTTGCTACGAACAAAGAGAAAACGCAGCTTTTCGTCTGGCAGCCTGAGAAGCAGACAAAGAGAAAAACTAGACCACAACGATCATCGGCAATAATCGATCGGCCCGTCGACTCCCATGGAAAAACTACACCTATATCGGGAGAAAGAGAAAGAACGGAGAAGAAGAGTGAGCGGTGGGGAAAATGAAACCGACAGAACCCCACGCAAGCAAAGCTTGCGAGATCACAAAGATGAATAAACGAGGGAGAAGAAGAGGAAGAGAAGCTCGCCGGAAGAAGAAGAAGAGCATGCCCACGACTCCCTGCAAGCTGATCGCCAGGGACTGATCGGGCGAAGAACCTGAGAGAAACCCATCTGAGGACGAGGGAGAGAGGAGAGGGGAAACGAGAAAGGAGAAAGGCTCATCTTCGATGGAGGAAGACGAGGAAGAGAAAAGGTGATGGGGAACGAAGAAGCGGGCTAGGACCACACATCGCCAACACTTCGGCCCAAGCCCATTACATTCAGCCCTTTGAATAACCGCATGCGGCCCTACAACGGACAGATAGAAGAAGACAAAGGTTTGAGCTTCACCTCGTATCGCTCCCGCCAAGGACAGGCCGTTATCCAACACCACCATCCAATCCGGCGCCGCCGTCCACCGTTCGCCGGCCATCTGCCGCCGCCAGCGTCATCCGGCGTCTGCCAAGCACCTATCACCGTCCTCGGCCCATCGCCCGCCCACCATCCACCGTCCAGCACCGTCGTCATCTACCTCCGCCGCTTCCACCGCCATCGACCACCGCCACCGCCCGATGCCCGGCAGCAAACCTAGGGCACGATTAGTGACTTCGCCGCCATCCGAACCATCGGCACAGTCACTAGTCCTGCCACCACCATCGTCACCCACAGTACAGCCGCCACCTCATCCTCGCCGGTGCTCCACCGCCGGAATCGCCATCTGCCCTACCGTTCCACCCGTCCGCCTCTTTCGCCGCCGCCCGCTCCGTCCATTTTGGGTGATCTCTCGTTCCCGTCCCACCGGATTGGGTTAGCCCGTACCAGTTCGGATTCCGCATCCGCACTTCCCACCTGCCCAAACCAACTCGACTGCCTGGTCCGAGCCCATCCGTCTCACCGGTCAGAACCGTCCTGGACCAGCTGGTTCACGCCAGCTCGTCTAGCCGGTTCGAGCCACTGCAGACCGTCTTGTCCGTGCCAGCCTGCCTGGTCGGTCCGAACCAGTCCGCGCCTGCCCACCTCAACTGGTTCGAGCCGGTACACCCATTCAACCAGGTCAGCAGGTCAATGGTCAATGACTCAGTCCAGGGTCAACTATCCACTCAATAGTCAATTGAGTCAACTATCCACAAGTTGGGGTCCAGCTTTAACTTGTATTCCTCCACAACTTAGTTTTCTATTCTGACAACAATGTCATTTCTAAATCCTTTTTCTTTCTAAATTTGAGCATTTTATTGATTTAGTATATTATCTCTCAATATTAATATTGTATGATCCTCATATATATATATATATATTATCATAACTGGTGGTGAGTGTAGAGTGAGAACCTACACGATTGTATTTAGTCAAATTATTGATTGTGGAGCAGCCCAATCATTAGTGATTTCTCAATTGCATTGATTCATTTGTTTCAAATCATGAGGGAATAAGAGTATTAAATCATGTTCTCAAATACTTATGGAATCAAAGAGAATAAGAGTAAATAGAGAAGGTTTATCCTCTCTAATCTCTAGTTATTATCGTCACATCTTTACTTGTGGGGAGACAATAACAATGATATGCTTCACAAAGAGAGAAAGAAGAGAAATGAAGGGAATGTATGATGCGTACAAGTCAAATAACATTCAAAGTTGAGATCTAAATCATATACATCACTAATGCACTAAGAAAATAAATTCAAATAAGATTGAAAACAAAATGGTCTATCTATTGCCCAAAGACACAAATGAAAATTATTGAAAATAATTTCATGCTAACTAAAAAAGTAACCCAATAGATCAAAATGATCATATATATCACTGCATGATTGTCACCCACACGATTGGACTAGCGAAAATAATGAAATTTAAATTGGAAAAAATAAGTTGAATTCATGAGTTCCCCTTTTCCATTTGTCACATGGAGAGAAAACTCAAATGCTAGAATGCAAGGTATCATCATTGTGTTATGCCCATTGTAGTTGTGCTCGCCTTTGCCAGTCACCTAGAGGGAAGCATGCTCATTGTCACCTCTATCATACTCTCCCATGCCCTAGCCTCATCAGCGTCCCTCTCTCTCCCCCCACTTTAGTTTGATAGTGGGCCTTCATCCTGGGCCAATTATCATTGGCTCATTACCATGTTATCTTGACATCCTCCAAAAATCTAGTAACAATTCTAACTTTTAGAATATTTTTCTGTCTGACAATGAAAAATAAAATAAAATAAAAGAAAAAATGTTTCTCAAGGCTATGCCATAAATATTTATATTAGGATGTAGGTTAGAGGGTCAGGTAAACATCTCTTAAGAATAGTATGTAGAATAAGGTAAAAATTCATGAAATGCATTCTAAAATCTGTTTTAATGTTCTTGGTTTAATTTTATTAAATTTGACTTAATTTAATATGGTTTTTTTATCATCTACCTTTGATTATCATACAAACATGATATGTTAATAGAAACATCCCTTAAAAATTGAGGAAAATGTCCTATGAGAGTATATAAATGTAATATGAAGTTAATATTATGATCTTTTTAAAAAAGTACACCAAGAAAATGGATTGTGTGTCCTCTCAAGCAAACGTGGAAATGTCCTTTCTAAATCAGGAAAAACCTTGGAATATTAGAAATTGGAGCTATGGCTGTTGTTTGGGACTTTGTCTATAATCATATGATAATCTTGGGACCCTTTTGCTAAAGTCTAAGGAGACAAGGGGTTGTATTCTCCAGAGCACACGTGGACATGCCTCTTAAAAATGATGCAAAACCTTAGGATACTAGAAATTCCAGCCACCGGTTGTCATCTGGGAGTATATATATAATAATAATATAATATTAGGACTTTTTTCTTAACTTACACAAGGACAACGGGTTGTATTTTCCCAAGTTAACGTAGAAATTAAATCTAGGAGATAAAAAGAAAGCATGGTCAATTCAACACACTCCCAAATTTAACAAAATATTAAATAAAAATATGATTGGGGGCCATTGATACCACTCATTGGAGGTTAATTTCTAAGAAAAGTGGGTTTTGAGGGGCTCATTCTTAAATTCGACGAAGTATATCTTTCATAATAAATGACTAATCGATTATATCCACATAATTGAAATGAACCTACGGAAATAGAGTTCATATCTATGGAGAGATTCACAGGATATATCTAAACGCGATGCATGAATATCCAATATCTTCCGTTGCCCATTATAGAGAAATCTAACGTAACTCAAAATCTCCACCTATCTTTCTATGAGATAATATTGTCACTTGAGCGTCGATTCACAGCATATCTTTCACAAGAAATGGCTAATCCATTCTACCCAAATTTTCGGAATGAACCTGGTAAAGTAGAGATCATCTTTATGGACAGATTCACGGGATGGATCTAAACTCGGTGCTTCAGTATCTTCAGATGTCCATAACGTAGAGACTTTGAGTTTCTGATTAAGATACTCTAATGTGACTCAAAATATCAACTTTTCATTCCAAGTGGTAATACTTTCGCTTGAGATTCGATTCACAGCCTATCTTTCATAATAAATGGATAAAATAAAGACATGAAGCGATCTATGACCATCCACCATATCGCTCCGCGTGTATATATATATCATCTGTGCTCTGCCCATATCTGCTCAAACTTTGTAGCAGCCATGGAGCTCAAGCTGCGTGTTGGGCCTATCTTCTGCCTTGTGCTTCTAACGCTGCTGCTCTCATCAGGTAACGAGTCCCATCTCTAGTGGGATCTCTTCTCTTACTTCTGTTCTTCCTGCCTTGAACATTTTCTGTGCCTGTTTTCAGTGTCCACAGAAGGACGGAAAAGGGACGAGTTGTGCAAGTCACCGAGTTGCCATTACACTGGATTCTGCAATGTAGTACGCTGTATTAATACGTGCAAGGGAGAAGGCTATAGCAGCGGAATGTGTGCATCCCCCACGGCCTCTTGCTACTGCGTCAAGCTGTGTGCCGGTGGTGACCAAGCAGATGCAGGGAGCAAAGCCACCTCCCGCAGTTAGCTTCCCCATTTGTATCTCTCCAATGGCATCTAATGAAACATCACAATAAACTGGATGACCCTATGTAGGTGCCACCGAGGGCTCTTAGTTGTTTGAATAGAATGCTTTTGTTGCTTTTTGGATACATATGAGACTTGGGTCCTGTGGATGTTCTTCTGCGCAGCTTCTACCTGTTTTACATCAATTTGTGCGGATTAAACTATCAATCAATCAGCGAGAAAGCATCAACTTATCAACTGTAATGATATTCTTCGATAAAGAAGGGGGAGGGTTTCATACTTTGCAACGTATGCATAGAGAAGTAAAACAGTTGAAAGTTGATGAAAACTGGGCAAATAACAAAAAACTGTCGAATCAATAGTTTCTAGCTTGTAATGTTGAAAAAATATTTTCCTCTCGCGTTGTGGCACCTAAATTTCTTGCTAACTGATCTAACCCATTAATGAAAAGCTTTGATACATTAAAAACTACCTCCTCAGTACATTTATATTAATGATTCACACTATTGATACGATTCTAAGAGTTTTATAGTGAACCTAGATATTATGCTTACAAGCAACTTGCTTCTTATATCAAATAATTAATATATTTTAACAAAATTATATGTATTTTGTACTTTTTTAAAGTCAAACTGGAGCTTGATTGTTTCTATAAGTTGAAAACATTAGATAACTAAATTCTTATATTTTCCAATAGATATTGGGTGATTGTCAGTAATTTTCAGTTTTAGGAGTTTAGACCTCTGCATTGTCATTCAAAACCCTATTAGAAAGCCTAGTAGAATATGAATATAATAGGCCAAGTAGCTTTGTGTTAGTCATTCATTTAGAAGACGGGTTCATTAGGGCAGCCTATTCTAGATTTGATGTCATAACGTTCACACTACTCTCTCTATACAGCAAAGGAAGGGGGGATAAATTTTCAATAAAAAACCTTTCCAAATGGACTTGTTCAAGAGGTGGGTGACTTTAAGTGGCAAGACAGTGGTCGTAAACTTAAGGAGTAATTTTGAGGTGGTTTCATTTGACTAGGGTGCACACATCATCTTCGGTCAAAGATACCATCCTTCATTACCCTTTATATATCATAGCATAGAAATCTACCATATCGAGTAATTAATCTATGAGAAAATATTTCTATCCCTGAAGTTATGCTGAATTCCACGTCTATCCATTTATCTCGCCCTGAGATAGATGTCACCCACGGCCTCTTCCTACCTTAACGGTGCTGTGATCTCTCTCTCTCTCTCTCTCTCTCTCTCTCTCTCTCTCTCTCTCTCTCTCTCTCTCTCTCTCTCTCTCTCTCTCTCTCTCTCTCTCTCTCCGCTCTCTCTCTCTCTCTCTCTCCGCTCTCTCTCTCTCTCTCTCTCCATGGAAACTATGAAGGGTCGGGCTCCTCTTTGCTGACTCCTGCTGATAAAGGTGTTCTTTGTGCCATCAGGTGATGTGTCCAGTGACCTGTCGAAGAAATCCCTGTCCTTTTCTTCTTGCTCTATCAAGTCTAGTAGCAAAGGGTCCATCTCAGACGTCTGTTTCCATTAGTGTGTGCAGAGGGAAGGAGACTAACGCAGGTGATCTCAGCCTCTGGTCCTTGTTGGTACGGAACGTGCCGGGACTCGCACATTTGCGATGAGTTGTGCCAGCTCGATGGCTACTTACTATGGCAGGTGCGACCCGAAGACGGCGCTGTGTCACTGCGTCAAGTATCAGGCGAGGTAGGCTGAAAAGCTGCCACCGGCTGGCCCATAAGTCTTCCAATCTCAACCAGATTGTGTTTCTGTGCCCAAATTTCGTGCGATCCATTTCCTCTCTCTCTCTAGCTCTATCTCTCTACTAATAAAATGCGTTGGTGTTCTGCATGTACAAATGCTGTTGATATCCCCAGACGTGGATAGAATTGTACGGTCGCAAGAAAGACTGGGATTCTGCCCCCCCAATCTCTCTCTCTCTCTCTCTCAACTACCTTCTTTTTTCCTTTTAGGAGGGTACTCCACGCCAAGTTTGAACTAGTTACGGATGACGGTGCCTTTTCCACCGAGTTGGGTTGGAAGAGGTTTGATGCCTGGATAGGAGGATGAACTCTCTCTTTCTATGTGGATATGAATGTTCTATATGCTCCTAATATTGTCTTAGGATAATATTTTATGTTCAGGATATTCACATGGACAAACCTTGTGTTTGTTCATGTGATCTCTCACTGCATTCTTGTAGCTTGTTTAAATATATATATATATATATATATATATTATTAGTTTCAGAGGTTAAAATATTTTATATTCCTCAGAAATCAATAAATATACATTCTCATAATAACATGCGCACATCAAATAAATAATTTCCATTACATCACCAGCATTTTAGTGGCAATTTATTATTAGAAATTCTGAACTCTCTAGGCCACCATAAAATTTTCGTTTGACTGACATAATTCTGAGTTTCATTCTTTCATAACACTGAGGTGTTTACCTCAACATGAATGTATTCTAAGGACTGTCATTGAATGAGAAACTATTCTTCCAATTTCCACCTTGTTTATATTATTCCACCATATAAATATGTTTTATTTTATTAGAATTAAGAACTACCTTGGTTTTTTATAGTTATCTATGTTATATCAATATATGTATCACCCTCTTATCACCTTAGCAACAAGGTAAGGCAATTGATCTAAACTTGACTAAAGTCAATATCAATAATTTAAATTTTAAAAGGTAAAATTTCTCTCATCTCCATTGGAAATGTAATCTTCAATCCTAGGGCCTTGTCTTAATCAAGGCTACTCCAATCCAAGGCTTCATAACATATAATTTCATTTTGCATCCATTTAACCTTTTCTTTTAACCTTTAATCTTCATTTTAATTGCCTATTATATTGAGTGTATATAAGAACACGAGTCTCTTGCATTCATCCATATTTTTCTTAGTAGGATTCTATAGTTAATAATTATTTTCAATTATTTTTTCTAACAACTTACCATGTTTGTGCAATGCTTCAATATATTTTTGTTCTATTTATTGGTATTTTCTCCAGAGTTCGGCATATTGTTATGTCATGGACATGATCCCCTTTAGGCTGGGCTTTATATTCATAGGAGTCTGGCCCAAACTTATTGTCTGGGCTTTTTTTTCCGCCCGGTGCTTCATAATTCCAGACCATTATAGAATGGCTGGGCTCCCTGGGATATTGTACACTTCGGGCCGGGCCCATCTATACATCCCGTGATTGGCCTCAAATTTGCGAAAGTTAAAAGGGTATCAGTTCATACATTTAATAAATAAATTGGGCTCCGCATGATTTTATAAGGTTCGGGCCAGAACCCAGGTCTTGTCCTTTAAAGAAGGAAAGTTGGGCTCTGCTGGATTTTCTGTTCGGGCCCGGCCCGGCCTGGCCCGTTGGTGCATCTAATAAGCGAATACCTCTCAATGAGCAAAATGCCTTCAATAACCAAATAACACAATTAGTTCTCGCTCCTCGCCCCTCTCTCTCTCTCTCTCTCTCTCTCTCTCTCTCTCTCTCTCGCTCTCTCTCTCTCTACGGTTTCAAGCCCTCCGAGCGGTGGTCTTCGGCGATTTGCCGGCGGTGGAGAAGATGTCCTCGAAGCTGGCGGCTTCAGCGGCGGGCATGTTGCGGACAAGGATCAGCTCTTCCTTGCGGACGAGGGGCGGCGGTGAGCTGAAGAGGTTCACGACCCCTGGAACCCAGGAGAGGCCCAACGGGTACCTCTTCAATCGGCCTCCGCCCCCGCCCGGTGAGTCGCGGCAGTGGGAGGACTGGGAGCTTCCCTGCTACATCACCTCCTTCCTCACCATCGTCATCCTCGGTGTTGGCCTCAACGCCAAGCCTGATTTCACTCTCGAGACCTGGGCCCACGAGAAAGCCCTCGAGCGCCTTCAGAACCAGCAAGCGCAGATCGCTGCTGCTGCGGGGGATTCCGAATGAATCTGGCGTCCCGCGCTTCGGTAAATGCCTCGGGCTTCGTTTCTTTCTGGTTCGTTTTTCTGTTTTTTGCAATAAACTAAGGGATTGTGCTAGAAATCGGATTGGGCAAAGCTGGAACCCCACTTTGTGTTCTCTTTGGGTGACTTCATAGGAGAAAACAAGGAGCACAATGCTGTGTCGATTCTTCTGTGTTTCGGATTATTTGAGTTATGTGGCAATCTGATCACTGGTCATGAAATCGAGGACAGCTGTTTTTTATCATCATTAATTAAACAGGATACGGAGGCATAACCCCAGCTTTCTTGGTAAAAGATCCCATTCTAACAATCACTGGTTTTCAACTGTTTTGATACATAAATAGCAGATGGGGGTCTCTTAGATGACCCTTGGCTATGAATTTTGTTTACCATGAAAGGGCACATATGTTACGCAGTGTTTATTCTTTCCACCCGGGTTGCGCATATGATGTTAAATGCTTTCTTCCTCACGTCCCCCACCCACCTTCCTTATTCTTATGGATAAACGATTGATTGCCTCATAGTTCTAACTTTTAGTGGCATGCATCAGTTGTGTAGTGCATAGCTTATCTCAATAACATCGTCTTCCCATTTGGTTCAGGCTCGCTAGTTTTTAACTTACTGGGTTCGTAGCTAAGTCCATGATCTAATTGCCCTTTTCATATGGATCAAACATTCTGATGGTGTCCCCGTTGTGGTTTCAATATGTTTAAAAGGTCTTTGGGAATTATGAGTTATGTAGAGCCAATGGCGTGAGCATTCAGTTGAGTAGGTGTTCGGTTCCCGACAGGTTGGGAGGTAAGCTATATTTTTAACCTCTGGGAACTTAGCTGGAGTGTTCTGATGTGAGAGGGTATTAACCATTGAAGGGAAGATAGCCGCGTGAGAGGAATGTTTAGACCTTAGCTCTTGTTTAGACCTTACGGTAAGTGGGGATTTAGTGTCTGCAGAATTGGTTTGCTGTTGGGGAGATGCTACACAAAGCTACTTCTTTGCCTAGACTACTGTAAGGTCACCAACCTACCTTGTTGATGATGAATATTGGCTGTACGAGGAGAGGCACCCCCTCATATTTGAGAGGCCTTGAATGGGAGATGTGCGATGTCGTGAGATTGTCTGATGGGTTTGGAAAGAGACCAATATAACCAGACTGGATGAAGAGCAATAAGAAAAATGTGAAGCATGGTGCCAGATTTGTTGAACACAGAGGGAATATCACCAGACGCGCAGATGCTTGATGAAGAAGACAAAGAGGACAAAGAGACATCTGAGGCAGAGTGACGAGAGATTTCTGTTGACAATAAAAGTTAATATACTTGTTGATGAACGAAAATGATAAAATATATGTCATACTTTCAGAATTTGGCCTCAGAGAAGAGAAGGGAAAAGAAAATATTCTTGGTAACTGACGAATGGAGCGGAGACCGTGATTAGGGGAAATGATATCAAAGAGTGTACATAGTGTGCTTCTAAATCCACACTCTCCACAGTGGAAGATGGATGGAAGCCTTCATTGGCAGGTGTAATGCTGAAGATCTTAAATGAAGAGGCAAGAGAGCTACGAAGGATGAGTGAACTTTGTTGGTTTTGCTTTGGCAATGCAATAGCCATTGGGTTCAAATGATTTTTTTTACACTAACAGTCATTATTATGCATCATTTAAGTAAATATCAGGTGGGTTGTGATGGATTTCTGTAAACAAAGGCTCGTTTTCTGGGAATTCTTTGGACTTCAGTCGTATTGCTTCAAAGAAAATAGGAGGATAAATCCAACAGGACCCCAAGAAGATTGAATTTTCTTTTGACAAGACTCGAGAAAGTGATAAATCTGGTGGTTTGCTGGAATCGATGGGCTTTTATCAGAAGGTGTCAGACTCCAGGCGGAGTCGAGTACCACATCAATTTGAAACATGACATAAATCATGAGGTGGAGGTGATTGCTCCTCGCAATAGGCTGTGAAAAAGCCTATGGCAATGTCAGATGGGATTCTAGACACTAGATCAATTGAGGTCAACGACTAAATATCTGACTAATTCAATTCTTCGTCAGCTCTTCCATATTTTTGAGAATTCCTAAATAAAGAACCTTGGAACTCTTCTCCTTTGACCATAATGTGTCAGATCATAGGTTCCTGAGCCTGCATGCAAGCCTTATTAACCGTACACTTGCAATATGTTGATGCAACCATTTTTTTTTCTGGCATCGGAAGAGATATGTCAAGTTGACTTTTGGTGGGCATTTTCCTCTTTCCTATTAATGGATGCCATTTGCTGCAAGAACATCTGATCACAGTGATTAGGTCAAAGTGGGAGCATGTAAAGCTTTTCTCTCACAATGAAAGACTCATTGAGGAGAAGAGAAGAGAAGAGTGGGAGCTCTTCCGAAGAGTTGTTGAGTAGAAATTCTATATGAATACAGCAACTCACAGCACCCAACTTACCCATATCAACACTGTTTCTAGTAAGTCGTTGACATTATTATGTAGCTTTAAACCAGCATAATATAGCATACTCTTCTAGCTTTGCAGCAATTCATGGCCTCAGATGACCATCACCTCTGCTCCTCCTCCTCCCCTCCTTGTTTGGTAATTCTCCCCATTTACTGCTGCGTTGCTGTTCAGACTGATTGGAGGAGATCATCAGGCATCTATAGAACAACATGCACATCCAGTGGTGGCTATCAGCTTGTGATGCTCAGGTACAGATGAGGGGTTTCTAGAATGTTCTAGAGCCAGGAGATGCCAATCTCTTGGTCGAAGGGACTGAAAACTTTGCTCGGAATGGCTGGAAATCTCAATATATATATAGGTTTTTTACGAGCTATTTTCCGGGGTTTATTTTAAGGCCCAAATAAATACTGGCCCGGCCCACTATATCCCCGAAATCTTAGGGAAGCCTGATAGCCCATACCCTAGGAACGTCCACGACACGGCCCATTGAGGGCCCGAGCCGGATACCAACCGGCCCAGCCACCCACCCCATCCGATGTGGCCGTTGGCCGGCCGTTTTCCGAATCGACGTGGCGTTCGGAGCCGAGTCAGCCCGAACGCGACGGGTCCGGAGCATTTTTAATAGGAATAACCAGCCCAGCATTAGAAGTAAGTCGGGTATTTTTTAACGATATATGCCGATTAAATTGGTATATAAAAATAATTAAAAATATAAATAGATGTTGAAGTAGATGGCGTCGTATAATTATGGGCCTTAGTCTTGCTTATAATAATTAGTGGAGTAGAGTAGAAGATTGCCAAAGTTCTAATTCTGGGGGGGGCGAATTAGATCCGATAGCGGGTACTTTCGGGTCCACCACACGGGGTCTCACTTTCATTTAAAGAAAGGTAGATCCGCAGATAATACTTTATTATTATTATTTTACGATGATTATGAGGTGGTACCAACCGGAGGAGGCAGCCACAAATCTTTAGATCCCGTCACCGAAGGTGAAGATACCGTAGACATCCGGCATGGGGACGGGAAACGCTGGCCCACCTCATTAAAGAGGCCCAATTACGACTGTGGATTCCCCTGGATTGATGGACTGGCCCACCGAGATGGGAAAAAGCGGCGATCCCCCGGTGGGCCCAGTCAGCCGAGGTGGGGGCCCACCCGGCACCGACAGTTCTACCATCGCTAGCGCCAGCGCAGCCATATGCTGCGACCCCGGGGAACCCGCGTTACGGCGCACTCCAACTGGTCCCGTCGACGGAATGTGCGCCTGATGAGAAAGATATATTGAGCAGAATTTTTATATAAAATAATTAAAATATTCAGCAGCGCTGTCCCAGTGTGGGAAGAGGGAGAGTTGGTTTCTATTTTGTAGAAAATAAAATGGTAAAAAACGGATCTGTTAGACGGAAGGTAAGTTCACCGAGGGGAGGATCCTAACATGGCCTCCCTCCACCGGGCCTCTTAAAACGCCACCAGTCCCGCTTTCTCTCCGCTGGCTGCAGTTGTCTGCTGCTGCGTCCTGTGAAGTGGTCTGTTACATCTCCACATGCACTACGAAATCCAGCGCGGAGGAGGAGGAGAATCAGAGGAGCAGGCGGTGGCTGTGCGATCAAAGAAGGTTAAGGAAATCTGGTGAGTCACCGACGCGGTCTCCTGCTGGCAGCGCGACGGAGGAGAGGTGGTGGGAGAGGGAGAGTGGTGCGCACATTGTAGGCTTAAAACGCCGAAAGGTCGGGGAGAAGCTAGTGATATGGAGGAGTAGAAGAAGAAAGCCACGGGTGAGTAGTCTGCGATGTTCTCTTTTCAGCTTTCCGAGAGGGGCGATCTTTTTTTCTTTTTCCCGTTCCGGACGTCTCTTTACTGAGATTATGGCAACAAATCTGACTGGTTGTCTCGGATTTAATCTGGTTTAATTTTTTTTAATGTTTTTTTCGTTTGTGGACGATAATTAGCCAGTTACAATGGCGGTGGCGTGGATACCGGTTGTTCCCGTTTCTCGACACTACTTTCCAACTTACTCTGTCAGTTTCTGCCTTTGGGATTGAGATCTCTTCGAATCTGCCTTTGACGAAGGCTGTGATCTCTTCCTCCGTTTTGAGAAACCGATAGGCAGTTCTCGAGCTCTTACTTATCTTTTGATGTTGCCGATCTGGGGGAATTGGAGTAGATCCAGTTCGCTGTTGCAGTCAGTTACAGGTTTTTGTGTGACAGTTTTTATAGATGTGTTGTTCTCTCTTATTATTCACCTTATTGAACAATTCAAGCGATTCAAAGCTGGTTCTTACGGTTTCTGGATCATGTTTCTTCAGCCAAATGATGATTAATTCAGCGGTCAGTCATAAGACTTTTCTTTGAGGTACATAATTTTTCCCTTTGACTAATGCTTGATTTTTATTTCCGTTTATTTATTCAATATCGACCCTTTGAAGAAGACTGACTTCCGAGTAATTGGTAATGTTAAGGAGTTTTCTTTGGCCAATGAACAATGCTGTATTTCTTGTTTTCCAAAAGAAATCATCCGGATTCATCCTGTCAAATATCTGTTAATTCTATGATCGATCACCATGTTGGCTGGTTCGTTGTGCAAAGGTTGCAACTCTTTTATGTAGAAAAAGCGGGCAAAAAAGTATACACAGAGAGCATTTGCGAAGTAAACAAGTTTTTACTCTGGTGCATGTTGGAAATTTCAGTTCTCTAAATTATCTATCATGAATACTTCCTCTTATTTCTGGATGACTTTCATTTTTTTCATTTATTACCATCGCTCCTTTGCATGCCCTTTTTCGTGTAAAATTATGACTTAATTGTGAGTGGTCTTGTCCCCCTTTCCTTCCAAGAACTTACTAAATACTGACTTATCTTAGCACTAAGCACACTTGGTGCCAACCAGAATTATAGAACATGTTCAATAGGGAAAGGGAAAAAGGTTTAAATAGTGGTAGACGTGGTGATAATGACACTTTTGTGAGAACTTTTTCCTGTTGATTGATGAGCTCTTTAGTTTCATTCAGTTTGTGCAAAGAATGCTGAATGTAGAAACAACTTTCTGACTATGAATCATTTGGTAATTAAGTTCTACCTTTTCTCGGCTTGCATTAACAGCTGTAACTGGCACTCCTTCCTAAAATAATATTTTATTCAAAGTTGGGTAGTTTATAAATCTGAAGCGTACATGTGGACAAGTTAAAAACCCGAGGATGGAGTCCTAACTTTTGCTCATCTTTTGCAGGTAGGAAAGAGTTTTTACATTGCGGTGAGCAGGAAGCATCTGGTTGTACCTCTAAACTTATGAAATCACGGTCACAGATCATATGAGTGACGCTGAAAGGCCTGGCAACAGTCCAGAAGACAAAAAAGTTTCTAAGATGGTTGCCAAGGAGAATGGAGCGGAAAGAGAAGACCTTTCCTATGATTCAGAAAAAGAAGTCACACAGCACAGAGATATGGAGTCCGACTATGAACCATCAAGAAATTCTGTGTCATCACAAGATGTGCAGACTGTGGAAGAAAATAAGGCAAGAAGAGCGTCAAGAGTTCCCCAAAAGCTGGCAAAAAAACACAACACGGAGAACACCAAAAGAGGTAAAGTCAGAGATCGACAGGAATCAAATAGATTGCAATTTAAAGCATCAAATAACGGTCAAAACAAATCTCAAAGACCTAACAAGGGTCCTTCCGAAACTAAAAACGTCCCTGAAAGCAAATCGGCAGCAACAAAATTTCCTGACACTCCTTCTGAATCTTCTGAAGGATCATTTGAAAAGACTATTGAAGAAAAGACTGTTGAAGAAAAGACTGTTGAAGAGGTTAAGGAAAAAAGTATCCTGGATGAGGCCCCCAATGGTGATCAGAGCGTTGGAACAGATGACGAAACGCCTGTTACAGAAGAAAATAGTTTAGATGAAGAGAAAGGTAATCAACATCAAAACGTTGATGAAATGAAACTGAAAATTGAAAAGCTTGAACAAGAGCTCAGAGAAGTTGCTGCACTCGAGATTTCCCTTTATTCTGTGGTGCCTGAACATGGAAGCTCTGCGCACAAGCTCCATACACCTGCTCGGCGTCTTTCTAGGTTGTACATTCATGCCTGCAAACATTGGACTCAAGATAGAAAGGCCACAGTTGCTAGGAACACTGTATCAGGTCTTGTACTGATTGCCAAGTCGTGTGGTAATGATGTTCCAAGGTAATTTACGTTACTAAGAATCATAGAAAAAGAGAATTTTTTTTCTATCACGTCGACTAACATGATCTTTTTTCTCTTTCGTTTAAGGTTAACTTTCTGGCTGTCGAACACGGTTGTTCTCAGAGAAATCATTTCCCAAGCTTTTGGTGTCTCTTCCCATACCAGTCTTGCTACAAGGGTTGCTGAGTCAAATGGTTTTCCAAAGAAAGCAGAGAACATATTTTCCTCTCGAAAATGGAATTCGAATGGCATTGTCGGCAAACAGGCCAGAAATCTTGGTCTTATGCAATTTATGGATGATTGGCAGGAGACGGGCACATTCACTAGTGCACTGGAAAAGATTGAATCTTGGATTTTCTCTCGGATTGTTGAGTCAGTATGGTGGCAGGTGAGATTGTCTCAACAATTTCATGGCTGTTCGTCTTTTCCCTACTTTGCAATGCTAATGCAAAGTAAGTCACCATGTCTGAGGTGTTCACCATTCTCCATTGATGGATACATCATGTATTACTAACACCTCAAACTCTGGCCAGTCTCATTCAACATGACATGCTATTTGAATCATAATCTATCAATTCGTCTTTATTTTTTTAAGCATGAATATTTAAATAAGAGATTTGAGCTAACGCTTCTTGAATCTGAATATCGTATGATTTTGTGCAAAATAGCGGGATATGACCTGCTTTCCCCAATCAAAATCAGTTGAAATTTCGTTGACAAAGTGGTTCGAGCAAAACTGGTAAAGTGAAGAGTAGGAGGGATTGCATAAGAATATGGCTTACGAAGTTTCTACCTTTTTGGAAAAATATATAATTATTCAATAGAAAAAATTCTGCGAAAATCGTTTAATAACCGACTGAATATGCTGGCTTAATATTCAGTGACCCTTAGCAGCATCAAATTCACGGCACATGAATCTTGCAGGAACGGCCAGCCAGGCTACATTGACTTCCTTTTTTTTTTCAACATTAATGTTTTTGTATAATTAGGTTTCCAGTATTCCATTGCATTCGCAGCATCTGACCTGAATGTCTTCTTCCTTCAGACCTTGGCTCCCCATATGCAATCATCAGTCGAGGATTTGTACGGTCAGGATGATGACAACTTTTCCACCAATATATGGAAGAAGGCTTTCCGTGAAGCATTTAAAAGGCTTTGTCCTGTAAGAGAAGGGAAGCACGAGTGTGGCTGCTTGCCTGTGTTGGCTCGAATGGTATGCAGTGAGCATGGCTTTCTTTTTTATTGATGATTTGCTTCACTAGACCACGAACCTCCCCTCACCTCCAAGGGAAAAAAAAAAAAAACAACCCTCTTAACCAATAAGAAAGAAAGAAAGTAAGAACAAGACACGATTCAAAGAATTTTTTTTCCTGTTTTTCCGATATGCTCAATCTATTGATTGTCTGAAGAAAATCCTCCTATTCTTTCAGCTGTGAAGTAATAAAAGCGTAAAATTTACCCTAATGTTTATTCATCAGGGTATTGATTTAATTCGTTTCTGTTGACTCTTTGTCATAGGTGATGGAGCAGTGTGTGGCTCGATTAGATGTTGCCATGTTCAACGCCATTCTACGGGAGTCAGCCAATGAGATTCCAACCGATCCTGTGTCAGATCCCATTGTGGAACATAAAGTGCTTCCGATTCCCGCTGGTGACTTGAGCTTCGGAACCGGTGCCCAACTTAAGAATTCGGTATGCGGCACTTTTGCTCTGATTTTTTTCCTTTTATGGCTAACTCAGTGGCCATCACCGATTCTCTGTAACTCAACTGAACGCATATGAATGTGGGCTTGCTTTTAGTGGCAAGATCTGAGTTGTCATTAAATTAAATTTGCTAAATGGGGTTAATTCTCAAAATGGGCGTAACGATATTTTTAATTCCACTTAATTTTTCACTATTGGGACTGTTTTAGCAAGAAGTTGAGATCAGTTCCAAAAAATCTTGTTCTTGCAGATTGGCAACTGGTCGAGGTGCCTTGCAGAACTGTTTGGAATGGATTCAGATGATTCCGCAAAGAGCGGTGACGATCAGATCGGCGAGGACGGTGATCATCGGCAAGGAGATGACGGCGTGAGCAGGAACTTTCCCCTGCTCAATTCCCTGAGCGATCTTCTGATGCTCCCCAAGGACATGCTCCTAAGCAAATCGATTCGGAAAGAGGTAGATTCTAGATTTTCTGTAGAATCAATTCAGGATTCTCTCTCTCTCTCTCTCTCTCTCTCTCTCTCTCTCTCTCTCTCTCTCTCTCTCTCTCTTGTGAGGCCCTAATCGTGGGTGTTGGGATCTCATTCAAAGGTCTGCCCGATGATCGGCCTCCCACTAATAACGCGGATTCTCTGCAATTTTGCTCCCGATGAGTTCTGCCCAGATCCTGTGCCGGGCATCATCCTAGAAGAACTCAATGCCGAGGTATGTTCTCCACTGATTTTTTTGAATTTCCTCTAATGAAGCATTTATTTCACTTATGATCTTGAAGGCTATCAGTTTTTTTTGCTTTTTAAATCCAACTCAAAATATGAGAGAGAGAGAGAGAGAGAGAGAGATGATAATTTGGCCTCATAAAGCACCATGCATTATCTTTCCTACATAATATTTTACCAAATGAGGAAATTATATGCCATAATTGGCCTGATCCAGATCTTGCTGGAGCGGCGGTCTGCAGAGAAGGCCCTGATAAACAGCATACCCTGCACCGCCGAGCCTATCGCCTACTGCCCCCCTTCACCGGCCCAGGTGGCGGAGAAGGCGACAGATGGCGGCGGGACGCCACTTCTGGGGAGGAACCCGTCTATAATTCAGAGGAGAGGGTATACCAGTGATGAGGACTTGGAAGACTTGGACTCTCCCCTCACCTCCATCATCGACAGGAAACAGCCACCTGCAGCTGCTGCCACTGCCGGAAATGGAAATGGGACCTTGAGGGAAGCTGCAAGGTCCAATATGAGGTTCAAGCTCCTTCTAGAGGTATGGTCTGAATGATTCCAGATTTGTTAGTTTCTGTATTTACATCCTCGATTGGTTTTTTCCTTTTTTGTAAAGATAAGTAGGCATGTGATTGGGAGGGGGGGAGCGTTGAGTGATTGATATAAGAAGGGTTACATTACTATATGTGGCTAGAAGAGATTTTGCCCGTTGGATGGGTAGATGGAATATCAGACTCATCATCATTGGGGAGGACTAGATTTTTCTATACGTGAAGTGAGTATATATTGTCAACCATGATTAGGTGCCCTCTCTCTCTCTCTCTCTCTCTCTCTTCATATGAGCTTTCTAGCAGTAAGAATACTTGGCTAGTGGGCACAAGGACAATAGTAGAAAAAGGCTACATCCCCCCCCCCCCCTCAAACTCCAACAGAAACAGAATTCTTGAACATGCAGCATGGGAAGGACTAGACTCTCTCAGATTTTTCTACACGTACTATGAATATGAGTATATATATATTGTCAACCATCAAATATGATTACGGGCTCTCTCTTTCTCTCCCTCTCTCTCTATAGTCGTAAGCTCCGCAGTCTCTCTTTCTCTCCCCTCTCTCTCTTCAAAATTGCTTAGTGGAAGAAGGTAGAGAAATAAGTCCAAGCGAAGATGTAATCCCACAAGCTGCAGCAGGGAGTGAGGGCCACCAGATTCTCTGAAAAAAGTTGCCATTTTTGACGGAGAGGCCAGGTCCATGGGAGGATGAAGAAGAAAAAGAGCTTCTATGATAATGGTCCCCCATGGGCCTCCTATGGGCTTACTTTTAATAGCAATAATAATAATAATAACGACGGAGGAGGAGGAGAAGAAGAAGAAGAAATCAATCTTCTCCCTCGTCGACGAGCTTGGTGCCGAGGCCTTTCAATCCCTCGGGGGGGATATCGGCGACGGTGACAAGGGAGTAGAGCTCCTCCTTGGCGTCCTCGTCGTCGTTCCGCTTGCGGGAGATGCGCACGCGGACGCGCCGGGGGACGCTGCGGATGCCGCGGCTCCACACCTGCTTGTTCAGCTTCACGTCCACCCTCACGTCCGCCGTCCCCATCGCCTTCTGAGCGAACTTCCTTATCTCCTTTATCGCCTTGGGAGCCTTCTTCTTGAAAGTGCTGCAAAAAACATAATCAGATATCTTCATTTCTTCATGTTGATAAGAGAGAAGATTGCAATCTTATCTCTTTTTTTCCAAATAAATAAAACATATTTAATTAATCAGAGGAGAGGGATTGAATTGCCAGGGCTTCTTCTCTCTTCGTTAAGAGACCCAAGTTTTAAAAAAAGAAAAAAAAAAAAAAAGGGAGAAGCCAAGGTTGAATCAGTCGGTGCATCCGATTAATGCGCCGCAGCAATCAGCATATTATCAGGCAATTAGGGGAAAAAAATTCCCAAAGTATCAGCAATGATTCATTTATTAAAGATATAGATGGCATTTTTTGGTTATTCCCGCTTATGGGATAGATGAGCAAGGTCAGGAAGCTGCAATGAAGGCTGACTCTGCTTAGGTTGCAGCATGATATCTTCCAAGGACCAATTCGATCTTAATGGAGGAAAAGTTATTAAAGACTTGTAGAATTTTTGTATTCGAAGTGTGATTTGATGAAGGTGTTCAGAAAATATGGCCAATTTAGAAAAGAGTGGACGGAAGAAATTAATATTTCGAATCCCGATTAATTTTTTCCATGTCAAACTACGTTTCAAAGGATCAGAGATGTATCAGCCTGTAGATTTTTTGTATTCAAAGTGTGATTGATATATGAAATATTTAGAAAAGAGTGAACGGAAGAAATTAATTATTTCAAATCCCGATCAAATTTTTTTCATGCCAAACTACGTTTCAAAGGATTATGATTCCAATATCAACCAATCCATCCAAGAAAGAACGGTTCGTGAAATCTCAAGGCACTTAAGATTTTTGATAATTGGATTGATGTACCATTGTTTCCTGTGAACCCAAGCTGTGGAGTCCAGAGCAGAAATCTGGGCAGATATAAACAGGAACAGATTATCATAGGTCCAGCTAGAAGATTATTGCCAACTTCAATTGAGGGAATTCTTAATTTTTTTTAGAAAATGAAAAGTGGCGTTTGATATTCCTTAAATAGCATCTTGGTGACATTTCAAACAAAGCTTATGGACTATATATAATCCAGAAAAACTGACAAGTATTGAGCATGAAAACATGAAGATATTCTATGTAATCAGGCGATCGGAGGGCAGAGGATTGGGTGATAATGGACGTCGATGAATGAACAGATAAATATGGAAATCACAGTACCGGAAAGCATAATACATATTTCTAGCACAATCATTCTGCCAAGCAATGTTCGGTGCTGAAAAGATAAGACCACTCCTTTCTAAAGCAATGAACCTGTCTCATTAAACACGCGAAGCATCAATGTTTTTCTGATTCATGGGCCAGAAGATTACTTTCATCACATCCCAATAAACCATGTAGAGAATGAATCATTTGAACGGCAGAGTCAGTTAGCTACAACGAACATGACAGGAAAGAAGTAGCATGTACTTTAAAGCTGAGCATTCAAACCGTAAACTAATGTATGATCCGTATTCACATTAATTATGGAAAATGTGATAGTTCCAAAGTGATCAAACGATAAGCATTACGTGGCGGAGCCAAGAACACAGACAATGTGATAGTCCAAAAAATCTGCACGATCGAAAATTACGGTAGACTACAAGGAGGCGTCTCAGTATCCTGCACAAATGAATGGAATGGACCCAAGTCGATACAGAAAAATGCGAGGATGTGTCGACACCTGACTCCCAGAAAGAAGAGGAAAGGGGAGAGGGGAGAGAGGGGAGAGAGGGGAGAGAGGGGAGAGAGGGGAGAGGGGTCGAACATCGTACCATCCATGGAGACGCTTGTGGAGATTGATCGTATACTCCCTGGTCACAACCTCCTCCTTCCTCCCCTTTCCTCCCTTGTCCACCATTGTTGCCGCTGGATTGGCTCCTCGCTCGGGCCAAAAACCCTAATTGGAGGTGCGGCCGCCGAGAGCATCACCTCGCTGCCAACAGACTCTAATATATCTAGCAAATGAATTAAACTAGGTCTGTGTTTACACTTAATTTCCATATTGCCACTAGCCTGATCGTACTAACAATTCTTGGCCATTAATAATCGGACGGTCAGAACTAATTTCCCTTGAAGAGCTATCCGCGGATCTCCCACGCGTGATTGATGTACCCTCCGTTGCTATGCTCCCCTTCCCTCCCATTTGCTGCAGTAGGAAAGCATCTCCACGAACGGAGGAGAGAGAAATACCCTTCCTCTCTCCCTCTCTCTCTCTCTAGAGTGTATGAAGTGTCCGTCCCGTGGTACCCAGATAACAAGTTGCTGCCTTTCTCTGCGTAATGAAAAACCCACCGTTTTTTACCTCGCCACTTGGGAGTACAAACAGATTTCCCCATAGTCCAAACTCCAAAAACTCAAACCCCCCTTTAAATCCATTAAAATTTGAGGAGAAATCCTCTCTCTCTCTCTCTCTCTCTCTCTCTCTCTCTCTAGCTAGAGTGTATGCTTTCTCTAGGTAATGGAAAACCCACCGTTTTTATCTCAGCACTTGGGAGTACAAGCAGATTTGCCCAAAGTCCAAGCTCCAACAAGTCAAAGCTCCTTAAACCCATGAAAACTTGAGAAGGAGATTCTCTCTCTCTCTCTCTCTCTCTCTCTCTCTCTCTCTCTCATGTATGAAGCGTCAGACCCGTTGCACCCAAATAGAAAGTTGCTGCCTTTCTCTATGTAATGAAAAACCCAAGCTTTCTGATCTCGCCACTCGGGAGTGCAAGCAGATTTGCCCCAAGTCCAGGCTCCAAAAAGTCAAACCCCTTAAAACTTGCAAGAGAGAAAGAGAGAGAGAGAGGGAGTAGCGTGCATCCCAATCGCCACGGAAGAACGGGCCAGAAGGTCTCCTTAGGAATGCCAAGAACGAATGTAGAAAGTTCTTATGACCAGTAAAATCGAGGAGAAATAAATCAAAAAGACCCATCGGGCGGGCACTCGGAAGACTTTTCACAACAGGATGCACAAAAATGTCCGAGGAAGGAAAGTCAAACCCCGACACAGATCCTCGACGACCGAGATGACAGATTTATCTGACGAAGCATGGCAGGAGACTATAAAATAATATCGGACCGAATCAATCAATCCGCAAGCATAAGGAGGGGGCTTGTGATGGAGCAAAATTAATGGAGAAGCGAACAGAGAGAGGCCCCACTGCTGCTCATTTGCGAACCACGTGGATGCTTCGGCAGCTGCACCCGTTGACCCACACAACAAAGTCAAAAGCAAGAGCTCCCTGATTCTCCGATGAGCCCGCCCGTCTCCACAGCTTTATTTCCTCGACAGCGGTCACCCTCCTGTGATGTCCATTTTTAGCCGCAAAATAACCTGAAAACAGGCCCTGTTCATGCTCCGTCTCTGGAGATCGATCCGGATTCAGTTCATGCAGCAGCTTCATCGGGCTTGGGCTTGCTCCGGACGTAGGTAAGGCTTCTCGCCGTCGGAGACAGGAGACCACCGCCGCCGCCGCCGCTGCCGGGCAGAGGAGAGTTCTGAAGGTGCTTGCCGTCGGTGGCCGGAGAAGGGGACTCACGCTTCCACTGCAAGCTCCGAGCTCCGGTCTTGATGGGGAGGCGCCTGCCAAAGGCACCGCCGAAGGTGGCGGCAGCTCTGGAGAATGGGTAGCTCCCGCCGGCCCGGGCTGGATAGGGTTGACCCCAGGAGGACCCCCGGGACCAGGGGCTCATGGCGGCGGCCTCATGGTGAGCGGAGCTTCCCAGGACGACCTGCGCAGAGAAATGTTCATGGGAGATGCTAATCAGACCTCTCCGGAGGGAGTTGACCATCCTGTCAGGTTAAGTGACGGCGGATTGGAAGTAAACAAGGTTCAGAGCTCAAGAGAAACTTGTGAGAAACAGTATTGCTACTGATTTTTGTAAAGAAAGAAGATGAATTTCTGGTTTCAGATCCGCGTTGACATCTTGAAAGAGGATCACACTTCGAGAGCCCTGTTTAGATGGATATCTGAGCTTTTAAAAACAAATGTTCTGATAAATAGAAAAAAGACGGATTTGGATCTTTAGATCCATGCAGACGACATGAAAAATTGATTACACCTCAAGAGAAGAGTTGACTTGTTTAATGGATAACTGACCTAAAAAAATAGAGTTTTTAATTTTATTTTTAAAAAAAGATAAGATTTCGGCTTTCAGATCCATGCAGTCGCATTGAATAGAGGGGAAGGGGAAAAAAACACTATTCCATGCCCAGTTCTACCCTATTAGGGTTCTTAAAATAGGAAAGAGAAAAGACCCAACCTCTACCCATCCAGTGCCATCAACCCCACAGGATTAAAGCAGAATGCCCATGGTGAGAGCGTGGGATGGAATGAGGGCCCCACACATTCCTCAGTCAATGCTCCTTATCCTTGATCATTTGAGACACTCTCTCTGACACCTGGCAACCCTCCAGCTTTAGTTACCATATCGAGTGCAGAATATCCCATGTTAATTATTATTAGAAATAAACATGTGATTACAAAGATGGAGCCTACCCTACTCGTCACCAATTGGTTCTGTCCACGTTGACCCATGTATTTTGTCCACGTGGCAAACTCAGAAAGTCAATCTACAGTCCTCTATTAGCTATTAAAGAAATAAACATGACATTATAATGACGGGCCGACTAGATTCATTGCCAATTGGTTTTCAGGTGGATGCTCCAAGAACCCTCTCAGACACCATATGACAGGCAGAGTAGTACCACTAAAATCAGCAAATATGGGTGCCAAGTCTTCAATGTACCTTGAGGATCCGTGACATGAACGACGTCCCATTCAGTGATAAAGCAAGCTCCGCAGATTCATTCCTCAAGAACTCCACGTAGGCAGACCTGTTCAGAAGTCAACACAAAGTCAGCTTCAAGCCTCTACCAGAAAGAGGGAGGAAAAAAAAAAGAATCATTTCTCGAGTATTGACCCTATTGGTTGTCCAGTCGCAGCATCAGTTACGATGATCACTTTCAGCACTTCTCCAAATTTATTGAAATGCCGCGAAAGGGTGTCTTTAGTAGCAGCAAAGTGGACCTGCAGATAATATCATAAAAAGGATTTATGACAGTATCATCCACAATTTATGGTTTGGCGCTTTCAAGTCAGGAGGTAAAGGGCATACGTTGCTGACAAAGATAGTTCGGGAATCGGCGTCTTCAGAAGGACGAGTGGTCGAGTAAGAACCTGTGAATTCACAGCATACTAATCACAAAGTAGTGGATATGTTAACTAGTAGGATGTTAAGATGGAAACAGTCCCTATGATATGAAAAACACCACGCATGCGCACACAGAAACTGTCTGTCCAGAGCGTTACAACTAGCTCGAGGTAATAGTGATCGATTTGTTTCATAAACTCAAAGCTTGAGGAAATGGTAATTAATATTTAATAAAATACTAAAAATCGTCAGGTAGATAGGAATGAAGGTGATTATAGCTGCAAATATTGATTCATAATTTGTAGAACCCGGCTCTCATTCTCAAAATTTATCAAAGTTTTCAAATAAAAACGCACCATTTATGATGGCATTTCATCGCCCACGTCTTAAGTGGCATACATCTTATCAAATGGAAAGAGAATAAAAGGAGGCATAATTATGATGGTTTACCTAAGTGATCCATGCATGCAGGATCTAACCTTTTATGGTACGCAGAAAAAAGTTTTAGAGATATAAAATGAATAGCATACCAATGGTGGACGTCATAGACTTTGGTGTACCCTTTTCACCATTGGCACGAGCTGTCTCCTGTACAACGGGCAACAAGGTGCAATGTCTATCACAGAATCAAAAACGAAAGGAAGACAACAACTAATGTTGTAGACTAAATATCACATCCCAAATGAATAGTAATAAAGAAGAAACATTAATGATAATAAAGGGAATGAACTATAAATGAACATATAATTCATGAAAAATAAGAGCAGGCAAAGATTGAATAGCCAAAACGAAGATAAAAACATTCATGAAAAAGCGCCAGTGTAAGTACAAATTACTTGCAAGTAGATCAACATCGAATACCATACTAAAGATAAAACTAGTTTCATGAAAAAAATCTAAGGCACAGCTTCAAAAAAATTGGGTTCAGCATTATGATCTGAAACGAGGTAGATAAAAAAGAGAAAATTTGAGGAATAAATCTTTGAGACAGGGTAACATAAGCATCATAGAAGCATCACATGATCAATACATTGTTTCTCGCAGGCACAAGCATCATAGAAGTAACCTTTCACTGCATGAATGAGGCGCGGCAAGAAAGAAATGAAGGGTCAAAACATACTTCCACGTTCTTGAGCGAGTTGGCATTGCTTCCCGTTGGGAGCTGAACAGCCATATTATGTTGACCTGCTTCCATTTTCTCCTCGCGAATCTGACTAACCATCATAGCCTCCCTCTGCGATTGGTTGTGGGACGGTTTCCACGTATTTATATTCACAGATGTATTTACAATCTTGTGAGACGTATTTGAGGCAGCAGCTACAGGAGGATGTTCATCTTTTATTCGTGATTGCCTTGCAACCTCTTCCGTATTTGGAGTGACAATATACTGACCCATGAGTGTCTCTTTGCCCTGGTGTACGAAGGAAACACTTTGAGCACGAGAACCATCGATAGTCATGGGCCTTGAAATCTTAACATTGCTATAGTTTTCATCATCTGAGCCTGAACCAGAGGCTGTCCGCGCTTGCTCGTTAATCCCCATCATTTCGAGCATAGACTCCTCATCATGCCCATTTCTTTCCGGATAATCATGGCCTTTTAAACTAAGATTTTGTTCAGAGTATCTGCGGTTTGCCTCTTTCCCTGATGACTCTTTGTGGACAAGTGAGTCGTCCACAGCATGTCCTAATCTGCTAAAGACGTTTTTTGATGATCTAGACCTGGTTGTATCATTGGCAGCTTCTGCTGCTGCCCTGACTGCGGTTGCCATGCCACCAGATAGCCGTGTAGCTACTCTGGTCCTCTGGTGTACCTCATCTGGGGCTGAATCTATGGTAGAAGTGGAAACCACAGACCGAAGACGTTTTAATGCAGGCTCGGATCTTGTAGATGGAGACTCAGATCTTGTAGTTGCCCGCTGTGCAGTCTTGACGGCATCCCGTACAGCAAATTGAAGAAGCCGGCTGGGAGCTCCAAGAATAGGTTTGGCATTCAAGTCCTGCTAATGTAGCAAAGAAAAACAACAAAGTGAGATATGGAGAGGAACCAAACATCACTAAAAAGAGAGATAAACAACTAATTTTTCAATATCTTGTTCGAGACCACGCACACACACACGTCATAATATTCGACGAAGATGAGCAAGTGAAAACGACCTCCAGAGGAAACTCTAAAAATCGCTAAAATGCCTTAACAAAACCCTGTATATTAAAAAAATGTATAATTTTCTCGTAGCAGAGATACTCAGCTATACTACCTAGCAATTACCATCTATACAAAGTTCCCAATAATCAGCTTTTACCGTTGTAGCCAAACGGTGGTAATAAGAGATCACAAGAAATTTCTACCAAGAGAAATTGGACATTATACCGTAAACGCATCCCATTGACTAACATTGGTTATTTCGACGTAATAATCACCAATCACATGTGCAGTATTTAAAGATAATAATAAACATTCGCATGTCAGGCCACAGTCAATCAGTCTTAGTGCTGTCCGATGGAAATTTTATCTATAGTTGTGACATAATTGATCATCATGAATACGACGATGTACAGGTGGTTCAGGAGGTTCCAATGTTCTTGACAATGGGCAATTACAACTGTAATCATGGGCAGCGTCCTAACCATTAACATATGTTAAGAAAAAAAAGGCAGAACTCATATTTTATAAGACCAGTGAACAAAAATTAATCTTTAGCACTCACCACATAAGACGAAATTTGAAAATTAGCACCATCTATGGAAACTCTCTTATTTCGGAATCAGGTAGATTTTCCTTTTACGAGATATATATAAACAAAACGATGAAAGAAAAACGTTAAGAATAAGATCAACTTGAAATGAATGACAGGAACCACAAGAGAATTAAGAAAAGTTAGAAATGAAAATATTTCGACTAACTCTGACCACTTATTCACCTTTTTCTTGATAGATCAAAAATATGAAATAAAAAGAAAATAGCTTCAGAAAACATTTCAAACAACGGCTAGTAGCAATGGAAGCCACCAAAAAACTGCTTAAACTGTACTAACCTTCGTTGTCTGTTGTTCATCTTGTCTCCTCCGTTTTTCATGTACCAGAGGTCTAGGAGAGCGGGATCTCCGGATGGGACTGTGTTTGCGTGAGATTTTTTCCTGAAGGGCATTCTCAATTGTAGTGCTCTGATGAAGTGAGTCTGTCTCATCTTGGACCAGGCCTCTCCATTCCCTATTCCGCCGATTGCTGGACTCTTTTACAGGTCTTTTCCGCCCATTTTCCGAATCCGATTTGATGCCACCACTTACTTGCTCTAGGTTGTCATTAGATCCTCCTGAGGTGGGTGTCAGATTATCGTCTCCATCGATCAAGTTTTCCTCCGGAGGTAGATAGAGGTGCAAGTTTGAGGACAGGTGATCCCAAAGCCTACAGTACAGGCACATTATCAAATCACATAAAGGCACCCGTACAAGAAGAAATTAGCTCACATTATTTCAATCAAATCAAAGTGATTTTTGAACTTTGTCAATCGCAGCCAGAATGCAATTTAAAGTAGTAAGAAACCTACCATGACACAAATGCAACACTATCCTTTTCTAGGAACACACCGAGTTCCTTTCTAGCCTCCTCCTTGTGTCTCCCATTTCTAAGTAAGACGATAACATATTCCTGAAAAAGTAAAGCAAAGGTACTGCATCAACTCGGAAATTTGTTCGAAACAGATATTATTCAAATTATAATCCCGCAATGGAGACTAAGAGGCAGGGAAAATCGAAGAATGCCTAGAGAAAGATATAAAATCATATAAATAAAATGAACTTTCACGAACTATTTTTGTCCAATTGCAGATAGTAAACAACCTTTGCGCACAATAAAATCCAGGAATTTCATTATGTTGATAACACAAACAAGCATACTGCTGTACATGCACCCAGGTTCTGTGCCAGGAATATCGAGACTAAGGCTCATTAGAAAGGTCCAATAATTATTTCTGGTGGCCTTTCAGTAGCGGCCACGGGTGCAACAAAGGCCTACGTTCTGAGATGAAATAATTTCCTTTTAAAAAAGAATCTATGGCATACTCTCTTTTGAGGCATATCGTACAGCATAATGCAACAGGAATAAACATGGGACGAATAAAATAATAAAGCCCTTGTCTCAATTAACACTAAAAGTGCACGTATATCAATTATTTGTCAAAACTACATTTGAACCATGAAATGAAGACATCTTCATTTACCATCTCCTTTCTTCGATCTTGAATCAACCACTAGCTACTTGACAGCAGGATAACTATTTTCAACTCTTGTGTATTCTACATCATCCTTCTCTTGTGTCTCCTATGTACGCTTTCCACTCTCATATTCATAACTTACAGCATCAAAACCTGGCGCCATATCAGTATTCACCAACTTATTTTTTAATTCTAAAACAGCTCAATATGATTGCTGTTGCTCTCTCGGGAAGCATAACCTGAAAGCAATAAAATAGTCCCACTTCTTATGAAGGTCCATACTCAAGGTCCTCTTTTTTCCAAAATTATTTTCATTGGCCATGAAAAGCACAATCTGCCAACAGCCTACAACTGCCCTCTCAACTGAGTTCCATTCGATCATCTGCACTCCCGTCTACCACAGCCCTCTCAACCAGTATTCTCTTCACCATTTAAGCACTTACATGTAAAACTGAGGATAACATTAGAGAGGGATTCAAGGGGCCCCAACGTATTAGATTAAAAGCCATAACGAATTAATTTACATTGATACGGTGATGCCATTTCCAGCACTATACTGAACTGTTGACAATCATCTGCAAAAAGACGGCTTCCTCTGAACCATAACAAAATGTCTCCACTCGTCATCATCCTCAAAACTTTCATCTCTTCCTCAAAAACACGAGATTCATGAAAACTGCATTCTGACGATGTCTAATTTTCTATCTCACAAATGTCTTCATGCACTTGCACTTGACACCGTTAGCGTCTGACTCAGAACATTTTCTTTGTATCTTGCTTTCCCACAATATAATAAAAACAAATGCATTCTCTTCTTTGCGCTATCCTGCACAGGAGCTCACCGTGCCATCATAAAAAGTTCAATGCGTTTTTTGTATATGATCGTGCAGAAACAGAAAAAATGATATCTTCTTTGAAACATATCATCCTCCGAGGGAGAGAAATCCAAAATTTCATGAAGACCTGAAGAACATTTCCTTTCTTTGTCATTCACATCCCACAAGCGAAAAGACACAAATGCGACCATCTCCCACGCACCCGAATCCCAAACTATGAGTTAATGAATAGATATATGTTAATGATTCGTACCGCAAGAGTGTCGTCGGTGTAATCTCCCAGGAATTCCTTCAGCTTCTCTTTCACAGTCCCGCGGAGACTCGCCAAACCCTCCCCGGAGAAATTGACCCTGAACGTCCTAGTATCGCCCTCTCCATCTCCGTCGTCCATTGCTAATGCATCAGCGGCAAAACCAACAAACCAAAAACCCTATCACCTCCCGTCCGCCGTTTATAAAAATCCTCCCCTCCTCCCCGCAATGCCTACCAAATGCAGAAAACCCTAGTTTCCACAACTCTGGCTCCACGGCAATACTACGCGGAGGCCTCCGCTCGCCAACCAGCCGAGGATCTTCCCCACCGCCGCCTCGCGTCTTTCCCGATTACTTCTTCCACCCACAACACGCGGTGGTGGAGTTCAGAAGGGACTTGTGCCGGCGCCGAAGAAGCCCCGCGATCGCACAGTGAAATCGTTTCTCCTTTTTCAGAAACCAAAACCTCTGCATATAATTATATATATACTATGACGATAAACGAATATATTTTTTACAGTACATATATACCCTTTAATAGCATCATATTTATGGAAATACCACTGCGAAAAATCTTCCTCGTCTGGGCATAACTGTCTTATTATTAAAATTATATTTTATGTCTCATTGTAAATAGGTTTTTCTCGTTAATATGCATCTATATTTCAGTTATCTGCTGAAATTCGCTGTATATCCTAAGATATTTATTTAATCATTAAATTATTCGTTAAATCCGTGTTTGACCCAACTGTTATTTAAAAAATAAAATATATTTGTTTTAAATCAATAGGAAATATGGGAATTTCCAAGCATAAATATTATTCCATATTAAATGCATATAATTAATAGTACTCTCTTTAAATCAATAGGAACGTATTGTGAGTCTTACCAACAAATAAGGCGAATTATTCAATATAAATCTCCATAATCCTTGGATTGCAAAAATGTCCCTTACTTAAACCCACACTTGGCATAATTTTATATTTTTAAAAACAATTTTTTTAGGTTATTGAAAATTATGTTAATTAAAATAACTCACGTAGGCATAACTGATAGCAACGAGTTGCTTATGAGTGCACTACATATTCATTCCCCATGAACTAATTCGATCATCACACTTTGTTCTATATTTAGTTTCTTCAACCTTCTAACAATTGCTTACGATCAAAGTAATCAAGAATTATAATAAAAAGTACAAAACATCATATTTATTTAGATTAGAAAAAAGTACTAGACCAACAACCATAGGCTTTGATAAAATAATTAATGCGAAATTATCTAAAATCAATACCTTCTTTTAATGGCATCAACCAGTGTATTTTTAAAAAATATAGATTGATTATATTTTTTATGATCGGAATCTTCTAGTAAAAACTATTTGCATGTGATAAAAGTAATGTTAGATATTATATCCCTACCAATTCGGTTTGTTATGTTTAGTACAATATCAAAAGTAGGGATTTTTCATACCATGTTTAGTAACCAGACTGTTATAAAATTATGATCCACCCGGGATAAGTTCAACCTGGATGCTTTTATTTTTTTTAAAAAAATATTTTTTTAATACTTATTTTTTGGTAATCCCTGCGAGTGAAGAGCTTGTCTTGTTATCGTGAACACTATCTCACCACCGATCGGTGATCATGAAACTGTAAAGAAGAAAAAAGACGATGGCAAGACGGAGAACAAGATGAGTCCTTTATTCCATGTCAATCCCGGAGGGAAGAAGCCCACATATGAGACTACTGCGATGTTCCTTCCTTCTTGCTCCTCCAATGGCCACTTCTGTTTCCCTCAGATTACTGCAGGTAGAAGGCGAGGAAGGAGAGGAGGGAGGCTCCGAAGAGGGAGGCGGCCACGGCGGAGGCGCCGCTGGCGGGCGCCGGCGCGGGGGCGGCGGCGTCACCGGCCACGGCGGCGGTCGCCGAGGCGGCGGCGACGAGGACGGCGCAGGCGATCTTCCTCATCTCCATCGGCGGCGACTTTCAGTTGTTTGCTCGTCGCAGACGCCCAGAAGCCGCTCTGGAGATGGGCCGAACGGGGAGCTCTGATAGGTCTTTGGTGAGCTCCCTCTCTCTCTCTCTCTCTAGCTCTTCCTCCGTGGGCCTGAAGCAATGGCGGGTAGGGGGGCGGCTCTTATAGGCGGTGAATTCGCCAAAAATAGGGCGGGCTGTGAAGCCATACTTTGAGCGGTGGGGAGGAGGACGAGGAAGAGGAGAGAGCAGAGAACAATTCTCGAGGCGTTGACCGGTTCCTTCGGTCGCAGCCTGTCTGAAGCACGTAAAGCCCTTGAGCCCAATGGGTCGGTGTGGATATTTAAACTCTGCTTCCGTCGTCATTTCCCAGATGAAATCGTCTTTTCCGGGTCCATCTCCCTGAAAAAAATGAATGCTTTCCCATCTCTACATATAACGAGCAGTTCATCCAATTTCTTGCTGCTCGATGGGTTTCATATACTACGATTTTATCCTCTGCAGATCATTAGTTCATCTAAATCTGTGATGATGAAACTCGATGGAACTAATTGGAACTACGCAGCTAAGAACCGATCGATGATGGGAGACGACATGTAATCGAGACTTATAAGTTTCGGCCAAACGTTTAGCATGTTCCAACAATCCGACAAAGCAGTGATTATACGCGGGAAAAGCCCCGCTTATTCAAGCACATAAGCAGGATGGATACTACAGATTCGGGGAGTGCAGCACTGAAAGAAAACCTTCGCTTCTCATGCATGGCGGCATCTCATCTCATCCATCGTGTCCTGCTAACTGGCCCTGCTGCTCTCGTGATCCACCTCGGAGGAGATCTCCTCCTCCTCGTCCTCCGCCGGCTCCAGGTCGAAGCAGCCGTGGCCATGGCCGAAGGCCCGGACGTGGTCCTTGAGGGACCGCTTGTGCTTGAACTCCGAGCCGCAGGCGCAGAGCCACAGCCTGCCGCAGTTCTTCTCGTGCGTTCTCCAGTCGCCGCGTACGGCGAAGGCCTTGGCGCAGCGGCGGCACACGAAGGGCTTGATGCCGTGCTTGCGCTTGTAGTGGGTCTGAAGTGTGCGGAAGTCTTTGAGGGGCTTAGCGCGGGGATGGTCGATGTGGTTCTTGCAGCCAGGGGAGCAGCAGTAGCAGGGAAGGCGCAGCATGCCGGTGGGCTGGACGCCGCGGAGGGACTCGGGGCCGCGCCGATACTGCGAGCCGTGCCCCCACATGTGCATCTGCCGTCACGCCGCCGCCGCCCAGGGAACAAGGACGAGAAGAGCATTAGTCAGTGGTCACCGACCGGATGAGACGATGCCCATGCATCTTCTCTGTCGAGGAGAGAGCGAGATAGATAACGCGCGCGCGCGCGCGCGAGAGAGAGAGAGAGAGAGAGAGAGAGAGAGAGAGAGAGAGAGAGAGAGAGAGAGAGAGAGAGAGAGAGAGAGAGAGAGAGAGAGAGAGAGAGAGAGAGAGAGAGAGAGAGGGGAGAGAGAGAGAGAGGGAGAGAGAGAGAGAGGGGAGAGAGAGAGAGAGGAGAGAGAGAGAGAGGGGGAGAGAGAGAGAGAGAGGGAGAGAGAGAGATAGATAGAGAGAGAAAGAGAGGGAAATAGGGGAGAGAGAGAGAGAGAGAGTCGACAAGAAGAGAGTTCGAACTCGGTCGAGTTTTCACAGGCTTGATTTTCAGGACGAGTGCACGGATAATTGGTTGGGTGGGGATTGAGTCGAGCTGCGATCTTGGCTGATTCATTTGCACCACTGATTATGTCTCTTCAAATTTCTCTCCGAACGTACGACTCCCAATGTCTGGGAGTATTGTCCATTGTACCCGCTTTTGGAGATCAAGATACCGAGTGTTCTTCAGGGCACCCATTTTGGCGGTTAGTGTTCTTCACCGTGTGTATTTCGGAGAGCAAGATGAGGGATAGAAATGATAAAGCTCGGGCAAAGCCAGACTCGTTCGTATGCGGCATGTGAGAGAAAGAAAGAGGTAATCACTATACAGACTGTTCTCGGCGATAACTAATTCAGGAAATCAAGATGCCAAAGTCCTTCACCACACCAATTGTAGCAGATCAAGATATTGAGTGTTCTTCACGCTAACCATGATAGGAGATGATAAACGTACCGAGTGCTCTTCGTGATAACTTTCTTGGTGTCTAGATTCTGAATGTTCCTAATATTAGGAGGTCAAAATACTGGGTGTTTGTCACCGTGATTATTTTTGGAAATCAAGGGGGGACGGGAAGGGAGAGAGAAACCCTAGTCTAGCCCTGAATGGGCGCGACAATGTTTACGAACGAAAGTTTCAAACCCTAAAGAGAAGCCTCTCTTCACGTGACTTTCCCTTCCTTAAATGTTCTAACTGTTATGATCTAGCAGTAGCACTCCTGTGTCTTTGATCCTGAATAATAATAACAATAGTAATAGGATGAAGGGAAAGAAGGAGGTAGTCTGCCGTGTGGGGCCTTCGGCTCACTGAACAGTGATTGATGGCGGTCACTTCTTCTCGTTTGTGGAGCAGAAGATGAGTGAGCGTTGGTAATGGGCATGGGGATCATAATAAGATAAAGGCCTTTCCTCTACTACACTGAGTTTTTTCTAAAGGGCAAAGAGATGGGTTCATGTAAGAAAGCGGAGAGAGAAGCACCAACGAGGGACGCTGACCTCTTACTCTCTCGTAGAAGAGATCTGCCGTAGTTTCCTCGTAGATCAGTTTTCTCACTGTGAGTGCAGTTGATAGGTGGCTTCTGTCTCTTTCGAAATGTACAGCTTGCATGGAGTGATATGGGGGGAAGAAGATGGAAGTAATAAAATCACGGTGCTTTATCTCCATCCCCTTTTCTCCTTATATATCTCCATCTCTCTCTCTCTCTCTCTCTCTCTCTCTCTCTCTATACATATATATATATATATATATATATATATCCCTCTGTCGATATTTTTCTGGAGAGAAGATGAACAAAGGAGGTAAAATCATAGTGATTTTCCTCCCCGCTCTTTTACTGTATATACATCCATCCATCTATCTAATCTACATACGATTTGGGGGGCGGGGGGGGGTTGTGGTGTAGAGGAAACAAGGAGGATATCGTCGGTGATTAATCTCTCTCTCTCTCTCTCTCTCTCTCCCGATCTATCCTTCTATCTGTTGCGAGGAGAAGATAAAAGAAGAAAGGTCACAATTACGACGATTGCTCACTGAATTTCGGTCACGTACCTGCATGTTGTTGTACCTGTTGAAGGTCTTGCCGCAGACGGGGCAAGAATACTGAGTGGGTCCGATGAGGATCTGAGTCGGAGTCGGAATCCAATACTGACCCCTGTTGACCCTCCCTATGGCGGCGTTGGTGTTCCCCATTGGGGCTTCTCCTTCGTCTTCCGCCGTCGAGGAGGAAGAAGAAACCCTAGGGATCACATCAGCGGGTGTTGGGCTCGGTAAGCCTATGTGGAGGTTCACAGCAACCGAGTCCTCGTCTCCATCCGTCTCCTTCCTGCGGCCATCGCCTTGGCTTTCTTCAAAGGAAGTGCAGGGGGAGTCCCCCTCGTTGAGGTTGAGAAGGGGAAGGGCCTCTCTGAGAGGGGGAGATGGCGGTGGCGGGGGCTGAAAGGAGAAGGTGGTGAGGGAGGTCTGGTTCTGGTTGATGCAGACGTGGTTGAAGGGTTGAAAAGGAGGGGGGCAGTGGGAGAAGTAGCCCCGGAAGAGATTGGTGTAGGGATCTGTCATGGTTTCCGGTTGATGGGGGAGGGAGGGGACGGATCGCTTCTTGAAGGAGGTTATAGAAAGGAAGCAACTGTAAAGGAGATTGTGTGGAGGAGAGAGAGAGAGAGGGAGCGAGATGGGAGGAGCTGAGGGCATAGAGAGAGAAGTGAATACAGAGTCAGAGGCACAAGACCGGTACATATATTGGACGGGGTGATATATATATCTAGAGGAAGGGGGGGAGAGAGAGAGAGAGAGAGAGAGAGAGAGGAGGGAGAGAGAGAGGGAGGGAGAGGGAGGGAGAGGAAGGGAGAGGGAGGGAGAGGAAGGGAGAGGAAGGGAGAGGAAGGGAGAGGGAGGGTGAGGGGGAGAGAGAGAGAGAGAGGAGAGAGAGGGAGGGAGAGGGAGGGAGAGGGAGAGAGAGAGGGGGGAGAGAGAGGCAGAGAGAGAGGGAGAGAGAGAGAGTAGCTATGAAGCTGTTCACAAAACGAAAGCCTAAAAAGTGACCAAATGAGGGCGCACAGAGAGAGACCTAGAAAATGAATGGAAGCTGAAGGGCAAACCTTTGTTTTGGTTACAATTCACTGTACCATGCTCGGAGGGGAGGAAGGGGGAGAGATCAGTACAAAAAAGGCACATTTTTTCACTGATTCCCTTTCCCTTCGGGGTGTGGTGGTCACGTCCGAGCATGTAGCTACTTTTGTGATAGGACCTTCTTGTCGGCTATGCAGCAGCACCACCGTCTCCTCACTCGCCACCACCTCGCCGCCGCGCCCCCCATCCGTCCGCAGCCCCCTCCTTCCCCAACCCTTCGAAATTCAGACTCAGGCATACGCACTGTAGAAATCTGTAGAGAGAGAGAGAAGCACATATGTTGCTTCTGGCGCCCTCTACAACTGTAGAAACCTCAGCTTCTTCCCCAAGTAGTCCCCCGGCCTTGGCAATAGAAGATTCACGTACAGGTGAGAGGCAGAGGTCCCACAGGGTTTACGGTGTTCCTTAACCATGTATGCCATAGTCCGGTAATTAGAGTGATCTGTCGTGGGTTTCATGCAATAATGCTAGAGGCTCCTCCCCCTCCCTCTCTATCTCCTCTTCATTCCTCTATCAATCTCTCCACCTCTCTCTCTCTCTCTCTCGCTCTGTCTGAGTATATATATACATCGTTCGCCAATTCCTTTCCATCTCATCAATTTTCTTTGGCTTATATTATCATCACGGTCTCCTAAGCTCAATCATGAGAGCATCGTCCTCGACTGCTGTGGGCTGCTTAACGCCTATGCTTGACAATCTCTGACTCAGCCTATACAGCTGTCACAGTCCGACGTCTTTCCTTCCATCATCATGATGTCATCATCATCTTCGTTCGTAATATTTTTTATAATTTTCTAAGGTAAACACAATTAAATAATATGGTTAACGTAATTGACTTTGAGTCTGGATGCGCTTTCACAGGTTGTCCGATCTTCGAAGTCCAACCCCAGTGTATGCCACCCCACCATCTTTGCCCACGTGGCGAACCCACCTGGATGTTGAGCGTTGTTCACCAGACTGGTCAAACTTGGCAATAACGAGCCAATTATGTGTAAAGTCAAACTTTGATGATGGTTCTTGAGTTGGACCGGGAGTTTCGTCAGGGAGCCTTCGTCTCCCTCGGCAGCAACATACGTCAGATCGCGGGTGAGTGATCGAAAAATGTGGATCCCCTCCGCCGACCACCAAAAAAGTTTCGATTTTTACCGTCCGATCTTTTCCCCAGTCCTTATCTTCCTCGTTAGCGGCGATCCAACGGCCCAACAATGCCGGCGGCGGCGGCGGCGGCTTCTCCGGGATCAAGTGGCGCCGCCATGGTGGGCCCTTCTACTTGGGTTCGGAGATGACCCACGAGAACCATTCATTGCCGTAAATAGTCTCCATCGTTCCCCTTCGCCCATGTGCTTGCCAGGCCGGCTTACAGGGCTCGCTAGGGTTTCCGACCTCCGTTTCTCACCGACACAACAGGTTCGAGGTATACGCAAACAGTGGAGCCATTGATGTCCAACAGTGACGATAATAAATAGGGGGGAGTCTGTGACTTGCGGGGGACGGGGATTTCTTCCAGTCTAGGGTTTCTGGGAGGATGAGGACGACGCCATGGCTAGGGTTTCACTGTTTGAGGAGAAGGGGGGATGATGGCCTCCGTACCTGTCAGGAGCAAGAAGAAGAAGTGAAGACATGGAGAAGTGTGTGTGTGTGCATGCTGGTTGTGGAGTGTGTTAGGGTTAACGCAGTACTAGGGCTGTGGTGGTCTGTCAGCGATCTCACTGCTCCTCTGATGCAATCCAGCAGATCTGAACAAATCCTAATGGAAGTACAGGAGGGAATGAATATGGCTGATGCTATTTTTTTTTGGGCACGCTACCATTTGTGCATGGAAACTCTAGGTGCATTTGAATGGACGCAACTGTCGTCTCTCTCTCTCTCTCTCCCTCTCTCCCTCTCTCCCCCTCCCCTATTCCTTTTTCACTCTCGAGCCCGTTTCCTCTATTATTCTCTGTTGAATTACTCTTCATGTAACCGCAACACTTTACTCTCGACGACCGATTCTTCTGAACTCCATATCTCTCTCTCTCTCTCTCTCTCTCTCCTGCCGCCTCTACCTATCTCACAAGTCTCTGTCCATCTCCTCCCTCCTCTCTCCTTTCCTGATGCTTCTCTCCCTCTCTCTCTCTTTCTCCATATCCCTTTCTCACTCTCTGTGTAGTTTGTCTTCTTATCTTCGCGGACCTTCGACTCAACCCTCGACAACCTATTCTGTTTTACACCACACATCGCTTTCTATCTCTCTCTCCCCCCGTTTCGCTCTTTCTTCTCTCCCCCCTTTTCTCACTCTGTACACCTCTCCCTTTCTCCTTCTCTGTTCAATTACTCTTCATGGACCCTCAACTCTTAACTCTCGAAGACCTATTCCGCTTTCCCCCGTTCATCTCTCCCTCCCCTCGCCCCCCCTCCTCTTCCCTATACCTTTCTCTCTTTCTGTACACCTCTCCCTTTCTCACAGTCTTGTGAGTTATTCTCGATGGACCCTCCACTCTTAACTCTGGAAGACCGGTTCCGCATGACTCCATAGATTTATCTCTCCCCTCTCTCTCTCTCTCTCTCTCTCTCTCTCGCCTCTTGATTTTCCCACATCGGGTGGGAAACCCGAGTGAAGAAAGATACGTCGAAACAATGTGAGCAATGCGAATAATATATATACATCAATCGAATCAGAGCGATCATTCGAATTCAGCCCAGCTACAACTCACTGCTATGCCGTAAGAGGGCAAGCCCCAAACCATGGAGGGCCCTCGGCCCCGACTCTGACGACGCTCTGACCTGCTGAAGCATTCTAGGGTAAAGCCCAGAAGAAGAAGAAGGAGAAGAAGGAGGAGAAAGAGAAACAGACGGACTCTATAGCCTCTCGATGCCTCTGGCTGTTTCCTGTATTGCCGTTTCACGCGTTACCCTTTCCGGGTAATCACCTACGCTGGGATCTTAAGGAGAGAGTATCATGTTGATTCCATCAAAGTCCACACACACCCACATACACAGATTGTGAAACGGCCAATTATTCTCTCTCTCTCTCTCTCTCTAGGATAATAGACTCCAGGGGAGGACCGTGGATATGAGAGTAGCAGCATGGCATGTTGGGACCTAAATGGGAGAGTAACAGGTTGGTTCCCAATCTACAAAGTAGAGAGAGCGAGCAAGAAAGAAAGAGAGAGAAAGTGAATACCGTGTTGATTGGATCACCCAATTACTCTCTCTCTCTCTCTCTCTTGTAGAGTAGAAGATATCTACCGGATAATCGACGAGAGAGTAGCTGTATGGCATTTCTCCCCTTCTCACTCTCTTAAAGATTGGACAGTGTCGTACAGGATAGTGATGAGAGATTAGTTGCATGGGACACTCTCTCCCCTTCTCTCTCTCCTTCCCTATCGGAGAATGGACTGCATAGTGTCGTAGAGTGGTGGATGAAAGAATAACTAGATCCATACTTCCTCCCTCCCTCCCTCCCTCCCTCCCTCCCTCCCTCCTCTCTCTCTCTCTCCCCCTCTCTTTAAGGATGGATTGTGTTGCATAGGACGGTGGATGAGAGAGAGAGAGAGAGAGAGAAGAAGCTGCATGGGATGTGACCCACATAAGTTTGTGTGGGTTCTCTCGGAGTGATTCAATTCGCTCTTCGGGATCTCGATCCCTGCGGTAGGATCATGAATGAGGCATTCAATTCATGTGGTCAATCACACCCACGCCCTTCCTCCCCATTTCTCCTTCGGCTCTCACTTATGGGCCCCGTCCGGTCTGGGCCTATACTTCTGGGCCAGGCCCCTTCGAACCCCGCCCCGCTCGGTTCTTTCTCCCTTGGCCCACTTATGACGTCAAAATGATGAAAAACATTTTTATTTCATTTTTTGCTAATTTTGCACCATATTTATGCATACGTTCGTATTAAAAATTTGGGGGAAAGTGGGCCGTACCAACTTGGGCCGCGCTCTGGCTTGGATATGAATTTGTCGGGCCCAAAGCCCATTATTTATACCCTTGCTTAGGCCCAGGTTTTGGTGGGGCCCATAACTTAAGCGGCATGAAAATAAAACTAGACGCCATTTATATTTTTTTACGTAATAATGTAAATATAATTTGTTCTGTGCTTGGATCCTACCCTTACTAAATGTTAAATTATGTTGATACCCTCAATTGTTCGCAGGAAAGTATTTTCTGAGCTTGTATGAGTATATTCGTAATATCAAAACTTATAGGAGTTAGACACACGTCAACTTTTCGGGGGAGTCCACACAATCGTGCTGAAGGCGACGTGACGCCCGCGTCCACATCGCCGTCACGTTTGACGCACATGGCATTTTGAGACCGTCAAAAGTGCCAGGTAGCTTACGCCACTCGATATTAAATACCCGGAAAGTTCTCCAGGAGGTCTACGGAAGATCTTTAATCGTCACTTCCCGGTAAGGTTAATCACCGCCTACGTGAACGGTAGTTCCGGTTCCAAGGATTTAGGGAGTAAGTCAACCTCCTGGTAGGAGATTTTCGTTGTGGTTTTTTTCTTGATTTAATTCCTATTAAAAGGGATGGGACAATAATCAAAATTTATGTTTATACCTTTTCTCGACCTTGATCAGCGAATATGTTTTTAGTATCAAAAGTATTTACTGTAGGGTTTATTTTAAGATGTCGAAAATGCAAGTTTGCAATTTTTGAGATGGTGAAGAAAAATTCCTATTGGTTGAGAGACCGGGGATTCGGGCGGCGGGGACTTTCAAATAAATGTCCACTGGTCAAAGGGTTTCCCCACGCTTTCCTTCTCCGCGCGCTCTCTCTCTCTCTCTCTCTCTGTCTCTGTGCCCATTTTATACGCGAGGCGACGTAGGGGCTTCTTCCCTCCGCTCGTTCTCCGAAGGTGCGTTCCTAGTCATTCCCTCCTCGGCCTTCTCTGCTCTTCTCTTGTTCGTTGTCCTCGTCGGAGGTCTGTGTGAACGTTTGTTTGGGATTTTATTGTAGACTTGCGCCATTTGATTGTATCTGCTGGTGGATCTGAGCGTTTTTCTTCTTTTTGGAATCCGGAAGCTCGATGTTTGATCCGTAGCGTGTTTTCTCGGTTATCATACCAGGTTCTTGTGTTGTAGACGGCGATTTATTCGATGCCGCGTGGATGTTATGTCTTTGAAATCCAGTTATCTTTTCCTGTTCTCTGCATCTGAGTTTGTAGATCTCGCGGTTGTGAGATCTGTTTCCCCATATGCTCTCTGTGTTTGAAAATTTTCTTCTGTAACCGTGGTTTACAAATGTGTCCGTTCAGGAGTCCGAAATTCTGATTTATTAATGATGGGAAAATCGTCAGGGTTTAAATCATGCTTGATCGAGCAAAATGCTTTGCGTACGAATAATTTGCTCCATGTTTTTGCGGTAGCTGCGGTTACTGTGTTTTAGTTTTCGTCTATTTGTATAATTAGAATGGCATCCTAGTGGATAATTCTGCGTGGAATTCGTTCTAATCATCATTCAGGGAATGAGTTATCATCAAACTTGTAACAACCTCAAAGGCTTTAATATTGGTTATGAATCTGTGCCAGATTATAACTCTGGGTTACAATTTTACACTAACTTTCTCGACCTTCAATATCATGAACATTTGTCCATGGGCCCTTTTATCTTTTAGTATTTTGACCTTGTAACCGAAAAGTTTTTAATTTAGTTTCTTTGGAGCAAGACTTTGTTCGTGCCTCTTCTTTTCTTTCCCTTTCACAGTTTAAGAGAAGGGATTATGTTCCTGGAGCCATTTACGAACAAGTACATGCTTATTCATATTTAAATATCACAATATTTGGCTGACGCCACTCGATATTAAATAGCCGATGACGGCCGTCCATTAGGTCCGTGATCTTTAATCGTCACCTCCCTGTAAGGTTAATCACCAGCCCTGTCGTAGTCGTCCGCAGCGCGTGAACGGGAGTTGGGGTTCCAAGGATGTAGGGGGGTGAGTCATCCTCCTGGTAGGAGATATTTCGTTGTGGTTTTTTCTTGATTTAACCCATATAAATGGCTGGGGCAATAATCAAAATTTCCTCTATATTCTTATTATACTGTAAGTTTTTATAATTTATGTTTATACCTTTTCCCGACCTTCTCAGCGAATACGTTTTTAGTAGCAAAAGTATTTACTGTAGGGTTTATTCTAAGAGGACGAAAATGTAAGTTTGAAAATTTTGGGATGGTCAAGAAAAGTAACTATTGGTTGAGAGAGCGCGGATTCGGGCGGTGGGGACTTGCTAATAAATCTCCACTGGTCCAAGGGTTTTTCTACGCTTTCCTTCTCCGTCGTCTCTCTCTCTCTCTCTCTCTCTTTCTCTCTCTCTGCTCGTTTTATACGCGAGGCGGCGTAGGGGTGTCTTCCCCCTCCGCTCATTCTCCGAAGGTGCGTTCCTACTCATTCCTATCTCGGTCTTCTCTGCTCCTCTTGTTCGTTGTCCTCATTGGAGGTCTGTGTGGCCATTTGTTTGGGATTTTATTGTAGATCTGCACCATTTGATTGTATCTGCTGGTGGATCTGAGCGTTTTTCTTTTTTTTTGGAACCCGAAAGTTCGATGTTAGATCTGTAGCGTGTTTTCTCGGTTATCAGACTAGGTTCTTGTTGTTCATACCTGATTTGTGTGGAGACGTCGATTTATTCGATTTCGTACGCGAATAATGTAGCCGCGTTGATGTTATGTCTTTGAAATCCAGTTATCTTTCCTGTTCTCTGCATCTGAGTTTGTAGATCTCGCTGTTGCGAGGCGTAGTTGCCTACATGCTCTCTGTGTTTGACAGTATTCTTTTGTGACCGTGGTTTGCAAATGTCCGTTCACGAGTCCGAAATTCTGATTTATTAATGATGGGAAAGTAGGCCATTTTTATTTATATTCTTTTCATCATCTGTTGATCTTTCGGTCTTGTTAATCGTTTATTGAGTATTTTTATTTTACCATTATTTTCCGGTAGTTTTTTCGTGGAGCTTAATATTGGCCCGAGTTTCGGTCTCGGATGTTTGCGGAAGTTCTGTGGGCCTGCTCCCGTTTGAACAATTTACGCTTTTGTAGCCATCTGTGTTATAGTCATCATACTACCCAATGCGGGGTGTTATATGTTAGTATCTAGCATTGAGTATGATTGGTTTGATTTCTTATTGTCATTTTTTTCTTTTTTATTGTTATTCCAAATCTTTTTGCATGGCTTTCCTTGATTTTCTGCTACTGTATCCCTCCGCTTGTACCTTGAGCTTTACATGATAGTAAAGGTTTTCGAATGGTTTTCTCCTCCCTTTCGGAAGCTTAATGACGAGCACCGTTGTTGGCTGTTGTACAGCTGTTTCTATGCTATGGGTTTCCCTCAGGAATGTGAGCCATCCTATGTACAAGTGTATTCGTGCTTCAGATATTGATGTCTATTCTCCGGAAGTTTTTAGTTAAAGAAACGCTTATAAATGATATTACTGCTTCTTGTGTTTCAAGGGAACTCTATTTCGAGTTCCTGTTGCAGCTACTTTTAAACGGGCATTTGGGTTGTATGATCGTATCTTGCTTTCGTTGAATGGGGAGATTTTTCGGTGCAAGTCGTCCAGAAAGGGGTCTGCATAGCTTTCTTCTGCGTTTACTAACAGATAAAAATAGGAAGAAATCGTCAGGGTTTTAATAATGTTAAGTCTGTGACCCTAAATTCCATTTACAGCTGCCTAGATGGGGCAAGATGCTGTGCGTAGAAATAGTTTGCCCCATTTTTTCGTGGTAGCTGCGGTTACTGTTTCTCAGTTTTCGTCTATTTGTAGACTTGTGAGAAGATTTATTGAATGAATAAATTTGAATGCCACCCTGATAGATAATTCTGTGTGGAATTCTCTCTAATCATCATTTGTGGAATGAGTCATCTTCAAACTTGTAACAACCTTTTATCTTCTCACCTTTCTTTATATGGCATTAGAGCCATCCTACACGACAACACGTAAATATATGGTTGCATCTCCCAACGTGATGCCTTTATTTCTTCTGACATTATTATGTGACCACTATCTCTTGTTGATAACTTAATTTATTCCTGTTCTAAAGAGCTGTGATTATATGACCATGGTCGAAAGCTCCACTTAGTTGTCCTTAAATGTTTTTATTGATGGGAAGGAAGTCTAGCAGCCAAATTCGAACTTCATTATTAGGGAAATGACTGACTAAATAGTTCTTATACGGCTCATATCATCCCTAACAGAGACTTTCCTCTGATTAGTAGTTGTTTATCATACATCAAATGATGTTTGAGATATTTTACTTCTAGAGCTTTTGCATTGGCTTTAAGTTTTGAATTCATAACCCACAACAAACTACATGCCTCACACTGTAGGATGTTACCTTTTTATGAGTCCATCCAATGCATCAAAATAGTTTGCTACGATTGGTCAGCTAGTGGATGACTAGGATCTTATTATGGTGATTTTCACCGAGTTAAGACCAAGCTATGAGACATTCATCTTTAGTATTATAACTGGCAAATAGTTGCTCACTCTAGAAAAATATCCCTAGCCATCTCATTGTGCATGAGAGGATCATGGCACAATAGTACTTTTTCTTGTAGGCTGTTGAGTATTCTTTTACACTAAGAACTTTCTCGACCTTCAATATCATGAACATTTGTCCATGGGCCCTTTTATCTTTTAGTATTTTGACCTTGTAACCGAAAAGTTTTTAATTTAGTTTCTTTGGAGCAAGACTTTGTTCGTGCCTCTTCTTTTCTTTCCCTTTCACAGTTTAGGAGAAGGGATTATGTTCCTGGAGCCATTTACGAACAAGTACATGCTTATTCATATTTAAATATCATATATTTGGCTGATGCCCTTTTTATTTTGTTTGATTCTTATAGGATTCTCTGCTGGAAGCATGGCTGACCAGCTTAACCACCCATCTGTTATCCAGAAGGTAGCTGGTCAGCTCCGTCTGAGTTCTAGCATTTCACAAGATGTGCTGGCTCAGAGTGGTAGCTTCTACAGACCAGCCTTTCACGGGAGGAATTTTACAAGTGGTAGATATGCCAATGGTGGGCTTCAGGGTCCTCTAATGCAATCCTGCAGAGTCACCTATGATCTCTCTATGGTTTCTCCTGCATCCCCCATGTTTGTCAATGCGCCGTCAGAGAAAGGTTTTCTGTCTTTCGCCACGGACTTCCTCATGGGTGGAGTTTCTGCTGCTGTATCCAAAACCGCTGCTGCTCCCATTGAGCGAGTCAAGCTTCTCATCCAGAACCAGGACGAGATGATCAAGACCGGTCGGCTCTCACAGCCCTACAAGGGGATCAGCGAATGCTTCAGCCGAACTATCAAAGACGAAGGCTTCGTTTCACTGTGGAGGGGCAACACCGCTAATGTTATTCGTTACTTCCCAACACAGGTCCGTTCTCTTCTATCTGTTCTATCAGACAGAGAACCCTTCTCAATGCCGCATTCTCCTTGTTGCTAACAAGAGGCCTGCACTCTTATCCCACCAGGCCTTGAACTTTGCGTTCAAGGACTACTTCAAGAGGATGTTCAACTTCAAGAAAGACAGGGACGGCTACTGGAAATGGTTCGCCGGCAATCTGGCCTCTGGGGGCGCCGCTGGTGCCTCATCCTTGCTGTTCGTGTACTCCTTGGACTATGCCCGGACCCGGCTTGCGAACGACGCAAAGGCAGCAAAGAAGGGGGGAGAGAGGCAGTTCAACGGCCTGGTTGATGTCTACAGGAAGACTATGAAGTCTGACGGCGTCGCTGGTCTCTACCGCGGATTCAACATCTCATGTGTGGGGATCATCGTCTACCGTGGTCTCTACTTCGGAATGTACGACTCCCTGAAGCCGGTGGTTCTCACTGGATCCCTTCAGGTACCTGCTCTCTCCTATGATTTCTGCAGATAATTTTTGTCAGCTCATTAAACATATTAATCGGTTTTTCTGAATGAAGTATTGATATTAAGCGTATATAAACTGTTTATATAAATATAAATGATCACAGTATTGATACTGTGATAATTCATATGGTGTCATAGTTTTATTAATTCATTCATATGAATATGAGGGGGTCTCTATGCGCGGTGGATTGCAGGATAGCTTCTTCGCGAGCTTCGCGCTGGGGTGGCTGATCACGAACGGAGCGGGGCTGGCGTCATACCCGATCGACACGGTGCGGCGGCGGATGATGATGACCTCTGGGGAGGCGGTCAAGTACAAGAGCTCCTTCGATGCCTTCTCACAGATCCTCAAGAACGAGGGCGCCAAGTCCCTCTTCAAAGGCGCCGGCGCCAACATTCTCCGTGCCGTCGCTGGTGCCGGAGTCCTCGCCGGCTACGACAAGCTCCAGCTCATCCTCCTCGGCAAGAAGTATGGCTCAGGCGGCGCTTAAACCCGCAACCGCCGCTGCCGCCAACCTCCGCTCTCTTCTCTTCACTTTCAGAGGAACCTTCATGGTGGATGGTGACGAAAATTTGGTCCGGTTTTGCTGCGAAGGTGGTGGGATTCTTTTGGCTGCCGAATAATCCGCCTTCTAGAGGGAGATTCTCCCCAATTTTTCTTGGCCTGGAGTGTCGGCCTCTCCAGGCAAGACTACTTTTTTCTGCTTCTGTTTCTTGAATCCTTCATCCTCGTCTTTTTCTAATTATAGCTTTTGAACCTGAATTCCATCTTCCTGGTTTTTTTTTTTGCTTATTCATGGAAAATATCTTCTGGGTTTTATGCTTGTTGTTCATCGATGTTAACTAATCGCATTATATATATATATATATATAAATATAAGTGTAGCGTTCTGGTTTCGAAATTCTCAATGGGATTTCTCTGGCTGCCGGATCGCCGACCGGAGCTCGTTCCTGTAGCTCTCTCTCTCTCTCTCTCTATCTCTTCCTACTTTCTCATTCTACAGACCGAGGGTCAGGGGGACGGCCGAGAAACGAAATCGGGGTCATACCTTGCAGAGGGCTTTTCGAGTTCCAATGATCACTGAACTGGGGGGGGGGAGGGGACTTTGCTGCTCCGTTTCGATTGCAGGAAAGGGTGATTCCCCGGACACCGAAATGGGCCAACAATCGGGCCCAACAAGGCCTGGGCACAACGGCTAACCGCGTTGTCACTGCAAGTCTTCTTCAGGCGGCGCCGCCAGCAGCCAGTAGAAGTAGTCGAGGTGGGCACGGTTTAGGTTGTCGGAGAACCAATCCTCCCCCCACCAGGCGCTCACTTTCTGTATTACCAAGACGAGGACGCCGCTGATGAAGCTCCCGACGCCGAAGATGCTCATGTAGAGGGCAAAGTCCAAGATCCTTCTGGCGGTGGGCACCTGGTCGTAGAAGAACTCTTGGAGACCCCCGCCGGTGAAGACATCGGAGACCCTGAGGAGGACGTACTGAGGAACGAGCCGCCACAGGTTCATGGGGATGGCGACGCCCGGTAAGTCAACCAGTCCGAAGTCTATTGCGGTCTGGAGCCTCTTCGTCTCCACCTTGGCGGCGATGGCTATGGCGGAGACTGAGAGCACCATGCCGAAGCCGATCCTCTGGAGCATCGTCAAGCCCAAGGGCTCCCCGGTGAAGGCTCTGGTTATGGGGACGAAGAGGCTGTCGTAGATGGGCACGAAGGCAATGACTGAGAGACTGATAAAGCTCTGAAGCGCCGCAGGGGAAACGAGGAAGGAGGGGGTGATTCTTCTGTCCATGGCGCTGCCCTGCTTGGTGAAGAAGGTCGAGGATTGCACAAGAACCGCGGGGCACAGCAAGCAGGTTGCCCAGATTGGGAGCAATCTGAGGACCCGTCGACGGTCCTCTGCGACACCCTCCTGCATAGCAGACCTGCAGAGTGGGAACCCGTGAGGAAAGGTGAGATCTTCTTTAATTGAAACTGACTTTTCCAGGCTCTGGAGGATCCTTACGTGCCATGGAGGAGAGCTTCCTTCGATTCTTCGGGAGGCGGCGCCCGCAAGCTGTCCGAGAAATTGCTGACGGCTCCGGCGAGCTGCTCGAGGGGGTTCTTCCCGGGAGGATCGCAGTAGCGGTAGATCCTCGTGCCGGCCAAGAAGAGGCCGAGGGAGATGGCCATGGAAGCGCAAGGCAGCCCAAATCCGAATCCCCGGCCGATATTGCCCTGGACGTAGGATATCAGCAGCACAGCCAACACCATGCCGCTGCAGAGCCCGAAGTACAGTCAGTTGAAGAAGGAGCTCCTGGACCTGCACTCTTCTGGGTCGTCGCCGGCGAACTGGTCGGCCCCAAAGGCCTGCGCGCAGGGCCTGTGGCCGCCCTCCGCGACAGCCACCAGGTACAATGCGGAGAAGAAGATCGCAGTCTGGAATTGTGAGGGGAGACAGCTCTCCCGGCTGCCGCCGCCGTCGCGCTCCATCGGGCGGAGCGACGGCGCCACCGCTGAAGCCACCAGCATCGCTAGACCCTGCGAATGCCCGATCAACTGTGAGTAAAATCCTTCCTCTCCTAGAACCAGTAACCCTTCTTCTACTCTCAGTACAATTCGACGGATTTCCATACAAATGGCGAAAAAATTCTCTAGGGTTTGAACACAAGACGATTGGTGGTGTGTGTTGGCTTCGGAAGCCCCAATACACTCCAGAAATAGAGGTAAAAGACAAGAAAGTAACATGAACAAAGAACTGTATAGAAATGATTATTCTTCACTATTCTATTCGTCGAACTCATAACCTTTTATATAGGGAAGCCAATCACTGAAAGAAAGAGAGTGTATCTAACTAGCTTCTGAGGACTTGGCTAGACGTCCAATGTGGCAGCACCACCACTGTTATAACTCGCAGAGATGAGCAGCTGGGATTGATCCTGCAAAACAAACATAACGAACAAAACAGAAAGAAAAAACATCCAAATTGTCTGTTTCAAGAAGCATCGCCAGTTGTCGGCAATTGACGATGGAGCAGGAGCATCTCCCCATCAATCTCCTCCATGCTCTTTCTCCCTTGCAAGTAGATGTTGTATTCCAAGACACCTCTGCATTTCAACAAATCTCACCCTTCCGAGAAACTTGGTGAGGATATCCGCCAATTGATCCTCCATCTTCACGTAATCAATCGTGATCCCTTTTTCTTCAACACACTGACAAATAAAATGATATCCCGTGTCAATGTGCTTTGTACGACTATGATGCACCAAATTCTTGCTTAGGATAATTGCTGATTTGTTACCCACAAGCAATTTCATCATCCCTTCTGCCTCTCCTCTTAATTTGCTGATGACTCGATTTAGCCACACACCTTGATATGCGGCAGTAGTGACAGCAATATACTCCGCCTCACACGAAGATAGAGCTACTGATTTCTGCTTTTGAGAGGCCCAACTGATCATCATTTCACCGAGGAAGAAAGCTTGCCTAGAGGTGCTCTTCTAATCTTCCACATCACCAGCAAAGTCGCTATCACTATAACTGACTAATTTTGCTTCTGCCTGCCCTTTCTCATAGACTAAGCCATAGTCAATTGTACCTCTTACTTACCTTAGAATCCGCTTGATCCTTGAGAGATGTTCTGAAGCGGGGTGCTCCATAAACCTGCTTAGTAATCCCATAGAGAAAGTCAAATCAGGGTGAGTGTGAGTCAAATACCTTACTTCCGATGAGATTACGAAAGTAAGTAGAGTTAATTGATGATCTTGAATTCTGTTGACTGAATTTAACTTTGGCTTCAAGTGGAGCATGGACTGGATTGCACTCCCTCATCCTTGCAACACCACTATTTTAAGTGCATAGGCTTTCTGTGACAAGGTGATTCTAACTCCTCCTTGTGCCACTTCAATGCCCAAATAGGAGCAAAGTTGTCCAAAATCACTCATATGGAAGAAATTCATCATTTGATCTTTGAATTTGCTAATGTCACTGTCATTCTTACCCATGACTAATAGATCATCCACATGGACCTCAATAATCAAGTGGGACAAGGCACTTATATAATTTAAAATATCATGTTCGTGAAACTTGCTTAAGCCCATAAAAGGCTTTCTTTAACTTCAAGACATAGCTCTCTCTGTCCTTCACAACAAAACCCTCCAGTTGCTTGACATAGAGCTCCTTCTCCACATCTCTATTCAGAAAAGTGGATTTTACATCAAGGTGATGTAAGACCCATCCATTCTGAGCTACAATTGCAATAAGCACATGAATTGATTCAAAACATACTACAGGAGCAAACAGCTCATCATAATCGATCCCTTGATTTTGTGAGTAGCCTTTCACAACAAGCCTTACTTTGTGTCTCACAATGTCTACTTGGGTATTCTTCTTAAGCTTAAATATCTATTTAAGTCCGATTAGCTTGCAGTCAGCTGGGGGTCTGACTAATTCTCATGTTTGACTTCGGTCTATGGTTTCCATTTCGTCTCTCACAGCATTCCTCCATGCTTCCTCTCATGATGGTTCACTGTAGGAAACATGCTCTTCGTGTGAGAGAAAAAAATCAGCATCCTTCGAGGACATGGGGCATGTCTTAGAGTAGATTTGATCAAGTGACTTGAATCTCACGGGCTGACTGTCTTTAGATTCGGAGTGTGAGACAAAGGGGTCTTCTTGGGATTCATAAGTCTCGAGTTCATCACTTTCGTGAATAGGACATCCTCTGCTCCATAATCAACAAGAAAATTATGGAAAAAGGTAAGTTTAGAATCACTCTCACCTCCCTTTTCTCAATTCCACTTGATATCTTCTTCAAAGATAATATCCCGACTGATATTAACTTTGGTGTTGATAGGTTCATAACATCTGTATCATTTTGTGCCCACTTCATACCCAATGAATATCATTGGTTGATTGTGGTCATCTAAAATTTTGTGGTCCTTTAGTGCATTTCACATGCACAATGGAGCCAAATACTTGAAGATGATTAATTGCTGACTTTCTCCCAGTCCATAGCTCATATGGAGTCAACCCCTACAAACTTTTAGTGGAAGACTGATTTAAAAGATATACAGAGGTATTGATTGACTCTCCCCACAGTTCATGAGACATTTCCTTCTCTTTCAGCATGCTCCTTATCATGGACATGATTGTTCGATTCTTCCTTTCAACTATACCATTCTGTTAAAGAGAGTAGGGAGTTGTCAACTGCCTTTTAATGTCGTATGAAACATAAAAAATATTGAATTCTTCAAAATTAAACTATCCACCTCTATTTGAATGAAGACACTTCAGCTTCGTGTTGTTCTCTGCCTCAACCAAAGCTTTAAACTTCTTGAATTGACCAACGGCTTCTGATTTATGCTTGAGCATAGTCACCCACATTAGCCTCGAGAAATCATCTACGATGAGAAGAAAATACTGACTTCTCCCTAATGTGGGTAGACAAATTGAGCCACATATGTCAGCATACACCAACTCAAGAGGCTTTGAGGTTTTGAAAATAGAGGCTTTAGGAAATGGAGTGTGATGTTGCTTCCCTACAAGGCAACTTCGACAAATGTGATTAGAAACACTGATATGTAGAAGTCCTTCCACTAATTACCTACTCGACATTTCTTTTAATGTATGAAAATTCAAGTGACCAAACCTCGAATCCTATAGCTAACTTGTAATTTCATCTTCTTTAGTGATTAGATATTGTTCTATCACATTTAGTTTGAGCAAGTAAAGCCTACAATCTGTTTGATGAACTTCTGCTAACAATGCTCTATCTCAATCAAAAATAGTCAATCGGCCTTCATACATGACCATCTAGCAGCCTTCTTCATCTAGTTTGCCTAAACTGAGAATATTAACACATAATTTGGGAACAAAGAGAACATTACCGAAATAAATTTTCTCCCAATCCTGCCGACGAACAAAGACTCTACCTTTGCCTTGAATTTCAACACATGAATTGTCACCGAATTTGACATATCCGGAGGCTGATTCATTTAGATCTGAGAAATAACTTCTCCTTTTGGTCATGTGATTAGTGGCTGTAATATCAAGATACCACAGCTCTAGATCTTTGAGCTGAGTCTTTGAGTCTTAAAGTAATAAATCACTCTGTTCTTCCACAATCATCATCAAAAGTGAAGATACTTCAGGCTTCTCCAAGGACTTAGCAACATATGCTTGCTCAGGGATCGTCTTCTTGGCACTTCGACATTCGTAAGCAAAATGGTCATATTTCTCACAGTTATAACATTGTATTTGAGATTTATCAAAGTACTTTTTACCTTCATCAAGAGGGGGATGTTGACCTCGACCACTGCCTCTTCCTCTACCTCTACCACAGCTGTGATGTTGATCTCTTCCATGAGATGAGGACTCCTCACTCGTGATTGTCCCTTTGCTTAGTGCTCTGGCGAGCAATGCATACTCCTCCTCCTGAGACTCTCGCTCCTTGAGTCGCAACTCGTGGACGCTCAGAGAGCCAATGACTTCATTAAGACTGATTTTGTCTAAATCAACATATTGCTCCATACACAAGGTAATGCATCAAATTTCGAAGGCGTAGCCCGAAGAAATCTTTGCACTAACTCTCTTTCTTCCATCATTTCAAATCTACACTTAAATCCAAGATGATGTAAGTGAATTTTATTACCAAATCTACACTTGTTTCCTCTCTGTGCATTGTGAGAATTTCGTACTTGATAATTATAAATTAGTAGTTGCATCTATGTATTAATATCTTATATATATACTAATTAATAACTAGATAATATTATTATACATGTGTTACCAACTCATTATGACCTTTATAATGTTTTATCATTTAAGTCTTAATACATATTATTTTAGTTGTTTTATTTATATTATGAGACTAACCCCACTTGACTTTTATGAAGTAAAGTGGTGATTCTTTCATATTTTCTTGATAATTATTTGATTGTAAGGACTTAGGTGAGTTCTTAATATGAGTTGGAAGTAATAAAAGACGCCCAAGCCTTCAACCCAATGAAAAGCCCAAATCTTATGGAGAAAGCCAGCCTAATATGTTTATGAGCCCAAGAGAGTGTGTCATTTTGGCTTAACCTGTTTGGACTTAAAAGGGTTATCAAGAGATAAGATCTAGGCCATTCATCTAAAGGCATCTTAAGATCAAATTAAGAGAAGGATTAGAATACTGCCCTCATAGAATGATCTGAGCCATCCATCAAGAGAGTTGATTATTAATCTTAATTGTCTATTAGAGGGGCCTAACTTTCGAGAAGATTAAGACATCTCGCCCCCTTCTTGGAGGGTGCTTTTTGGCTCTCTCTCTAGCAATGGTTAATCGAAGGAAACAAGAAGAAAATTCAGGCTTGATCAATGACATTCTCGTGCTCAAGATCATCGTGGAGAAAAGATTACCTAGAGCACATCAAGATTGTCACGGATCGAGCATCACCCGGCCTAAGACTGGTGCACAACAAGGTTTGTGCAAGATCTAGATTTGAGACATCCTTGTAATCCTCTCCATTGGTAGATTAACTTTTAATTCGAACTAGTTTTATCATTTATTTTATCATTCCATTGTGTTAGATTCATTCTCTCCCCTTTGTCACGCTTTTCATAACTCTTGTCTTCACTTGTTTACATTTAATTCTACCTTTCACAATATCACAGCTATATATATATATATATTTATATAAGAAATAAAATAAGTAGAATTCGTATTCTTATTACCCATGCTTCCTGAAGATCGACCCTTACTTATCAGAAATAGAAAATTGAGGTTTTATATATATTATTTGCATGAACTTAGTTGCATCACGATGACGTATTTAACCTCTAATTCGAGTTCATCAATACTTACGCTTAAGACCTTAGATTCGTGATTGAATCACTCTGCCCACGCCAAGATTTTGCGACTAGAGAATCTCTTAGTTCTCTTTCACCGTCTTCTTTGCATCACGCACAATCATTATCTCTTCATGAATTGCGCTGAATGTTGTTAACAATGTCAGTTGGTCTTTCTTCTTGAGTACATTCTCTTTGACTATCACTTGCCAAAGATCGTGAGAATCAAGATATACCTCCATATTCATCACCCAGATGTAGTAATTTATCTTCAAGAGCTTAAGGGATGGTGCCAATGTCATCATCTCCCCCCCACACTCACCGGAGGTACTCGTCTCACCTCCTTTCTTTGTCATCTTCTTGATCCTATCGAACCGAGTGGCTCTAATACCACTTGTTGGCTTCGAAAGCCTAAATACACTTTAGAAATAGAGGTAAAAGACAAGAAGGTAACATGAACAAAGAACTATATAGAAATGATTATTCTTCGCTATTCCTTTTGTCGAACTCATATCCCTTTATATAGGGAAGCCAATCATTGAAAGAGAGAGAGTGCATCTAATTAACTTTCAATGACCTAGCTAGTCATCCGATGTGGCAGCACCACCACCGTTATAACTCGCAGTGATGAGTGACTGCAATTGATCTTGCAAAACAAACATAATGAAAAAAAACAAAAACAAAAAATACTCAAGTTATCTATTTCAGAAAATATCACCAGTTGTTGGCAATTGACGATGGAGTAGGAGCAGCTCCTTAGTAACCCTTCTTTTGTTGGTACAATTAGATGAATTTCTATACAAAATGACAAAAAATTCTCAAGGGTTTGAACACGATAATTGTTGGTGTGATTATTTCGGTTAGAAAGCAAGAACAAACTAGGACGTAAAAAAAGGAGGATACAGTAGTGGTGTGGTAGCCTCGAGGAAGGAGTTGCTGATGGATCTATCGAGGAGGATATGTGACGTGACTTAGTTGTTGTATAGTAAATCACTCAAATTTAAAATTTATAAAACTAGAAAATATGAATTTTTAGATATTTAGAAGTATTTCTGAACAAATATATCAATTATAGTTCAATAAAAATTTCAAAAATAGTGGTAATTTTCCAAGTCAATTACAAAGATGTAATATAATATCAGGTAATTATTCAGAATTTTCCTCAAAGAATACTATTTTCTATAAATTTTAAACTAGGAAATAAAAATAAAATATATTTAAAATTCATGAAAAAAGGGAAATAAGGGTGCAGACGTTAGGATGACGTCAATGCCTGGTAAACATGAATCGGGCGAAAATAGAGTTTCACCTGATGATTCTTACGTAAATGATTACAAACGATTTAATTGATCAAATTAAGATCTATAAAAGCCAGAAGAATTGTAATTAAATGAAGTATATATTAGTAAATTTAAATCACACAAATTATCACTAAATGAAGTAGAAATTAAGTTGAAAGTAGGAAAATAGAGTTCTGGCGTCGCAACGGCGATGCGTTGGCGATGCACTAGTCCCACATTGCTTGTGTGCTGAAGTTTCGGGTGAATATATAGTAATATTATATTTGCAAGTAAGTTCCTTTCTCACGCATGTACGACCACTCTTTGCCCCACAGCCGACTGGCCACTAGTGATGTGGAAGGGGAGTGGCATACATGTACCTCTACCGGTCCTAGCCACTCGAGCCCCTGCTCGTGGCTCCTCCTTGACTGTGCTTCCGACCCGCTTGCGGGCCCGACTGGCCGATGAGTACCCCCATTTTGCTATATATTTTTTTATTTTTTTTTCTTTATTTATCTCAAAAGTAAGACTGTAAAAATCATATAAATTCGTATAAAATCACATAATTAGCCAAAAATTCATGTTAATTAACCAAAAACCACTTTTCACACTTTAACACAAATATAAGTCTATTTATCATGAGTCAAGGCTAAAACTATATTATTTAGTAATTATTAACGTATGATAATGAAGACTTATCAGTGAGCATCAGGGACATCCTGATCCACATGTTCACAATTGTGGTGGCAGGGATGGTGGACTGCTGGAAGGTCTCCCTCAAGTAATCTGATGAGGTTGATGGAGATATCGTAGTAGACAAACCGCTTCGTTACCTCGGCCCCTTCAGTGTAATGGCGGCAGCGGGATTTTGGTTACTGGTGGTTGCCGAGTCTCACTCAGAAGTGGAGGAAGAGGAGTGGAGGAAGAGGATGGTAGTGGGTGGTGCTTATTGATGATGAAGGCGGCGAATGGCCAGTTGCCACCGCCAGCGGCTCGAGAGAAGATCAGCTGCCCATGGTTGTCAACAACGCCTGCAATCAGCAGCGGAGCATCCTCCTCCTCCTGAGTTCTCATGGTGAGTCTGGTAGGAACCTAGTTTTCATACTCCCTTTATAAGGAGATGGAAGATAATTTCTCTAATATTTGAGAGTATTATGATAGTGGAGATCGGGAGAGTGGTAGGTCTCAAGAGGAAGAGAATATAATGATGAGTATTAGAGAGAGTGGACATGTTGCTAGAATTAAATATTAGATGAACAATAACTCAACAGTGGCTGCTGTGGACGACTCGTAATGACTCTTACTATTCCTCTCTCACGTGACAACAACTTTCTAGAGAGAGACAATGTAGGGAAGAGGGGAGTCTATCTAAGGGGGTAAATTAGTCATTTTCAATAAATTGACAAGATGAACGATAAAGTCAAAGTGATGGACATTAAAAAATACTCGAAATTAAATATTAATAATCTAAAGAGCTGCTTATTTTTTATATGATGTAACCCGATATCATTCCTCATCGTCCACCACACCTACGCAAGTGAGTTGACTTTCGTCCACCACAGACAGTCAAGTCAGGAGAGTGAGTTGACTTTCAAAGGTATAACATTGCGGAGGGAAACGAAGGGCCAGACAAGTAGAAGATTTAAGAGAACAAGAACAATAATCTCCTCCTCGTAAGAGATCTTTGGCAGTTGTTGAACGTGGCCCATTATTGCAGACACATGTTTAACATGTTTTCACTCCTAGGGCTATTACGTCTGTTGGCGTTGACGTCTGTTGACGTTGACATATTAAGTTTGACCTTTTACTCCTAGGGCTATTACCTAGGATCCTACAAAAAATGTACTTGTGGTAGGGTACTCGTTGGACTTTTCATTGATCAGTCATCAATGGACACAACAAGGTAAAACTGCTCACTGAAATATGCCCACTATATGGCTAAACAAGGCTCGGACTCAACAGGTAATCGTGTTATCATCATCACGGTCTTTTTGTCAAAATCGGAATTACAAGGGCTAAAACTGTATTTTTTTTCAAACGGCGCTATTCGCCTTCTTTCTAGATGTAGATGAAGGAACGAGCATAGTCCAAGTATAAGAGGAGCTTGACGAAGCTTAGCACTGCCAGCAACCAGTACAAATAGTCGAGGTGGGCATGGCTGAGGTTGTTTGAGAACTAGTGCTCCCCCCACCAGATGCTCACTTTTTGGACTATGAAGATGAGGAAGCTGTTGATGAAGCTCCCGATATCGAGGATGGTCAAGTAGAGGGTGAAGCCCAAGCTCCTCATGGCGACAGGCACCTGGTCGTAGAAGAACTCTTGCAGAACGACCCACCACGGTGAAGACGTCGAAGACCCCGAAGAAACCGTACTGAGGAAATGATCCACCACAGGCTCGTGGGGATGGCTGTGCCTGGTAAGTCAACCAATCCAAAGTCTCTGGCAGTTTGGAGCCTCTTCGTCTCCACCTTGGCGGCAATGGCTATGGCGGAGATTGAGAGCACCATGCCGAAACCGATCCTCTAGAGCATTGTCAAGCTCGAGGGCTCCCTGGTGGAGGCTCTAGTTATGGGGACGAAGAGGCGGTCGTTGGGCATTAAGACAATGACTGAGAGATTGATAAGGCTCTAGAGCACCGCAAGGGGGGACTAGGAAGGAGGTGGTGATTCTTCTCTCCATGGTGCTGCCCTGCTCGGTGAACGAGATCAACGATTGCGCAAACCTGTCATAGAGGAGAGCTTCCTTCACTTCTTCAGGAGGCAGCGCCCACTGGCTGCTCAAGAAATTGTGATGCGATCCTCGCATTAAACGAACAGTTACAAAAAGGGCATTGACGCCGAAGGAAGATGAGGGAAGGCGATTGCTAGATGCCGAGAGCACGGCAGAGCATCGAGGAGCCAGAGCAGGAGGAAGCAGAAGGAATTCTGGAGGCTGAACCCCTCAAATTGGTCATCTACCCTCTTGTTGTTTATTGCTTCTATGTTCTGCTTTTTTGAGTCAGAGCCCGATCCTCACAGACGGATGTTCTCTGCTGTCAATCTTGATGTTGTCCTAGATCTCCTGAAATAAAGCTTGTCCCAATTTTCCTTTCTTCCTTGATCTTGTTCGCACCAATTCGTCATTTCTCGATCGAATTCCCGTTGAGGATTCAGAGGGATCTATCAAATTGCCACCGGCTCCGACGAGCTGAGTGAAAGGGTTCTTGCGGTGTGGAGCATAGTAGTGGTAGTTCCTCATGTTAGGATTAATCTCAATGTGGATAATTATCTATATGAATTGTATATTATAGGGTTACATTGAATTAATCATACTTAAAGTGATTCATTGGAGTTTAATTATTTAAAATTATGAACTCTCTCGTAAGTATATAAATATAAATGTGTAGAGACCAGGTCTTATTCCAATTTTATGATGGACTAAATTAGAAAAAGACACCAAGAGGCTAACTACCTCTTGTCTATAAATAAGAGGTCATGGTCTTTGGGTTACACATCGTGACTCACTCTTAGAGCATCTCATCTCTCTTGCACCCTCTTAGATTTAGGTATGGTTTCAATCCCTTTTCATTATGTTTTGTCATTCTCTATCTATTTCAACACAAGATCCTTCATATTCAACAAGTGGCATCAGAGCTAAGTGTGTTGATTTTTTATAGAATGACATTTGTTCATTAATTTTCATTCATCATGGTATCATTTTTGATGCCTTATCTTGAGAATGGATTCAAGCGTCCATTGTGGAAATCGTAAGGTTTTGATCTTACCATGGACGCATTAATGGGCCGTAAAGGCCGTTCAGATGGGTCTAAGACTCTTCTTCTTTCCCTGCAAAGGAGGATGAATGGTGATTTCTACATACCTCTCTTCCTCTCTCTTTTTCCCAAGGAAAATTTCTATTTAGAAATCATGGGCTGCAGGAGGGGCCCAGCCATTCCCCTTTCTCCTTTCCATCGTCGGACGGGAGACTGGAGAGCAGTGGACGGCGCTTCTGGAAGGCATGGACGCTGGAGGGCTCCAGAAGGCGAAGAAGAGGCACCGGCTGGCGCCGGAGGATTCCGGAAGGATCTGTCGGAGGCAGAGGGCTGCGGCGGCTTTCGCACGCTCGTAATCCTTTTGGTTCTTCCTCTTCCTCTCGCGGAAGGATGGTTTCCAGGCCTTCCGAAAATCGGTGGGAATGAGGAGAACGTAGAGGGAAGGGGCGAACGGTGCAGCTCCATTTTTCGAATGGGAGGCCATTTTTTTTGGACTGACCATTCCCAGCCCTAATTTTTCCTCCCTTTGTGCAACGGTTCGTGCACCGCTCCGTCGCGTGAAATGGCCACATCGTTTTCGGTGCGTGCCAGACGGGAGAGGAACCGTCATGCGACGATTTCGTACACCGCTGGCGCCTGTTCGGGTTCGCGGCTTGGCTCGCACCGGTTCAAGTCTGTGGCTCGGCTCGCGCTGGTTTGGTTACGCAGCTCGGCTCACGCCGGTTCGGGTGATCGGCTCAGTGCGAGCCGGACAGCCAGAACGGCACGCCAGCTCGGCATAAGCCGATCGAACTAGCCGACGTGCCGGTTTACAGCGATGACGTCATGATGAGACGTCAGTATTTGGTCTACTGACGCCATGCACATAAAATAATTTATTTTGAATGCCATTTTATTTTTGAAATTTTATTGATGATTGTATTTTATTTTTTTTATAAAGTTATTTGATATTTTCAATATTTATGTTTACATTAAGTATGTTTAAATGTCAAATAAATATCATGATTCAAATTTTGGTACATGGCTGATATTTTAGAATTATTACTTGAAGTAACATCCTACCAAAGTAGATTCTCTTGGGATATTAATTTTTCTAACATATAAGATGTTGTATATGTGATTTTGTGGATACTAATTGGCCCAAATCAAAGTTTAGTATTCTAAAAATTACACATATTTGTAATAATAAATATGTGATAATTATTTAATATTTTCATGTGAATAATAAGTCGATCTAAATAAAGGTTTATTATTTGATAGAAACTTATTGTCAATATTTATTTGCAACATAGAGATATTACTTGTAGTTAATATTGTTGTCCAAAGATAAAGTATTAATATTGCACTCAATATCTTGTGATGGGAAGTACTATTATTTGAAAATCAAATTACTTATGTGAGCTTTATATTGTTCTTTGTACAGTTTCAAGTTCTATTTCTACTATTTTTGTCTAGATAAACTATATTATTATGTTAAATAGCACCAACTTTAAGGCACGAAAAGAACACATTATAATAATTCTTAGTTGTATGAATCTAGACATTGTATTAAGAGAAGATTGTCTTACAAACTCTCATGAGGATAAGAGAGATATGAGAAGTAAGATTGATTGAATCACATGAGTCTTATGATCATGAAGCATGCCATTGTAAAAGCCTTTAGGGACACTTTGTTTGAAGAGGTCACTATAACAATAATTTTTCTTGAAGAATGTGAAAAAAAAGTTTTCTAAAAATGATAAGGTTGAAACAAGTATGATCTTAGTAAATCTTATCTCTATGAAGTATAAAGGCAAGGAAAATATAAGGGAATACATTTTCTATATGTCTCATCTTACATCAAAACTATAGACACTAAAGTTAGAGCTATCAAAAGATTTATTCGTGCACTTAGTTTTGATTTCTCCTCCTACACAATTCAGTCAATTTAAGGTGACCTATAATTATTAAAGTGACAAATGATCCCTAAATGAGCTCATATCACATTGTGTGCAAGAAAAAAAAAGGTTGAAGCAAGATAGGCATAAGAGTGCTCATTTGACCATGACCTCTAAAAATAAAATCAAGAAAAGACCTATGGGCAATGAGGCTGTAAGTGGACCACTACTAAAGAAACAACAAATGAAGTAAAATAAGGAATATACTTATTTCTTTTGTAAGCATGGTGGCCACATGAAGAAGAATTGTATCAAGTATCATGCTTAGCATATAAAGAAAGGTGACTTTCTCACTTTTATTTGTTCAGAGGTTAATTAACTTTTGTACCTTTACACATGATAAATAGATTCTGGTACAACTATTCATATAAGTGTGTCTATGCAAGATTACCTCCATTATAGTAAGTCAATTGATGATGAAAGATACATTTATTGGGCGATGGTAATGTAGTAACAGTGGAGGCAATAGGGACTTTTAAGTTATTGTTAAAGATTGATCACTATTTGGATTTGATTGAGACTTATGTTATATTGTCTTTTAGACGGAAGTTTATTTTTTTTTCTAATTTAGACAAATTTGGTTATGGTTGTCTATTTAGAAACGAAAATTTTAATCTCTTTGATAATTCAAATCCTATTGATACCAGTGCTTTATCAAGTCATGATAATCTATATTTACTTGACGTAATGGTCCCTACTAATGAAATCCTACAATCACTTCAAAGAAATAAAAAAATAAATAATCAATGAAAATTTTGCTTCATTATGGCATAAGAGATTAGGTCATATCTCTAAAAAAAAAATTAATTGACTCATGTCTAATAGAATTCTTGACCCACTTGATTATAAGAATTTTGACACTTGTGTCAAATATATCAAAGGGAAAAGAATAAACATAAAGAAAATAGGTGTCAATCGAGTTTCAAATGTCTTAGAATTAATACATACAAATATTTGTAGATCATTCCTTATGGCCTCTTAGAATGGTCAACAATATTTTATTACATTCATGGACGATTATTCTCAATTTACTCGTATTTTATTCATGAAAAATCTCAATCACTAGATGTGTTCAATAAATATAAGGCTGAAGTTGAGCATCAACTTAATAAACAGATTAAGGTCATTAGATCAAATCGTGGTGGTGAATACTATAGTAGATATGATGGATCAAGTGAACAACATCTAGGACCTTTTGTTAAATTCTTCGTGGAGTGTGACATCGTCTCATAGTATACTATGTCAGGATCTTTTAGCATTGATAGTGTTACTGAACTACAAAACATAACACTTAAAGATATGGTAAGGAGTATGATTAGTCAATCTATCTTGCCAAATAACTTCTAGGGAGAAACACTAAAGACTGTAGCTTATTTACTTAATCGGATTCTAATTAAGACAATTGTTAAAACTCCTTATGAGTTTTGGACAAGCAATAAGCCTAGTTTAAAATATTTGCACATTTGAGGTTGTCTGGCAAAAGCAAAATCTTATAGACCTAATGAAAAAAAACTTGACTCCAAAATAGTTAGTTGTTACATTGTTGGATATCTAGAAAGGTCTAGGAGGTATAAGTTTTATAATCTCACTACTAATGTTATTTTTGAGACAAGAAATACTTATTTCTTTGAGGACGTTGAGTTTACAAAAAGAGATAAAGTTAGAGATATTAATTTTGAAGAAAAATATGTAAATATTACTTATATTACTATTGACAATAATCTTGATGACATCATCTTAACTAACATTGATGAAGAAATAAGTTCAGATCAAAATAATGTCATCATGTCTCTCACTTTAAAAGAATAAATTCAACATACTCAAAAATTAATGTCATTAAAAAGATCAAATATAGAGAGGAGTAATAAGATTTTGGATGAATATATCGTATTTATTTTAGAACATGAGGTTGACATTAGAGTGATGGAAGATGATCCTATCAACTTTCATCAAGTCATGTAAAGTTCTAATTCTCATAAGTGGATCGATCCCATGAATGAAAAAATTAAATTCATAAAGGACAATGACGTGGGATCTTGTCTCATTACTTGAAGGTGTGAAGCTTATTAGTTGTAAATAGATATTTAAAACTAAAAGAGATTCAGTGGGTCATATGGAAAGATATTAAAGCTTGTCTTGTCGTTAAAGAATTCACTCAAAGAGAAGGCATTGATTATACAAAGACTTTCTTTCTAGTATCATCAAAAGGCTCTTTTAAAATAATAATAGCACTCGTAACTCATTTTGATCTTGAGCTACATCAGATGGACATAAAGATTACATTTCTTAATGATGACATTGATGAAACGATATATATGGTATAATTAAAAAATTGTGTCTAGAGACCTAAAGAAAATGGTATGCAAATTAAAGAAGTCTATCTATGGGTTAAAACAAGCTTTTCGTCAATGGTATCACAAATTTCATCAAGTTATCATCTCATCTGATTTTGAGATAAATATGGAGGATGAATGTGTATATCATAACTTCAATGGGAGTAACATATATTTTTAGTTTTGTATGTTAATAATATATTACTTACTAGTAATGATATAGGCTTACTTTGTGACACCAAAAGATTTTTGTCAAGAAATTTTGAGATGAAGAATCTCAGTGAAGCCTCTTATATATTGGGTATTGAGATATATTGAGATCGACCTCGAAATATCTTGAGGTTATCACAAAAAAACTATATCGAGAAAGTCCTTGCGAGATTTGGTATGCAAGGATGTAAACTTTATGACACCCTTGTTCTAAGAGAGATAATTTTAGTCTCAATCAGTGTCCTAAGAATGATTATGAAGCTAAAGAGATGCAGTGATTCTTTATGCATCAGTCATAGAAAGCCTTATGTATGCTCAAGTATGTACACGTCTCGATATTGTGTATATATAGTTGGAGTACTAAATAGATATTTAAGCAACCTTCGTGTGGATCATTGGAAAGTAACCAAAGAGGTTTAGTATTTGTAAAAGGCAAGCACTATATGCTCACATATGAAAAATCAGATCATTTAGAGATTATGGGGTATTCAAATTATAATTTCGTTGGATGTAATGATAGTAGACGAACTACTATGAGTTATATCTATCTACTAGCTAGATGAGTTATATCATGAAAAAGTGTTAAGTAGACACTTATAACTTCTTCTACTATGATACAAAATTTATAGCATGCTATGAGGCATCTAATCATGAAATTTGACTGAAGAATATTATCACATGGTAACAAATATTAGATAGAATTGAAAGACCACTAAAGTTATTTTGTGACAATAAATCAGCCATTGTATTTTTCAATAATAATAGGAGCTTAACAAAGTCTAAACATATATATATCAAATTCTTAGTTGTTAAGAAAAGAGTTCAGAGTGGTCAAATGTGAGTATATTGGGACAAACTCTATAGTAGCAAATCAACTTATTAAGGAACTGTCACCAATAGTTTTTCATGAACATGCTGCTCATATGGGTGTAATACTTCATGAAGATATGTAATTTCAGTGGGAGTTTGTATTTTGATGCTCATATAGTTATAGACATATACTCTAGCTATTTCATGTATGAATAAAGTTTATGATTATTTTCATTCTGAATATGATTGTTTGATCTCCATTCGAAATAAAGAGGACAGTTGAAAATGTACGTGTATGAGTCATACTTCATATAATTTTCATACTACACATCCATACTTGATCTATGTCGTTCATTATATCAATATACGTGATTATTGTTGGATTCAATCACACAAAAAATGTGAACAAAAATCTTTTTAGTTCTATATTGGTATAATGATGAATGAGATTCTTGAAGATGTCATTGGCAATGATAGCAAATATTTTGAGCTCATAAGGTCATAATGTACAATATCAAGTTATCATATATATTTAATCCAAGTGAGAGATTGTTAGAATTAATCTCAATGTAGATAATTATATATATGAATTATATATTATGAGACTATCATTAAATTAATCCTACTTAAAGTAATTCATTAAAGTTTAAGTATTTGTGATTATGACCTCTCTCATAAGTATAGGCATAAATATAAATGTGTAGAGACTATCTTATTTCAATTTTATGATGAACTAAATTAGAAAAGGACACCAACAGGCTAACCATCTCTTATTTATAAATAGAGGGTCATGGTCCTCAGGTCACACATTGTTACTCTTAGAACATCTCATATCTTTAGAACAAGTCATTGGATGACTCTCTTGTGCAAATCTAAAAGGTCATCCTCGTACTTGCGCCTTCATGGATTCAAGTATGGTTTCAATCTATTCTGATTATGTTTTGTCATTCTTCATCTATCTCAACACAAGATCCTTCAGATTCAACACCTCGTGCTAGCCAAGAAGAGGATGAAAGAGAAGTCCTGGATGTAAGACATCAGTAACACTGCAAACCCCATGCCAATGGAGATCTACAGCCAGTTGAAGGAGGAGCTCTCGGACTTGCACTCTTCTGGGTCGTTGCTGTCGAGTTGGTTGGTCCCGAAGGCTGTCGCACATGTGGCCGCCCTGCGCGACAGCCAACAAGTACAACGCGAAGAAGAAAACCGCAGTCTGAAATTGGGAGGGGAGGCAGCTCTCCCGACTGCCGCTGACGTCAGACTCCAGAAAGAGCGCCACCACTGCAATACCTCGGCCCCTTCAGTGCAACGATGTGACGAAGTTTTGGTCACTAGTGGTCATCGAGTCTCGCTCAGAAGCAGAGGAAGAGGGCGGTGGCGGGCGATGCTATGATGATGAAGGCAGCAGAATGCCAGCCACCGACGGCGGCCTGGGAGAAGATCGGCTGCCCGCGGTTGTCGACGACGCCCTCAATTGGTAGCGGAGCGTCCTCCTCCTCCCGAGCTCCCATGGTGAGTCCTCCTGCCGAGGGGGTCTGTCTAATATGTCACGATCAGGTCTCCTTGGGCCTTTTAACTCCATCCCCTCCTGGTTTCCACGAGATTGGAGGAACCTGGATGGGGGTAGTAAATTCCTCGTTTTTCCATCCCCTCTTGGTGTTTTGTTGTGTGTTGACTCCTTGCGGTCTAGTAGGTCAACCCTTCTCTTGACTAGAGTGAACACCAGCCAAATTTACTTTTATAAGAACAGCTTCCATAGGCTCCCTACCTGTTTTTGTAGGGAGCTGAAGCTTCATGAATGTTTACTTGAAAAAAAAAGTGAAAAAATACCTTTTTTATGACTATTTTAATGGGCAGCTTGGAACATTCAATGGTTACTTCGCGGCACGGTACTGGCCAAGTCTGTTATTTTTTTTATTTTTTCTTGTAAAATGCAGAACATTGCTGCTCAACGCTCATATCAGGTGAGGCTACTCTCTTAGAGCAACTAAGCTTAGAAAAATAAGAAATAAGATTATAACATCCTATCTTGATTTGATTCATCTTTTTTTTTAATTATAATAGAATAATCCCGTCACTAAAAGTTGAGATCAATGCTAATAAATTTTATTTTAAAATCATGTTTTCATTTTTTTTTATTTGTTTCAGAAAAAAAAACTGTTTGTTTATTGTTAACGTGCTAATTGAGGGAGAAATTTTCGTCATACATACAAATTTAAAATAATTATAGTGAAAATAAAAAACTAATAATCTAATTCCCATAAAACAATAAAATATAGTCTACAGAAAAATAAGCTGATAATTCAACTAATCAGTGAGGAATTAGTCATTATAGTTAAAAACAATTTTTAACTCTCTAGAAATACTTGAATTGCTTTCCAATCTATTTGATTATTTTTCACCAATAACTTTATGAAACCATGTCATCTACATATACTTCTTACGTTGTTTTAATTAGAATATTGAATGAATGAACATACTTTGACAGCTGGCACCACCTAGCCGTGATGTACATGTAGGTTGGAGGGTCAAATAAATGGTCAAATGGTCTGATTTTATCTAAAAGTTATTTTTAAATAAATAGGAAATCTTTGACGTGTGTTAATCTTGATGGGATTAAATAAATAACACATAATCAGAGCTGGCAATGCTGGCAATGAGAGAGAGAGGAGAGAGATAGAGAGAGAAGTCAAAAAGGTGTTATATGGACCCAAGAATAAATACATTTTACATATTATCTCTTTCAAAAATTAATCAGGGTTATTATCTTGATGTAGCCTACAAGAAGGTCCAACAGGTCACTTGGAGATTGGACCAAGAAACAGCCTGTAGATCTTATTGGGCCACATGGGCCGAAGACCTTTGGCCTAGAGATCCTCTAGAAGCTGCTCATAATCTCCTACTAGCCGTCAATACTCAGAAGCTCCTGTTTTGTTTGGTTAGTTTAGATCTATAGCATATCTCTTGTGTCTGAAATATGCCAAGAGATCAGTTATATCTTGTCTTGTCAGTCTAAATCTATGGCATATCTCAGGTGTTAGAGATATGCCCAGAGAGTAATTCTGTGTTGTTTTGTCAGAGTCTCTGCTGTTTGTGAATAACCCTACCATTTGAGAGGTCTATATAAGGCTCAAATGTCTACCCCCAGACGTCCAATGCATACGCTTTCCACTTCTTTGAGAGTTTCTCTCTCTAAGTGCTCCTCTCCTAGAGAGCTCCTCTCTCTTTGTGCTTGTGAACTCAAACAAACCTCTCTTAAACCAAAGGCTTATGGATCAAGCCTAACCCCTTGTGGATTCAAGGGTTGAAGTAGCTGGTATTGTGAACTTGGAACTCTACTTATTCAAATAGAACAAAGTCTTGTGGATTCAGTACCTCATTCCTACATCCCTCCTTCACTGTGGTTGAGACATATATGAGACTTACAAATCTATTCATAACGATATTGACACAGATAAATGAAGCATTTGTAAGTTGTTTTCCTAAAGAATATTAAATAGACAACATATTCAGACCCACTAGCGTCGTTACACCCATGCCTATGCCACCCTTGTGACCATCAATGGAAGTAGTAGTAGTAGTAGTAGTAGTAGGGAGAGAGAGAGAGAGAGAGAGAGAGAGAGTTCAAAGAGGCAGTCGAAAAGTGTTTTTGGCCTAAAAATTGTATTTAACGGGCTTTTAAAGTGCATATTCATCATCACATCTGTCATTCCCTTGCATATTTCATAACACAAGAATCTTGGCTTGATACGGGCCATTTTTTTCACTTACCTAAGTTTCAACACATATTTCACACATCCCCACAATCATATCAGCTAATGTTCGATTGCCCATCAAGGGTTCCAATCCGATTCATAGCCAATGGATTGGATAGAGTTGAAATGAAGAATCTTCACTCGAATGATGACGAGCCTGAACAGACCTGATTTTCTACTAGGGAAGAACCCTCATCATAACAACCATATCATGAAACAGAACCACAGCAAGAAAACCATGGAGATCCCAAAGTCTACAGCTAGTTGGGAAACAAATTGCTTCCAGACGAGAAGAGCAGTGGGGCGTTGACTTACAAAAAAGAACAAAAGAGGCAGTTCCTACTTACAGAGGCCGGTGGCTGGAGATGTGAAGTCGAAGGCATCATCAGATGACTGAAAGAGATGCAGCGATCATCACAAAGAAGAGAGGAAGGGAAGCTGATAGGCGCCATGCCTGCGCACTCGGTGGCTGAGTGGGCGGTGGTGAGCTGGTGTCCAGCGGTGATATGGTGGCGTTTGGCGAGGCAGGAGGCAGTGGCGGCTCTACGATGTCAGCCTCCGTTAGAACTGGACTTGGTGGCACCGCCGGTGGCAAAGCATCTTGAGGAAGCAATTGGAGTAAGCCCGCAGGCTGCACAGGAAGCATGTATTGGGGCATGTCCTTGCCTAGATTCAAGCAAAGGTTTCCTGCACCATAATTCAAAGATAATGATGATGATAAGAAATCTGATCAAGAAAATAAAAATTATAATAGAAAAATAAGAACTGATAATAAAACGGTAAAAATCCACTGATTCAGGCAAAGATAATTCTTAATTACTGTACCCGGTTATGCATGAAAAGACAAGGAATTGAAAAATCATAAAAGAGATAATGGTGATGATGATGAAAAGTAACATACCGCTGCAATCAAATCATAAAACTCATAATAGAAAGGTAACAAGCTGTAATCAGAACATAACAGAAAAATAACAGAGGTAATAAAATCACAAAAATCTAACGATCTGGGTAGGATAATTCAAAATTGCCCTAATCAGTTATCGATAACAAGAGAGTAAATAGAAGAAAAATGGTGGAACGAAGCATACTTCGGTATGCAACGGCGGTTCTTGGGAAGTCTGTTATGAGCCCATTGATCTGAGCGTCCTGGAAGTAGGTGTTGATCTCTATGGTGGGATCAGAGTAGAAGTCCCAAGGTTGAGAGACGAACTCGTTCATGAACAGATAGGCATACACAGACAGGTTCGCTGCCTGAAGCTTCTTCACAATCCCGGTTCTTCCAAGGATGAAGGCTGCACTTTTAGGGTACACTGACTCCTTGTGTACGGCCACGGAGTGGGCAAAGCCTGCAATGTCTTCGATCGATGTACCGAGGGCGTCACCGATGGATTCGTCAATCATGTACATGAGTCTGTACTTGGTCTCCTGCCTCAGATTTTTCAGAACAGAGCTGCTGGTGGACATGATGATGACGTCGAGGCTGGTCTGGTTGCTGAAGCCCGAATCGTCCAGGGCCCCCTGGACTGAGTCGGTGATGCTGAACCCTAGTTTCTCAGCGTAGAACGCAGCATGCTGCAGGACAAGAGGAAGAGGATGGCGATGCACGTTATTCTACAGAGAACAAAAAGACGCCTGGAAGAAGAAAATGTTAATTGATTGATCGATTGTGTGTGTGTGTGAGAGAGAGAGAGAGGCATGATTGCTAGTCTGTCACAGGTATAGGGTCTGGGATTGGATTGCAGATATTAGATCAAAAAATCACGGGTGTATCAGCATCTGATTTATAAAAAAAACTAATTATTTCAAAACATAGTTCTAGCAATAGTTGATCTACGATGTCTGGTTGTTCTCCACAAAAAAGTCCCCACAAAAACAAAATGCATCCGGTGAACAGCTAGAATATCCTAATGTCTCCCAAATGTGTTCTTTTTCATAATGATCGTCTCATCTAATTTCGAAATAACAGATACCATGAATGGTTTCCATCTGAATGCTACGTGTACAAAACTGTATCTCTGACTCTAATAAGGAATTTTCCGGCAGCATTGACTAATATTTCAGTAGATAATAATAAAGCGATGATCATGGTCAAGTCAAGCATTCCCAAAGAAACTCTACTATGGCAGTGGCGTGAGCTTTAGTCCCCATGAATTACAAAAAGAATTCATGACTAATCATACATTACAAAAAGAGATTGCTAAAACTGCTAGACAGGAATGAAGTATCCCTCACATCCTGCTTGAACCTTAATCCAACCCCAGAATTAATCCAACATAACCGCAATTCTGATTCTTGATAACGCATGGATCATGATGAGGAAGTACCGAGTACTGAACAAGGATAGAGATTCCTGAACTGTCTGAGCTTGAATTTAAAACTTCACCATGACCGGCGACCCAGCCATTTACCCAAGAAAAAGCAACTAATTAAGTGCCTGGTCAAGTAGGTTTTAAGCAATAGAGTTGGTAAAGTTTGTTAAGTATATAAGAAAAGAAACGTGGCTTCATCAGGGTTAACTCAGACCAGGTAAGGTTTCAGCCAGAATAACCGACTAAATGCTCTGCCTTGCCAGCCAGTCCCCACTAAAGGGACTTCAGAGTCGTGATTTAGATCCAGTCAACCTTCGTAAAATAATTACTCCTAGAATGATGCCACTTGGCTTATCACCGTTCCTCAATATCTGCCTTGTCATAATGTCTTTTTCCTCCATGTCATGCTCCAACATTCCTTTTGAACGTGAGGGAGTTTGCATGATTCAAAAGAGCCACGATATAATTTAAAGACATCTTTTTCTTGTATGGCATATGTGAGATGCATAATTACGTGTTGTGCGCAGGAACTTACTTCTATGCGAATCAATACTCCAACCAGAGAACTCTTCTTTGCCAACGCCAAAAAGTCGGCTAAGGTTATGAAATTTCCAGCATTTTTATATAATGGATTTCGCACCAACGTGTAATTTATCTCAGGAGTTGATATTTGCGCTGCAGCAGAGAATAGAAGATCAAAGTCAATAACATTTCTGCATGCTGTCTAATCAGCATTTATGATAAACGCATTGATGAAAATAAGATCGGCACAATTTGATGAGAATGAAAACAGTTCAACGTACAAAATACATTTCTTGAATGCATGATTAGAGGGAAAATATAAAGAAAATAGGGTGTGCAGCCTCAACACCCCCCCCCCCAAAAAAAAAAAAAAACTTAAATAATGAAAAATAAGATGACGACCACGATATTTCTATGCTGATTGTACCAAGCAATTTGACTGGCATCTTCAGGATTCCTCCACCAAATTCTTCGGAATCCTTTTATTCCTCCAACTACACAGTTGTGTGATCTATTTCGCGTATTGCATAAATTGTGCAGCTCAGATTGTCATATGAGAGAATAGTATTTTTATTGTTCACATTGATTACTGAATTATATTAAACCATGATATCGTCCATTGTATCCCATGGTTTTTCCCATGGTTCAATAATGTCTATGGCCACAGTGTTCCACCAAATCTAGGAGGCCATGCCTGCTGATATCACAATGCCCATCTACAATATAGTTTGACAAAGTAAAAATGATTAATTCACAAAACGTATGGGAATCTGGTTTTAGAAGTAAAAAAACAGCGAGCATTAATGTGCCCGATTTTCTCCATTGTCCGTGATTGGAAGACATACAATGAACATAAGTAGGGGTGGCAACAAAAGATAAACAAGAATCTAGCATTCAATCCACAGGCTCCATTCAATCCATAGATGAGGAAATTCGAGAAATCAAGAAAAAACTTACGCTTCAATTGTTTTTGAATATCTTCCCATGTGAGATTGAAGGTAAATACTCCAGGTCCACTCTGAATTTCTGGGATAACGGACCTTCTGGTCCCAAAAGATGAGCTTACAACCGAAGTACCGGAGAAAAGATCAATAGAATTCATGCAAACGAGAATGCCATCTTTTGTAACTTGAACAGGGCAGTCAATATAATCTGCACCATCAGCTATAGCTTGCTGATATGCCAGATCAGTACATCCAGGGTACACTCCACTTGCTCCGTAATGGGAGATGACAGAAAGGTTTGCTGCCATTCAGAGAAACATAAACTGACTTCAGTTCCCATAAAAAGTGGTAACAGAATCTATGATAAGAACCACAAACCAAAGTGGTAACAGAATACTGAAGCAACTACTATTCCCTTACCAGGATTGGAATTATTGTTGGTGTGAGAAAAGCAGCCTACAGAGACAAGAAGAAAACCATTATTTTGTGTGATATCAGTGAATTTAGAATATATGTAGAGGTAACATTATTGGAAAAAGAAGAAAATTATTCCGGATATAATTTACTATTTTATAGGCCAAAAGACTACAGAATCTACAATATGAACAGGAAGATCCGATAGTTGGAGAAGAGCAAATTTAAATGATCACCATAGCAGTGCAAACGTGTTCAAACTAAAGTTGGCAACAAAGGTCCCTAACTCTCCCACTCTAAGCTCTGAATTACTGGAAAATCATAATCATACATCACTGGAAAAGTAAAGCCAGCATTTATATCAGAATTTAGACTCAAATTCTACAATGATTTGCCCATGAAAAACGATAAATAAAGTAAAATGGTTCTGAACGACCTTTGAGAATCTTAAATACCACGTTACATAGAGCATTAAAGACAGTAAAAGATGAACTTCGGTGTCCGCTACAGTCCAACTTTGTCCAGTAAAATATTCAATTCTTACGGAAAAGTTCTAGGACTTCCTGATCTTGCCTACCCATTAAATTTCTTATTGAACTCCCACTAGGCCGGTTAAAATACTTTCTTCGTGCTATGGCCCAATCAACCACAATGAGAAACACATTTTCATATGTTGCTCGCAAGAAAAAAGATTTAAGGGGGGCAAAAAAGGAAAATATCCGATCAGTGTGTAGGAAATAAAAAACAAGAGAAAAGCCCAATCAAAACAATGAAACGTATAAAGTGAGCTCAAAACTCATAGCTCCAATGTCTTTACTAACTGATTACAAGGGTCATACACGCAAGCAAGAAATCTGAGAACTGGTAGGACTAGAGCATATATCAATTCTTTAATGATGTATTTCGGTTTTATGTCAAACATGAGTTTTAATGAATCGGAGCATACTTGTCGTTTTTCTCAGTGTAATAACCTTTTAAAAGGATAGCGCAGACTCAAGAAAATCCAGCGTAGCACACTTATCTATGGCATCAGATCATCCTCTTTCTTTCTTCTTCTTTCTGTTCCTCTTCTTCCTCTTCTTATTTATATTTTATATCAAGGCCAATGGGTACAGTAACATTTTTTGTGCACCTATTTATGATAACGCCCAAAACTCATCTTGCACAACAAGAGCTATTTTAAAGAAAAGTCTCCACTTCATAAGACCCAAGAACTTTAGCAAGTATTGCTACATAAATACTGCAAACCAGATTGCAAGAGAAATCAAATGAACAAAAGCGTATCAGCCAATGAAAGCTCCAAGTTGACAGATGGGGGAAACTTACCAATAGCAGCAGATGCAGTAATAGGAAAATCAGTTAAAATTCCATCAACAGAGAAAACTCCATTGTCTGTGAAAGAAATATACTCAGCAACTGGATCATAACTGTAGTTATAGGGAATAACGTTATCATTTGCAAACTCTGAAGCAAACACTTCTAGCCCTGCCTTATGAGCATCCAACACAATAGTAGAGTAAGGGAGCAGATAAAGATCTGCACTAACAGGCCATATGTAGCTCTTAGGTAAGAGAATTCCAGACGCAAATGTCTTTATAAATGTCATATTTTTCACTAACGAGCCATATGTTTGGTTGGTCGACTGTTCAACAAGAGCTGCTTCCAAAAACTGAAAAATAAGCCGTGTCCTACTTCTCTTAAGCCTTGCTTGTACACTGCTCAAGAAAGACACTTCTGGTGATGAAACATAGTCAATTATGTAGCGTCTTGTCACTGAAAGCAGATAGCTTCTCATGCTCAAATTATGCTGACTGTAGAATGTATTGTACTGCAAGACATGAGGAGGTTATCATTATCCGTGGAAAACGTCAATTAATGAACGGTCTCGGTGGATAGAGTAATAAAAAGATGTGATGAGGAAAGTGAAAGGTACCGGAACATTCAGCCAGAGGGGTGGCTTAAATTGTGAGTAAAGAGCATCAACAGAAAAGATACCATATTGTCCGTCAAATCTGTCAGTTCGAGTGTAGATGCCTTGGAGTACTGAACAGATGGCAAAAAATTGTCAGTTGTACTATTCGAAGCCCTATAATAGTTCCTCGAGAAGAAAGAATAGCATCCAAAATAAAAATGTTACACCCTGTCTGTTAGTTTTATTATTGCTTTTAATTAACTAAAATATAATTTGCGAGAATGTCTTCCTTTAATCTATTTATACAGTGAAAGAAGCTGAATAAGTTGCATCAAACATTTATTAACAAAAGAATTAAGGAAAACGGACACAAGTCATCATCTGCAGGCAAAAACAGAAAGGAAGAGACAACAGGAGTGCCATTGGAAGCAGTTCATGTGCTTGTGCTAGAAAACTGAAACAGCTTGTGAAAATAATTTGTCAATTTATTCTCTTCACTAGTGTCAAAGATGATCCCCTACCAAGGGCAAGAGGGAGAAGCACCATTCATCCACACCAACTAGACTTACAGGAGATTAATGAACAAAAGAGAAATACAGCTCTCTCTCTCTCTCTCTCTCTCTCTCTCTCTCTCTCTCTCCTCCCACACACACACACACACACACAGAGTTGCTAAATCTTTTTCGTAATTGCTCTGCTGTTTTCTCTCATCAAATGTCATATAAAAGATTGAAAAGGAATTTCTGACTTACAAGTGACATTTGTCAAGTCGGCCATGTCATAGTCGACAGGAAACCATCCTGATACAAGCACATTATTCAAAAGATGGTCTTTCTTCTCATCAGGGTATAACGCGGAAATATCTGTACAATTATCCATCTTGATGTCCGGTAGGCAGATCCCAACATTATCCTTCGTCAAATGCACATCACACCAAAGTAATGTACTGGATAGGCTGTCTGTCTTAGCAATAGAATATGCAGCCTCACTAGAATAGGGAAATAACCCTGAAATTCCACCTCTGGCTACTACTAGAGGTTCATCACCTGCCATATTGTGGAGATCTTCATTAGTTCGGCATATGATAAAACTTGAAGAATAAAATCACGCCAACGAAAAAACAACAATAATTTGAAATTGAAAATGTAAGATTATAAACAGGTGAAGCTATGGCAAAACAGACCATCGTGAAAGTTAAATATATGTATATCCTGAGTTCTGTTCTCACTTGATTATGGTGTCCATAACTTTTCTCTATCTTGGACATTTTTAAAATTTGAGGAAAGCCACAATTCAAAAGAGATAATTGAACATGTGACATGTTTCAACCCACTCGCATGACAACCTTTCCGTCCATCCTTTTGTAAGATTGACAAGAACTCTAGGGCCCAGAGGTGAACTTTAGGGCCCAGAGGTGAACTTTCACGCAATGAACTGCTGCAATGATCTTTATCACAAAAACAGTGCGTGATGGCAAGCAGTCTACTTTCAGAGCGCCACAACGTCTTTTCGTGTCACTGGAATAAATGTATTCCTCCAACCTCTCGGGTACTGCTTTCAAGTAGAAACAGCATCTCCTTTCCCTCGGCGTTTTATCAGAACAGAAGCCTTATTCTACTCGAATAAAAACAAAGCCAATTTCATATTTTACGCAGCAATTAATTCTAAATCAACTTTCGCCCATAGCAGACTATAACCTGGGTTCCTTCACAAGGTGAGCACAAGAAAGCACATGCGAAGTTCCAACAAGAATTACTGTGGTGATCATGGACTCAGCGTAAGAAAATTAATTATTTTGACATTTCTACAAGGAAATTAAAGCCGAACAACATAACTAGATACGTATAGAAACAGGCCACGAGAAGATAAAATCTTCATATCAGTCGCCCAAGGCAGAAAAGTAGCATCCTCATGTGGCAAGGATGAATAGCCCTCCACTCTTCTCATAGAAGGGAAGATTCTTTCGACCGTCATCGACATAAAAGTAATTCATTAACTTAAGATTGTAGTAATCGGAATTCACAGAGAGTTGCCTGCTCTTGATGCACAATCTGTTCAGTTTAAGACTTCTCAGTTCCAAATTAAGAGAGAAATAGTGGATGCTGCCTGCTAGAACACCGTAAAATCACCAACTAAAAAAGGAAAACAACTGCCGCAATCGAAGCCTAGAGAGCCCTCCGGCGAAATGTCTAATGTAATCTTAAACTGAGACCGACACCAACATGTCTGTTAATTTAATCAGTAGTTTTCTCGATTAGCATAAAATGGATGCTGATCGGAAATGTAATATCCACAGTAGGTGATCACTCGCGCCTCAAATGCTGTGTTCTCGCCAATCGCATGATTCGGAGTCTCGCATTCGAACATCGACCATCACCTGCTCCATTACGCAGTCCAAGCCCCTCGACCCATCCCCTCGGCCAAACGAGTTCGAAAAAAAAGAGCCAAATGCTGGATTACCACAGGTAATGAAGTCAATCCGACTGAGGAAAACAACAAGCACCTGTCAGGGTCCGCCAGGGGGACGCCCTGGAATGCCGCTGTGCCGCAGCTGGAGCCGGCCCCCTGAGCAGCACTAGTAGAACCAGAGCAAGCCACGGCGGGCAGAAACCAAGCTCCCATCCCGGCATTGCGCTCGAATCCCACCAGAGGTGCACAGAGAAGCTTGAGCAGGAGCGATATACACGGAGAGACACGTCCAGAACCGGAAAAGGCGAGATTGAAGCAAGCAACGCCGCTTGCCGAGAAGATCCGCCCTGGAACTCCGCAAGTATCCCGAAAGGGGAACCTCGCCGCCCCTTCCTCAGTCTCCTTTCCCTCCTGTGCCTCAGCTGACGAATGCAGAACGAGTGATAGAGAGAGAGACAGACAGACAGAGAGGAGAGAGAGAGAGAGAGAGAGAGAGAAGAGAGAACGAAGAGAGAGAGGGAGGAGAGAGAGTCGTCTTCCAAAGTGTGCCAGTGCTTCACAGCGTGCATTCGCGGGGTCCAGTCGCCATCTGTCGCGCGATGTACAAAATAGCCGTCCGTCTGTTCGTGTTCACGAGGGACGGGGAGAAAACGACACGAAATGAAGGGATGATGGTGAATGAGGATATGCCACGTATTAATCCTACGTCACCTCCTCACGCGTACACGAACTGCCGCGGCGCGATACGGTCTGGTTACTGTCACCTGCGGTCATCATACCGCTGCGTAGCCCCTGCTATCTGGTGGGCTCACGCGTATTTAATGCCCATTACTCCGTGGCATCTGATTTCTCCGACCATTCCGACACAGAAGAAGGACGGAGCGGGTCACGACTGGGCGGCGGTAAGGTTACGGGCTAGTCAAATCATTTATTTTAAAATATAAATATACTTTCATTGGTTTTTCATCAAAAAATATGTTTTCTGGGCCCAATATCCAAAATGAGGCCCAACCGCAACTCTGCCCTAGACCCAAGAAGGGCAAAAATACCATAATAGGGCCCACCATACTGAAGTGTGGGCCTAGCTGCTGTATGCGTCTACTCCACATATTTATCTATTTATATATATATATATATATAGAGAGAGAGAGAGAGAGAGAAAGAGAAAGAGAGAGAAATTTTTTTTTGCGGGTTTTGGTGCATAAAAATGGTTAGTGAATAGTGAAAAAAATGGGCGCATATAATTATTATAAAAAAATATTTTCTATTGATATATCATATTATATCCATTATATTTGGGTGATAAAATGTAAATAAAAACGGACTTAAATACACGAAAATAATAAATATTAATAATTGATTATGGCGGCGTTCTTTACTCCAGTACCCATTGAAACTCTAAACTTTGTTGATATACATTTCCATGTGTTGCTTTTATCTTATTATCCTCTCGAGGTTTTGACAAAAGAAAAGTAAATTTTGTTAAATAATCAAGACCTCGTACTCTCTTGGTTTATCCCTGGATAATTTAATAATTATTAATTTATTCTAGCTTTTTAGGTTATTTTCGAAGCCTATGGCAGCCCTATTTGCGAAATATCTTTGTTTTAGGGTATGATCTAAATTAGTTTAATTAAAGGGTTCTTCGTGAAGTATGACTCCTGCGATCCACCTTCCCTTTTCCCGGGCCCGCCGCCTTGGGGCCCACCAATTAGCTCTCACATGAGGCTGAGCTGGGAAGACACTGTTGGGGCCCACAAAAAACCATCAGGCACAGTTTGTTAGATGGGGCCCACACCCACTATCGGCATATCAGCCTTTTCAGGGTCTTGATAGCGAAATTCAGAACTTTAGTGGCAAATTGCTCCTTTTTGCAGTTATAAATGGGCTGAACAATAAATATCCGGGCCCACCGATGTCTTTATCGCGCATATTATTTCTCAAATAAGTTTTTATTACAGGGTTTAGTTAAAACTAAAATCTAAAAATGTCCCACTCAGAGATCTGGCATCCAGCTCACGCCAGGCGCCGGTGAGGCCCGTTGACATGACAGTTGGTCCACGTTTCGCACGAAGTGGGACCCAGGGGACTGATAAAAGATAAATCGAGAAATGGATTATTGTTAATACAATAAATGGAAATAAATAATACCAAATAAAAAGCGCTGGGCAACGACCGAATGTCGTTCAAAAAAAGGCGGGCTAAATGTTGATCCTCTTCCTCTGATTGCCGTCTTCTTCTTCCTCCACGGCGGCGAGAACCTTCGAGGGGGCGCCGCCGCCGCTGCCGCCGTCGTCTTCATTATCGCGGAGAAGCTTCTTCCCGATCCCCAGGAGATCCAGCGTCTTGGGAAGGTGGGGCCCGACTTCGATCCTCCCATGGAGGACCCCCAGTGGTACCACCACCATCTCCTCTTCCTCTTTCCTTTTGCTGGCAACTTTTCTACCGCCACGATCTTCGAGCTCCGGCGGGCGGCGGCGGCGGCGGGGCGGGGGCGGCGGGGCCCGCTGGTTGCCGGCGACCATCTCCCTCCGGTGGGCGGTCATGTGGCCGCCGAGCTTGAAGAAGCTCATGAATTGCAGGCCGCAGTAAGGGCACTTCCTCGGGAAGGTGGGCCGCATCCAATTAGGGTTAGGGTCAAACGAAGCTACAGGGCGAATCCTCTCTCTCTCCATAATGGAAACTTAGCTACAGGGCGAGTTGGAGAGAGAGAGAGATGCTGTTAGAGAGAGAGGAGATGGGTGGAGGGGTTAAATAGAGTGGAGGAGCTGGTTGGAAGGGGGATTAAAGGTGGGAATATTCGTCAAAGTGGGAATTAATCGGGGTTAATCGCAAGGGTTTAGAGGGGTGCGGAAGGGCACCTCCAGGGAGGGATGGCGCCAGAAGGCAGTTGCTAGTTTTGGATGAACTCAATTAACTCCCCGTCCTTTGATTTATTAACAAGATGACAAGGGAATTCATGGAAATGGGGTACCATTGGGTCGGGTTTAGAGAGAGAAAACCCGGGAATAAGCCCATCCAACCCGACCGAGAGAGAGAGAGAGAGAGGGGGGGTTGCTCTGAGGGATAATCCGATCAAAGGTGGGAATGAGTTGGGCTGCCAGGCCTTGGTGGCATCTCTCTCTCTCTCTCTCTCTCTCTCTCTCTCTCTCTCATATTTAGGGAAAATTTTGACGATGATTATCAAGTAGACGGCTATAAATTCTGGGTTCGGGCTCTCAAAATCAAGCCGGAGAATGACACTGCATGGGCTCTCTCTCTCTCTCTCTCTCTCTCTCTCTCTCTCTCCTCTCTCCCCCCGTAATGAGAAACGTAAGGCAGTAATCATAAGAAGCAAAGATTGTCAACCAAGGAGAAACGACTGGAGAGAATGAGGTGCATGAGAAATGTTGAGAAGCCCACACGATGGATAGAGAGAGAGGAGAGAGAGAGAAGAGAGAGAGACCAATGAGTGGTTTTCACCTAAACTAGAACTATTTTTTTTAAAAAGACGGCCAATGACTCTTTGGCAGGGGTTAAAATGCATCAAATAGCCCATCACATTACAATTTTTTTGGCACAACGTACCCCGATTCCTCACTATTCCAGCAAAGCCCAACATTCATCAGATTGCCAGACTTCGAATAAAAATCAGGTTAAATACAAGTTACAGGAGGAACCAGACTGACCATCATGTTCATCACGATTGCTTCAGCAGATGGCGAGAGAGCATCTCGAAGACCCCCTGAGCTGGTAGGCTCTCACATCCAAGAAGCTGTTGAAGCTTCGCGTCGCACCGTATCATCTTCGAATTCGTCGGATCCTGAAAGAGCCCGAAAAGGGTGCATTGGTGAAATCACAGAGGGATATTCTTTTTCCGCTAAATAATTTCCACGAAAAGGGTGCATTCAGGAAGAAATAGTCACAAGTGGCAAGAACGATGCTACTCTGAAAACCATGATTTCATTTTATCTCTCTCGTATGTCACATTGCATTGTGTTTCTTGATAGAATTCTTAATTTATGCTGGAAAATTTCCCTAAAAAAGGAATTTCAGGTTTGAATGCAGAGAAAAAAGATTCACAAATGGAAATACCCCATCGGAAATAAATTTACTGCATAAAATTTATAATTGAAATCCATGCTTTTGTTTTTTCATGTTTTCACATATATACTTCTAAATATGTTTCTAAATAGAAATATTTACTTCTGCCAAATAGTTTTCTAAGACATTTCATGCCGCGTGCAGGAAGAAAGAGCAAAGAAAGAGCCAAAAATGGCCCATTTGAAGGAAAAAATATCTCAATTTGACGTTTGTGATTTTTATTTTTTTTAATGTTGTATTGGGTATCTAGCCTGGGCATTTGGAAACCAGATTCAAAAAGTAGAGAAACAATACTGCTTCCAAATTTTTCAACAAAAAAATTGTCAAAAAAATGAAGAAAATCAAAACGGCAGAAGAACATGAAAATATATGGTTCTCAGTGTCTACATATAGCAAGAAATGCAATTCCAAAAATGGCACAGACCTAGCACTTACAGTCTTAGTAGAAAACGCAGATTCACCGTAGGTAGAACTAAGCATGAGCAAAAGGTTCAGAGAGAGTAAAACACCCATTTTGACCAAAAATGTTTTGACCCACGACAGCTTGGGACGTTTTCACTTATGATTTATGATTCCTGCTGATGAGTATTTACAAACTGTTCTTGATTTGACGACTATGTGTTTATGATAACTATGCAGCAACAGTGGTTACATTACAGGATCAAAGGAATTATTGAAAATTATGAAAAAAACTTATGCCCGGATTAAAATTTCTTTCTTTTATACCTTTTTCTTAATTTTTAGCATGACACCACAACAGTAGCAGACTGATGTGAAAATAATCTGACATCTTGTCAGAGACTGATGTTCTTAGTAGCAGCCGACTCCCAGGATGGAGAATCCATGGATCACTTGTGCACCCACGGAACTAAGAACCCAGCATTATTGTCTAAAGGCCATATGTCTACGATTTCTCCTGCTTTGGTGGATAGGGACACTTCAACACGTCTTCATTGCAGGAAAATCCTTAAGGTAAAAGGTACATACTGTGTTGATGGCACCCTCATGGTTACAAATGGAGGAGGAATGACTGTATGTGACTATAATGGTATTTAAAGTTGATGAGATTATTTAAAGTTGATCTTGGGTTGCAGTCTGCTTTAATAATAATAGTAGTAGTAATAATAATATACAGCAGAAAAATGGAGAAAAAAATTGTAGCGTAAGACACTGGAACCCAAATAATTCACAACATTTAAGCTTAGAATTTTCCTATCAGAAATAAAGATATTCAATATCATTGACTTAGAGTCCATGAGATTTACCAAGCACTATATTTGGAAAAAATCATATGCTAGGAGGAAGCCCCAGAGAGTGAAGTATTTCAACTAAAAGAGATTATACATATAAACATATTAAAGCGATTAGCTTGGGGAGAAAGCTTTATTAGTCACAGAGAATAATGTGCCAGTGTAAAAGAAAGGAATTAAATAATTAAGATCCCAATGAAGAAAAATTAACCATGATTTCACTAATAACTGAAAAAAAAAAAAAAAAAACAGTGAGAAAGACGCCTACATAAGGTGATGTACCACAAACCTTCAGCTTGTAAATTTTTATGTAGTCCCAGATACGTTTGAGTGCCTCTGATTGGGGCATTTCCCTCTCTCCAGTTCCAAAGAACTTGGCAAGTTCATCAGAAATGACAACAGGGGATTTTTCATCTACACCTTCAGCTGCAGAGGGCAGCTCTGTTGTCTTCGCCTTTTTCTTAGATGCAGCTGGCTCCTCTGCAATCAATTAAAGCAATCAAATACGTCAAGGTTCTGCCATATTTGTTACTGCTGGACAGCAGTAGACAGTTTATATCTCTACAGCTTGCATACTTGAGGGTTCAAGGGGTGTTATGTGCTTTGCTAGCAGCTTATTCATCATAAATATATCAGTACAGTCTGTCTCAAAGACCACTCGAAGCTCATCATTGCAGATTATCTTTCTCTTGTTGTTGGGATCTTGAAGATTATTCTTTCGTATGTATGCCCACAACTGCTTCACAATCTGCATCAGAAGAGAATCACCACTTTCACAACGTTTACAGCTGACAATGGGAGATGAATAATCATAAGGCATGTTGTTTCAAAATCTTGTTCAAGATAACTCACTTCTGTCCTTGGCAGCGTTGATCCACCAACAATGTTCTGTAGCACAGGTGAGACACCACAAAGCTTAGTGAGACCACCAGGACCGCGTCTTCTCTTGGCTCTAGCTTCAGCACTGCGGCAAGGTTGAGCGGGCGCAGTTAGTTAGACATGGATCGCTTGAATTGCCAAAATCAGAAGAATTTTTTTTTGGAGGATATGAGTTCAGGAAGATGCGGACTTTCTGAGGAAAGATTCCACCACTGCTACGTAAACAGTTTTATCAAATTACGCTGTGAAAATCTGCACCAAAGTTGGGCTGCATGCATGATTTTACAGTCAAGTTGATCAGAAGTTTTCAGAACGATGGATAAACACAACGGGCGTTCAAACCACGCAAAAAAGCTGAAATTCTCCATCAGAAGAGGGTGTTAGAGGAGCAGAATCGCTCATTTACAGCAAAAACGAAACAGAGAAGAAGGAGCTAAGCCGATGTAGAATGTGAACAGTTTTTCAGAGTGGACCTCCTAGAGTTATTATTTCTTAAAAAGCTCCGGGGAAGCGAGAAGCGAAACAAGTATCAGGATGAAAGACCCTGGGCACCTTGCTTTGGCGGGCTTTGGCAAGGAGCTCCCAGCGGCGGCATGGCCTTCCTGGATCGACAACACCGCCGGCCCAGCAGCAGCCGGCTGCTGCTGCTGGAGGAGAGGGTGAGGCTGCACGATGACTACGGGAGCGCATCGAAATGCGAGATCATGCTGGGGAGGGAGCTGCGTAAATGGCGAAGACGAGATCGGGTGCTGCTGAAGGAGCTGCTGTGGAATGGCAGCGACGAACTGCTGCTGCTGATGGAGAGCCGCATGGTCCTTGGAGACGGCCCCCGGGGGACGCAGCAGCAGATTAATCTGATCCCGGATGAAGCCCTCCTTGTGGGAGAGGTCTAACCCTAGTTTCGCCTCCACCTGCTGAACCACTCCGCTGACATTGACAGAGGTCACCGCTCCATTGGCGTCTGGCTGGGGGAGGAGGGACTCCACGCAGCTCGCAATCTCCTGGTCCGACACCATCTCTCCCTACCACCATCTACTGACCAATTAAACCCCGAGATCGAGAAAGAAAGCGATGCTCAAGAATTAAACCCCTGAAAACGAAAACCCCCCCGCACCCTCTCTCGCTATACACTCCCTTCCTTACAACCTTCTCTTCCCCTCCCTCTCTCTCTCTCTCTCTGACCTTTCGCCGCCCCTGAATTTCTCCGCCTCTCCGCCCGGGTCCCTCTCTTCGTGTCCGAGTACATATTGGTGGGAAGTTTACGAAAATACCATCAAGAAAGTATTTATTCACTACCCCCCCCCCCCATTTCGAAGCTGCGCGTTCGAGAGAGACAGACACATGCGAGCTCCCTCATGGACTCCGAAGACGCGTCGGAGAGAGACGGACGCAAAAACGAATCACATAATCCCCATAGCGCAATGGATAAGCTAGCTGACGGGACAAAAATATTGAGGAATACCGAAATTTATTTAATTGATCATATAACTATTAATATCTCGAAATTTATAACTGTCAGATAAATAATTAAATTATAAATAAGAGCACCAAAGGACATATTCTTATAAGGCAGGGGCCGGCATAGGCCCGAAAATGGGCCCTTAATCAGAGGGGGGGAGAGAGAGAGAGAGAGAGTCTCAGGAATGAGCTTTCGGGTCAGACCTATCCAAGCCTGGGCCTGACCCAAGCCCGAAATACTAAGCCCGTTGTCGTCACTCATGACAATGTTCCTATTTTAAAATTTATAAATGAGATTAATTATGTGTGTTTAGATATATACATACATAGCGAGAGAGAGAGAGAGAGAGAGAGGGGTATGGACCGAGCCCAGATATGAACTGGGCCAGCCCGGCCCAGTTGGGCTTCAAGGTGGGCCCGCACCCCATCAATGGCCCTCCCTCTGATCCAGAATATTCTCACATTATACTTCTAAAAACTTAGGAAGAAAAAAATCGGTCCGGAGTATTATAAAAAAAAGAAAGAAATGAGACCACTTTTATATCAACTGTGAATCTTTTAGACAGGGGATCTCATCAAGTGGGGTTCCAAGAACAACTCACACGTGGAGGGAGTTCTTCCTCTTCTCTCTGCTGATGATGATTAGGCTCTCTGAATGAAGATAATACCCAGAGACATGGTCAGCAGAATAAATCAATGAGAGAAGTCGATCAGATGAAGAGCCTACGAGCCAGACGACGTCAGGGGCCATTCTTTACGGATGTCGAAGGTGTAATTGATCTCCAGGTAGCATTTCCCATCATCATCGATGAACTGTAACAATGAAAAAAGATGTAGATTACTAGTGCTGATGTAGATTATTTCTGTAAACACTGATCAGAGAAATGAGGAGATGATATGAATGCATGGACATTTCTGCATATTAATATAAAGATGCTAGATTGAAAATTGTGTAATTCGATCGATTTTCAAATTATTCCATCAACTCTGGAAGAAGCTATTTTCCATTGAATTCTTGAGCAACCAAGAAAATTTAAAAATTTCTGATAATACCCTGTAAATTAAAACCATAGGTCTTGAGTAAATCCTTCCCAAAGCATCTAGATTCTGATTCAAATTAACTTTAGGCATGTATTTATAAATACCTTCTTCATATCAAATGATTCCTGCAACTCTGAAGCATAACCGTTCCCAACAAAATAAAAGAGGAAAGAAATCTCCTACTAATTTTTTTTTTGAAAAAGAACTTCGTTTCAATGGATAAACAACCACTAAATATTTCATAACTAAGAATAGCAACGCCGAAGAACATAGATCAGAACACATTCATCAGATCCACGGCTGATGGGTTGCTCACCTTTGATCTCGCAGAGTATGACCCTCTTGCAAAGATCCCCGACGGTGTCGTCTCTTTCTGCATCTCACAGTCGTAGGGTTCGACCCGAGGACTGAAAGTTCCAAGCATTTCCTTCGTGCTGTCCACTGAATTGATGGTCACCAGTGATTAAGGTTAGCCATTAAAATGGCTTCTCGCGAGGAAATCATGGCGAGATGGAGGTACACTTCCGCTCACCTTTCATACCAGTCTTCCACACCGTGTTAGAGTATCTGAGCCCAGGAACGATGTTGTTGCTCACAGAGAAGGAGAACTTGAGCCTGTAAGTGCTACCCTCTTTCAAGGTAAACCATGGGCCCTTGGTGTTGGGAGCCAGAGGGAGGGGGAGAACTATATCTGGCCTGCCAGGCGATATGATCGAAAGGCTCTCGATCTTGACCTCGGGCTCCAAGTGTTCTACAGCATCAATTTCAGAACAGAGTCTGAGCCACTCGATGAATACATCATCCGTTGAAGAACAAAAGAAAATTCTTCATCTGGCTTGAAATGATTGAACGGGATGAATCGTGAAGTGGAGATCATGTCGCCCGATTCGATCCCCAAGGAATAAAATCGAAGAACCATCATGAATGGATTGGTTGGAGACATGGGATTGCGGATATGATCAAGAATTTCTGCCTTATAATGATGGAGAGGGGGGAGAGGGATTACCGCCAACAGAGTCCAAGTCAAGGCCGCCGAGAAGCTGTTCCTTCCATCTCCTCAGGCTTTCATCCTCCTAGAATCAAGAACAGTGTGTGGAGATGAGCTAAATCGCAAGAATCAGAAGGAATTGACGGAAGGAAAGAGGAGAGAATGAAAAGTGGAGGATGGCGAAACCTTGTCCTTCTCTAGCTGCTGCTTCAGGGTGAATTGGGGGCCCAGATCGAGCCTCTGGCCTTGTTCGCTGTCATCCTCTTCGTCTCCCTCCGTGGGGCAGAGCGAAGCTCCACTCATCTGCCTGTCGATCTTCTCATTCTCTTCCTCCGCCCCTTTTCTGATCCCTTTCCCTTTTTCTTCTTCTTCTTCTTCTTCTTCTTCTTCATCATCATCATCATCATCAGCGTCTTCTTCTTCTTCTTCTTCCACACTGGTGTCACCTTCCTTCAGAGGCGGAGTCAGCCCCCCATTCTTCACTGAATCCTCGACCCCCTTCTCTTCGATCTCCTCCATGTCCAAGAGCGGCTTGAGCGGGCTTCAAAGGCAAATGGCACTGGCGATGCCTCCACCGCATCCAATCACTCGCCCGCCGATATGAATCCTCCGATAAATGAAGAAAACAAATGGAGGCGATTCACAGAAAAACTCTCATGAAAGGAGCACAACAGAAAAAACGAGAGAGGCGCAGAAGATGAGATGGATGAGGAGTTGCAGAAGATAAAGAACCAGAAGCATCCGCAGAACAGAACTATAAGGAGGGAGAGGAGAAGGAGAGAATCTAGCAAGAGAGAGGGAAAGAGAGATGCAGAGGAGAGAAGGGGTGAGAATGTCGCATATGGCGCTAGCTGCCAAGACTGGCCAGGAACAGTGCGAGGGAAGGTAGAACAGGAAGAAGGGGCACCCTGGAAAGCTCCAGCTCGCCATTTTTACCCATCCCTGCGGAAGCGGAGGGCTGTCGGCGGGGGATCTCGCTAGCATTCATCATCGTCGGCGACGGCATCTTCCCCGTCTTTCAAGGAGCAGGATCCGGTCGTCGGCGTCCTCCATTAATGGCCGCGCGGTGGTGGCGCCGCCACCTCCCTCCATCAACGCCGCCGGAGCGGACGGGGTGAAGGAAGGGTACGCTCCGCCGGGGAGATCAACAGAGAGAGAGAGAGAAACCCTCGCGGCCAAGATTTCGAATTCAATACCGCGGGGAAAACCCTGTCTGAGCTACTTGTTCTGCGTGAATACTTTCAGAGGAGCGGGGTGGACTCTTTCTCTCTCTTCTCTCTCCTTTTTTCTCTCTCCTCTTTCATTTTTTCCTCTCCCTCATTCTCTCTCCTCTCTCGCATTCCCCCGTTCTCTCTCTTTCCTATCTCTTATTCTCTCCTCCCTCTCTCTCCCGCTCTGTCTACTTCCCTTTGATCAGAGTTATAAGGGACGAGCTTGGGGAGTCGAGCCGGAGATCTCGAATGATTTAACGCGGCCCTGGCCCGTGGCCCGACATTTTCATATTATTGGGAGTACAAATGGGCCATAAAAAGCCCGGCCTCTTATTCCGGGCTTGGGCCTGAAAATCGAGCGCAGGTCGGCTCAGACGGGTCGAAAAATTGTTTCGCGCGCGCGCGCGCTCTTACTCTCTCTCTGTGTCTGGGTCCACCACGATCGGCCACGATCAGGATCGAACGGCTCAGATAGACCCATCCTCGAGGATGATTAACAACAAAAACTATAAATGGACACATAAAATATAATTATTTAATAATTCAGGACCTCTTCCAAATATTCCTTGCTAATATCCGTACGGCAGTTTGGCGTTGTCCGAGGTTTTTAATGAACGGTCGTTAAGTGTCGGGCTTAGCCCGAATCTACACCGAGCCTAGGCTCGGGCCTTCGGGAAGGGCCACGTGGCCTGCTAGAAGAATGTTTTCCTGATTCCGAGAGCAACGACGAGAAGCGTGAGGACGAAGTTACTCCCCCGCCGGCGAAGGACGTCGTCGGCCGGCGAAAGGACGGCCGCCGGCCAGTAAGAATCTTCTGGTTTGGAGGGTTTCAGCAGGGGAGGAGGACAGTATCTCCTCGGCTAGCTTCGTGTGTCCGCAGAAACCAGCCCCGTTTCCTCCGTCTCACATAGTTTATTTTTTGTTTTCTTTTTCCTCAAATTCCATCCTCCATTGCTGATTCCTTCTCCGCCACCGTCATCCAGACGGAGGGAGCCGAATTCCCATCTCCGCCCGTCTCGTTTCCTTCCCGCACGCGGCTGAGGTAGAAGGAGCTGAAGAATAGAAGAAACGGAGCGGCGAATTGTGGTGTTCGGGGCGGAGAAGGGAGGAGTGGGTGGGTGTCTTTGTTTGATTTTTTCTTTGCTCCCCTTTTTCTCCGGTGGGTTCCTCTTTGTCCATTCTAGCTGTGCGCTGGCTAATATTCCTTGTAGGATCTTTGAGTGCCGTGGTCTTCTACGCATTCGCACATGCAAAGTTGCGGTAGCGGTCATCGAAACGAGATGATTCTGACCGTGGGCTTGGATGGGTCAATCAGCTCCGCGCTGTTATTCGGGTGCTAAGCCCAAATCCCTCGGGTTTGTGATTGTCGGGTGTTTGATAGTCTGCATCTTCTGCCTCTCCGCCCCTGTGGGGAAGAGGCCTGTCTCTAGAATAAGCAGGTCTCCGGATACACGATGGCTGGTTTTTTCGGGGTGATCGTCTCGGATCCCTGGCTTCAGAGCCAATTCACACAGTTTGAGCTCCGTAGCCTTCAATCAAATGTGAGCGTTCCAATCACTCGTCCTTGCCTGTCGTATAACCTTAACACCGCACCTACTTCAGGCCCTCATTCGTGCAAACATTTGGTTTCTCTATCATATGAATTCAACAGTTCATGTCTGCGAAGAGAGAATCGGGACGCGTAACAGTTCAAGATCTACCTTCTGTCCTGGCGAAGCTCAAAGCCCTCAGGGAGACGCTCGAGGGTGAAGAGATATCGGAGATATTGGGAGAATCCGACGCAGATACAGGCCAAGAGATAGACTTTGAGGCCTTCTTGCGGGTATTGCTATTCTCGATGTGTACTCCATTTTTCCTGAATTGGGCATGCGGAGAGAATTTTGATCGTCTATGGGAGGTCTGATTTATGTAGTTCAATGGCTGAATCATTAGGCTTATTTGACTCTGCAAAACCGGGCCACTGTCAAACTGGGAGCCAATAATCACTCCTGGGAGTTTCTAAAGGCCACCACTACCACGCTACTCCACACCATCAGTGAATCAGAAAAGGCTGCTTATGTAGCACACATCAACAGCTACCTGGGGGAAGACCCCTTTCTGAAGGAGTACCTGCCATTGGATCCAACAACTAATGATCTCTTCAACCTTGCAAAAGATGGTGTCCTTCTCTGGTAAATGTATCTATTATCTTGTAATTAGCCTTCCCTTATTTCTGTAGGATCATAATTGCGAGCCATTATTATGCTGTTTCCACGATTTATCAACTCTTGCTATATAAGGTCAACACAAAGGAACGCGTTCTTAGGTGTTTAGTTTGGTTTTAAAATACATTTATTAATCTAATCCGGCCGGTGGATCTTATCGTAATCTCATCAATATATGCAAAGTTTTAATGTGTTAATTGTCTATTTCATGTGTTTACCTTTTTTGGTCATTTTTTTCGGAAAGAGATACCTGGTTTCTTTTTATAGTCATTTAATATCTGTCTTTTTGCTTTGTTTAGTAAGCTAATCAATGTTGCAGTCCCTGGGACAATAGACGAGAGAGCAATCAACACAAAAAAGATAATAAACCCATGGGAGAGGAACGAGAACCACAGTCTCTGCCTCAACTCTGCAAAAGCCATTGGTTGCACGGTGGTTAACATTGGAACACAAGACTTGATTGAGGGCAGGGTAAGCATCACTAGATCGTTGTATTGTACATCTGCTTTCTGAGGAAAATTATCTGCCACTCTTTTTCATTTATCATCTTTATCTTTTCCCATTTCTTTTTTTTTTCTTGGGTCCATTTTTGACTTCCACATTTTATGGGAGATAACTGATACACTCTATATTCCATACTCGATTTCCAGTTTTTTTCTCAAAGAGTGAGAGCTCTTTGGGTATCTATTGTTTCGCATTGATGCAAACTTACTTATTTATTTATTCATTTTTAAGTTAATAGAGAGGGAGATGTCTGCAACTTGCATAGCTACTTTATTCTTAACAGCATCTCCCGGTCAAAGACCAAGCAAGCGGCTTCCTAAATTTTATCGTTATTTGGTCATACTATTTTTTATGAAAATATTTGTCATACTTTAAATATTGTGGAAAATTGAAGACTGATATTTTAACCGTTTCTATGCAGCCTCACTTGTTTCTTGGATTGATATCTCAAATCATTAAGGTATGGATTCGAAGATTCTCTTTTCTTGATAGAAAAACCAGAGCCATCGTTCTAGGCTAAATTATATCGAAATTAAAAGAAATAGTAGCGCAACGAGAGGATTCAACGATTTTATGATATTTTGGTTGAGGATTGGGTTAATTTTGTTTGCCTTCCCTCGGACATTCTTCTCCTTTAAGATATGCTGATAAGTTTTTTTTTTATTGGATCTGTTTTGTGGTCCTATTACTAGATACAATTGTTAGCAGACCTCAATCTCAAAAAGACCCCTCAACTGGTCGAGCTGGTGGACGATGGCAAGGTAAAAGTGCTAGCATTTCATGGTTTGATTCATATCGTGTTTCAAGTGTATCAACGTATGATATGTTTCAAACTCTACAGGACGTCGAGGAGTTAATGAGTTTATCTCCTGAAAAAGTCCTACTTCGATGGATGAATTTCCATCTCAAGAAAGCTGGGTACAAGAAACCTCTAAACAACTTTTCTTCTGATGTGAAGGTAAAACATCAAATTTACTGACGGTGGTTTACAAAGTGGATGAAAGTTTCTTGTTTAGGAGAAAAATATTTAGACACATTTTATGAACCTGTATAGAGTGAATGCAGTTCTAATTCAGATTGGGTTAATAATTCAAACTATGATTCTCAATCAGCTTGTCGGCCATTGACCTTCTAGTCTTCCTGTATATTGGGCATCTGCATGTTTCCTTTAGGATTTTTCCGCGTGAATCTGTGCTTTCGGTGCAATAGTCACGTTATGTTTTCATAGAAAATTCTTTTTACTGAAGTTCTATATAATTATTTTCCCACATAGCAGGATAAATGGTATTAAATGCATTTAATTTTTCTAGACGGAAAAACGTTAGTTCAAAGCGTCTGTTGCCAGTTGGGTATTTATTCATTCAGTAAAACACCCACTGTTAAATATTATTTTTCTATTAATTATTCAAAAGTCACAATGGTTTCTACCATCTATTGGCTGATTGAATTGCAGGATGGAGAAGCTTATGCATACCTGCTTAATGTTCTAGCCCCTGAGCACTGTAGCCCAGCCACCTTGGATACGAAAGATCCGAGTGAAAGGGCGAAACTGATTCTGGAGCATGCGGAGAGAATGAATTGCAAAAGATACTTGACTCCGAAGGATATTGTTGAGGGATCGCCCAATCTCAATCTTGCATTTGTTGCGCATATATTCCATCACAGGTACCTAGCTTGGTTTTAACCATTTTTCTCGTTTTCCATTACTCCCATATACATTGCAGAGATCTCTTGAGTCTACAACTGAACCCATATATGTTCCCCTTTGTTTTCATCTACTCTGGAATTTTTTTCTACCCGTTATTTTGTTATTATATATTTAAATATCCGTTGATCGAGCTTTGTCTTTCCTCAATTTCACATTTTCCTAAATTTATTTCTCAATCGTGGTGTGTTTCATTAATACCCTGCATAACGGGACTTTTAATGTAATGAATTTTTTTTCTGTTTAATTAATTTAGGCCACAATAAAATCCTCCCTTATGTCTTTTTTCCGTTGTCCTTTCATTCCCAAAAGACTTTTTGACACAGTTTTATCTCCTAGCTAACTCTCCATTGAAAAATAATATGTTCATATGCCTTTAAACTCCATAAAATAAGAAAAATCAGAAGGAGAAGCGAGGGAGGGGGGAAGAGAGAGAGAGGGTTTGGTCAGGATAGTGAGAGAGAGGAATAGAGTTAACAAGAAGGTAAGTCAGCCATTTAGCTTGCAAGTGCAGTCAATTTATTCATAGCCGAATTTTATTCAGGCTGCTGTAACATGCTTTGGACTAAATACTCACTGTCATCTAGTTTCTGGGAACTAAATGCTGACAGAGAATAACATATATGATTGTATAGTGGGTTGGATATTACAGGAATATAAAAAAAATACACACCATTTTATCTTGTTACCTTTTCTTGAACTAGTTCTTTAAAACATCTTTGACTTGGCTGGCATTCCACCTTTCCTGAAATCGATCCTCTATCATTGATTAACTCCATTTTTTTTCGAATCAATACCCTTTTTGAGAAGAACATTGAAAAATCAGTCTTTTTGTCCTGTTATAGTATAGTGAACGTGATGTGTACAGTAGACTGTATAGTTTTCTTCTTTTTTCGCTTGCCACATTTTTTGGTGACATTTCGGTCACTAAGGATAAGATATCGAATTTGTTTGCCACTCTTTGTGTATCACACAAGCGTTTTCTATGTTGTGCATCAATCAACCCAAGGTAAAGTTTTCTTGACAAGTTGCATGCCATGAATAAGAGAAATGATGTGCATGGAGCTTATTCCCTCTTAGGCGTGGACAATTTTTGAACTGGGAACCTTGGCCAAAATAGATGGCCCATAGATTTTAAATGCTGCAACCATTCCAGTGCCGATTTTGCACTATTCTTCAGCTGCTACTCGTCATTAAAGTTCCTAACTGAGAATAGTTTTCCAGTAATTGTAGGAAACCTATCAAAAAAAAAAGAAGAAGAAGAAGAGAGACCCAGGTTACATCTATGGGTTTTGGATGTAGAAGATACATGTAATATTTATAATCGAACATAAGAAGATCTCGCTTCGTTGAAATAAATCAGTATTAGCATTTTTGGATTTTTATCATGTTTTTCCGCGTTGTCAAACTTTTTTCAACTGCCATCCAAAAACACTCGATAATTTTTTTTGTCTTTTTTTAATATGACAGTTTCATCATTGTGTCTGACAGAAGATTTCATGAAGAATTTCTGTATTTTTTTCTGTACAACGATTGCTGTATCTATTCCAGATATAAATACTGCAATCTCTAAGAAAAAAATTAATTAGCCACGCCATGTAGTTTTTTATCAGAGTAAATTTACACCACATTATTTTTAATAGTAAATTTCCACGAACATAAAGTTACAATTTAATCTTATTTTCAGCACAGAGTGTTGATTAACATAATTTCTTACTTTATGCTGTTTTCTAGTCTTCTCTGCGCTTTGATTGCTGGTAATTTCCTAAACTACCATCTGTTTCCTTCTGGATTCAGCGTATTTCCCTTAGATACCTTCTGGACTTGGTGAGCCTGATGTGATTTGAAAATTTTCCAAATTTTAACGTTTCAGGAATGGCCTGTCGGTAGACAGCAAGAAAATTTCCTTTGCGGAAATGATGCCCGATGATGTTCTGGTCTCCAGGGAGGAAAGAGCTTTCCGACTGTGGATAAATAGTCTGGGCATCGCAACTTTTGTCAACAACGTCTTTGAAGATGTCAGAAATGGGTATGTCCGCCTCACATCATTGGTTACTCATCTCCATGATCCTCACTGAGGACGCTCTATCTACTCAGATGGGTTCTCCTCGAAGTACTGGACAAAATCTCTCCCGGTTCAGTTAATTGGCGGCATGCATCAAAGCCCCCGATTAAGTTGCCATTCAGAAAGGTTGAGAATTGCAATCAGGTTGTTAGGATCGGAAAAGAGTTGAAATTTTCTCTAGTTAATGTTGCTGGGCACGACATCATGCAGGGGAATAAGAAGCTTATCCTTGGTATGTACGGATCATATTATTCTTTACTGAAATATTTCCTGCTTATTTCTTCTCAATATTTCTTTGATGGTTTATGTATATTTTTCTTATAGACATAAATCACAGCTATGAAAGGTGTGGCAATCATTATCATTGGTTTTCAGGAAGAGTTGGAGGATATTTATGTTAATTCGGTCTCTTTCAGCTTATCTTTGGCAGTTGATGAGGTTTAATATACTTCAATTGCTGAAGAACTTGCGATCCCACTCTGAAGGGAAAGAGGTGACTGATGCTGACATCCTGGATTGGGCAAATGACAGGGTGAGAAGAACAGGAAGAACATCTAGAATGGAAAGCTTCAGGGTAATCTCATCTCCGCCTCAACCAGTCTATCTAGAAAAATATCCATTTACTCTTATTATTCTTTTAATTGTCACTCTTCAGGATAGGACCCTGTCAAATGGATTATTCTTTCTTGAGCTCCTGAGTTCTGTGGAACCGAGGGTTGTCAACTGGAACATTGTGACGAAGGGCGTCAGCGGTACGAGTGTTTGGAAGTTATTAAATTTTCCTCTTATTCGATCTTGACAGTTTCTTGCAGTTTTTTTTTTAGTATTATTGTGACGTATGGGAGAACTAATCTCTCATTCCACCTCTTGCTTACAATTTTTTTAAAAATAAATCGGTAAATGTTCCTTCTGTTTGATCTTTTAACAATTTATTTGCAGCTTTTTAAAAAAGTTTATAAGATAGTATGGATCTTCTTTTCCACGTCTTGCTGACATCTTTTAGAAAGAAATTGCTATATTTTCCTGTTGTTTGATCTCTTTAAAAAAAAAATGCAGTTTTAAGAACATACTTTAGTATTGCATAAGAAAATTAGTCTCATGTTCCACCTCAAGCATATGAATTTATAAGTTTTCCTGTTGTCGGATATTTAAAAAAAGACTATTTTCAGTTCTTTTAAAATTATTTCTACGTGAGATATGGAACAAGAGACTGGCTGATAAAATATTCCAATATACACCCTTTTTTTTTAATTTTCTTTAGTCTGTGTCTACCTTTCTCCTCTAATATTAACCATCTTGAGTTGTGAAAATTATGCTTCAGAGGATGAGAAGAGGTTGAATGCGACATATATAATCAGCGTAGCCAGAAAGCTCGGGTGCTCCATTTTCTTGCTCCCTGAGGATATTATGGAGGTAGCATACAAAATCCGCAGTTTTTTTATTTTGTTTTTTGTTTTTATTTCCAGAATTATTCTCTGTGAAAAAAGATCCTCAGGCTTAGCTTACAACCCTGAATCAACATATTAATAGCAGTAAGGGCCATCCCTTCTTTCCAAAAATGTACAATTTTCTTGATTATTTGCTAGTAATTATTGAGAAAGAATATCTTTGTGCTTAGTTTATGACCCCAAATCAAAATATTATTACCGCAAAGAGAAACGAACCTTCATGGCTTCTATTTATGGATGCCTCTTCCTTCCAACCCGGGGCATCCAAAATTTCCGTTTATTGAGAATTATTTTTTAGAATCAAGTATTCAGGCTCATCTTATGATCCAAATTAATTTCAGAAAAAAATAAAAATTGAACATTCATGTTTCCAAAAATTGCGTTTATCCAAAAATTGTGGTATTTTATTGATTATTTATAGGGGGAAAAAATCCGGGCTCAGCTTCCTCTCATCAATACATCAACAGCAGAAAAAAAAAAAAAAATCTAACCTTCCCGGTTCCTATTTTTGGGTTCTTCTGATCGCAATGGGAGAATCTCATGGAATCTCTTGTTATCCAAATTTATTACTTATTTATTTCCTCTATTTTGGCAGGTGAACCAGAAAATGATACTCACCCTTACAGCCAGCATCATGTTCTGGAGCCTTCAGCAGCCATCAGAGGACTCAGAGCCGTCTGCTCCTGAGGAGGCCGTCCCTCAGAGAGTTGTTACCCCTTCAGATGGAGGAGAAGACGACGGCTCTCTCACGGATGGCCTCTCGAACCCTAACATTGGCGATGATATCAGTTCAGAAAATGAGAATCCTCCTGAGGAAGATCCATGAGGACCCACCCCATCAGAGATTTTTTTTTAATAAAAAAAATAGAAAATATGGGTGTCTCTGATCTGGCTGTGATTCTTATAAAAAGCTGTATCTTGGTCGATGGGTAGGAAAAAAATCCCTTTTTTTTGGTTTTTTCTCCGGGCTGGGTTATTGGGTTCAGGTTATTTTTTTATATTGGTTTGTATCTGAAGATCTATTCTTTTGGCCTATTTGTTCAAAGGGGGAGAGATGAAGGAGACGATTGCAGGGTTCATGTCTAGGGTTTTGATCGTAGCTGGTTCCTGATGTAAATATTCAGGTTGTAAATAAATAAACAACATATATGATTTTGTGGCCATTTCTGTTCTGCTTTTCTTTGATCTGTCTTTTAATTTTTTTCATCATTCCATTTGAGAGTTGTTCCTTGTTTGATCTTAAAGCAGAGAGAGAAAGAGAGGAGAGAGGGAGAGGGAGATGGAGAGAGACACAGACACAGAGAGAGAGAGAGAGAGAGAGAGAGAGAGAGAGAGAGAGAGAGAGAGAGAGAGAGAGATTATTTTAATTTATAAATTCAAGAAATATAAGAGGATTAATAATTGAATAAAATATTTAGGGTTGAAATATAAAAGAAAGTATTGTTCTAAAGCCCAAGTTATTTACCGCAGTCTACATAGATGGTTGTAGAAGAGCCTTGGGACATTGTTGGGCCTGGGCCTGTAGAGACACGAGCCCAGCCCAATAATGGGCACTCTTCATGTCTGTTTTACAGTGGGCTAGCGACTAGGCCCAATAATTTACTGTCGCAGCGCGAATCATCACCGTTACTGACAGATCCAACGGCTGTGGACTGCTGTTGGGTTGCCCGGTCGAACCGACTCCGGTTCCATTCCACTCTCTCTCTCTCTCTCTCTCTCTCTTCGTGTCTGCGTCTCTCTCCTCTCTCTCTCTCTTTCTCTCTCGTTCGCTTGCTCTCGTGTAGTGGCTGCTTCGACAGACGGCGGCGGAGCTTCCTCCTCCGGTTCCGGCGATTTTAGGGCTTTCTCTTTTCTCGCCATTTCAGAGGGCGAGGTGCTGAGGGAGCGGAAGGCCCGGATGGCGTCGAAGAAGAGGAAGTTGGGGGATGAGGGAGGGGAGGACGGTCGCCCGGAGGATTCCAAGCGGAGGAGCCTGCCTCCCGCCGCCGGCGACGGCAGCGCCGGAGAAAGCAATCCGCTGCTTCAGCTCACTTCCTATGACGACGAGGATGAGGAAGACGTGGATGTGGAGGTCCGGTTGCGGAGGAATGGGGAGAACGGCCATGGAAGGGACGGGAACGGGTGGCGGCCAGGGGAGGAAGACGTGTACAGCGACGAAGACGACCGTGCTTCAGGTCCGAGCACCGGCAGGAGTCAGCGTCTGGTGGAGGTGCGGAGGGATTGCCCTTACCTCGACACGGTCAATCGCCAGGTGATTCTTTACAATGTGTTCGGGAAAACTTGATTTCAGTATCTTTCGTATTGATGAACCTACTTAAATGAATGTCTTAGTTAGTCGTTTATGACCGGTTAATTTAACTTGAAAACATACTGCTAATGCGAAAGAATGATTCACTTAGAGAAGAAAAATGACGATAAACCAATCTAATGTTTTGAAGTATCTTTGTTCATTTCCCCATGTTGGTTGGTTAAGAATCAATATTGTTGAATATCACTAGTTGACGACTCTGGCTTAGTGGGTGCATTGGGAACGGGGGTGTGAGCGTCTCCTGTGGTGGCCGTACCTCTTGCCTTCGTGATAGGTATTCTAGCAGCTATATGTGCTATCCCATTGACTTGGATAAGCTAGGGACCTTCATTCGGGGATATGCTAGGGGGAGAGAACGCTATGGAGGAAGGTTGATGAGTTTAACTGGTGAAGTTAGATGCCTACCGTAGCTTTGAGATTAGGTAATTATGCAGTAGAAGGCTTAGAGTGTAGAGGAAAAGGAAAATTACAATATTCCCAATAAGATTAACTGGTGTAGCATCATCACCCTTCGCTTGAGAGACAACCTAGGGCAAAACAGTGGACGCATCCAGGCAGAAAGTGGCAAGGTAAGATTTAGAAGTCTGTCAGGTAGCAGGAGCATACGTAGAAGAATCGAAAATGTGCTCGCAGCAGTTGTAATGAAAGATGTGTACAGAAGAGTTGTTCCTAAGGGGGTTATATGAGTGAAGGCGCTAGGAAAAATAATTGTATAACACAGCTAAGTAAAATGCTAACATGCAGTCGTGTTCATCCATATGGTTTGACCTGATGCAGTTGGGCCAGACCCAAGATCCCTTTTTCGCCATGATGGAGAGTTATCTTTCTTTGCTATCCGAAAAGGAAAGAAAAGGCTTCGCCTAACTCGTCAAGATAGATTAGAACCAAATGAGAGTCATGCTCGGAATGAATGCTGTTTTGGGGAAACTCACTAATTCTGCATGAATTAATACTCTTATGTTAATAATTTTGATTTTCCTCATAGAGATAAAGTTTCATGCTCTGCTCAGTTTAATCTCAATCAAAAAAATCATGCTATATTTCTAAACTAGTCATCATGTGTTGCAATCATCTAGTGAATATTTCACCTTTTCTCTCGTATGATATACATGTCTCAGCCCTTTTTCTTTGTGTAAAGTTTCTTTCATCTCTTATTTTGCGAGTTGTTGTCAAATTAGATAGTGCTGATTTATCCAGGAAGATTATAAACTTTGGTTGGACTTTTGGGAAATCAAGGGTGTTTCCCTTTTCTTGCTTTTGATATTTGGTTGTAAAGATGTTCGTAATCCAATATAAAATGGGGGAGTGCTTTATTTCTCTTTTTCGTTTATCCCTTTCCTATGGGAAAATGTGAATAATTACCCTGGAAATCTAGTCAATGGAATGTGATTTGAAAAGTGGCTGGTGGGTTTGTAGTTGGCGTCACTTTCCTGTAGACGAAAAGATGCAGTTGCAGAAGGTAAAATTCTAGAAAATGCAATATTGACGAATGCAATTATAGGAAGCATTCGTGTGGGGGGGGCGGGGTCAGGCACACGGGAAGATGGTGTTCCGAGAGCAGTGGTTGTGACTGTAGCTAAATTACGAAGATCTGGATGATTTATTTGATGCCCATTTACCACTGAGGCTTAATGATAGAATTAAGAGAAGAGAGGTAAAAATTTTATGGCACTATCTTCCTTTTAAGTTGATGAACTTGTATAAGAATGCCTAGCATTCGACATGGCTGAAGAAAATGATGAGAGGGAGAAGTGGTTTTAAAACGTTAAGTTGGATTTTGATAGTTCATAGATTGGACACTGTATAATGGAAGTCGTCTGTATCGTATCGCCAACTAGAGTGAGAAAGATAGAGCACCAACCGCTTGTCTCAGCCTCTTTCTAGTGCATGCTAGGATGAATATTCTTATGTAGGCTGATTGTGATGTCTCTTGACTGGCATTGCATGCAAACCCTCAAAGCTGCCTCCAGTGAAATAGAGATCCATCTGTGATGGACATAGAGGTACACAATAGGACATTCATTTGTTGCAACGTGAACCATATTAAAAATGGAGTCTCTACTACTTATCCCACCAGTTGTCAGAAAAGAAAAACATTGGACGTTTTGGGAGAACTGTCAAATCCGGTATGTGTCAACCTAGAGGGAAGTCTCATCTAGTCTTGCTTCCTGGGAGAAAAGAATTTCCTGACCACCTTTTATCAGCCAGATAGTGAGCGGTCACTCGGCAATGGTAATGCCGATATTTCAATATATATAATTTATTTTGCTTCATAAGGCATGCTCATGTAAATGCTTCGACTTATGAAGAATGGGTAGCTACAATTAAGGGGAATGTGGTGGAGAGTTGTTAAAAGCTATGAAGTGTGTTGTTCATGACCGTAGTCGTTAGTGTTAGACCTTTGTTTCTACAAATGGAGACCTTAGGGGTGATGGCGAATAAGGTTTGACTAGATAACGAGGGCGATTGCATTGGTGGCCGAAAAAAAAAGGAGGCTCTGGGGGAGGGAAGTAGTGACGAGAGGTGCTCAGATTTGTGGGCTGGTCGTGGCTGGCATGCTAAGGTTAATCCCTAAATGATTGTGGTTTAGTGTGCCGATAGACCCGATGACTACGCAAAGTTTCGATTTTGATTTATTTTGCATTTGAAACTCTTGTCTGCCATATTAGAAGCACTTGGCTTACTGCATTTTAAAGAACCGAGTTCACGAAAATCACAATTCATTTCAACATCAATCATTTATAGACATCTTCGAAATAAAGTTCCCCTGTGGAGTCTCTTTTTCCTCGGTTAAAGTTCTTGCAAGTTATGTGTAAATTACTTTTGTCATCATATTTTGTACCTTTTTCATTTGTATCTTCTATATTCTGGTTTTATAATATTTTTTGTTTTCTGAATTCTGCAATATTTTTGTAAATTTCATGATTTTCGGAAATATTATGTGTTTTCATGCAGGTTCTCGATTTTGACTTCGAGAAATTTTGTTCTGTCTCACTATCAAATTTAAATGTATATGCTTGCCTTGTTTGTGGCAAATATTATCAAGGAAGAGGCCGAAACTCTCATGCATATACTCACAGTCTAGAAGCAGGTCATCATGTATACATCAATTTGCAAACGGAAAGAGTCTACTGCCTTCCTGATGGATATGAAATCATGGATCCATCATTAGATGACATTCGTCATGTACTTAATCCCAGGTTTGCACTTCATGTTGGCCGAATTTTATTTAATTTCTTTATTCTGTACTTTGTAGATATTATTCATCAAAATATCGGATTAATCATTGATTATTTTTACCGATGGGCATTCTGGAACGAGCTCGGTTTATTTTTAAAGGGTACTTACTCTCATGATTGCACCTAAGATGCTATAGGTGTAGTAAGAGTGGGGATTGACAGAGGATGGCGATGAATTATCTTTTTTGAGAGTGGGGTTTACGTGACATTAGGTTAGGGATGGAAAAAATCTAGTCATTGAGGCCTTCTTTTATAATGTATGGAGGAATTTGTTTCATGTCCCGTGACGAGTAATAGAATTTTAAAAATAAACTTTTGGAGTGATAACCATCCAATATCCTGCTCATGTTACTTTGGTTGTAGACATCAGGCAGATGTTCTTCTTGGGGATGATTATTGGTTTGGTATCTTCGGTTCCTGGCTGCGTACTGTAAAGCCAAGTGTAGATGCTCGAGCATGGTTCAATAAATCTTCCTCATGAACCCTCATTTATAGAAATGGTGTTAGTCTATTGCTGTACGAGGACCAAAAAGGAAAAAGTGTGCAGTTCTCTACAGTGGTAAGAGCCTGGTGCTCCAAAAATAGTCCACATCGTACAAAGGGGTTTAAGAAGATGATGGGTAGTGTGGCATAAAACTTCTAAAATCTTTGAGCAATTTGACTGCAAAATTGAGGATAGATAAAAAAAGAATGGGTACAGACAGGGGACCCAAAATCTTAGAATCGTCTGCCCCAACATTGATCAAATCGATGTCTAAAGATATTTTTCCTTGATCATGTTTGATTCCCTCTAATATTATATTTTGAGTTCTTTCTGTTTTCGACTTTGTGTCTCATAATGGCGGACCACTGCTTTAGCTTGTTTATGCTGAACATGGATAACAATCTATATTTTCTCAACCTTCTACTATGTCACTCAAAAACCTGGTTTGGTCTATCATTTCTTATGTAGTCATCCAACTTTTTCTTGTATTTCATGTCGTGTCCGTGTGACTTGTTTTTCACATCTTTCTCTGCAACCTCCATTTGGTGCGATCCACAATACGTGATCATGGGTGCTTATGATTGGATTCGGATGTTAATGGCTATACTGTTTGAGATGGTGAAACAGTTTGCCTCGCTTCAATATTTCTGACATGACCAGTTCTGTTTCAATGTTTTTCTGGGAGACTTCATTTCTGAGTTTGATAACAATTTCGCTGAAGTTTTCTATTTCTTTCATGTCTACAGGTTTCAGAAAGAACAAGTTTTACATCTGGATGAAAACAGGCAATGGTCAAGGGCACTTGATGGCTCAAACTATCTCCCTGGAATGGTAACCTTTCATATCTTCCAATTCTTATAAAGTTAGAAACCTTCTTGCAAGGCCTTGTGAAGTTTAAACATAAATAAATGGGTTATAGACTAAAGCAAGGGAGAAGAAGTTATTATCTTCATACATTTTTGTTGCTCAGGAATCGCAGTGAAATCTTGAACTCAAGACATCTCTTATGTTTTTTATAGTAATCCTGGTTGTTCGGCAATGTTTCAGGTGGGATTGAATAATATAAAGGAGACGGATTTCGTTAATGTCACAATCCAGTCATTGATGAGGGTTACTCCTCTGAGGAACTTCTTTCTGATTCCTGAGAACTATCTACACTCTAAATCTCCTCTACTTCATAGATTTGGAGAGCTTACACGGAAGATCTGGCACGCCAGGAATTTCAAAGGACAGGTCTCTCTTCACGTCGTTCCCATTGACTTGGTTTATTTCTCTGTACCCTTGGAAAATATGACTTGACATTTGTTTTTTCATTTCCCAGGTTAGCCCCCACGAGTTCTTGCAGGCAGTAATGAAAGCCAGTAAGAAGCGGTTCCGAATAGGTGTGCAGTCCGATCCTGTAGAGTTCATGTCATGGCTACTGAATACGCTCCATTCTGATCTCAGAAGTTTGAAGAGGAAGAATAGCAACATCATCCATGACTGCTTTCAGGTCCGCAGCTTCACTGAGTTCTCTTCTACATCCTCTCATGTTGCTTATCAGCTCTCCTATGCACATCCAGGGGGAACTGGAGGTTGTGAAAGAGACTCATCGAAAAGCTTTTGGTGAGAAGAAAGAAAACGGCGAGGAGCAGAGCCAAGCAGATACCACGGAGGCTGGCGCAGCAACGAGCAATGTTGTGAGAGAAACTTGCAGAATGCCGTTTTTGATGCTTGGTCTTGACTTGCCGCCACCTCCCCTTTTCAAAGATGCTATGGAGAAGAACATCATTCCTCAGGTGTGTGCATGATAGTTCATTTCTCTGTAGATTTCTCTCTCCTTGAAATGCTTTCTTTAAAAAGATATATATATTTTACACTGTGGCCATTTATCTTATGCTTCTTCTGAAATCTTACCAGACAAATTTAGCTAATTTGTGGTGCCAATCATTATGTGTGTTTTTGTTAAAATCATACCATTCTGATCCCCTCTGTTTTCTACTGCCGTATTAGAATATGAAAAGATTTTTGTCTTTTTTTTGTGCTGATGCCCAGTACCCAATTTATGATATTAATCTCTCTCTCTCTCTCTCTCTCTCTCTCTCTCTCTCCCTCTCTCTCTGAGATCAAACTACAAGATCACGTGGATATCTGGAGTCTAATGTCTTCTCCCCCACTATGACCGAACCAGCAGTCTTCGCAATGCCTGTCATCAAATTTGCCCATCATTATCTTTAACCTTTCCATGTCCCGGTACCTGTCTTAATGAACAGAACAGTGGTTGAAAAGCTTTGAGAGCAGTAGTGCTGAGAACCATATTGTCATACAATCAGATCGGATCGATGAACATTTACGACACACCCAACGGGTATATTCCCATTTTTAGATAAAAACCTAACGGCTCCTATGTTGTAATGTTCCTCTGCAGGTTCCACTTTTTAACATACTGAAGAAATTTGATGGTGAGACCATCACTGAGGTTGTGAGACCGTGCATTGCCAGGATGAGATACCGGGTGATCAGGTTGCCAAAGTACATGATCATCCACATGCGCCGTTTCACGAAGAACAATTTCTTCGTGGAGAAAAACCCCACTCTCGGTGTGCCCCTGAATCACTTGCCTTGATTCAATCTTTCATCCTCCCTGCTCATCAAACTCCCCTCCCCCCCCCCCGAACTCCTCCAGTGAACTTTCCTGTGAAGAACCTCGAGCTGAAGGACTACATCCCTCTGCCAACACCGAAAGAGGACGAGAAGCTGCGATCAAAATACGATCTGATCGCGAACATCGTTCATGATGGGAAGCCCGGTGAAGGATCTTACAGGGTTTTTGTCCAGAGGAAGTCTGAAGAATTATGGTATGTCCTCTACCCCACCCAACCCCATCTGTGTTCTTCAGCGCATCAAGCTTTTAGCTTGTACTCCCACTGTGATTTATAGCGAAGAGGAGATGATCCAGCCATTGATGATGAGCTTTTGGGCTTGTTTCTGCCAGGTATGAGATGCAGGACCTGCATGTCACAGAGACACTGCCTCAGATGGTTGCTTTGTCTGAGGCCTACATGCAGATCTACGAGCAGCAGCAGCAGCAGCAGCAGCAGCAGCAGCAGCAGTGATGGGGGGTAATCTTCTTCATGGGCTCACATAATTTAGATAAAATCATAAGCTTTTTTGCCCTCTTGCCGCATCTTTCACATATGCTTCTGAGCTCTCCGTTACTATCGGGCATGATGTCCGATGCTGGAAGGCCAGATTTTCATGTAAAAATGATATCATGGCATCTTTTCTGAGCACCATCCAGGTTATTGTTGAGAGCATTTTCTTCCTATGATCTTTTCTTGCCCTGTAATGCTCTAGAGTCTACCCACGGCTAGTTTTTCTCTATAAAATAATATAAAATAATATAATATATCCATTTTTACATACAGAAAGAAAGATAGATAGATAGAGAGAGAGAGAGAGAGAGATGATAATTGTCTCCGTAAAGGAAGGATGTGGAAGGAGAAGCATACCTACTACGTCCTGAAGGTTCAGTAATGGATCCTCCCTCAATTATATACCCACTGGAAGGGATTTCATTTACTGGGTTTATTCGGCTACATCTCCTCGTAATCCACTGGAATCTTGTATGAGCTCGTTCATATCTCCTGAGTACTGAGCCCTCTGATTTCTGTAAAGATGTTGTCTTTGTCTGCAGTTGAGATGGGCCGGCGTTTAATTGGATTTGATGAAAGACCGGCTTACTAGTTATGGTTTAATTTTAAGAGAGGAGAGAGAGAGAGAGAGAGAGAGAGAGAAGAAACCTCTCTCCCGTCTTCATGGGAAAGGAACACTCGTATAAAAGATCTCACGTATATAAAATATCTCAAGGGCAGAAGGACCACTCTCTCTCTCTCTCTCTCTCTCTCTCTCTCTCTCTCTTTACCCTGATGGTTCTTGGCAAAGCGATGGAAATGGCGGAGGAGGCACCACCGGGGTGCGCCCAAAGAGTTTCCTTTTCCATCGCCTCCGTCCGGCCACCGCCGGGGGCCTTTGATGAGGGAATTCGTGAGCGTTGAGCGCCCGCAGAGGAGTAGGTCGGTATGGCGTACACGGGAAAGCCAGGCATTCTTCTTTTAATACATAATTTTCTCTCACTCCTTGTTGTGCCCAGTTTTATTCTCAAGTTCTTCTTCCCTGCTATTTCTTGGTTAGCCATTTAACAGATGGATTTTTGTGAGAGATCTGACTATAAACCTGCCCTGGGAAATGCAGAGGCAGATGGAAAGACATGGAATAAGAAAGATGGAATGGTTTTCCTCTCTCTCTCTCTTTCTCTCTCTCTCTCTCTCTCTCTCTTCCAACGCTTCTCCATCTTCTCCAATGGCTTAGCTCGGAATGTGGGGCACAGACTGCCTCGGGCTCACGTAGAGAGAGAAAAGGAAAAGGAGAGGAAAATGAAAGTGATGTCTTGAGCGGTCACCAACTGTTTTCCCCTTCGAGTTCCCTGGAGCAGCCGTTCCTTTCCTGGTAAAGTCGACGTCGTAGGACTATGAATCATTTACGGCATGTTTTCCCTCAGAGAAGAAAGAACAGGAAAGCGACGATTTTGCGGCGTAACCCTTCTGGGAAACAGTCTGTTGGTACTCACCATCTTTGATTGATCTTCCACCAGTTCAGGCTTTGACGTTGCTTCAGATAGATAGATAGATAGATAGATAGATAGATAGAGAGAGATAGAGAGAGAGAGAGAGAGAGAGAGAGAGAGAGAGAGAGAGAGAGAGAGAGAGAGCCCATCTCAGTTGATCTTAGTTCTTTTTTTTTCTTTTTCGACTTCAAATGGCGAGACAGAGAGACAGAGAGATTCCGTTGATCTCATCAACTCTTTTTTTCCAACTTTAGTAGCATTCAAGAGATGGAGAGAGGGAGAGAGAGAGAGAGAGAGAGGGAGGGAGAGAACGCATCCCAATTGATCTCAGTTGTATTGTCTTAAAGCTTTAATTGCATTCAAGAGATGGAGAGAGAGAGAGAGAGAGAGAGAGCGCATCCCAATTAAACTTTATTATTAATTTATTTAAATTCTAGCATTCAAGAGATGTAGAGAGAGAGAGAGAGAGAGAGAGAGAGAGCTCATCCCGGTTGATCTCAGTTATTCTTTAAAAGCTTCAGAAGTATTGAAGAGGTGGAATCTGCGATATTATTGCACGATTAATGTACCCTCGTAGGCTTCTTGGGAAACCAGAAGATATTAGAGCAGCCAACGGGACCGCGACATTAATCCGATACCGTATGGCCGTTGCTCGTCTGTCGTCCTGCCGGAAAATCTCATCGGAAACGATAGCGCCAGCCGACTTCTCGATCTGCATGAACGAATCAACGGTTGAGGCAAGACTTTGATCCTTCCTTCCTCCCGCTTTATAAAGATAGATTGACTATATATATAGTGCGATCCATCTATTCAGGGTTTACATGTGCATTCGATTCGAGACGTTGGGTTTGACTTATGGATCCGCGATGGGCGGTGCGCTTCTTGAGAAGTGCATCTCGAGGCTGGGCGAGGCTCTCCGTCTCTCTCTCTCTCTCTTATAGATGGACTATAAAAAAAAATGGGGGTCAACAATGGGATCTCTCTCTCATTTACCCTTTTACTCGGCCTCTCAGGGTTGATTAAGTTCGTCAACTATGACGAGCTCTCTCTCTCTCTCTCTCTCTCTCTCTCGCTGCGCCTACATATACACACCTTGCTATGCTTCTTTAATGCCAGGTTTCATGGCAGCCCGTGCTTGGTGCCACTTCTGCTTTAAAATCTCTGCATTTCAAAACTATGCCGGCACGCGTTGCGCTCTAAGAGAGAGAGAGAGAGAGAGAGAGAGAGAGAGAGGTGGGTGGTGTTGGAGGTCTCTGTGTCTGTCTGTCTGTATCTTTCTCTCTCTCTCTCTCTCTCTCTCTCTGTTCCTGTGTCTTCATGCAAGATACCGGGAGACTGTCAGAGCCTGAGAAGGAAGTAGACGTCCTCGGTCAAAAGCCCACCTGCTGTACCACTTTCTTAAGATATTAGGATATAAAGCAACCAACCAGAAACAACAGCCGACAAATTTACGAAAGGTCAAGTTTTTGACTGAAAAATAACCAAATCGTTGATGGGTCGTTGTGAGTTCTCTCTCTCTCTCTTCAGTAGTCTGAAAGTATGAGGTGAGGTCACACCAAGGAGAGTCGTCGTGTTCAGATGGTGGGGCCGAGCACGAGGGCCCAACCATCTCATTAGACGAGGGCGACGTGACCGAGCTTGCGTGGGGCCCTCGATGATCTCTCTTTCTCTCTCTCTATCTCTGGATGGATGGAAGGAAGGAAGGAAGGAAGGAACACATCATCAGATGTGATGTATCGCGTTGTATGTGGTGTAATCTAGCCTCGGGAGAGGGAGAAGAAGACGGGCGCGGAGGAAAACCCCATGTACGTGTGGACTGTAGTTACTCGGGACTTGGAACTCTCTCTCTCTATCTCTCTCTATCTCTCTCTCTCTCCTCCCCCTCTCCCTCTCCCTCTCCCTCTCCCTCTCCCTCTCCCTCCCGCTCTCTCTCTCCCTCTCCCTCTTTCGCTGCTCCTCTCTCTCTCTCTCTCTCTCTGCCTCCCCCTCTCCCTCCCCCCCTCTCTCTCTCTCCCTCTTCCTCTCCCTCTCCCTCTTTCGCTGCTCCTCTCTCTCTCTCTCTCTGCCTCCCGCTCTCTCTCTCCCTCTCCCTCTCCCTCTCCCTCTTTCGCTGCTCCTCTCTGTCTCTCCGAAAATTGGAATAAACAAATGCTGGGCGTAAGAAGAGACGATGGAGAGAAATAACGGGTCTCGAGTACGAAGGATTTTCCTGTCCATAATGGTGGATCAAGATACTTCGAAGAAGACGTCGCCTTCACACCAGCTGTCCAGCACCCCCCACCGACCCCTGCCCTCTGATTCATTAAGTTCCTAGTCTGAAGACCTCGTTGAACTTTTAAGAGTATTAATTATTATTAATTATGTGGAGAGAGAAGGATAATCGACCATCTATTTAATATCATCCAATTAGTAGGATTTAGAGGGAGGGAAGAGAGAGATAGAGAGAGAGAGAGAGAGATTCATAATCGACGAGTTGCTTAATATCACGTGAACCCATCAAATATTCTTATTAAAAATAACTCGAGGAGATTAAAATTTTCTCTAGAAAATTTAAAAATTTTAAATTATCGGGCTGGTTGATTTTAGGATGATAATTATTTTAAAGGAAGGAGGGAAGAGAGAGAGAGATATTCATAATCAACGATTCGCTTAAATATCACGTTAACCCATCAAATATTCTTATTAAAAATAACTCGAGCAGATGGAATTTTCCTTTATAATATTATTATTATTTTAATTATCAGGCTGGTTGATTTTTCAAAAGAAAATATTATTTTGGATGATAATATTTGAAGGGGTTACTTACACATATCTTCCGCTAAGAGAGAGAAAGGATCAACGAATGCCCAAAGAACATCCCCAAAACAGGTAGCACCTCAAATCCAATGAGGCCAATGTAAACATTTTTTGTCATTAACTATTTTACGATGACAAATTAATGAATTATGCAAATGCAACACGAAAATACATCTGAAAAATCTCATTTTCTGGAAAATACCCACATTAATGAAAATTTTCATATATTTTTGTTTATAGACCATGTTATTAATGCTTTAAAGTAAGTACAGAAATGAATGGGAAACCTTCCATCCGTATTTCTATGCTAAAAAAAGAAATTATCTCTTCCAATATAAACGGTTGACTCCACCCCACTCATTCATTATACCCAAAAATAAACAACTATGCCAAAAAATATGGTGATTCCCCAAGAAGAAAAATGAACGAAGACGCCTGGCAGATTAAATCCAACATTTTTTTCCAACTCGAAACCATCAGCACATTAATCCAATCATACTGGGCCACATTTTTTTAATCCTGCTGATGATAATTATATGTTGAGCCCAATAAATGGGCCCATTAAAAGGCAAGAGAGAATCTTAGGCTTTGGATTGATAAGCGTTCCCAAGGTCCATGCAGCAGCAACGCAATGGCGAAGCGCGATGGAGCAACATGAGTCCCAATCAATTCGCCCAATAAAAGGGCCCATTAGGAGTGAAAAGAATTTTTGGGCTTTGGATTGGTAGGGGTGCGCCGGGCCCATGCAGCAGTGCAACGCAAGGGCGACGCGCGAGGGCCCCAGTGGCAAGCCACTGTGGTGGGCCCTCCCCCACAAGAAATTAATTTAATATCATGTGGACCGATGGCCCACGTATCAGATATTAAACTGATAAGAACAGATACTACACTTGATCTTAGCCAAAAGGCCGAGAAAGGTATGCTTTTCAAAGAAGCCCAGAGGCCCAGTTTATAGCCCTCCCCCTGCTCATATTTTCAACTCTTCCGATGTGGGACTAATCTCATTAGAAAATAACAATAAGTAAAAGAAAAACTAGGCTAATTCAGATTTTAGTTTTAGAGAGAGAGAGAGGGGGGGAAGGAATGACACGCGTCGTTAAGATATATAAATGGCAAACGAATGCGTAATTTCTCTAAATGGTACAATTTAATCACGATATATATGATGCCAGATTTACAACAATTTTGCACAAAAATCAAATCGCCTCGTTGGTGCGGTGACAATCTGGAATCCAAGGAAGGCCAGATAATCTGACCCTCCAATAAAACTGCAAGTTCCCCACATCAGACACACAAGCACTGGGTAGAGAGAGAAAGAGAGAGAGGGAGAGAGAGGTTATCTACCAATAGAGATTTCCTTCTCTGGGATGAGACTTGTGTAATATAGAAGTAGAGGTAATGGTTTCGGAGAGGATGCTTCCTGCAGAGGATGCAAAGAAGCCTCTCTTCAGTATGGAGCTCTGCTTCAGATTACCCGGCTCCACCGGGTCAACAGCTTCAGTGAGGCATTGCAGACCCTTGAAGTCAATAGTGAGTCCAAATATGTCAGAGAAAAAGAAAATAAAGAAGAAGAAGAAGAAAAAACAGTGAGCTGGTTGATCGAAATGTATGGAAATCTTCGTGTTCTAGTGAGTTAGATGATGGGGGGTACCTTGACTGGTGCGATGGAGAAGGTTGACGGCGGTTGGTTGAGGTCGAGTAGAAGCTTTGACCCGACATCCTGCAAGGGGGGAGGAGAAATCATTTGACCAGGGAAGTAATCTGCGGCGTGAGGTTCTTGGCATGATTTAATATTATAAGTTTATTATAATACCACTTGAACTGGGAATAATAATCTTCGGAGAATGGCGACACGAGGGAGAATTAATGCATGCACAGAAAAACCACTTCGGCCCACATATAAAGGGTGCAGAGATCTACTTGTCACGTGGCTGTGCATTAATCATCCATGTGCTTCTCTCTCTCTCTCTCTCTTCAGTAATTGCCAGGTTTACTTGTTTCCCTGATAATAAATCAGAAAAATTTGGAGCAATATATTTCTTAATGAATAATGCATAGTTGACTGACAGAGGAGAGAGAAACAAGTAGACCTGGCAATTACTGAAGAAATAGAGAGAGAGAGAGAGAGAGAGAGAGAGAGAGGGAGCCACTGCGAGTAGAAATTAGCAGGACGTCTAATGATTCCATCGGAGGAAGGAAATATAGAAAGGAGAAGCTGAAACCTGAAGCTGCTTAGCGTTCTGCCCATCACTAACGGCTCCGGTGGCTTGACAAAGATACCATATGCCGGCGTTTACATATTCCTATCGAATTATAAACAAATAAAAAATTATTAGATCCGACTTCATCCATTGATCACAGCGTCTGTCTGACTGTAGATCATTGCAAAAGGGTAGAACCTGTTTGCTTTCAATGAGACCAACTTTCCCTTCCTGTTCATCATCACGAGAAAGAAATCATGAATTGATCAGAAACGCAGTACCCATGAATCGCAGGAGCACACAAAGATGTGGACCTCTGGCAGCTCACCAGATCAGTCACCATATTATGAATGGCCTCGATGTCGAATCCAATTTGAGAAAGATCGGATTTGACCTCATTCACCTGCATCATTTTTGGTAGAACAGTCAAAACTAATTGGTGTCATCAAGGCAGAGTTGACCTAAATTACTGACCAGTCTAATGAATGAAATTCGCTGCGTCGAACTCCATCAGTCTTAATGGTATTTGCATATACTAGTCATCGAGAATATCATAGTATTACATATAGAGGGCTAGATTTGATTCAGTTATTCAGCTGCAATAGAAATCAGGATTCACACGAACGAATCGTCCATATTCAAACTGCATGACTTGATGATAAAAGGTCAAGTCTTCTGAACCAGGGAAGCTCGGGTCACAAGGATCTGGACAATTGATTGATCATTAAATGATGCAGGACAAGGGGTCTACTGCAATTCCAGGCCCAGCTACGTTATTTACTATTGGACTAAAACAGCATGCCAACAGATCCTGTTGACTTTATACGACACACCTTGCAGAATAAGATGTATCGCTAGTGGGGGGAAGCAGTTCGCACCACGAATGATATTTATGAACTATTATTTTTTTCTTCTCTAACATATATGACGCAAGCAGAGCACACACCAGATGAGGCCTAAAAGTACCTGCTGCTACTATCAGGATCCACAGAGGGGGGATGTTTGAACTAAGGTAATGACAAAAAGAATGATGAGAAGTAATAAAAACTAGAAAGAGGATAAAATAATAATAAATAAATAAATAAAATATATATTTTTGAAAGCATAAAACCCTTTTTTTCCGACCATGGAGTAAAAAAAAATTTCCCAGGCTCAAAAAGACAATTTTTCAACTTGTTCATCCATTCAGGTTCCCTCAGCATGTAAACGACAAAATCCAGTGTCAACCTGGACATGAAATTGATTAAGTAACCTTCCTAAATAGTCCATCAAAAAGATAAAGTGGATAATGAATCCCCAATATCGCATTGTATCCTTCAGTTTGAAAATTGAAGCGTAGAAAATAATAAGCCTTCTCCTTCTACCAACCTCATTCAAGATGACCTTCGATGTCTCAGCTTGATCGTCCACTTTCTCATTCAAAATTTCAAGCCTCTGAGTCAAATATCGTCTTGTTGACTGAAACGTAAATAATATAATGAGCAACCATGCACAGAAAAGGAGAAATAGATTAGCTTATTAGCCTCTGAGTTCGAATGCGTTTGCTGAAACTTACAGATACAGCTGCTGACACTTGTTCCAATTGTTTTGATACAGATGCGACAGCATTGGACATATTATTTTTGGTCACGAACATAACATCAGAGAAGGACCAGCCCTGTAGATATGACAAGACCAGACAATGGGCAAGAAGCATTAGACATAAACTAAATTGCATTCCTCTGAAGACCGTAAATGAATTGACCTGTGTAAGACACTAGACCACGTATAGATGTCAGAGAATTTTACAATGACATTAATTAATGGAAAGTTAATCGTTCACTAAATTTTATTCCATTTATATCTCACCACCCAAAATCAGGCTTAAAGTGGTCATTGAAAAACGAAATTACCATATGGAGATTAAAAACCTTGAACTGTTGACCAGTAAACCAAAATACTCATGTTTCTCTTAAGGTTATTGATAGTAGAGTCTTGCCTTCCACCACATATAGCAGTAACCCATAGCACCAAGTGCAGCTGCTGGCAGTACATAAGATCCCAAATTTCCTGGTTAGACAAAAAAATTGTGGCCGACCCACAGTTAGTTAAACTTCAGTCGTAAATGACAAATCATTGAATAGTACACAAAGGAATCCTCATCAGTCTTTTCCTACCTACAATGAGTATGATAAAAACATATCCTGATTGCCGTTTCAGTAAAGCAATGATGCGTGTGTTCTACACATACCACTGGGAGAAGGGTGTCCATTGACAATGGTTATCGGCCGAGATAATGTCAAATCTCGAACCTCTTGTGCCAAACGGCGAACCTTTCAGAAAAAGAAGGAAGAAAGAGCATCACGTGTTAAAATAAATACAACACAGCTGGAATAGCACCTGGTTTCTTACGAACTATTAGAAGGAATACCTGAGCTGCAAGAAGAGAACTATCATAGTGAGAAGATATTTCTACTTCATTTATTCCCTTTATTAATTCCTGAAACAAGTTCACCATGTGCATTGAATTAGATTTACAGAAAATAACTGATATTAATGCTACTACAGTCTAAAGAGTGGGAAAGAAAACAAGAAACAATTATCAAAGCATAATCCGTCACATATCCTCCTTCGCTTCAGGATATCACGTTTCACATCAGTGACACTTGATACAGTGGGGAAGTGGTGATATCAACTGCATAACAAGGGAACACAGTGGTTCTCAGTAATCGAGCTTCGTCGTCATCATGGAGTAACGAAATTCTGAAATTAGGTCGTGTTCACCCCTTTCCCCGATATATTATGGCTTTGTATGATTAGACGCCGATCCTTCCTGTTTTGAGGTAGCAAGCAAGGCTCCCCCGATTTTCACCTGACTTTCCCACTCCATTTCTTTTTTCATCTATATTTTAGTAATGTCAGGGTATACCGAGAAGAAAATTCCACGCGATCATCATCCTTGATTACAAATTGCTCAATCAATGTCGAGCACTTCCCTCATGCATAAGTTTACAAGGTGTAACCTATTTGAGATTTAATTCTATACCAGTCCTGTGTTAAATGTTCATCATTCTGATGGAATAAGAAAATTTTCGACAAAACAACTCATTTCTTTGGGCACTTACCTGAAGCTCCGATATGACGTCCGATAGCCGACCGCTCCTCAATATAACAGAGCCAGTTAGACCTAGAGAATTTATAACCATCAACTATCGACTGGGAGGGAGAAAGCACCAGTCCACAGATGAAACCAGAAACGGCGAAAATGAAAATCTAAGCCAATCAGCAACCCGCGAGGACGATCGAATCCTGCAATCCCCGCTTCCAGCCTAAGGAATTGCGGATTATGAGACTGAGACCAACCTGCTCCCATCAGGATGAGGACCTTGGAGGAGGAGATTCCCGTCTGCATCGCCATCTCGTTGTCCCCTTCGCTGCCTCTCTCACACGCACGTCTCGGAAACGCCTCTGCCGAGATGGAGAATGAAATTTTGCCTCGCATTAAAGATATATATATATAAATCTTCCAATGCCTACGTGGAATCTGACCAATCAGCCCATTAAAATAATTGATTTTTCTAAAAATTCCTGGCCATTTATAATTTAAATATATAAACTGTTTAACTTCCTCCCCAACAAGAGCCATAAATAGTTTCACAAAAACAGGCCCACTCTCCTTACTACTAACATGGGCTTGGCCCAAATGGGCCCAGTTCTCTCTCTCTCCTAGAGACATTTTAAAAAAATATATTTGTAATTCCTATCCAGGGATAAAATTGGGCTAATTAAAGCCTTTATCCATCTTTTAGTTCTATTTTTTTAGAAAATATCATCAAAAAAATAATTTTATAAAATGGTTTAGGTCTTTTTATCAATGGATTTATGATATTCTGTTAAGGATTCATATATCATGGAGATATTAAAGAACCGGGCTCGCTGACTGGGAGGGAAATACGGTTTACTTTGATATTCCCACGCTCTAACTACTATGTCGTCCTATCCTCACCCCAGAAGCAGACATAATAAGACGCGAAGGAATCACTTCGGGGGGTGAATATATAATACGAAGAGATATCTCCTTCCCTGCCTCATCCTCTCCTCCCTCCGGAAACGGCTCCGCAGATCATCATGGCGACGGCGGCGCTGAGCTTCCACCATCTCTCCTCTCCTCCGGCGGCCTCGGAGGCCTCCGGTGGAGCGCCGCCGCTCAAGCTTTCCACTGCCGGAACGCCGCCGCTCAAGCTTCCAGGAGGCGTCTGCCGGAGGAGCGGAGGCGTGGCGGCCGCCGCAGTGAAGAGGTCGGGGTTTCTGACGACGATCGACCGCGCGATCGAGGAGGAGGAGTACCGCAGGGCCAGAGCGGAGGTCCAGAGGAAGGGAGTCGATGTGGAGGGGCACCTGATAGAGGGGATCTCGATGAGCGGCCATGAAACCTGCGTGGTGGTGCCGAGCTTGAACGCGGCGTTCGACATCGGCCGGTGCCCCGCCAAGGCCGTCCACCAGGACTTCCTCTTCATCACTCACGGTCATCTCGACCACATTGTGAGTCTCTTCTCCTTCTTCTTCTTCTTCTTCTTCTTCTTCTCCGGCGAAACAGCGCTCGGAGGGATTGCTGCCAATTTGTCCAATTCCAGCATTAACTCGTCCATCTATCCGGCGTAGCGATCAATTCTTCCGCACCTTGTTCCTGTTTTCAGAATTCTGATGTGATTGATGAGCACAACCATGGCAATTATATTTCGTGATGCAGGGGGGGCTTCCCATGTATGTAGCAACCCGCGGGCTTTACAGTCTGAAACCTCCCACAGTGTTCGTTCCGCCATGCATAAAAGAGGATGTGGAGAAGCTACTCGACGTCCATAGGGCCATGAGCCAGGATGAGCTGAAGCTTGATTTAGTGCCATTAGATGTGGGTAAGCGCTAGATTCCTCTGCCGCTTTTCCTTCTTCTTGTGCGCAAATGTTTGATGTCTCACTCCCTTTGACGGAAAATTATAGGGGAAACCTACGAAATTCGGAATGACCTTGTTGTCAGACCATTCAGAACTAACCATACCATTCCTAGCCAGGTATTTTTCCTGTAACAAGGCATATTTTCTTCCATTTATTTCACCGCCAGTTTCCAAGTACGATCGAAGATTCCTGTTTATTTCTACCTCATATGGTTCAGGGGTACGTCGTGTATTCTGTGAGGAACAAGCTCAAGAAGCAGTATGCTCACCTGAAAGGGACCCAGATCAGGAAACTGAAGCTCTCTGGAGCTGAGGTATTTACTGCAGCTAATGCTAGAAATCATTTGGAGATGGATGATCGGCATGTACTAATCACCGATTGTTTCTCTTCGTTTTCTATGTCATTAGATCACAGACGTCATATTGTATCCAGAGGTGGCCTTTACAGGGGACACCACATCTGATTTCATCCTCGAACCTCGGAATTCAGATGCTTTGAGAGCCAAGATCCTTATCACAGAGGTATGATATTGATCTCACATAGTGTTAAGAATAGTCCCATCTTGATTATCACTGAAATAAACCTGTGAATTGGTTTTAAGCTAGATAAACCTTGGAGTTGCTTAAACCTAGTGTCCAGAGTGGGGCCCAGACTCAGCCCAGGCCCAGAGGCAACCTCGGGATATGAGACCCGGGTGAGACTTGGGCCCAGTCTGAGAATATGGGATTGGGTCCCCACTGCCACGTGGCTGAGTTCTTTGCTGCCAAAGAAAAATAATCATTTCATGTATCTGGTCTAAAATCTCCCAGGCAACATTCCTTGATGACGAGTGCAATGTGGAGCACGCCCGACGACATGGCCACATGCATTTGTCAGAGGTAAACCAGCTGAGGCCTTCTATGCCCATTCTCTGGGTGTTCTTCAGATCTCGAGAATGATTGGGTCTCTTAATGAGATATGTGGATCTGTGGGCCTTTCTCCTGCCTATCCGATTCGAATCCTTTTCTAGAGAACAGAAGTTCTCGTGATCCGTTCTTCTCTGGTAACTCTTCTCAGAGCTCACTGTCTGCTCGTGAAATTATAGATCATGGAGTATGCTCAGTGGTTCCGGAACAAGGCGATTCTCCTCACTAATTTCTCATCCCGCTATAAGATTGAGGTATGGCCCTAGACTAGCATACCTTCCCCATCATCATCATCATCATCATCTCTTCATCCTCCTTCACAAATATCATCATCATCATCCCTTCCTCCTGTTTCACCAATATCATCATCATCATCATCTCTTCCTCCTCCTTCACCAATGTCGTCATCATCATCATCATCAGAGGTATGGTCCTGGACTAATTGAAGACAAGGATACACTGTTCTCACCTAAGGATTGTCCTCCTCCTCCTCCTCCTCCTCATCATCATCATCATCATCAACATCATCATCAACATCATCATCAACATCATCATCATCATCATCATCATCATCTTCTCTGCCTCCTGCTTCTTCACCAATATCATCGTCGTCATCATCTTCTTTCAGGACATCCGAGAGGCAGTGTCAAAGCTACAACCGAAGGTGTCAGCCAAGGTCACTGCTCTCACTGAAGGATTCAGGTCAACATACACATGACCATCATGGCACGCCAACCAGGACCCATCTCAACTTCCTAGATGAGGCGGCTTTCAGAGGCCACTGCTAGTGTTTAGAGGCTTGCCCAGATCAATGGAGGACGCTATCTATTTGGCTTGTGTCTTCCATTAGTTGACCGCCATTAGAAAGAGATCCAGAGAAGAGCCCGCTTAGATCTTCTTCCATTAAAGGGCTGATTTTGGCTCTAGACAGCCGTTTATTCATCAACAGAACTGTTCCCGTTATTGATTAGATGATATCGGGTTGGAAATCCACAGGTAATCGGAGATGATTAGATTTTCATTGGTTCCTGAAGTTCTTCATCTACATGGGGATCGGATCAGGTGAATCAGATGAGCAGCGACATGATGACGGATGTGCACAAAATTGGATCCAAAAGAATCAGAGCAACGAAATAAATCTGATCAAGACTGTTCAAATATTCTACAGAAGTTGATGAAGACAACAGATCAAAAAAAATTCAAAAATGGGGGGAGATAAATTACCGTGAAAGAGTCAGGGTGGGCTGCTGAAGAGCAGAGACGCATTAGTTCCCCCGAAGCCGAAGGAGTTTGATAAGGCGGCTCTTATGGGGATGTCCTTCGCGGCTCCCAGGGGCATGAAGCCGCCACTGAAAATCGGGTCTGGTTTGTCTAGATTCAGCGTTGGAGGAGCGATTCCCTGAAAGAAATTTACAAAGAAGGGTTAATTCCATGTTTTTTCTTCTTTTTTTTAATAGGCAAATAATTCAGCATTCAATAAATTGCATTCAGTATCCTTAACGTATAAACTCGTTTCTTCTACTCTTGTAAAGGATTTAAGATCTGTAAGCTAAATCGGAACCCAGAAAGCAGCTAAAAATGTCCCCCATGAAAGCAATTAAAGAACAATAAGGGGTTCTTGTTTGCATTTTTTGCTTTTTATAGGGGAGATGAGTCAAATTTCAACAAGTTGTAGATAATTAGTGGCCCGGTTTATCACATTCCCTGCGTAAAACCCTGTTTCTTTTATTTTTGTGTAAATTTTGAAATCCGTAAAATAAGCTGAAACCCGGCAGAAGATGATGCCATATCATAATTTCATAAAAACCTAGCTGAAAGCAATAAGAAAATCTGTATTTTTTATACTCCAATTTATACCAAATCTAATCTTGGTACCAGTGAATGAATTAGAGATAATATTTAGTATACATACATGGTGGATGGCTAAAACAGTGAAGATGGCTTCCACAGCACCGGCTGCTCCAAGGAGATGCCCTGTAGCTCCCTGCATTGAAATTATTATTATTATAATTATTAGGCATAAAAGCAGATCAGCATTTGAGAACATCACCAACGTCCCTACCTTGGTGGAGGATATGGTTAATGCCCCTGAATCAGCATGATCAGAGAATACCGATCTAATGGCAGTCGCTTCCACTGCATCACCTAAATACGGCCCAAAGAAATTAGATGATTCAAGTAGCCATCTGGGTCGGAACTCTTTAAGACTATTAGGTAATCTATTGTTAAGAGATATTAAGTAATATATGAATAAACCGAAGATTACCAGCAGGTGTTGATGTAGCATGAGCATTTATGTAATCCACTTGATTGGGTCGAAGCCCTGACTAAATGTGAAAAGACAGAAAGGGACACAAACCAGTTAACTTACTGTGCTACAGAAGACAAGATTCAAAATAAAAGCAAGAAGCAACCAGGAACAGATCAACTTGTGCATCAGCCTACACTCCATGGAAGGAAGGCAGGATTAAGAGGCCTGAACTATAAAGCAATCTGATCAACTAAACCCCCACACAAGTTTCACGTTACAATGAGATGCAATGCATAGAGTTACTTCCTAATTGTGAGCCCTAAAGATACCTGTCTCAGTGCTCTGCTCATGGACAAAATAGCACCTCTTCCATCAGCGTGTGGCTTGGTTATGTGATAGGCATCACCTAGAAAAAAAAGGCACAATCCTTCACATAATCATGCGAGAGAGCATAGATTCAGATAGTATCAAAGGAATAAACGAAGACCTGATGCTCCGTAGCCTCGAACCTCGGCATAAATTTTTGCTCCTCTCTCCTCGGCGTGATCTAGTGACTACATCAGGAAGAAAACTATGTCAATGGCTGCTTAGATGCAAGTCAGCATTAAGAGAAACTTGGGAGGGTATCAGCAGAATTATATTTACAACTAGGGAGATATAAAAAATAGCTTTTTTGCGAAATATAATATATGAGAGGTTTTATCGATCATATTGTTAGGATGCATTGATGATATTGAATATCAAGTATTGTCAGAAATACAGTTACGTGCATAATGTTCTCGCAAGATTTTCTACCGAGATTAAATCCTCTGACTGACTCGGACAAACCTGGCATATTCTTTCCTAACAATTGGAAATTCATTATTCCAGGGCACCCTCATTTAATGATCTCATGAATTCAAAACTCGGTAGAGGTCAAATAAGTGAGATAAAGTAACCTTGTGTACCCATTAATGGTAGATTTCAGCATTGCCATTCAATAGGGATTTACATGATACTGTGTTCTTTCCTCATAAGTATACAGTTCAATATACGACTGGTACATGGGATTAAAAAACCCAAAACAATGTATGAACAAGCCTCGTGCTCTTATATGACAAGAAGCTAGACAGACCCTATGGGCATCTTTACATGCATTACACAGAGTCTGCTGGCTTATGAGAAGTTTCTGAGAATGACAGAAAGTAGTCACAGAACAGAGAAAAGCAAAGTAGCATAAGACTAGAGAAAACATGTAATAACGCCTCTAAAGATCTATCTGATGACCAGTAACGATATTACTGTTACTAACCTCCAACACCATGATACCTGCACCTTCTCCAATCCTGTAGATAAACCTTGTATTAACTCCGAGGAAGAAACGTGCAGGAAAAAGGATCAAAAAGCAAAATCAAAAGAGACAAAGGGAATAAAAGAAAATATACATACACAAATCCATCTCTGCCACTGTCAAATGGTCGAGAAGATAATTGCGGGAGAAAGTTATATTTTGTACTCAATGCTCGACACCTGCAAGTCGAGCGATGTTCGGCAAAAAAGAAGATATTATGTCTGAAGACCGTGAGTAAAAGAGGCAGATATCAACGTAGTACATAGCACACAGCAGCAAACAAATTATGGAAGACAAGTTAGTATGGAAGAAAGGCCATACAGACTGAAAAGACCAAAAACTAGGAATGTCAAAGTGTCAAAGCATCACAAGAAGCCAACATACAGGCGTGATAAAATAGAGCTCAAATCAAGAGGCCGCCTTACTGTTTAAACAAAGACAGAATATTGTGACATTACTACATGTTGCTTTTTTCATTTTTTTTCTCTACTAGGTCAGACCTCGTCAACAATGGACTAAAGTAATACTAGGCCCATGAACTAACTGTTCTCCAAACAGCTTCAATAGCATGAAACGTGAAAAGGGTTACGATCAAATGATTGATATTTAACAGTGGAATAGGAAGGTATGTGCACAGATTCATGGGCATACACATGAAACTAAAAGAAATGAACAGAATCTGGCGATACACACCGAGAAAATCCAGCTATTGAGAGAGCATCAATGCTAGATTCTGTTCCCCCAGCTAACATGACATCTGCATCACCAAATTGAATCATTCGTGCTGCATCCCCTATAGAATGTGCACCAGTGGCACAAGCAGTAACTGCAGCATGGATTGGTCCCTGACACAAGCAGACGGTTTTCAGTTCCATGCATATTTGATTCCTCTTAAATATAGAAGCTTACACATTACAGGTAGCACATACAAGAGGCTAGGCATGAAAAGCTTCTATTGAATCCGGTGTAACCAAAAGAAGAATAGTTAACCTACATCTCGACCGAATTTTCTATCATACAAAAACAACTCAAAAGCCAGTTGGCAAGCGAGTTTGTACAATGATCCTATAACCCGCTAACAGACAAACAATTTTAGCAACTGATTAAACCACCCAATAAATGTGTGATTATAAGGAATTCGTAGGCAATCTATAATACGTTAGACCACCGGATAACTTTAAAAGACAGCATTCCCGCAAATTAAAAGGTAAATTCTACAGTTCTTGTAGAAAGGAGCTGCAAACCAGCTTGGAGAAGCACAATTCTACGAATAAACGGTCCAGTTGACACCCACGAAGTTGACAAGATCCAAAATTTATAGAGAAAATTCATCAGTTTTTTTGCCACGATTAGTCTCCTTTTAATTTAGTGTCGGATTCAGCACACTAACCAGCAAGTCTACTGAGAATACAATGTTCAAAGGAGGAAGAAGAAAAGCATTTTTTAGCCTCCCAATGATATCACCTACTAAAGAACTAATCTGAATTCACAGACCCACATATGTTTTCTGAGTATTAAGTCCACATTACTTTCCAATCCTTTCCTCCGATGCATTGCAGACTCATAGATGCAAAACATTTTACGGAAAGGAGGCCCTTACACACGATTTTCCCCACCCAGTCTGGGAAATCGTAAAAAAGTTGACTCTTCAAGCCCCACCTTCCCAATGCCTTTTATGCTTTTGGTTGAGGTTGCTGACAATGCATATTTTAAAGAAATGCACAGAATCCTCTACTCTCCCCATATCTTTTCATCAACCTTTCCAAGCATGCAGCTCCAGCCGTTGGTCCAGAGATAATTGTCCTAGATACAGAAGCTTGAACAGCTAATTGGATATATCTTCCCCAAATGAACCTTCGGCAAAAAACCCAAGGACTGATAAACCGGCAGGAAATCTTTCGATCATCTTATCACCTAACTGTCATGGTGAAAATGTACGGATAGCAACTGTAAACCATGTAAGGAAGCAGATCTTCCTCCTGGGATGAGCATAAACCCTGATGAACACAATTCTCAACCAGCCCATTCCCACATGTCTCTTCTTTACATCAGCAAATGTCACAAATTGATGTACTAATGAAAAAGAATAATTCAAAGAAACTAAGAAAATACTCGAAAATGGTCCACAAACCTTGAAACCATATTTCATGCTCACATGTCCGGAAGCCATGTTAATCAATATTCGTGGGACAAAGAATGGGCTAAGTTGACGTAACCTCTGTAAACAATAGGATAAGAACAAGAGAATCTAATTAAAAAATATACCATTAAGAAGAACATGGGAACAAAATCTACCAACAATGTCTACGTATCTAAAGTTAAAGTTTCAACCTTCTCATAAACCATATGTCCAGCATCTGCAATGTCACTGATGCTTCCGATACCAGCGCCAATAGAAACACCCTGAAAGATATTATTAAAATGGTTATGAAAAAAACGACTGTGAACTCATAGTGCAGAGAAGGAGAAGGAAAGAAATTAAATACCGTGCTTTCTTGCTTTTCCACATCTGTTGGTTTCCAGTTTGCATCTTTAAGAGCTTCTTCCGTAGCACATAGTGCATATGCTATAAACCTAGCAATAGATCTATGATCCTAGCAAGAAAATAGCGATTATAATAGCATCTTAATACAACCATTGTAATGGAATAAAGAAAGCATAAACACCATTCACCCTCCAGTGCATATATAATCATCACAAGCTTATTGTGATGAGATTCTGCGGCCCTCCATGAAATAGAATTTCCAACAGGGTAATTTGATTGTATAGTTTTCCCCTATTTTATGTAACTGGATTTTTTTGTCAGCAAAGTTTGGTGGGCGGGGAGGCTATGCACAACTACCGTAGGAATGAATTTTTCAATAACAAGGGAAGCCCTGCTGGATAGTCTGATAACAATAAGTTACGCCCAGTATTGTTTCCCTCCTAGATTTAATGAGAAGTTTTACCATGAGATCTTCTCCTCATCAATCAACGAGAAAACAGAGACACTGTCAATTTTAGGATACTGATTTTCATTCTGTTTATCAGATGAAGTTATTATCAAACAAGTATCAAGTCAATATTAAAGCCTTCTGGCACTGCACATTTGGCTAATCAGGATACTTATCAAAGTAGATATTCAGAGAGTCCACACCGCATTTCTTACCCACGGGGTTCAGTATTGGGTAACACCTTGTCAATACAAAGAGGACTGAATGTGACAAGCACGGGCAAGTCAAGTGAACCCACAGGCTTCTTCATATAATTTCTAAAATACGTATCACCAGACTAGTAGTTACAAATCCAGTTTTGAAGTTTTTAGAGGCCATACAAATGAATGTGTGGGCTAACTCTAACTCATGTACGCTGTGTATTTTTGGCCTGGCATCCATGATTGACGCAATAAACACATGATAAGATCCTTAAAAATGACACCAGCTCAAAAATATATTTTTTCCATTTTACTTTTCCCAAATTAAATAATTTTTGTAAGTGCCATAAAACATTAACTGAGAGAATCAATGAGACAGACGTCCCTTTGCCCCACATAGTTAGGCTCAAAAAGTGGTGGGTAATTTCGGATTACAGAATGATGAGACTATTAAAAGTGATAGGTGAATTAGAGAATTACCACAGAACTATTCGAGATTATAAGAGCTAAATATTAAAACCTTGTTCTTCTATGAGCACCGGTTTTTCTTTTTCTATATCAACACATTTGGTTTAACCATTAGTTTGAGAAGATAATAGATACACAAAATATATGCGGGAAGTACACAAAAGGTAGTTCTCACTCCATCAGTCAGCTGATTGCCCGCTATTTTCTGTGGCGTGACAATGGGAGATCTTAACTCTATATCCCAAACGCTAGGAAGAAATCACGACTCAATTCCTCTCTCTGAGCAAAGTATATGGCAGCAAATGTAGGCAGATAATAGATTCTTCTGTCAAATTAATTATCGCTTCTCCAGCATGTGAGCCACTTCTTCATACCTGAGAGAGAAGACTGATGTCCTCGTTGAACTCTCCCTCCTCATTGCCGCAGGGCACGACGGCCGCCACCTTGGACGGCAGCTGCTCATACGTGTGCACTAACGTCTTCTCGTCGGCGCCGTTCATCCTCAGATCCTCGGGCGATAGCGCCCTGATGCCGCACTGCCCATCCACCAGGCGGCTCCACGCCGTCCCGACCCCGCACCCGAGAGGGGTGACCGCCCCGAGACCTGTCCAGGAGTTCCCTCGGAGAGTACACTCCTATCAGGCCAAATAAAAATCCATAATGCACAATAATTCAAAGAAAAACCGGCACCGCAGTCTGTCACCGGTGACAACAACTCGCCGGTGGCGAGGAGCGGGAGGCGGATCAAGCGCCTGCGACGAGAAACTGCGGCTCGCTCGCAGCCGACCGCGGATCGCGAAGAAGAACGAACGCATTGAAGTCCGACGGAGAGACGCGAGGATGGACAAATGAACAGAGGAGGAGATCCGGGCGAAATCCCTGGGATACAGAGGGAGGAGAAAGGGTGGAAGACGGGGAGTGGCCCGACGAAGAAGACGGCGTTGGCTCATAAGGACCGTTTATCCGCATAAACTTTCACATGTCATAAGGTTTAAAGGCCACAGCACATTCGCTATCATGAACTTCGAGTACTTTTCAGTGGGCCCCAGTGCATTATGAGATTTAAGGCATCACAATGAAATAGTCAAAAAACAAAAATATTAAGTTTGTCTCGAAGTTGTGTTTATATCTCATAAATTTTGTACGGTCCAAATCATGTAATGATGACCGTTTATTCGCATAAACTTTCATACCTCATAAGATTTAAAGGCAGCACCTCATTTGTCACCACGAACTTTCACTAGTTTAAGCGTTTATGCCTCATAGAAATCGTCTTTTTTATTTTCTTATGTGGTTCCAAAGGATATAAGTTAAAACTATACATCTCATAATGTTTGGAGATCATTCAACAAAGATGAACAACATTGGGCTTAATTGTTCAATGTGTCTTAGAGATCCATCTCGGATCTCAATTATTTCACAAGGTTTATGAGATGACTATGCAACAGCTACCTTTAACTAATCAAAGAAAATTATGTTAAATCTCCGCATCTCATAATGTTTAGGGACCATTATATGCCGAGTGGGCCCCCACGCCCCCAGGTTGAACCTCTAATATCATAAGATTTAAAGATCAATTATAGACCCACATCAATAAACTGATTTTAGTAATTTATTTCCAAAGGACCCTTAAGTGGCAGTGAGAAGACTCAGAAATTACTCAATAATTTTTTTTCTGTTTATCTTAAGTGGAAAGGATAGTTTCGGGCTTTTGACCACACCTCAACGAAGTCTCGGGCCTTGAAAGCCCAAAATATAAACGGGCCGGACTGCTAAAACCGCAGCCAATTAATACCGATAATTCTGGCCATCATCAACATAGGGAAAAGAAAAATTAATTATCCAGAAGAGAAGAGAAGAGAAGAGTCCAGATATAAATACTTCAACCACGGCTAGAACAACCAACTCACAAGCTTCTCAGGAGTTCTTAAACGATTCAGGAAATTATCAAATCAGAGTAGGTGGAGCCCAAAACTGAATGCCCAAGTCAAATGCATCGGGTAATAGAACTGCTTTGGGAAATGTTCCTAAAATGCAGAGAAGGCCTTCTTGCCGCCGGTCCCTGATCCGGATGGGGTCACCTTCAGAACATTGAACCTGACCGTCTTAGACAGCGGCCTGAGGAAGGAAGGAAGAACTCGCGTTAGAACCACAGAATCAGATCAGAAGATCCAAAAAGAAAGCTCGACCCATCTATTTCATGGGTAATTTCCATTTCTAGAAAAAAAAGCTCTCATAATATTCAGAGGGGGCAAGGTTGGTTTTACCTGCACTGTCCGATGGTAACATGGTCTCCTTCCTTCACACGGAAGCAGGGGGAAACGTGGGCGGGGATGTTGGAGTGCCTCTTCTCGTACCTGAGAGGTAGCAGGAAGAGCAACCGCGTTAGAGCAGCTCGGTAATCGAGGTCAGAGGAGAGAGAATAACAGGGCAAATCAACCCACCTCTGGTATTTCCTGATGTAGTGGAGGTAATCCTTCCTGATGATGATGGTCCTGTTCATCTTGGCACTATGGCAGACGCCGCTCAAGATGCGGCCCCTGATGGAAACATTGCCAGTAAACGGGCATTTCTTGTCGATATATGTGCCTGAGAATCAAAACAAGAGCTGCTGAGGTCCACTGATCGAGCCACCCATTAAAAAAAAGATACCAGAAATGTTTATGCAATGCCAGAAGATGGCTCCAGTACTATATTATCACCCATTCAATCCAATTCATCGAACCAGTATTAGGGAAGAATAAACCGTGTTCATCAGTAACCACATTGTTTCAAAGATATGATTAAATAAAACGCATAATCTTGGACAAAATAATTATACCAACTATACTAGAAGAGGAACAAGAACCAGAGTATTGAAGCTTCTACAGGACATTAAAGAAACAAGATGAGGGAATCTTAATGCTATTATAAGAAAAGAAAAAAACAAATTATACGAGATGTAGGAAGAAAAAGCTCCAAAATATTAAGGGTTTATCTCCAACACAACAAAGAAAGAATGCCAATCGAATGAAGCGATGCAGAAGCCTAACACACTAAACAAGAAAAAAAAAAGATATTCATCCAGAGAAAAGTAAGACGAACCTTCGATGGCTTCCCTAGGAACCTTGAAGCCGAGACCAATGCTCTTCCAGAAACGGTTGCCGCCCTTGCCGGGCCTCTTCCCCTTTCCGGACTTCTTAGAGCTGTGAAAGAATAATTTTAAGACATTTCTACTCATAGCCACCACAGAAATCTGAGAAGAAGGAACACAATGCGAAATATAAATCATAGATCATTATACCTTAGGAACACTTTCGGTTGCTTGAGAAAAGCCTTCTCGGTCTGCAAAAGGTCGTTTAAACGTATGACACAAAAATCAGAGTAAATTAAAATAGTTCTGGTAGGTGTTCTCCCCCTTCTCTCTCCCCCACCCCCCACAGATTACTCGCTGGGAACAGAGCATCGTTTAACGGGACATTAAGTTCCTATCTCAACGGGATATGAACTACCTTCAAGTGGGGGTTTGAACAGCTTAATAGCGCAACTGGAAGCAACCAATTAGGTTTACGACGAAACCTAGAAATCGAAAACCGATCCCGCTTAGGTACCTCTACCGGACGAACCAATTTAAGATGATGCACTTTCTAGAAGAGCATGTAAAGAAAATAGAACAAACCAAAAGTGTTGTATATAATAGACCTTGTACTACCCATGTCACGTAGATAAACCCCAGAAAGTAAGGGAAGCAAGATTGAAGAAATTGAACAAATACAAAAAAGATCATATTCCATCTGTGCTGCATATCAACTGCATTCTAACAAACCCTAATACTGCGACCAGGCAGGACCCAAACATGAGGGATTTTTTCCTCAAAGTGTACGGATACTTCGACCTGTATCGTTCCCTCAAATCTGGAGAGGTGATGAATCTATCGCCCGATACCTTCAGCGTCACAGAAACTGCAACCGAGGAGGAAAGAAACAAAGAACGTTATCTCACCTGCTCCGCCATGGTGGATGCTTGGACAGGAGGAGCCGCCTGCGGGAGAAAGAGAGAGAGAGAGAGACGAGGCGGCGCGGAAGAGAGAGACCGCTACAACTGCGAAACCCTAGCCGCTACCACGCGACGGAAAAATATATCCTGCCCGATGACAAATGGGACCGAAACCTCGAACCGGTGTGGTTTTAGGGCCGGCCTGGCCCAATAAGAACACGCATGATTTCTTAGGATATTTTTGTTTAACAACTTAAAATAAAACATAAATAATGTTAAAGAACTATATAAATAATACGTGCTGAATAAATATTTGTTTTTTGATGATTTTCCTGCTCAACCATATATTTCATTTTATTATTTAACTGGACTTAACTCTAATTAAAAAATGGCCCAAAATTATCTCTCTCTCTCTAATACATGTGCTCTCCACATGTGTGAGTGTGTGTCTTTCTCTTTCTCTCTCTAAAGTCATGATTAATACACTTGTTAGACCTTTTTTAACATGACAAAAACTAGAAGAATTGATGACTTAATCATAACCCTAAGTTTACAAAGGATGTAATTTTATTGAAAACTCCTTGTCCCAAGTCTATACAATGTAGAGATTTTATACTTTGAATTCACAAAGGATTAATCATGAGTCCACATGATCAAAAATAGTTGTCTAAGTCCATATGGGTAATAGAAATAATAAATAGAGATAGAGATCCTATGTAGAAGAAATGAACTTGAAATAGATTTGGAAAAAAATTACTTATTTCATTCTCTCACATGAAGGTGGATGACTAACAAAAGTTCGAATCTTACTAGAGCCAAAACTCATATTTTTATTTAGATAAATTATGACTTTCCTCTAAATTACATACGAAGGATTAAGATGTCATAATCATTCGATCATCAGTAAAAATCTCGTCAATGTGATTTGTGAAATATTGTTATTAAAATTGTAGAATGATTCGCGATAAAAGATCATGAATTTATCAAGTGAATCATTTCCGATTGATCGACGAATAAGTCGTCGTCGGAAAAGAGGACGATATGTCAAGAGACAAGTTGTCACCTCTTGAGAATATACCGGATGTGATGAAGAGCCTCTTTTGTTACCAGACCCAAGGATGAACCTTCTTAACACGTACCCTACACTCATCTAACTCTTCTCCGTTAGGTGACAGTCGTTGAAGAGCTACAAAGTTGTCATTTTTTCACTCTGTCAGATGATAGTCGTTGGAGACGATTCAACAACTCATTCATTGACCTTTAGACTTTGTAAGAAGATCTAGAGATTATCTAAGTCGTTTTTGTCCAAGAAGAGCCTTTGAAAACATAAGCACTATATGATAACCTCTTGAATGTTTAGGATTTTAGTGCATTGTTAATGCATCATTGCCACAACGTCAAAACTTTATCTTTCCTACTTTCAACTTAATTCTCGCTTCATTTAGTGATAATTTATGTGATTTCTACTTTCTAAATTATTATTCGTTTAATTATGATTCTTGCAGCTTTTACAAATCTTAATTTGACCAATTAAATTATTTGTAATTGTTTATGTAAAAAATACTAGATGTAACTCTACTTTCGCTCGATTTGCGTTTGTCAGGTATTGACATCATCTTGAAGTACGTGCCCTTTATTTTCTTTTTTGTAAAATTTAAATATATTTCATTTTTATTTCTTAATATAAATTTTATAAAAAATCGTATTCTTTGTGGAAAATTCTGAAATATTACCAATTATTATATTACATTCTTGCCATCAACCTGAAAAATTATCACTATTTTTCAGGATTTTTTAGTTAATTTTTAGTTAATATATTTATTTAAAAATATTTCTAAATATCTGAAAATTGTCATTTTCTAGTTTTATAAATTTTAATTTTACGTGATTTATTATACAACGACTAAGTCACGTCAGTGCACATGATTTGAGTTGAAATTAGATTTATTAGTCTATTTTTTCTATTTTGATTAATATTAATAATATTTTTTTGTGGATGAAGTAAAAAAGAATATTAATTTAAAAATTGAAATTATATAAGTAATATAAACAAAAAGACTGATTTTATATATTTTAAAAAATAGATTATTTAAATAATAATGTTAGAAGGATACTGAAAAAGTTAAAATTTAACAATAAAAATTATATAAATAAAATAAAATAAAATAAAAATACCCATTTCTTTATTTTTTGGGTTCTCAAAAACTAGACTCAATCTGCAATTAAGCCATCAGATTAAGAAAAAATTCCCATAAATAATGTTTATCATGTTTCCTTACCTCTCATAGGAGAGGAGAAGCTGTTGAGCATTCGGAATGATCTCATAATATTTCCAGGAAAATGTTATCATATTAATAGGCTTTAATTTATTTATTGCAAGAGCCAAACTACCGTAAAATATGTAAATACCCGTTCTACAATAGGCGTCGAAGATGATTTTAATGGGCTGATTTAGGTAGGATTCTGCAAGGCCCATTAGTTTTATTATTTGGCCATTTAGTTTTTATTGGGCTCAGACAGATGGGCTTGACCAGGAAGAATTTAAAGGTCGAGCGAGTGGCCCAGTAGTTATTTCTTCTTCTTTTCATCCTTTCTTCTACGCTCTAGCGGTTTCTTCATATCGCCGGTGACGTCGCCACCGCCGCCGCCATCGCCGGCGATCTCCCAAATCCGTGAAGCTTCTCTCCGGAACCAGGGGATGGAGGGCGTCGGGGCTCGGCTGGGTCGTTCGTCGACCCGCTATGGTCCGGCGGCGGTCTTCAGCGGGCCGGTGAGGAAGTGGAAGAAGAGGTGGGTGCAGGTGGCGAACCCCAACGGCGGAGCCGCTTCCCACGCCGGCAACGGCAGCGGCAGCGGAAACAGCAGTTCCCATCTTGTCCTCTACAAGTGGACGCCGACCTCCTCCCAGAGCAACGCCTCCGTCGCCGCGGCCGGCGGGGTGGCCGTCGCCGGCAAGGTTTCGGCGACGGAGGAGTCTCCCCGGCGAAAGTTTCGTTACGTCCCGGTATGAGTTTATGTCTAAATTTTTTGGTGGTAACCCCTTGGTTTGGCAATTTGATCGATATGGGGTTGGGGGTGAAGAAGATGTTTCCATGGCTCATTGCCGCTTTCTATTTCTCATGTCACGAGGGCTTGCAGTCTAGCGCTCTAGTGATCGCTATTTAGCACACTCACGAATCCCCCACTTGCATCACCAATAGTAATCCATACGCGTGCTAGCTAATGACGCGAGTCTCCTGTCGGACGTTACGAATTTGAAAGAAGTTTCTTTCCTAGGAAACATGGGTTTTTTATGGACACATTACCTGTAAATACTTGTGGTCGTTTGACCTTGCCAAATAGGTACCACGGAAACGACTCTGTTGACTTCGTCAAAAGCTAACTTGTTGATGCCATCAAACATATCACATGGAGGCATCAGCTTGTGTGGTGCTCTGATATCTTAAGACTTACTGAGCTAATATATCGTTCTTGCTGAATTTATTCGTAGATTATGTAGTTTTACAGGAGAACCATGAACCCATTCTGCAAGTATAAATTTCTGACGGAGAAATACCTGGCGCTATTTGTGATAGAGCACAGAAATCTTTCCGCAAATAAAGAGCAAGTGTACTTTTGGTGACTTTGGACCATATCTTTTTAGAATGTGGGACACTAAACGTTTTGCGGAAAATATTATTGCTAGCTGTCCATGGTTATGCTTGCATGTTCACAGAAGGATGATTTGTTGAGCGAAGGAAAATATTTTTACCCACAACTTTTGTGGAAATTTTGGATGTTGAGGAATGGTTGATTTCGTCAACTTGATTGGAAAATTTTAAAAGGGCTATTGACACTGGTGCAATGGAGTAGTGATTGGTCATGCTAACTACCCTAGCTCAGAGAAAAGTAGAATATTATTGGTCAATCCCCTTTTCATTCTTGTTCAGCCTTTTTTTAGGTGAGCAGAGATGTGTTGAAGCATCCTTTTGATTTTACTTTCATTGACGAACTATGCTACTCATGTCAGTAAACTAGTTCGATCTTAAAAATAAACGAAAAAAGTGGTCTAATCACTGGTTCGCTGCCAACATGGGAGATAATGCATCATGCAAGTGCTAAAAGCATTCAGAACCGGCGACAGTGGACAGTTTGAATGTCTGGGATGCACTTTGAGAATAAAATTCAAAACAGTGGAAGCTGATGGCTGTTCCTAGTTGGACGATAAACTGCAAGGTTAGGAAGTGTTCCATATCTACCTAGCGATCTTTATGTAGATTCATGAGGTTTCATCTGTACGAGTATTGTTATCTCTAATGTAAGCTTTGGTTTCATTTATATCGAATCTTGGAGAAAAAAATGTTTCACACCGTGCAAATCTACAGTGCATGAATTTTAATATATGTACATACGTGTGTATATGTAAATCTGCACGATAGAGATTCTACAGTTGCCATCTCCATGTCTTCTCACAATAGACATGGTGCTAAAGCTTCGATATACATTCAATTTTTGAATTCTTTTGGTTTCTCTTATACTTTAGTATAAAGCTTTTGAAGAATTTATTAAAGTTTCTCATGTGTTTTTATTTCTTCATATGTCTAAATTGGAGCCTCCAACAAACCAACAACTGATTCTTATTGGTACACAGATTACAAAACTTCGGGGAATTTATGGCAGGCATCTTTCCTTGAAGTCATTTATCGTTTCAAAATTTCAGCTTTCTATGATTAACAAACATAAATTTGCTGAAATCGATGAAGATTCCGCAGCATGAACAGTATTTCTCCTAGTAGGAGACAAGTTTTCTGAGGATTAAGCTTCAACTCACTGGACTCTAAAACGTTTTTTCACTGAAGTGTTTCCCTCTATTTGGTTCATCGCTGACCACTTTACAATCGTAACATTGTGTTGCCTTTACTATCTAAAATGAGTTGCCTCTGATGACCTCATTTCTCATCCCAATTGGTTTCATTTTCTTAAATATGGTTGATATATTGATTTAGTTGGAAACCACTTTTTTGGAGGAAACCAACTTACCCACATGCCAAAAGAAGCTTGCCTTTTATCCTTTCATATTTGGTAAAATTGATTTATTAATTAGCTTAATATTTCACTCTTGTTCTCTCCAAGGAAAAAAGGGGACATAGGTATTTGATCAGAAGTTAATCCTTTTTGTTGCATCCTTCTGAGTACCAATCCCGATGGCAAACTGTGGTCGTTCCTTCTTTTATTTTTATCTATTATGAAATTGGCAGCTGCGACGAATGAAATGATGGTTTCACTTCCATCTGCACAAGAAATGGAAAAAGCAGAGCCATACTCGTTTTTATTTAGGAAAATATGTTCCCTTTTTCTATGGACAGACCTCGTTTGAGAGGTGAAGTTAGGACCTTTTAACTTTGATTTGATTTTCCTTTCGCTTTAGAAAGCTTCTGCGACCAGATATTACCTTGTCATATTAAAGTCTGCCAACCTTTGCTATTTTGATCACATTCTTTACCATCGAAAGGTGTATGAATCCCATAGGGCTTGACCAGAATCGGGTTCTTCTCTTTCACAACCCTTGAACATAGTGCTGTGTATGAATCTGAGAAATTTGAATTACTACCCCGCCCATGATCATGATGGTCATTTGTTGAGTTAGAAATAATGCTACCTTTTTTATTTTAAAGTGGGTATAGTACATAAGTCCTGCCTTGCTGACTTTACATTCTATCGAGGCTTGACAAGCGGAAAAACCAAGTCAGATCACATCACTGCAGTTTACTACACTCGTTGGTTCTTACTGAGGTGGGTTGAGCTTGTACTAGCCCATGTCAAAACACTCTTAGAATCAAGCATCGATTCCATTCAAAAGGCTTTCAGGGTGCTGCCCGATTTTTCTTAATGTAGATTTGATGATGGGCACAGGGATTATCTATTCAAATCGATGGACATGGTGAGTTGGAAAATCAAGCCCCCATTGTGTAGACTCTCGCAATTTTTTTTCCCTGGAAGGATTAAATGTTCCCTCTTTTATTGAAGTCCTCCATTTATAGAGGAATCGAGGAAAACAATGGCAGGAGATCATCTTATCCACTGGCTTCTGATGTGATCTATGCTCACTACCTGTACCATCTCATGGATGGTGGTCAACGTTCATGCATAATTCTATGCACAGATAAAAAGGTCCATTCCAGTACCCGGTGTTCCAGCTTGTTTGTCATTGTTTAAACTGTCAAGTGGTGGCTTACTTCTTCGTGCATTGGAGGCCTCTCATCAGCTTGTTTGTATACTTTCTGCGAGTTCGAAATGGCGATCTCATGGAGTTTGCTCATATGATTAGCTAATGAGAAAGCGGATGGGCTCAGCATGCTTCTTCTTCTTCTGCCATTTTAGGGTTCTTCACATCGAGCAAACCCCTAGAGAGCAGAGATTCATGGGTGGAACCTACTTACTAGGGCTTTTTAAGTGGGTTGAATTCCTTGGGATCAGCATGCTTCTGCGGATTTGATAGGCTCAGTTACTCCATCCTAGTTCATAGATGGAAGGCCCGATGACATACTTTTGGCCTATTTAGGATGAGGATGACAAGCGCTGGCGATCTTCTATTTTTTATTTTTTTGTTTCATTTTTTAGGTAAAAGTGCTGATTGTGGGCGTGTTCTTTTATTTTTAGTTGCGACAAATTCTCACCAGACTGGTTACTACGCAGGTTTCTGTGATTGAAGAACAGAAGCAAGAAGATTCTGCGAAAACAGATGAGGAGACCAAGCCGAGAGACGGTGAGTCTTTTCCCAGACAGGCAAAGAGTGTCAGTTCCGAAGAGAAGCCCGATGTCAACGATGTTCCCAAGGAAGAAGAAACGCAGGTACCAATACATACAAACATCCTCCGAGCGCGCATCTAGATCTCCCCTCCAATTCTCTTTCTGAGCAAGATTATCATGCGGTATCATTTCTAGATCCTGATTTTGAGCTAATAGAGCAAAGAGAAGTGTTTTCTTCTTTTCTTTTCTTTTTTTTTGAGAAAAAGGGTTTTCAGTGTTGGATGAATCGGATTGTAATCGCCGAGGATTCATAAACCGCATCTTCTTCTTCTTTTTTTCCAAGGAAATGCATCTGATATACTCCCGGATTTTAATCTTTTGGGAATCATTTCTAATCGAAGTGCATCTTTTTAGCCCAGGGTTCTTTTTTTTTTTTTTTGAAAGATCTCGCCGTCTTTTCTGCTCCGATGATTAACCAAGAAGAAGAAACCCACCCACTACTTCACTGGAATTCCTAGCCATGCATGGCAAGGCTTCTTCTTCTTCTTCTTCTATCTATTTGAGCAGATAACTGAGAGAAAGGGGGAGAGCGGGGGTGTTTGTAGGGTGCAGGGCCGGAGCGGGAGGCGGGGGACGCCCACCTGGACCTCAGCCTGGGCTTGAAATCCCACGACGGCGAGCGGAGGGGTTGACCGCACCGGGCCAAATCAGACCGAGGAGCAGAAGAAGAAGAGGACGAAGACTTGACCAAGGTGTAACTGGGACGGTCATAAATACAGTCGCATTCTTACTCTGGATGGCCGTCTACTAACCTTTTTCCCTCTCCAATGTAACGCTACTACCACTGTCGCCCGGGAAGAGAGAGAGAGAGAGAGGGTCATTAAACAAAACCAGGCAGAGGAGAGATTTAATTCAAAAAACGCCGTGATTGTCTTTCTGTCTGCTTCACAGCCATAGAGGGCGAAACAGAGTAAGATAGATTAATAAGGTAAGAACCAGGCCGGGGGGGGGAGGCTAGTACGAGAAAGAGAGTGGGGGAAGGACTGACTAGTTACTAGTAGCGGGCGGGGTGGGTGAAGAGAGGTTGATACTCTGGCTCAATGACTGCGAAAGTCTTCTAGTCGACCTCCTCCATCTTGGAGCCCTCGGCGTCGTCGTCGAGCGGTGGCATCTCGGCGTCGGCGTCGGCGGGGGATGCGGCGTCGTCGTCGTCGATGCTGAGGCCGAGCTTGAGCATGCGGTGGATGCGGTTGCCGAAGGTGTTGGGGTCGTCGAGGCTGAAGCCGGAGGTTAGGAGGGAGGTCTCGAAGAGGAGGAGGACCAGGTCCTTGACGGACTTGTCGTTCTTGTCGGCGTCGGCGCGGCGGCGGAGCTCATCCATGATGGGGTTCTCCGGGTTGATCTCCATGGTCTTCTTGCTGGACATGTAGCCGGCCATGGAGGAGTCCCTGAGCGCCTGCGCCTTCATGATCCTCTCCATGTTGGCCGTCCAGCCGTACTCGCCGGTGACCAGGCAGCAGGGGGAGTCCACCACGCGGTCCGAGACCACCACCTTCTCCACCTTGTCGCCCAGGACGTCCTTGATGACCTTGCAGAGGCCCTCGAACTTCTGCTTGAGGTCCTCCTGGCGCTTCTTCTCGTCTTCGCTCTCGTCCAGCTTGAGGCCCTCCTTGGTGGCGGAGACCAGCTTCTTGCCCTCGAACTCCTTGAGCTGGCCGACGGCGTACTCGTCGATGGCGTCCACCATGAAGAGTACCTCGTAGCCCTTCTTCTTGAGCTTCTCCAGGAAGGGGGAGTTCTCTACGGCCTTCTTCGACTCGCCGGTGATGTAGTAGATGTCGCTCTGGCCGTCCTTCATGCGGGTGACGTAGTCCTTGAGGCTGGTGAGCTCGTCGCCGCTCTTGGTGGAGTGGTAGCGGAGGAGCTCCGCGAGCTTGGACCGGTTCTGGGAGTCCTCGTGGATGCCCAGCTTGAGGTTCTTGGAGAAGGCCTCGTAGAACTTGTCGTAGTCCTCCTTGTTCTCCGCGATCTCGAAGAAGAGCTCCAGGCATTTCTTCACCAGGTTCTTGCGGATCACCTTGAGGATCTTGTTCTGCTGGAGCATCTCGCGGGAGATGTTCAGGGGGAGGTCCTCCGAGTCCACGATACCCTTCACGAAGCTCAGGTACTCGGGGATGATCTCCTCGCAGTTGTCCATGATGAAGACGCGGCGCACGTACAGCTTAATGTTGTTCAGCTTCTTCCTCGTGTCGAACAGGTCGAAGGGGGCGCGCTTGGGAACGTACAGGATGGCCTTGAACTCCAGCTGACCCTCCACCGAGAAGTGCTTCACCGCCAGGTGCTCCTCCCAGTCGTTAGTCAGGGACTTGTAGAAGGCGGCGTACTCCTCCTTGGTGATCTCGTCCGTCTTCCTCATCCAGATGGGCTTCTGCTTGTTCATCTGGGACCACTCGTGGGACACCTCCTTGATCTTCTTCTTCTTCTTCTTCTCCTCCTCCTTCTCTTCGTCCACCTCCTCCACCTTGCCCTCCTCCTCCTTCTTCTCCTCGTCCTCCTCGTCGTCGGAGATCTCCTTCTCTGTCGTCTTCTCGGTCCACAGGGAGATGGGGTAACTGATGAATTCGGAGTGCTTCTTCACAAGGTCCTTCAGGCGACGTTCCTCTAGATACTCCAACTGTTTGCCACCAGTTCATCAACATCAGTACATTATAAAATTTTAATTGCGACTCTTACATGTCTATATATATATCGCAGTAGAGAAATCATTAATAAGTAATCACCGATAAGATGGGCAAATGATGATTTTAAGAAAAAAAAAGATCATATATCCTGTAGGGACTGATGAACGAAAAAAAAGGTATAGCTTATTAATTGCAGTTCACTATGACAGAAGTTCAAGAGGGCCCCTGTGAAAAAGCGCGTCATTGAAAATATCTAATGAACACGGGACCCAGTAGATTATATTCGTAAATTCACCGAAAAGCCAGTTGTACATTAGGATAATCAATCGCTTAAAGGAAGATTTCGAAGACGAATTCAGCATGAAACACTTCACCAATAAACATGATAAAGAGAAGATAGACACTAGATACTGAGGGAATAAAAGCAGGTGCAACGAGAAAACTCATGACATGTTAGCACCGTCGCATTTGCCGAACTAATGTATAAATAGGAAATACTCATAGGGCACTCGTACAAAGTTTCAAGAAAATCAACATGGAGATATACGCATAAAAAATGCAGCTATTAAATATCTGATTATACGAGAAGGGTAAAAAATCTAGCTAAGCTTCTCAGATCAAAATATCATACCGAAGACGACCTTGTATAAGACTACTCATGCAAACTAAGTAGGAACATTTTTAACTACTTCAAACCAGGCGATGATATGCAATGAAGCCTCAAGCATAATCTAGCAGGCAAATATATCAATTGAGAAAGTAACACAAATTTGACGCTAAAACTTCCTGAACATCATAGAGGTACAAATACAAAAATACAGGGTCGTTCGGCCGATATACCTGATCTTCCTTCAGGAAGAGAGTAATCTTAGTGCCCCTGCCAATGTTCTCTCCCGATGTATCCCTTGTCACGGTGAAAGAACCACCAGCCTGAGACTCCCAGACGTACTGCTCGTCATCATTGTGCTTGGTGGTCACAATGACCTTCTCAGCCACAAGGTAGGCAGAGTAGAACCCCACGCCAAACTGACCGATCATGCTAACGTCGGCTCCGGCGGCAAGCGCCTCCATGAACTCCTTAGTTCCCGACCTAGCGATCGTTCCCAAGTTGTTAACCAGATCTGCAACCAGTAACAGGTATTAGTCCAAAATCCCAAAATAATCCTTAACAGGCAGCGAAAAAAGGCCAGACAAACCGACAAGAGTAAATCCCACGAGAAGCTCTCCCGAATAAAACGGAGGCTAAAGAAGAAACAAATCGACAAGAACAACGCCCACGTACCAGCCTTGGTCATGCCAATACCACTGTCGATAATAGAGATCGTATTGCTCGCCTTGTCGGGTACGATATGAATAAACAGCTCCGGCTGCGCATCGAGCTTGCTCTTGTCCGTCAGACTCTCGAAGCGGATCTTATCCAGTGCCTGCAGATCAAAAGTCCCATCAGCAAGGACATATCAAAGGGACATGAACGAGAAAAAACAACAAACCGATCACCCTAATCCCGTCCGAGACCGTCCGCCGGGGGGGGGGGGGCAGCACGGTGAAACGGACGAGATAAGCCAGATCTAAAAGGACGGACGCCACCACTCACATCGGACGAGTTGCTGATGAGCTCCCGGAGGAAGATCTCCTTGTTGGAGTAGAACGTGTTGATGATGAGACTCAGGAGCTGGTTGATCTCCGCCTGGAAGGCGAACGTCTCCGCTTCCGCCGCCATCTCAGAGATCGGAAACGGGGGATGACGAACGCAGCAGCAGCAGCGACGACGGCGGGAAGCGTTTCCTCACAGCCGCACAGCAACCAGACTAGGGTTTAAGAGGAGGGGGCAGTCCCCCCCAGAGAGGTATATAAAGAAGATCGGGGGCGCCTTCTAGAATCTTCCGAAGGAAGCGTTCAGCGGCGGACTTCGCTCTTTCGGCTCCTCAGGCGTGGGGCCCGCAGGTGGTGTGGACCCGGTGGTACCATTCGTGGGATTGTTTATCTTCAACCTTCTACTACTAAATAACTAACATATAAGGTATACATCAAGTTTATTTGCGAATATACTTCCATCATGTCTGATATTTCCTAAAACGGGTCTTCGCCCAGAGGTCGATAGGTGACGACGGGCTTCCAGACTTTATTAAACGAGCCGGGCCGAGCTGGCCCGGAAAAGATTAAAAATCGGGGTCAGCATTTGTCTCGACCACCCATTATTCTCGTCATAAAAATATTTAATACGCATAATACTAGATACACAACATACCTGCGGGCCGAAAAAGCACAACTCATCCATTAGTTTCCAGACTCGAGCGGAAAAGAACAAGCCCGCGCTATGCTTTGGGCTCGGGCCGGCAGACAGAAAGCCCGCGGCCCGTCTTCCCTAAAGTAACTTAGGAAACGACACTGATAAAAAAAAAAAAAAATCGGATTCTCAGACATCAGTCGCTCTTCCAACAAAATGGGATGCTTCGAGTTCAGAGGATATCCCCAAATCGGGTGGATGTCAGCCCCAAGAACCCTAAATTACCTTATTAGGGCCGATTCGGAGACCGCCTATGTACATTTATAGCAAAATATGAAAAATATGAGTCCCCGGTGGACCCTGGCGTTGACTTTCAACGTATGGAGATTTATTTTTTTTAACAGGCTATGAATGAAACATCAAAGAGGGAATTCCTTCTGGAGGAGATCGAGATTGCGGGAGTCGCAGGCGTCGAACATGTCGTTCCTGGATGCGCAGCTGCAGGAGAGAGAAAGAGGAGAGGATGAGATGTTGTTCTACTGTTCTTCATGCGATGGAGGGGAAGGATCAGGGGATTAGGGTTCTTCGGACCTGAGAGATATTCTGAGATACTGCCAGGCGTTGTCTGCCTTGGGATTCATGGCGAGGGCCTTCACGTAGTACCTGATGGATTCCTCGTATAATCCCTGGAGAGAGAAATTAATGGGGAAAATGGCTCAAGAAGCATATTAATTCCGGCAAGATCAAATCATCTTTTTTTTTTTTTTTTTTTTTGCTGAGTGTAGATGAATAATCACATATTTTTGCAGAGTGAAATGGAATTTTCATCAGAAAACAGGGAAATGGGTAAAATCATCTCCACTGAACGATCTAATAATCGAGAACAAGAGATGATCAGATTATTAGGTTAAAAGAATGCTAAAAATAATGGTTTTGACAAGAATCAGCGGACCTGGTTCGCAAAGCTGATGCCCATGTTAGCCCAGGCTCGAACATAGTTGGGTTTCAGATCCAGCGCCTGCGAAATGAGAAGAAGGTCCAAGCTATCATATATGGGAGGAGAAAGGATGAGCGAGTGGGATTTGATTGCTATAATAAGTAGGAGAAGTATGGAAAGGACTCTTCCAACAACAACAACAACAACAAAAAAAAAAAAAACAGCTTCACTGTGGGCAACAGATGCAGAACGACGGACTTAAACCAATTAATAACCATTCAATATAAATATGGGACCATTTTCAAACAAAAAGTTGAATAATCAAATAAAAAATATTATTCTGATTAATTCAGCTCCTTAAGCTTCCTTTCTAATGGTCAACAGTGGTCGCTTTCGATTGATAAACCGGAATGAATATCACCATGGATTTCAATGATTTCGAGAAAAATTGAAGAACAGCATGCAAGCAGAAGCATTGAAAGCACAGAGAGAATTTCTGGGTGAACATAGTTCAGCTTAGTTCATGAATTAAATAATGTACATGAATTATTCATCATAAACAACATAGTTCAGCTTTTGTTTATACCTGTTGATATGCCAGAATCGCATCTGCACTCTGGACGCTGTTTGCTTGAGTTGCACCGAGCTTGTTCCACAGAGAATAATCACGCGGCTTGAGTTTCAGTGCCGTTTTAAAGGAAGCAATAGCTTTATCATATTCCCTCGAGAGATTGTAGAGAACTCCAAGAACAATGTGGATATCAGCATCGTCTGGTGACATCTGTGCAGCTTCGTTGAATAACCTGGCAACCTGACAGAGAAAATGGCTGTCTAAGATTCCTGACATGACCGGAAAAAATGTGCAATACTCTAAAACTGACATGACCGGAAAAAAAAATAGAAAATTTGATTTCTCCCTTGATAATATTAATAGCTCGTGAGATAAAAAGTTCTAATAAGCTAAGAGGGCAAGAAAGAGTTTAAAATGCGAGTCACCCTGATGGTTTTGGCTCAAAAATAAAGAGAAAGATACAAGAAGCTGAAGGATTCTAAGGATAAAATACGATCAGGTGTCCATATTAAGATAAAATTTCAAATGTTTTCATTAAACGATGATGGAATGAAGATCCCCATTTAGGGATCCGCAGCTTTGATTCAATCAGCATGCTATCAAACCTCAATAGAGTCAGCTAATTCCAATCAGAATCGTTGTGTAAAGAAAATCCAAAATCCCATTCAGACCAAGTTGACCTACACTAATTTGATCAATTTTTTGTCAGATGTTGACTTTTTTTATACCCGAATGGTGAAATTTTCTTCCTCCCAAGACCTCTCTTTCATACAATCCTTCAAACTCTAATTAAAAATATGCGAAATGTCCTCTCTTTTACTCACAAATGGTCTGGGAACTTACAGTGATCCAGTGTCGCCATTTTCTATAGCCTCCTCAAAGCCTGATCAGTTCATCTTAATATTCTCATTTTCTAATTTAATAAGTTATTTTTTCACAAGCCCTTTCACAACATAACTCTTCTTAAATACTTGATACATTACTATAAGATGTAATCCTGGCTAGCTGGGTGCTTCATCCATAGGACGCTTAACAGATTTCTGAACCACGTGACAACTATTTTCTGCTTATATATTTATTTCAAAAGTATTATCAAACTTGATTATGTTATTACCATAATTTGTTCTCATGAGTCTTCTAAAAAACCCAACCTTATATCAACACAGATTGTCTCAAGACAGTCACGGAGAATTGATATTTTAGGCTCAAGTACTTGAAAACGATGAATGCAGAGGCTCATTCTTGGCAGAATTCACAGTCAATCCTAACCCCTTGGCTTCATTTGTGTCACAAGTAGATCGATTTGGCTAATTCCCATGTGGACGACGAGTTGTGAACACCATAGGACTTGTGTATGGAAAACAAATGCTGCATCGTTTTTCCCTATCTCCAGTGATGATATCTATCACTGAAGCAATAATCTATAAAATGAAAATATCGCTCAGAATTCTATCATTATTTTTTTTATCATATCCCCATACGAAGGCTTTGATTCCCTTCCCCTTTTATTGTACCCACACAAATACTGCTGCTATCTCAATATGCGAGACAAAAAAACAAGAAATTAGAGTGACAAGAAAGAAAAAACTTGTGTAGAACTTACATCAGCATAATATAGCGACTCCATCTGCTCTGGAGAGGTAAGACTCCCGTATTTGGGATGATTTTGAAGCCATCCATGAAGATACTTCAATGCAGATGCCTGTTCTAATTCTGAAATTTTATAAAGAAGTAACCAAGTAAGCAAAAATTGACATACTACTATCAAGTAAGCCCACAATGAAACAATCTCAAAGGATGCTCTAGTCACGTGAATTTAACAATCAGGGTTTGATTCAATCTTCAACCAAAATATAATGCTTAGTAGCATTATCGGTTATTGGACAACTGGTGTGGAAGTGTATCACCGGCATCATAACCAGATATGTAATACATTAAGCAATAATTGACAACAAGATGCATGCCAATGGGACTTGAAACAATGGAATCCGCCCAGAAACATGACATAGACCAGAAAAAGCTTTTGTTAAGATGATTCATTATTCCTTGAACAATGTACCGAGGATCATTCCAGTTTTTTTGCGCAATAAAGGAGAAATAATTTTTTTTTAAATTATCAAAGGGATCTGTTTACCTTTCCAGAATCTAAAAGAAAATATACAGAGAAGAATCTACAGTTTTCAACCCTATAACCGATCGCCAGGTGTGCACACCATCGCCAGGTCTCTACACACAAAGGTGTGCTCTCCTGCTTTTTTTCCTTTAATTCCTCCTCTCCCTCCTGCTGCAAAATGCTGTCCTATTTTCCCCTAAAAATCTTCAACAGCCAAACAGAATGGCATGGACAACACCGTCTAAACTAGAATTGGCCAATCCAAATGTGATTGGCTGCTATCCAGTCGAATCTCTACTTTTCCCTTTTCATAGGAATTAGGTTTTCCCACACCCCGACTGAAGACTCGAATTCCCATTAGAGTTTACTGATTTGGCAAACTAAGTGTCCAGTCCCTGTATAACCAGAGGAGCAAAAAAAATTGTCTTTCTTTTACTTTCAGTTTGTTCTTGCAATAAATGTTGTACGTTCACTCTGTAGACATAGGCAATTTCAAAATGGCCATAACATATCAAGATAAGCCTACCAGCATTCTCTACAACAATTCACCTTTTCCGCCAAAAGACAAAAATAATACACATTTATGACCAAAAGATTTTTTACATACCCAAGAATCGTTAATCCAGACACTGCATCACTTAAGTTTTATCCTTGTACAAAAAAATGATGCCCAATAGCTGAAGGCCCGTGATAATTACGGAAATATAAAATGTACTGAAAACATCAATTACAAGGTCAATTACTAACCATTTGTGTGGCTAACACCAAGAGCAAGTAGAACTTCTAGATTTCTTGGATCCGCTTCTTGTGCGCGCAGCATAGATGAAATGGCCTGAAAAACATAAAAGGTCGTTCAGCAAACATAGCCATTTAAGATTATGAGAAAATTATAAGTAAATCAACAATCAAAGATACTGTTTGTCTAATGGATTGCATAAATACTTCATCTTCAGTGATCCTCGCAACAGATCCACAATCTGTGAAAGAAAAAAAATGTACTCATACATTCCAAGCTCCATTTGATGCCTCTCAAATTCAGTCCCACAGGGAGGAACAACCTTACACCACATATCCCACTAAATGTCATACGTCTACTGTCTCCAAGCTCCAAAGATAGTGGATGCTCCTCATAGAGATATCTATTACTTAGCCTGTTTTAAATTTAAGTCCTACAAATGTGAGACAAAGTGTGCAGAATAATAGTGAAGTATCCAAAACCTTTCCTCCCATCCAATGGTTTACTTCCAGAATTTTTTCAAAGAGACTACCCAGTCCACCAAGCAGCAATAAATGATATAAGACGAACCAAGATCGACCACTCAGAGATAAGTGATACGATCCCACTACTGACCTACAAAAGACCTAAGAAAGGAGCACGTGTGCAGCAGGTGAGCGGGATTATAAATACAGCATGAGAAGATGGGGTTTAGGACGGCAAAAGTTGGAATTCTGGAGAGGTGGGGAACCCTCTCGAACATTGTTCCCTACTTTAGTCTTCTTCTCCCTTTTTGTCTCTGTATCCGGGAAGGTTGTCCTTCCCGTCGTTTTGACTCTCGTCACTGGCGAGAGTTCGTGAGTTCAGTACAAAGTATTTTATCTCTACTTCTTGCTCAGATTCGATCCTACCATAGAGGATCGTATCAATAAGGTAGACCAAAAATCATCCTTCACCCCAGAGTCATTATTACTTATGGAGCTTAGCCTTTCTCTACCACAAGACTGCATATTGAATTATATAAACCTATTCTGTCATCTTCAAAAGAAATACTTAGGGGATTTTCAAGCATTGGAAAGAAATCACTCTTTGTGACTACCTAATATCCTCTGGGGATGACCTCCCAATGACGTCATCAAACATGCATGTCTCAAAATATGCAGGCTGGATAGATAGGTTTTCGAGAAGTTGTAACATTCTATCCAATCATTACTGCCCTCTGACTCTATACATCCATCTGCACCTCTTAATCTCCTCTACTGTACTCGACGTGATCAATCCTTAATTCTGTTTTTTTGTTAAATAAGACAAAATTCTAAAGACCTAAAGTACAATAGGTCACGTAAAGGAGAATAATATCTGCCTAGTATCAAGGGTTAGTTTTCTCCAGAATCAGTCCATAATCTCAATTGGGTCCCATCCCTTTGTTTCTTCTTCACCCACATTCCCTCGCTCCCAACGTCAATAGCACAAGGTACAGGAATAAAGGGCTGTCTTGATACATACATCTGCCACTAAAAGAATCCAATAGACCATCTTTGAACATAGTGGAAAATAAAGCAGACGCGTGGCCTCTAATTCAATAATATTTACAGAGGATGAAATCACTGGTCCTTTCAAAATCAATCCTTAGCACTAAATGCTCCTTTATATGCTTCTAAATGTACACATTTTTATGAAAATTAGAAAAGGTCTTTTGTTAATAAGCCCCCGTGTATGAAAGCACTACAATTCCATGAAACCAACTAATCCAGTTTGGGAAGAGAACCCATGCCTACATACAGCCAGTTTTCTCTTTCTCATTAAGAAGATCAAACTTTGTGCACACCTGCATGCGCTTAGTGAGATTTTTTTCCTCATGAGATGAGGTCTGCCATCTTATCACTGTGAGAGAACTGGAAGTTTGGTCGCCTCCCAGTATAGATCGGTAGAACCAGAAACACCATACAAATAGGAAGCTCCACTTATTCTTGAGAGGCCACTAAGGCTTCCTGATTTAGAAAAATGGACATCAGAAAAGCTGCTCTTACGGGGTAGCTCAAAGCCACAGTGTTGGTCCTAAGTCTCCTATTCAAAGAAAAGGTTAGTAAAATCGAATGAGGCTTTTAATTTCCTACTCTGGGTACCCTCTCGCTGTTTCATTTTGCTTTAATTCTGTTCGTTTTGCGCAGTACCAAGGCCTTTCTATGAGTATAAGCCATAGTAGGATTCCTCTCCTCGAGAAAATCAGCTCTTTGACTGAGAAAAATATTTATCCAAGCTGAATTTTTTTTACATACATGAAAACAAAACACCTTCCAACAGTGGCAAGTTGAATGTGGAACATTAACTGTACCATTTGTGCCACAGATATGGAAAGAATGCAGAACATCACTCAATAGACACCATAAACTCTCCCCACTAGCTAGTCAGGTCGCAATAAGATTTTTGCAGAAGCCCTGATAACAAAACTACCAAAATAACTTGCTAACAGAAATGACTACTTCGAAGGCAATGTAATCAACGTGAAGCTTTTAAGTAATCTTATTATTGACATGCGATCTTATCCCTCAAAGAAAAATTCGCTTTGTGTAAGAAATACATTTGTATTATGATCCGCGATAGTATTAAATGCAAATGACACTACCAAAGGAAATTTTCAACTGATATACCATTCTAAAAAAAAAAGAAAAAAAAGAAAAGAAGCCCACAAAAAGGAGAAAGGAGAATAAACTGCACACAAAAAGACGCATTGACTTTAGCATACCTGTTGGTCATCATCATTTTCAGCATGCGTTATTCCAAGCAGCCGCCATGCTTCAGCATTCTCTGGATTCTTTAGAACTTCTGCCTCTAAGGCAAGAACTGCTTCGCTTAAAAGACCTTTACGAAATAGCTCATGTCCTTCTTTCATTGGATCAGCATGGCCAACATAAGGGTTTAGATCCGAAAAAACATATATTCCCTTTGAAGAATCAGATTTCTGTTGTTCACCGAGGAAACTATTCAAGGCAGACAAACATTAGAGGCGCAATAGAGAATACAAAATTGCAAGGTGAAGATAGATCATATTGTAACATAGATAACAAACATTTGCGAGTAAGCTTTTAGTGTAAAAAAAGAGGATACGTTAATTATGGACATGTATCTGCCTGTCTCATGGAAAATGAAATGCTGAAGGAAAATTCTATGGAAACCTTATTGAAACACCCTTAACCCATTGCTGTCATAGGAACAAAGTTTAGAAATAACACTGAAGGAAGAGAGAACACGGATTAATTATCGAATGTCAAAGAAATTTTAAAAACCATGTTCCCTTCTCGACTACGAGTTTATCTGGTTAGCATCCCCCCAGCGCCATGTTGATCTAGTTTGCAGTGACCAAACATGGGTTCAATTAAGTTTTCCAGAAGAAGATGACCAAACATGCATACGGTAATTTCTTCCCATCACGATCGCCGTAATAGCTTCATAACCACAGAGACACATTTCAAAAATATTAGTCATATCACAGCAAAGTATTAGAGTCACAGAGTGTGATCCAACGGCTGCACATCCATCAGTATCTCGGATAATCGAACAAAATACCAATTTAAATTCGATGTATTTTATGGATTAAAAAATGGGTGTCAATCAATCAAGTTTTGCTATTTCCAATGACTGATATTTTTACCTCTTTTTCTTTTTTCCACACATTACGATAGTGTAGATACACACATATATCTAACGCCACAGTTTTTATTTTTTTTGTATATCATAAGACACCTGAATAGTAGATGCAAAAACATAAAATTCTACATGTAGTGTCATAAAGTCAAGGCTGTCTTCACCCACATAAAATTCTACATGTGGTATCATAAAGTCAAGGCTGACTGTTAAAAATATAACAGTGCCATTGCCTTCCTAATAAGTAAAAAATTCTAAATGAAATTCAAAGAAAGCATGCACTCAAAACCCAATGACTGCATCACCTATCATATGAATCAGCCCAGTTCTCAGTGGATCTGTCCCCCATAACTCCTTCACCAAGCTGCTTCCCAAATTCATCTGCCCAGTCGTCAACTTCTAACCTTGAGAAGTCCTTCACCCACTGGTCCGCGGTTTCTTGATGCTCGTTAGCATATTCATTCACCCATGTCTCTGCTCCACGTGAAACCTGAAAAATAATCATAAACTTGAGAGTGGAAGGACATACAACTAGAAGGAAAATTAAGCAATTGAGAAGCAAAATTCTGAAGATTTAAGAGTTTTCTAATCTGTAGAGACATAAAACGATAAATATGATAATATTTCCTGAAGCAACTACACAATCAAGTTGAAAGAAAGTGAAACATAAAATAACCAACTCCTATGTTGTGATGCCCCCCTAGAGTAATGATGAAATAGAATCAAAGATCAAATACTAAATCCATCTTAATTAAAAGAATATTCACCCAACCATGAAAATAACAAACTGCTAACCTCTTCACGTGCAAATTCATTAGCCCAAGCGTCAGGACCTGCATTATACTGTGTTTGATACTCCTCAGCCCAATCACCTGAGGAACCTATTGCTGGCTTGATTTGATTGTCGTCAACAATAAGCTCGCCACGGCTCATCTTTGAGACAAACTGAAGGAACTTCGAGTTCTGCAAAACAATAAAAGAAGTATGATCATGTCGTTACATAAGATATAGGTAAAAGGCCCTCGTAACGATCCAGATGCTGGACAGGATCAACATGGATCAGTGGTTCACTATTGTCCTGCCCTTAAGTTAATAAGGCATTGCAAAGCAGAATAGAGACAGGATCAGAACATCAAAGATATGATCTGATATCCCAGACTAACAACAGTGGTTAGGACGAATAAAGTATGATAGACAGGGTGTTGTCTTACTAAGCAAGGCATGACCACAAATAGAGGACTTATTTAACATTGAGATTCTGATAAAAAATGACTTTTTAAAGTATTTTCGGCATAATAATCAGTCATAAAAAACATATATATTCCTATTTGCGACGAAAATCTTATCCTATACAAAAAAAGTAAGCATAATTTTACGTGAAATTATGAAAAAGACACATTCAGAGTCTTTTTTCCTGTTTAAATTAATCGATGAAATAGATACCAATAAGAATGGCTTTTAAAGTTGTTTGCACTAGATTCTTAAGCTGAAAGATGAGGTCTGCATTCTATATGATGTAAACTTCAGCCTAATTTCAATTATCCATTTGGCGTGATACTTCTCAGTATTCTGTGTTGCTTTTAGATCATTCATGAATTAGAATGTTTCTTAGGAATGCATAATTCAGTCACAGTATGCCAACTTCAGTCTTTTACTGAGGATGGCTTCCAACAGAGCCTTCCAAGAGAGAAAGACAACCAACACAATGTCAAACTAATCAAGGTGAGAATATTTTGTGTATACTTCCCGAGGTTCTCAATGCCTTATTATCACTAGTACCAATTTCAAATCTTTGAGATTTCTGATTTTATGCATATGGATAACTAATTTTCAAATGCATCCCATACCGATAACTAACCTTTGCAAGCACGTTCATTTAGAAAACAAAGTAATGGAAGGTATTCATGCCCTGTTTTCCTCCAACGTGATTTATATCAACTTTTGTAATTGGTAGCATGTCCTCTCAGTTTAGAAACTGCTAACCAATTCAACCAAAACACTTAAGAATCTGGTTTTGCATGATTATTACAAATTCCTCTATCCTCTGGCGGCATGCACACTTTCCAGACTGACAGGGGCTTCAAGGTCCAATCTTTGGGCAATCGCCCGAACCAGTTGCTACAATCAATTTCCTAGTTGGTTTACTTTCTCTCCTTTCACAATTTGATGAGGGGATTAGGTATCCACTATACCGTTGGACAGGTTATGGATGTTTGAGATCAGAATTAATCATTTTTCGCATACCACGGTTACTACGATCGAGAGAGCAAAAATTAGATAAGTCTCTGACTTGAGATATCACCAACAGTGGCTACATGATTGATAAACTTTTCGAAAGAATGGCACCAAGACGGCTGTCCAAAAATTGAGGAACTGGACTGATGAGACAAACCCAGTAAAATATATAACAAGGAAGTTGTTTGTCTATATAAATTGGTCAATATGTTCTAAAGAAGAGCGGAATCATATATCACACGAAGGAAATTTCATATAATCAAGTGCTGATAGACCGGAAGTTAATTCAAGCATACATCACCATACTTAATTGAGGTAAAATGGCAGAAGAATTTTCAAACAAACAAAGGGAATGCCTTTTTAGAGAGTGATATTCTTAAGCTATCAGGTCAAAAGAATAAAGTCATGGTAGAATAAAAGCACGTCTATGAGACATAGAAGTGTATCACAAAGGTAACATGAAGAACAGGGGGGTACAAGCATATTTGTACAGCAACAATAATGAAATGTCCGGCAGAGAATGATGAGCTGAACTACTAAATATTTCTAAAAAACAAACATTACCAAACAATAGGTAACACATATTTTATTACCACAGTATCACATTCGCATCATCACCACGTTCCTTCAAGCTTGTAAAATCAAAATATTCTTCTTATAAATTAGAAAGAATGAACTTACTAGTGGAAAATATGTATGTACATTCCATTTCACTTTAAGATAAATCTGTCCTGAGAGGTAGATGATACAGCAAAGTTGAGGTTTACACATTTTCACCAAGAGCACTCTCAACTTTAAAACAGAATACTTAGCAGAAAAATGGCAAAGAATAAACAGCGAAAACGTCAAATCTGATAACACAAAAAGTAACATAATAACATCTAATGTAGTCCTCCCGTCTTACAGGAAATTAGTACATTCTGAAAAATTGTGTTCAGCATTGAATCTCATACAGGAGAACATAATAAAATACAGCAACCAGTGCATGGCGACAATGCTCAGAATCCATGTTCATGAACGAAACACGAAATAAACCAATTCTTACGTTTTTCCATTTTATCGCAATATAATACGCTGTTTTTCTGAAGGTGACATCAAGTAATTTTAGATTTAAATTTTTTATGCAAATGACACGCGACTGTTGAGATCAGCAAACCTGAATTTTTGGATCACTGTTTTGGGCTAAAGTATGGGCCAACATACGAGTCTGCTCCATTGCTTCAATATTTAACATTTGTGCTCTGTCCATTTGCCCCACTGATGTCATTTGAAGTTGCTCCTGTAGGCATATAAACGGTTATTCTAGGTTGATATAAACCATCCCTTCTATGGTGATTTTACACTGGTCATCCGCAAAAGAGATCGTCCTATATCAAATAGGTTTATTATCCAACAAATAGATAGCTGTAAATCCTGTAAATCAAATCATTTGAAAGAGGAAAGCTGATAAAAGTATACTTGAAACACATTTCTTAAGAAAAAAAATGCCCTCAATTATGGATGGTTACTCTGTTCAACAAATAGAAGATAAAACTGTACTGTCTCTTAGATACATAGCAGCTGGTTAGTCAAGTTTTCATGTCACGGAATTCTTACCTGCTCAAATTCAGATGCCCAGCCATTTGCACCATGAATTTTCTCAAATGAATTAGCCCATGCTTCAGGATCACCATTCTCCTGTCTATGCTGACTAAATTCAGAAATCCATGAATCTGCCCCAGGGGTCATCCCTGGTCGAGAAGCCTGTGACTCAGTCCAGTATTCTTCAAACTCTGGCATTGTTCCATGGAGAGGGCCCCTGACTCGTTCATCACCATCAATATCAAGAGAGTGTAGCAGTGCATTTACCTGGAAAAAATGATGAAATATATTTACCACCTTATTTCTATTATATATGTGGAAAACTTATAAACTAATCACTAGACTGATTATATCATTAATTATCTAGAAAAATTACTCAAGGGCATCCATACGAAAGAGAGAATCAATGAGTCAACAGAAGCCTACTATTAAAAGAAGAACGAATGAATGGTATCTCTAACTTTCCATTCCCATTAACGTCTCCAACATGTAGACAGTCATTTGCAAGATTGAAATGTAATATTGGCATATAGCGAGAACCGTCTTAGTATTGGCCAAGGACACTATTTGGATCATAGTATGGTACTAACTAAGTTCTGAAAATAAATGACTAAAGGATATACTATTTTCTCTCACAATTTTTTTTTCAGATCCTACGGTTGAGGCTTTTGACTATACTAGAGAACGAGGCTTAGAAGGAACCTTGAAGATGAAGAAATTTGGGGTAAGATGTAAAGCACTTCCTTTGACAGGTGATGAAAATATCTTTGGAAACCCCATGATTTACATCAGTTTCTATGGCATTCATATTATGAACAATGAAATATTCCAACTAGGCATAATCGCAAAAAACTAGTCCAGTACAGAATTAGGTAGTTCTGTCCAATATGCCTATTCATTTCCTATCTGTATTTTGGCTCTGGATCGAGTGGAACATTAGTTCTCGGATGCAATTGTTTTCGACATGAAGAAGACAACTCTGGATCGAGTGGAACATTAGTTCTCAGATGCAATTATTTTCGACATGAAGAAGACAAATATGACGGTACAATTGAGAGAGGATATATATCGACCTGTATCTAAAATACACAAGACAAGAATATAGGTTTCATGGCTTACAATTATGGATCCCAACAGAGTGATGGTGCAAGAGACCCATATCATGCTCCAGTACTACAGTATATGGAGAGTTAATTCCGTGACAATGGTTTTTGAATATTTCAATTTTGCAAAATTGATCGTTTTCACTAGAATCATAGAGATTAACTTACAGATCCTCTAACCGAAATGCTTAGTGGGACCAGCTAACGGCCAATGTAGTTAACTTCTGGCTAGGGAGTATGGTTAATCTGCTACGAATGGAATTTGCAACGATATATGTTCCTCTAAGAAATGCTATCAGAATAGTGCAGCAATAGCAACGAAATCATAAAACCAAAACTATAGTTATTACCCTCAGGACATAATTTTATGATGCCTTGCATTCTTCTTCTTTATTCGAAAAATGAATATAAGGATTTAGTGGGGAGAATTATCTCCTGTCTCTAGTATCACTAGTTAACATTTGATTAGAGTTACCTACAACTGCGTCAGCATTTTTGGGCCATCATTGATCAAAGAAAAAACTGGTTCTGCGGAATAAAACAAGATAAAAGTGGTCTACATGCCAGACAAAACTGAACCTCCCATAAGCATTATAGAGAACAATTTTCTAAAATAACTGCTAGCTTATATCAATAACGGCTGCAAGGTTGTAAGTGCATCAGTGCGATCATTGAACAATACATGATTGAATTAACCAAGAATTTGGTTCTACTCACTTCCTCAGTTAAACAAATAAAGTGAAGAAAATTATTATGATCATTTGACAAACACACCAAGTATAAATGAGGAGAGTTTCAGCTTAACAGAACACTGTATTTATGATTGATTAGTGCTTCATTCGTGTTAACCTGGCAGCTCATTCGGAGCTATTTTATGTTTTGTCTAATCATTCAGAGCTATTTTGACTAATATGTAAAAATTAGGTGAAAATGTATGCTTTGGACACATTTAATTACTCAAGAAAGCTCAAAAATATTACGTGAGCATAACTCAATGTATAGATAAACTTCTAGAGCTTTGCTGAAATTCAGCTCAATTACTAAAAGGCCATACACAAAACAGAGCAAAATTCCGTGATTTAATATCCAAAGAGTCCAAAATGAGGCATGATATTAGCTTGACTATTAAAAAACGTGACCTAAGTGGGCTGTAGCACAGCAAAGACCAGGGCCCTTGACTCATTTACAACCCCAGTGTGAGCCATCTGTCTTTATGTACAAGAGTAAAAGACAATGACGAACCTGTGAATGGATATATTCTTCACTTTTGTCTGCAAACATGTGCCTTGCCATTATGTAACTACGATCACGTATGCACTGTTTGTCTCCCTTGGACAATCCTAAGACAGGGAGTGCAGCAGGACGAAATGGAACACCAGCCCGACCACTCTCAACAAAAGAGTGAAGAAAACTTGACAATACTCTTTGTGGAGGCCCTGCAAGAAAATAAACAGGAAGTAAATATAAATGGTGATCTTGACTATAGTATGCAACTGCCTGTAGTTTATCTTAGGTTGTAATACTTCAAGAAATCACATGACAAGGTTTCCCGGTATGTGTGCATACCACAGTTCAAAATATCAGTTAAAAATGATAGGAAAGAAGAGAATTACAGTGGGAAGGAAGGTATAAACGTTTAAATAAACATAAAGTAATTTTATTTTCCTTACCGTCCCAAGCAGGTTGAAAGTTTGAGTTTGCCCCACGGTCATAAATTTGCTCAAACTCTTGGAAATGAGCTTGACTTTCTCTCCCCTGGATAGGCGGGGGAAGAAATGGAGGTTGACGTACTTCATTCCAAGCTTCTTCAAGGCCTCCATGCTCAGCAGAATGGAAACCACTAAGAAATTGCGAACTCTGTCAAGGAAAGATTAGTCTCATACATACATGTGAGTTCCAGCAAAGAAGCACCTAGTAATGTTTACCTGGCTACCTGGCTGCCGATATTGTTGATTCTCAAACTCTGAACCTGGGATCATAGATAATGGACCCTCAGGACTGAAACCTTGTGATGAGCTAGGAACCGTAACAGAAGTTCCAGGAAGCCCCGTCAACTCCTATTCAGACACACAAGAATGTTTATCACGTGAAGAAGTGCTGCCTCGGCGAAATTCAGGGGACAATGTATAGAACACCTTAGACTGTATAATAATTGAGGTAACATTGGAAAAGTGATTGAATCAACACCAGAAAACTGGAATCAGAGAACTTAATAATTTAGAACATGGAATACAACTAGACCAGAGGAAAACTAGAAAGAAAAATTTCCTTGTTCGTGGGGTTCCAGGCGTTAGCAGTATTGGTTTTGTAATTACGATGAGTTTGCCATTATACTTTTTTGTGAACAAATGCCTTATCTCCCTCACGTGACACAAATTTTCCGGACAAAATCTGCGTATACTTAACAGTGAAGTGCCCAGAGAAATGATCTTAAAATCTAACGGCCTTAGAGATAAGTAACACGTCCATTATGCCTTACGAAAGAGCAAAAAATCAAATACGTTTCGATGAAGACGTTGGGACATCATGATTTGATTGGAGGAGATCAATTTCTGAAAAGAAACCTCTATTTTATCTCTAAAGAGCTAATGACAACCACGCCGACTGGTCAGCAAAGTATAATTTAGTATTCTCTTTGCGAGAAAAGAGTCGAGACAAGACATAACGGCAAACACTCAACAGAGATTACTGGTAAAACGGCATAGAGATAAGTACAACCAAAAAGCGAGAAAATTGAGTACACCGGAGAAAACTCTTCGACAAACTCAGTTAATCGGACCCAACGACGACCCGACTCCCACGAAGACGAGAGTTCAGCCTCGTTAAAGAGATAAATATATATAATAAATCCAGCCCTAATAACAACCAACAATTCGCAAGCACCGCCCCTCCTTCAGAATCAACATCCCATACCTGGGCCTTAGAGGACGATCCGAGCAATTTGTTCGCAAGGGCGCCCATAGGATTCGAAGACGACGAGCTCCCAGGGACGGCGCAAGCCGCCCCTCCGGTGATGAGGTCCCTCATCGCCATCTCTCCCTCGGCTCCCCGCGGACCTCCAATGGGCCTCCGACGGCACAGAGACGGCGAATTCGAGCCCCAAAGTGAACGATCGATCTGCCGGAAACCAGCGGAAGGGAGGGACCGGCGACCTACTTCCCAACTTTCTCCTTCCCTCCGCCGGCGGACGCGAGCAGGCGGCGCCGCCTTCCCGCAGACCAAGACGGCTGAGTATCGGAAGTCGGAACAGATCAATCCCTTACGGTTAGGAGAGAGATAGAGAGCGCACCGTTTTTATCGCGCCTCTTCTCGCCACGTAGACAATGATAGATATCCCAAACTACCCTTCTTCTTTCCCGAATGGACCCAGATTTCCCGAAGTACCATCGAGCTTCAGCTTTCACTAAACAGGGGTGTGTGTACTAATATTGTAAACAATATATCTAAATTTAAATTACCGAAAATACCAGGAGTCTATCTAAGATATTATCACAGGGTGTTATTGGGCAAGGTGGTCTCTTAATGGACATTTAGAGATTTCACAAAATACACCTCATTTATATCCTAACGACACCAATATTTCCCAAAGTACCCTCATGCTGTACATTGAGGGGGTGAATATTAAATAATTAAAAAATATGGTTATATTTAGATTACCGGAAATACCATGAGTATATTTAAGATATGATCACTAATTTTCTGAAACATAGGGTGTTATTTGGAGGGGAGGTCTCCCGGTACTACCCACAACATTCAATGGACATTGAGATATTTTCCCGAAATGCCCTCCTTTTGAATCCCAATAGACGGATTTCCCCAAGTACCTCTGACCTTTGGCTTTCTCGATCAAAAGGGTGTGTAAAAATATTTTAAAATGTTTGATTATATTTAAATTACCAAAACTACCAGGGGTCTATTTAAGATATGATCAGTAATTGCGGGTAACATATAACATTAGGTGTTATTTGGCGGGATAATCTCGTGAGATTTCCCATAGTGACTTCATTATATCCTAAAGTACCCTCAAAAGGGGTATGTGTCGAATATTCTAAAAATATATGATTATCCAGAGTACATTTAAGATATGATCGGTATTTTTCTAAAACATAAGGTGTTATCTGGTAGATCGGTCTCCTAGCGCTACCAACAACCTTCAACAGACAATGAGATAATTCCCAAAACGACCTCAATTCTATCCCAACAGACACCAATATTACTTTTCACCCTAACAAGGGTACATGTAAAATATTCTCCATCTCGCTGTCTATTATAGATTACCCACAATATTAGGAGTATATTTGAGATGTTATTATCATACATTGTGGTACATGCTACCAATTATGCATGAGGCCGCTTTCCAGCCACGTGGACATTAAGAGAATTCCCAGAATGCCCTCAACTTCAGTTTTAAATACAGTAGGGATACTTGTACAATATCTTCCATTGCAGTGTCAATTATTGATTAAGATATGTGTTACCAATTATGCATGAACCCCTTTTCCGTCATAATGACATTGAGATATTTCCAAAAATGTCCTCATGCCTATCCCAACGGACAGACCAATATTTCCTAAAATACCCTCAAACTTTAGTCTTATATTGTAACAAGGGTGCATATAAAATATCGTCTATGATAGTGTCTACTAGCAATTACCGACATAAATGAGGATCTCATATAAGCTATCATGTAAAATACTGCCATTTTTAACATTTACCGAATCTCATATAAGCTAGTGGGCCGGCCTGCCTTCTTCTCATATAGGCCCAATAGTGGTCTTCATCAACCGAATTGTTTTGACTTTTGTGTTGACCAAAAAGAGGAATTTAGGGGGTTAATGGCCCACGTGTGGGCCTCCTTGTCTAGCTAGAGTCAATGGTGACGTGAATCACGACGGTGGATGTAGTACTAAAGTCAATCAGCACATTTGACTAAAGTAGCTCATATCTGACGGCGACATAAAATTCCCTGTTTGACTGGAGATCTTATTAAAGGTTATTTAAATTTAGTCCCTACATAATAACTTAATCACGGATAACGTCGGCTATTTTAAAATTGTACTGTTGATTACGTAGAAATTCAGCTGGATTCTTTAATTATATCGATTGAAACGGCCAAAGAAACTCTGGGAGGTAACCTTACCTCCGGTTTGGGGATATGTGACAGTTAATCCGGCGCAACTTTACGTATACGTGTCGGGCGTCAGACAGGTGTCCCGTTTTTTCCGTTAAGATGAACGATAATTAGTTACTTTTTAAAGGCCAGGAAATATTTATCCAGGGCATTAGAAACAGAAGCGGAATGGTAAATATGATACGTATCGAGGGGCACGGAGACGTTGCGCGACGCTGAGAGAGGGAAACGGGGACGAGAATTCTCCGAATGTTACGTCACTCTCTCTCATACTCGCACAAACCTTTTTCTCTCCCTCCCTCTTCGCCAGCTTCATCTAGCCCTCTCCCTCCCCACCCTCTCTCTCTCTCTCTCTCTCTCTCTCGTTCTCTCTCGCTTCGTGTGTCTCTCTCTTTTTCTCTCTACACCAGAGCCATGCCGGGAGGGCAACAGTGTCCTCCGATCATCTCTTCTGCCGCTTTCTGTGATCGTTCGTATCTTATCCCCGTTTGTTCCCCTCGAGGCTTTCTTCCACTCTCTCTCCTGCGCCATCTCGGCATCTTCTCTCCAGTCTTCTTTGTAGATTCATAGGACAGTGTTCAGAGCTCCCTCCTGGGGTTCCGTGAGGGGGTAACCGCAATCATTGGGGCTCCGGCAGGTTCTTCTCTTTTGCCGTTTCTTTGTCTGGGTTTCCGTCGTCTTTGATTGCAGGGGGCTGCTTTCGGCGGGATCTCCTTCGTCGATTGTATTTGCTGGGCTTGAGTGAGCTTCACGATTGGGTTATGCCGATCTCCTCCCTCTGTTGTGACCTCTCACTTCTGTAGATTCTTGCGTCGTATGAGTTCTTCTACGTTTTGGTGGGGGGAGAGGGAGAAAAGGATGAATAGGGGCATCTTCGTCGTTGCTGGCCGTTGTTCTTCACGGTACTCGTGGATTTATTCTTCCTCAGGCTGATCGCCGTCAGATATCCATGGATTCCTTTTTCAGTATCTACCATTCTCTTTAGTTTGTACCGAAAACTGGGGGAGAAGAAGGGTTTCAATTAACCCTAATGGCTGGGACAGAAGAGAAACTCCCTATGGCTGGGGATTGGGCACCCATGAATTCCAACACCCAAGATATCTCCTCGAGTTTCATTGGCGAGGGTGCTCCGCCGGAAGAGAAGGTTCCCACGGTGCTCCCAGAAGCGGGAGAGGAAGATGGGGTTCGGGGGAGAAGCACCCCCTGTGAACCTTTCAGCGAGGTAAAGCCGCCGACTGGTCCAAGATTTGGGGCGCGTGCAGGACTTGCGGAGAGGATGGCGGTGAGGGCCGGGTTCAATGCTCCGAAGCTCAACACAGATCGCATCAGATCAGGGGACGTGCCATCCTTCTCTTCGGAAGTTCAATCCCCTTATCTGACGATTCCTCCTGGTCTCAGCCCGACCTCTTTTTTGGATTCTCCGGTTTTCGTTTCCAATTCACTGGTGAGGCTCATTTCTATTTAGCATCCTCGCATTTGTCCTTTGAAAGGCAGATGTAGGCTGAGGGACTGCAGTCAATGTTGGAAGATGATTTTGAATCATATTTTAGAGAAAAAATGTGGATCCAGAATTTCGAAATGGATTCTGATTTCGTCGTGATTATTTTACATTCATGTGAAATGCGTCACCCAAGAGCTCTCATATATAGATTTGTAGAACACTCAATGTTGGAAGGGCTCATGCATGGCAATTTTTTTATCTTGAAATTTTTATTTAAACTAATATTAAACTCAGAAGAATGAATGGTTTTTGAAATGTCATGTCCTTTAGGCCATCCCATGTTCACTGTGTTTCATCAAATATATTAGCTTATTTTATGTCATTATCTTATTTTGCAGGCTCAACCATCTCCTACAACAGGAAAATTTGCATTAGAGCAGCTTAGTAACAACAGTGGCAGTTCTGTCTTAGCTGCTACTGACAAAAGTAGATATAGTTCCGCTGCAGATGTTGCTTCTGAGTCATTTGTGTTCAAACCTCTGGGGGAGTTAAGCTCGTACATTTCAAATGCCAAGAACAATGTAAGATTTCCTCGTAGAAGTTCCGTATTTGATTGCATGGCTTTGTTTTATGGTGGGCTTTTTGTGTCAGAAAATGAATATTTCCCCTCTTCTTCGATAAATTTTGGTACAAGTCTAGATTCAAGTCATTTAATCAGTGCAGACTAGCTGTTTGTTCTCCATAGTCTGAAGCAAAACTCAGTTAAGCTAGCGTTTGTCTGATGTATAGCAGTTGATAGGCCGTGTAAAATTCACCTTCTGTTCCTGGTTTGATTAAAGTTTTATTTTTTCTTTTTGTGCATGTCTGACATGTGGTTCAATCGAAACTAGCTCAAGAACGACATCTGACCTCCCATTCTAACGTTGAAGAATCCATTCTGTAATAGTGGGAGGCACAGGAGATTAACCTCTTAATCTTTTTTTATGACTGATTTAAGATCTATCAATGCTTTATGAGATTACTTGCCCTGCTAGTAGATCCTGGTTGAGTTTTCTCCTGCAATTGTGGAGTTTGTAGAATTCTAGCTTGCTATTTGGAGGGTTCATCTGTGATAGACACTAAGATGATGGAGGAACAGACAAGATTGCATCTTCATGGGCTATTTAGTTTCACTTTTATGGGTCAACTTCCGGGGTCTGATTAGACAAATAGTTAGATACCAATACTGAAATTGTTAAGCATGCACGAATTACTTTTCATAATCGCTCTTGTTGTGTTTAATAAAGGAACAGGTTTCTTCTTCTTGTGCTGAGTTTCAAGCTGACTTTCCTTTACCAGATAGCTTCCTCCATGGATCACCAACATTTAGAACTGAGTTCTAAGCTGTCTGTTCCAACGGGTTCCCCAAACTTGGAAAGCGCAGATGCTGCCGGCATCACCCACCCGCAAGACCTGCTCCACTTCCGATCTGAACAAAAGGACTCAGCAGGCGACTTGTCTGATTCTCTGATGGGCGATGAGCCAGTTGACTTCCAGCAGGATGGAGAAGCAGAGAACAGGGGAGAGTCCCCACTTGTGGCCGCCAGTGTGCAGTCTGAGGATGGCTATAATTGGAGGAAGTACGGCCAGAAGCAGGTGAAGGGGAGTGAGTACCCTCGGAGCTACTACAAGTGCACCCACCCTAATTGCCAGGTGAAGAAGAAGGTGGAGCGCTCCCTGGAGGGTGTCACCACCGAGATAACCTACAAGGGGACTCACAACCACCCCAAACCCACTGCCCAGGGCCGCCGGTCAGGTGCTGTCCCCAGCCTCCACCCTTTTGGTGAGGGGTTAGCAGATGGGCCTGAAGCTCGTGCCCCACCGCCTGTTTCTGAAGGTGAGCTCTCATTAGCCCAAGGATGTAAACTGTGGGAATGTCATCCTGGATCAAAGAACTGATGATCTTGCTGCTGAATTGGATAATGCAGAACACGGGCAGGGGCCGGAGGGGCTACTCTTTGAGTCAGCTGGAGGTTCGGATCTCCCATCCAACCTGTCTAACGAGGAGGAAGATGACGATAGGGTAGGTGGAGTCGAGGAAGATGAGCTGGAGTCTAAGAGAAGGTAAGCTCTGGGTTGTCTGCGGCCACCGTGTTTTCCTCTGGTAGATTCGGGTTTGGGTTGATGCTCAATCGGGTCTCATTGGTGCAGGAAACTGGATGTGTCTTCAATGGAGGCGGGAGCATCTTCTAGGGCAGTTCGGGAGCCAAGGGTCGTGGTTCAGACGACCAGCGAGGTCGACATCCTTGATGACGGGTATCGCTGGCGGAAGTATGGGCAGAAGGTCGTCAAAGGAAATCCAAATCCTAGGTAACTCTTGGATATTCACTTTTTTACTACTTTTTTATATATAAAAAAAAGTTCATTTCAGATTTCTTTTGTGTCCTTGTCTACAAGAAAAATGGACCCAGATGAATTAGGTTGTGATCATCAGATTAACTAAGTGTTAAGTTGAAATTTTCTTAACCAGAATTGAAACTATATGGCATATAAAATATCGTTGTTGCATCTTTGTGACTAGTTTGCTCAATATTTTACTGCCTGGGGTCTCTTTGAAAAAAAAAATCAAATCGTTCCAAGACTGTCTGTGGGTCATCGACCCCATCATCTGAATTGCCTCTTGATTTTATTTTCTTCTCCGATTTTATTTTTCTTGGTCCGAAGGACTCACTATCTCACCAGGAGCTTTGGCTTTGAGAAGATCACTTACTCAGGGAAGGGAGGTGGGTGTTTGGTGTGATGCAGGAGCTACTACAAGTGCACTAACCCAGGCTGCACTGTCCGAAAGCATGTGGAGAGGGCTTCCCATGACCTGAAGTCTGTGATCACCACCTATGAGGGGAAGCACAACCATGACGTCCCGGTAGCGAGGAGCAACAGCCACACTGGCACTGGACCATCAGGCGGTGGTGGTGCTGCCCCACCACCAGTCCACAGGAGGCCGATGCCTGGTCTGGTGGCCCATGATGGCCTGCCGAGCTTTGATGGCCCGTCGCTGCCACCGCTGGGCTCATTTGCTCCAGCGGGGTTCCCCATTGTTGGCCAGCCGACGCTGTGGGCTCTCCAGCATGGGAATGGCTGGCCTGGTGCCTACCGACAGCGTGAAGATGCTGCTGCTGCCACTGGTGGTCCATTTGGTGGTGGAGCAGCGCCGTTGGAGGGAGGTTGGCTTAGGGACACCCAAGGATGAACCAATTGAAGATCCCCATGGCGTTCCTCTCTTTGGGCTTTTGGTCCTTGTTGGGATGGCAGGAGTTGGAAGAACTGCCTACCAGCCCCTAACATCCCCTCTTCTCTCTCTCTCTCTCTCTCTCTCTTTCTCTCTGGCTGTTTTTTTCTTCTCATCTTTTCTTTTTTTTTATTTTTTTTCTAATGTAACCTGCGGAGTCTGGGTGAAGGAGGCCAGCCGTAGCTGCCCTTCAGAATTTTTCCTTTTATGCAGCTTACGAGAAATATATGAGATGATGCATCTATCCTTGACAATGCCTTGTTCTTGGAGAAGACTTGGGAAATTGGGTCTGGGAGGAGGGAGAGAGAGAGAGAGAGGGAGAGAGAGAGGGAGAGAGAGAGAAAGAGAGAGAGAGAGAGAGATGTGCAGGAGTCATAGAGAAAATTGTACTGTAAATCTTCAAGGACTAAAAAATGTGATTCTTTTATTTCCTCTGAATCCGCTGCACATCATTTGAGGAGCTCATTGTCAACATGTCGCGTTGTCTTTATAAGGGTGAGTCTTGGTTGTGTTGTTGATTTGGTGTCGCACGGGGAGGACATTGTTGCTTAACTAATTTACAAAAGATTAATGAGGGTAGTCTTTAAGTTGTATAAGAGTCAGAAAAATGGGGACCCTTGATCCATGATGGGAGATAAAAAGATAAAAATAATATTTATAGGAAAAATGGTTCCTTAGATATCTCCCTTTCTCTCTTTTGAAGCTATTGGAGATGACACAATGAAGAAATTAGGTTGCATGGTAGGACGCCATGTGATTAGCAATAATTGACATGATATTAGAGCTCAAAATGTGACATTTCTGGTGACCCACTTACCTTCTCCTTATGGTCATTGGTCATTTTTTAGTAACAATTATTTTTTTGATTCCAAGAATAGTTGATTTGTGAATTTTTTGACATGACTTAATTCACAATTTGCGTAAGAATCATGTCATTGAGTCTATTGATATAAAATTTTGAATTATGTCCATAACTACATTTTCTTTTGATTGGTTTCCATTAATTATTTTGTGTAGGATGTGTATACTGAATATTTATCTCTATTAATTGGTTTATTTGTTACTTTCTAATTCATCTATGTTCAAACAATCAAAATGTCTGATGCATTTTGAATTTGGGACAAATGTCGAATCATAAGGTCTAATCAAAGTGATATTCATGGATATTACCTAGATGGTTGAAATTCTTGTGGGTGTTTTCAAAAAGTTAGAGTTGTACTTAAGACAACCTAACATTTGAGATTTAAAATTTAAAAATTGAAATCTAAGAGATTTACAAATCATAGCATGGTTGTAGATCATCATGAGTTTATCTTAGAATATACTTATAGCTCAAGCCATGGTTGTAAATCTAAGAGTTTATCTTACAGCAACCAATTTGCATTAGATTTATTCACTAATATCACAACTTGAGACAAGAAAGAAAATTAGAATATATAATAAAGTGCAAACATTTTGACAAGAATTTGATCAATAAAAAATTTACTAATATGAGAGATTCAATTCACGCAACCTTATAAAGTGAGAAGATCAAAAAGGATAGATCCTATGAATACATATTCGAGCTAGACTTTGAATTTGATCAAGTTAAAATCTAAATTATTGATAGAGATAGATTAACCTTCTTAAATGAATTGATATCCTTAACTTGGGGAGATGAAAATAGTAAAAACTTGATGCTTAACTCACAAAATATTTGCAATTGTAAGTAGTGAGAATCTAGATTTAAATATCAATAAAAGCAAGGATGCACATGATATTTTTGGACCAACAAAGAACTCAAGCCAGGGCTATAGAGACACCTTAGAATGAATGTATTGTAAGAAATCAAGACATACTATAAAAGATTTGTTACACCTCAACATCAAGAATGGAGATAAAGACATATAATTTAGGGGTGGTGGTCAAGCCCATACCATAGTTGCACAATAAAGAGAGATGAGTACATCTAATTTGGGCCAACCTACCACAAAAGAAAATTTACATGTCCAATAATTACAAACTTCATATTTTCTAACAGGTTTTTTTATTTTACTAGATTGTCTCCAACAATATTTCTTCTTCATCAGAATCTAGTGCGTGTAGGAAGGCTAAAACTACATATTTTCTAATAGAGTGGTTTTGACATAAGAACTTGCAGATAACTAAATTTATGATTAACAAATATTTTCTTGAAGCTTTTTGATTTCATTTTTTTGAATGTAAGGTAGTGATAGGGGCACATGTTTGTGGAGGTCAATCTCTTGAATTAGGGGTAATCCCTTACATAGGGTGAAAACCTTTAGAGACCTTGATAAGTCTTCATTATCATGAGTTAATAATTAGTAAATAGTATAGTTTTAGCCTTAATTCATGATAAATAGACTTATATTTGTGTTAAAGTGTGAAAAGTAGTTTTCAGTTGATTAATGTGATTTTTTGGGTAATCATGTGATTTTATACGAATTTATATAATTTTTACAATCTTACTTTTGAGATAAATGAAGAAAAAGAAATAAAAATAAAAATATAACAAAATGGGGGGGACTCGCTAGCCAGCCGGGCCTGCAACAGGTCGGAAGCATAGTCGGGGAGGAGCCACGAGTAGGGGCTCGAGCGACTAGGACTGAAAGGGGCATGTGTGCGCCACTCTCCTTCCACGTCACCAGTGGCCAGTCGGCTGTGGGGCAAAGAATGGTCGTACATGCAGGAGAAAGAGACTTGTAAATATAATATTATTATATATTTGTCCGAAACTTTGACACATAAGTGATGTGAGACTAAACCCGCATCACAACTTCCTTAGAAAAGGTTTGATGATTTTAATACCTAAAAGATCTCTTATTTATAATAGAGATATACCATGATAACGTCATTTGATAAGGGCATTATACTTATGTCAATCTCTCTCATGCAGGCGGGCAACCGACATGGGTTTGAATCTTCGTAGAGCTAAAACTCATATTTTTTATCTGATTATCGCGACTTTCTTGCAAATTACCAGTGAAAGATTAAGCCATCAAAATCGCTAGATCATCGGCAAAAATCTAGTCAATGCGATTTGTCGAGCATTATTATTAAAATTATTGAACGATTCACAATAAAAGGATCGCGAATCCATCGAATAAAGCATCTCCGATTGATCGACAAACAAGCCGTCATCGAGAAGAGGATGATTTACTAAGAGACGAGTCGCCACCTCCTAAGAGCGTATCAGATACAATGAAGAGCATTTTGTTGTGCAGACCTGAGGATGAAGCTCTCTGACACGTGCCTTACCTCCATCCAACTCCTCTCCATCAGGTGACAGTTGCCAAAGAGCCGCAAAGTCGCCATTTTTTCGCTCTATCGGGTGACAGCCGTCGAAGACGATTCAACGACTCATTTCATTGATCTCTAGACTCCGCAAGGAGATCTAGAGATTGCCCACGTCGTCCTTGTCCAAGGAGAGCCTTCGAGGCCATGGACATTACATGACGATCCTCCTAAATGCTCAAGATTCTAATGTATTGCCGATGCATCGCCGCTACGATAGCGGAACTCTATTTTCCTACTTTCAACTTACTTTCCGCTTCATTTAATGATATTTTGTATGATTTAAATTTACCAAGATATATTTTATTCAATTACGATTCTTTTGGCTTTTACACATCTTAATTTGATCAATTAAATTGTTTGTAATTGCTTATGTAAGAATTGTTGGGCAGAACTCTATTTCTGTGTTCGCTGAGCGATGACGTCATTATGACGTCTGCACCTTTATTTTCCTTTTTTGTGAATTTTAAATATATTTTATTTTCATTTTATAGTATAAAATTTATAGAAAATAGTATTCTTTAAAAAAAATCTGAATAATTATATGATATTATATTACATCTTTGTGATCGATCTAAAAAATTATCACTATATGTGGAAGTTTTATTGAATTATAATTGATATATTTATTCAAAAATACTTCTAAATATCTGAAAATTCGTATTTTCTAGTTTTATAAATTTTAAATTTGCGTGATATACTATACAACGACTAAGTCACGTCAGACCTCATGGATACTTGTTACTCAATGACTAGATTAGATCTATTTGTCTTCTTTGAGCCTTTACTAATTACTTGACACCACTTCACTAATACTTTATATCCCTTTTAAAAATCACAAAAAGATGTATTTTGGTGATACACCTAACTTACACTAGTGTAGGTTACCTCTAATGATTACAGTTGTGTTGTCCACATAAAGTCTAATGTTGATATATTTATAGTCAACCAGTATAGTGTTTAAAGTTTAGATTTATTGAATTCCTAAAATAACATTAATGTTTCATGAGTGTAAGGATAAATAATCTTTTGTCACTTTTAACCACTGTATTTTGATGACCACCCCTTGGTAGATACTATAATTGCTCACAATTATACCATTGCCTATGATGACATCATAAATTGTGGTAGTATTTAATGACATGTTTAATATTTCTATCAATTCTTGTGATATAAAATTGTGTGTTGCTCCATAATCAAGTAACATAGTCAATTCTTTGTTAAAAATCATCTCTTTTGACTCTAATTATTCAATAAAAATTTACATTACATATTTAAAAAATATTTTAATGTTAGATTTTAGTCGTCATCATAAATCATAAATATCTCCCTTCTTACATATATGACTCATTGAAACTTCTAGTTGCTCTAAAAATGAAAACCATCAACTTCCATCTCTTGTAATTATAACTTATTCAAGGTAAATGATGTTTATTGTTGGTCATTGACGTGACTTAGTCATTTTATAAATTATGTAAATTTGAAATTTATAAAACTAGAAATACTAATTTTTAGATTTTATTTTTTTAGAAAAAAATAAATTAATTATAATTTGATAAAATGTTTCAAAAATAGTGAGAAATTTTTAGGTCAATCATGGGGACATAAGATAATATTGGATAATATTTCAAAATTTTCTTAAAAAAATATAATTTGTTATAATTTTT